ATATCTGTCTACTAACCAAATGGCCAAGAAAATCTTTTCTTTACAAATCGCCACTCATTTGTTAACGAATCATAAAATAGTTTCTGTTAAATATTTTGTTCGACTCACCTAAATCTATCATTATGAAAATGCTGTCATTAATTTTAAGATTTTTGGATTCGCTCAATCGTGAGATTTACATTATTTTACTTCCAGCGTTTTCGTTAAAGTAAAATACAATGAGATGAAAAAAAAATTAATAAAAATTACAAAAGAGTTTATTTGCATGTTTCCATTTTCACAAATTGTTGCGAAACTTACGTTTTGTCGACATCACATTAGCACGTAATAAAACTGGCATTAATCGAATTTATGCTTAAAAATCTAAAAAAAAAAGCTGAAGGCAAGCAAATAGTTTAAAAGCCATAAAATTTTATATTATCGAGAAAATGTGCCGTTTATGTTCTAAATGCTTTATTCTATATATAAATCTACCACACTTTGTCTTAACATACTAAAATTGAAATAATGCGGGATACGATTTTCACAGTTAGAGTTCATCGAAAGATGAAGAAGCTGTTGAATTCATGTGCTGTTTAATTATGCTTGTACCATGTACGTGAAAACAGTAACAAGCGAAGCATTCTATAGAAGCGATTTTGGCATAAAATTCATATTTTTTGCTGGAGCTGGTCGTCATGATTCATCATTATCGATTGTTATGAAGCTGCTAATTTTCTTTAAGTAATTTCAGAGTGTAAGGAGGCAGACACAGTCGCAGTGTGAATATAATTACCAAGCACAAAAGAACAAAGCCAAGATTCCGATTGAGAGACAAGAGGCAAATTCATACATATTTGAATTTAAAAATTAAAAAAAAATCGAATGGAACCATTCGAAGAGGCAAGCTTAACATTGTAAATGTTTATTTTCCAACGGATTTTAAAGAAAAATAAATTTGGGTCAATGTATAAATATCTACTTCATGATGCATTTAAAACTTATGGAAATTGGAAATTGCAAGCAAATATTTATGTTGCGAAATTAAAAAGGTTTTACGGCTATGCCAAAAATTAAAGTCTTGAAATTGTTTAAACATAAGATAATGATTGTTTGAAAAAATATTTATTTTACTTTTCGGCTACTCTTTTTTCTGTTTTTTTTTTACAAATATTATATCTAATATCAAAAAATAAATGAAAGTGAAAACTGAACCTTTTATCTTCATATATAATCTTTCTTTCACTGTCATCAAAAGCTAGTGAAAATATCTTGATTCATGTCAAAAGACTCAAACCAAACACTCAACGTAGCTATTATTTTGATATTCAATTCTCTTCTATCATCGTCGCATTAAAATATCATATCTCAACTTCAAAGTTGAATGGAAACTTTTCCCTTTCTGTTCGTGGCTAGATATTATTTGATCAGATCACTTTCGAATAAAGGCAGAAGTGTTATAATATTTAATTATTGTGAGTCATTGAAAAGTGCTACATAAATCAAAAGATTGATCTCAAAAGATACCAGAAAAAGATAAAAACAGAAATGAAAAAAAAAATCAATCGGAGAATTTAAACTTTGAAGTATTTGAAAGTCAGCTTCTATTCAAGTTTTATATTCCATAAGATCTATGTTATCAAACATTACTTCTATTCTTTGATTATGATTCTAAACTTTAAGAATCTTTATATTCTCAAGCATTAATTAACCTACTTAAAATTGTTTATGTGCTCAACGATGCACAAAGATTTAATTAAATCTTCAAAATATGATGTTGGATGTAGTTTGATGACATAAAGGGGTTTGGTACATGAAGTATCAATTATCTATCTTTAAACATCTCTATGATGAAGCGGCAGAAATTCTAATCTTCATTCCGTCTCAGATGAAACACTTCGCTACTAGAATGATTAAATGGCTGTTTTATTAAAAGAACACAGTAAACTTTATTCAATATGTTTAAAGATAAATTATAAAGAAACTATGCCATTTTTTTCATTTCTCACAAATCAAATAATGCACGTTTCTGCATGATTCTAAACTAAAGAATTGTTACATAACTGTTGATTGTTTTTATTGATTTCAACTCTCGACTAAGAATGTTTTAAAATCTAGACCGGTACTCATAAGTGTTTCTCATATTGCAACATCAACTTGTTGCTTTATCTTCATTCACCTCATTCTTTTCTATTCCCTCATCGGTCAATCGCCAAGGAAAAAACGCGAGTTGAAACTTCAGTAGAGTTATAAAAAATTATCTTAAGATGTTAAAGGAAACATTTGTAAGACTTCAATCTAGGTGAGATCTGCTTTAAAAGACTTGGATTCTACACTTCCTTATATGATATCGCATTTGACAAGAGATGTTCTCTTAGTTAATATAATTTCAATGATTGTTAATTTGCAATGTTAAAGTCATTTATATCATGTTGTAATGAAGGCCAAACATGAGAATGTGAATGATTTTATGGCCAACCACAGGTTCATGAATTTTGCTTAAAGGAGTTTTGAACAATAAAATGAAAATACAATGAAAATATGTTGTTAACATGCAAACTCAAGCGAGTTTTTATTGTTCAAAAAGTTGCTTCATGTCAGAAACAATTTATATCATAATCTTTCATACATACGTTGTGCATCAAAGTGTCAGCTTTATTCCGTCAACAATTCGAAGGTGCTTGCGAAATAATTAGACAATACAATTTTCCATGAAAACGCAGTTAATGCGTTTCATTGTTACGGAAGATTCATTGTGGAATTGTGAATATTTACAGGTGAAATTTTATTTATATATTTTTTTTCTTCTAAAGTTTGCATAAAATATAAAATCATAGATCGTGTAAATGTGATTATTCAAACTTATGAAAAACAAACAAACATACAAAAAAGGAGGTTTTATTTGTATGAAAATGACAAATGATGTTTCATGTCTACTTTCGATTCACCGAAGATTACACATACATAGGTTGGAATTTTGTTTTCTGCAAATCGTTTTCTGAATCACACGTTTTGTTGTTATATATTATTGATCATTCATATGCTAATTTTAAGGCGCTTATACTCATCATCAGGTCAATGAATGTTAACAAATTGATGAAAGCGAAAGTTGGAATACCACACCTGACTCATCAATATTCACTTAGCTTAGACATGCAGTTGAACCTTTGATGTGATTTTATATGCAAATTACTTATCGTATGTTTTCTCGTTAACAATGTTTCTTCGTTCTCGTTAACTGCAACGGAATTTGTTCAACATCTCTATAAATTTTAAATTTTCTTTTCTCCATTGATTTAGGATTTCATTTAAAAGACCGTAAAGTATTCATATCTATTTTATACACACTAGGGATTAGTGAAACAAAATCTGTTATAAATCTGATATTTCAGAATCTTTGGTCTGTTACAAACAAAACGGTAAAGTGATTAATGATATTCCATATTGCGTAATTCCTTTTATTCTGTGTGCATATACTTACACTAATTTAAATTAATGAATTTTTGAGATGTTCTTCTTCCGAAGAACTGTTTTCTTGGCTCGTGTTTGAAATTAATTAAAGATTTTCTTTACTGTTTGTTCTTCAATTTTGAACTCTTTCATTCTACGCTGTTCTGTCTTTAATCTGAAGCAATAAAAATATCTGAGTGTACTGAATAAATGAAAAAATCTCAAAGAAATTGAAGTAGATAGAAATGAAATAAGAGCAACAGTTCAAAGCTTCACTTTCCCGTTTCTTTTATGAATAACATAGCAAAGGTATGTCTCGACACCCAAGGTTACAATCTAAGAGAGAGAGGGTCAATCAACATTTTTCCTTTCTTCTGAAACTGTGTCACATTCATTTCACTTGACTTATCATAAAATTTAACACATTTACGCCCTTAGGTTATAATTTCGCAAAACTTGATTTTTTCACTTGTTTAAATTCCAGTATAAGATTTACAACAAACCATAACTTCTCAAGATGGATAACGAATGAGCCGCAAAATAAGCAGCGTCTTGAACAGTTATGTATTCTCATATTTCTTTTCATTTTTTTTTGCAAATGCAAGATGCAGGAAAAATAAGAAATCACGTAAGAATTTTCCTTCAACTTCAAATGGTAAAATGTTCTTAAATAGAAATCATTTTATCGATTTAAAAAAGCTTTTCATAAGATTGACAGGTTGACCATTATGCACTCGATTTAACTGATCTATACTTTTTCATAATCATCAAGTACCTATTTAATTCTGATAGTATGAAAAAATCTTCTTACCGATTTTCAATAAATTTTGAGTTCACTTTAATCCACTTTGAGAGTTTATGTTATTAATCCTGATTTCTTGATAGTTCAAAGTTCAACTCTTTTAATGCAATTTGAAATAATCAACTTTAATTTTTTACCGTTCACAGGTTTCCGTTTAACTTTTTTTTCAATAACTTTTCACGTATAAATTTCAAACGATTTCAATGCACAAACAAGAAGAAACCTTAATAATTTCCAGCCTTATAAGAGACACTTCCGAACAAGCTGAAAGTTGAAACGAAACTGACGCAAGTACTACGTTATTGTTATCATAATTTTTGACCATTGTATGTAAGAGATGGAGTAAGAAATGAAAGGAGTATAATGAGAGAACGTCGATCAAAAAGAGCTTAAGCTGTTTTGCGCATTATGCGGAAAGAAAATGCTCATTTGATCTTGTAATATTAAACGAAAATACTTTTATTTTGTATGAAACATCTCTCAGAATGAAAGTGAAAATTATACGTTAAATTCGTGGAAAATCATTACTATTAAAGGTGATAATTTAGAAATCAAGCAAGAAAAATTTCTGTATCAATTTGAGCTCTTTAATTCGAAATTCATATATTAAATAAGTTTGTAGACTTATGAAAGTTAATTTTTTTCCATAGAAATTTAATACTCGCATAGTTCAGTGAAGACGAAGCTTTATCGTCGTAAATTATATAAATTGACACTTTGTCGAAACAACATTTTTATCTCTGAAATCGTGAGCGCAGAATATTAAAGCATGAGAATAAATTTGGTAACTTTATTTTGCTGGGGACGAAGCTGCGGCATAAAAGATTGCATCAATAAATGTCAATCATGTGGAATGAGAAACATCACCGGAGAAAACAAGACATTGAACTTATGTGGATTTTTTGGGTAAGCATAACAGCACTAACTTTCTTCTTTCAATTATTCATCGATTCAATTATATAGCGTTTGGTTTGGAAAAACATTTTTTTTTCTCGATAGCTTCTCTTTAAAAGCTTAACCACGCAAAGATTTACTCCAATAATTTTTCTTAGATTTCTTTATCATTTAGAATTGAGATTCAGAAATAAAAAAAGAAGCAATTTTTTTACGTTGAGCGTGAACACGTCTTCATTGGTGAGTGGTTTGTATACTTAAATGTTCATAACCTATGAAATGTTTCGTATCAATAAGCTTGAACTGTTTATGATTTGTAATTAGCTTTCAACTATTTGACTTTATCATTGATAAGTTAATATCATATGATTCAATGCTTATTATGACCGAAATAATTAGTTACATGTCAAAGATGAAATTGTTATAAAAACCTTAAGTATACTTAACGAAGGCAAGTTCATAACTTTTCATACGTAAAAGAAAGTGTGTAATGGAGAACTTTCATTTCAATATTTCAACACTGAGCATGACTTGCCCTTTGCAGTCATCATTTGAGGTGTTGCCACGCGTTGAGATAAACAACTCAACGATGGATATTTATATTTTCCCACACCTGAGAAATCTTAATTTTGAGAGTAAACTTTTTTCAATTTGTGTAAAACTCAAAGAAAGCCGACAATGGAAAATTCCGAACAAAGAGAAAATCTTTTTTCTTTTACATGTACGTAAGTAAATAATCATTTTTTCCGATTATATTTTATATCAGACGTCATTCTTATTTCAGTGATTTTAACAAATCATAAGATTTTGTGATAAAATGTCTAATTAAATATAATTTAGTGAAGAAATCAGTGAATGATGGATTTCATTCATAAGAAATCACAAAAATTATGCTTTTCCTTTTACAATTTTGATAATTTCCAGCTGCTATTCAATATTACAACATTCAGACAATTTTTCCATGTTGCATTGTCTATTTATTGTTGTACATATTATTGAGAAGAAACACTGCAACAAGCTGACTTCTACTTTCAAAATCATATAAAAATGGTAAGCAAGCTGCGTTTTTATCTAAGATCTGCTAATTATTTATAGAGATATCAATCAATTTCACTTTCCTATATTAATGAAGTCTCAATTGAATTTTCTTTCTCATAACGCACTTTGAACATAAATTACCGGAAAGAAAAGAAAACTTAAGAAATCAACATCATATATGCGGATGAATGATTCAAAGAATTAAATTTCCTAACTTACCAAAACATCATAAATACCAATTGAAAAAAAAAATTAGTTAATCTTGTTCAAGCTTTAAGAACTCTGGTTTTATTCTACATCTGTACAGAAGTATCTACATGAAATAATAATTTTTTTTGTTTCGCATATTTATGATAAATCTAACGGCTTTCAAGACGATTTAACAATTCACAATAAAAAGTATTAAAAGAAAAATCTTCTAAAGGGCGGCAAAAATGATCATCGATGGTTAAACTTCTCGGTGGTCTTATTTCATTATTTCATCATTTCAACTCTTGTTTTTTTTTCCTTTAGGAAGAGGAATGAGATAATTAGGTTTTTATAGATTTTACGCTTTTTGTGGTGCAACATTATGCTTCAATGAAGCATCTTTATTTTTCAATCCATTGATTGAATTATGCTCGGAGACATTGTTTTAGAGTATGAAATTATAAAAGTAGTGTTAGGTAGGTTAATTTATATATACCTAAATGTAAGATTTGAAACATATTTTGATCGGTGGTTCTACACAAGTTTTCTTAAATGATATGTCAGAACATAGGACATTGCAGTTCGTAAACTACACGAATCAAGAAGAAAAGAGATTATTTATTTTTTTTGTAACAGAATCTTTTCTCTCCGTTATCAAGTTGTTTGAAATCTTTTAAACGCTAAATTATTTAAAACTTTTGCATCTTGCAAATATACACAACAGAAAGAATTATGAGCACCATAAATTTTGTAACTTGACAAATTTAAAAATATCAAACAGGTTTTGAATATTTCGGCATGATGATATTGAAAAAGTTAAAAAGAAAAAGAAAATGCAGGCAAGGTACATAAATAAATAAATAAAATCAATAGAGAATTGTCTGGCACAAACAAGATTGCATCAATAAGTGTCAATCATGTTGAAATGGAAAGCATTGAGACGGGAAGCGAAGAAGAAACAATGAATTTCTTGTCGCTTGCTCGGTTTCATAAATCAAACTTTCTTCTTTCAATTGCAAAACGATTGAATACTTTGATTTTGGTGATGATTTTTGGATCCTATTAAACTAGTCCATGATACCAAATTCCACACTCTAATAAGTACAATGAAAAAACTGAAAGCTGTTCATTAATTTCATTAAATGTTTAACTAAATATCTACTTGTCATGTTGACATAATGTAATGAAGATTTTTCAGCATCACTTTGTGAACGATTTGCTCTGACGATTATTAAGGTTTTACTTTTTCTTAAGTATGTAGGGAAAAGAATTAAAGACATTGTAGCAAACGTAACAAGTATTAGATTTGCTCTTGAAATTTTGAATTGTGTCATTTTATGCTTTATAAACTTAACCTTCAAATGAAGTTGCATCATATGAAAAAAAATATTTCCTTACAGAAAAGAAAGTGAATTTTGAAATAAAGTCGAAACACAAAGTTATGGAACGAATTTAAATTTTAATGGGAAACTTCGTGTCTTTAATCTGTTAAAATGTTTAATCAATGTCTCATTTCAACAGTAGCCTGTTAATGGTCTATCGTGTCATTATAGAAAATGTGAAATGTAAAACATTTGAAAATTCAAACGCAAAGATTGAATTTCCATAATTAATTTTATGCTAAAGTGTCTTGTGATAAGTTTCTGACAGGAATGTTGTAGCAATGTTGAATAAATGAATAAAAATATCTGCCTAAAGCAAAGAAAGTGTTGTTTAAGAAGACAATTTTATATCAAAAAAAGCTGCTCAAAATAATTAAATAAATTTTTCGTAATTTAGATTTATTGTTTCCTGATATTAAAATTACCTCATATCAAACTCTCATGTATCAAAATGAAACTTGTCGAGAAGTCATTCACTTAAAAGGATCTAATATCATCATGAACATCGAGAAAATATTAACAACTGCTATCAACCTTAACATTTCCATGAGGTTTTTCAATTAAAGTAAATCATGATCGGTGTAAAAGTCTACGTTGAGTGCACATGAGTGCATTGAAGTAGATGTTAACTGTTAAATAAATAAAAGAATGCTTAACAATAATTTAAAATGTAATATCCCCTACAAAGTAGAAAGCAACACGTGAACAATTCTTTCAATTAATTATGTGTAAGTACGTGTAAATGTTTCACCATAGAATTGCTCACTGTAAATACTCGGTGCAGTTGTAAAAATTTTCCCAACTAATGATATAAAGACACAACTTGTGTATATGATCAAGAACATCTGATCGAGCTTGAAAATAATTAAAGTTCAATGATATTTAATATATGCTAGCTATAATTCTGAATTATTTCATAAATGATAATGATCGGAAACAGTGATTCTTTTCCAATGAACTTCATGTGCTCTGTGCGTAACGCAAGCATGCATGAAGAAAAATCTCATGATGAATGACCGTTAAATAATAAAATATCTTGCTTAAAAGGCTTTGCAAGCAAGTAAATATTTTGTATGTAAATATTTTTCTTGAAAATTGATAAAAAAAAATTAAACTATTTTTGTTTTTCGATAACTCATTATTCATTGTACGATATTGAACACAAAATTTAATTTTAAGTTAACATCTTCAACTGAAATCAGTTTCACTTTCCAGTTACCTATATTTTAGGCTTGACGATTTAAAATAACTTCTTTTTCGTAAATATTTTGAGAAAACCAATTTATAGGATTAAAAAATTTCACTAATGTTACATGTCTCTTCTGATATTTAATTGGTGTTTATAAATTATTCGTTGATTATCAAAATTATTTATGAAAAATTTGAATTGACATTATTTTCTATATTAAAAATATGTACAAATTTATTCACTTCTCACATGCCAAGACTTCATTTCTTTCACTCATTAGGTATATAAAGCTAGAGATTTTATTAAATTACAAGTAAATTTATAATGATATTAAGTGTGCAATAACAACACTTTGCTTAATTAATTTTTAACGATATGTGAATGCATACAACTATTGTATGAAACTTTCACACTGCAAGTACGAGTTTTATTCTCAGATCTTTTCACAGATAAATCCAGTAAGATTTTCATAAATTTGTTCTTTAACGTTAATTTAACAAAATAATTACATAACTGTTGGAACTTAAAGAATATTCTTATTCAGAGATAAATTTTTCTGATTTCTTCTGGTTGATAAACGTATTGATTTCTCATTGCATTGAACGAAGATTTGACTTGAGAATTCATTCAATTACTTCATACTTGTAAAAAAATATACTTTATTAATACATATGTATAATCAATTCATTTTTGATGAATATCGGAACGATCTTTGTGTTCTAGGCTAAGTGTTGAAAAGAAAGTGAAGAACTTTTAATTTGCTTTAATAAAAATATTACTAAAAGGATCAAAGTTACGATTCAAAAGTTGCGATTCAAACAATAACTTGGAATAGTTTAGTACCGTCTTTTTTATTATTTCAACAATACTTTTTATTGAACATGAAAATAAATGTAGAAAGAGATTTAAAAAAATATATGCTATGCTTTCATTCAGTAAAAGACGGTAGGTCAAAAACACCAAGCACGTTTTCAATTACATCGATTTACTGAAGAGTGAAGATGCTGTTAATATAAAAAGATTCCGAAAGCAAAACTTTTCTACCAAAGAAATTTTTCTACAATTTTTCTTATTGATGACTTACCTATTAACAGTAATGAGAGAAATTTCAGAAAGAGTTTTCCAAGCTTATATAGGGCAAGTATTTCTAATTCAATTTACACGGGATTAATTGAATTAGAGAAAATCAAAGTAATATCTACGAAACAATCATTTGTTATTTTATTGCTTTATTGGCTGATGATTATGCCTCAATCATTAACAAAATCAAATCAATAATAAATACATAAAAAAAAAATTCTTATCAATCAATTACGTTAATGATTTATGATTTCTTTATGATCAATTTTTTATATTTAAACCGTAAAAAAATGTTTAGTTTAATTTTGTTTAATAATTTCTATTTAGATTTATGTATATCTAAAAATTCTTATATCTTATAGAGTAAATATTATCGGAGTATCTTTGTTTAGCTTGTTTAAACAAATACCTTTGAGGCAGCCAATTAACATGAGAGCAGCATAAAACTTTAATTTATGTTCTAATAAATACGTTATAACTTCAAGTGATTCAAATACTCATTCTTGACGTCTTTTAAACCAGTTAGGAAATTTAAAATTAAATTTTTAAATTAATTGTTGCTGGAAGCGCAAACTTTAATTAAGTTAAGTTATTTAATAGTTTAAATATTTTAATATTCAAAAAACACGTTATTCTATACACATAAAAAGACTTCTTTATTATTAAGCATATTTAATCACACTTGTTATCCCTTTATGTTTATTTATTTCTCCATTCTCTCAATAATATTATGATGCACCTGATCAGCACATATAGAAGTAAGTATATGTTTTAACATTGCTATGCTATTATGTATTGTTGAAGTTATTACTTATAAGTAATTCACGAATTCTAGCTTACAACATTCAATGTGAATGTTTTGATTGAAAGCTGAAGAAAATTATTGTAAGAAATCGTCTGACCAGTAGCTAAGTACTTTCATGCAATTTTACGGATGCAAAGTATAAACACCCAGGAGCTATGTAGATACTTATGACAAGTAGATATAGGTAATAATACTAAGTTTGAAAATCACAAACATAAGAATAAGTTTGAAGAAAATCTAAGAATTTCCTGAGATTCATTGTTTACTGAATTCTTTGTAGACGTTTTATTTCATAGTTCTTCAACAGTATAATAAATCATTAAATCTTGCAACAAATTTAACAGAAAAAATTTCCTAGCTATCGATAACTACAGTAAGATGGATTTGTGTCACGCAGTGCTTTTACAGTATAGTTCAATGATTGATGAACTTCCTATATTTATCATCATAACTTATGATTCTTCACTACATCAGCTTAGAAATTGATACAGATATATTCATGCTTAAGCGTCTTGTTAACACATAGACTATGCAAAATTAACGAAATAATAACATCTAAATGTTGTAATGGGATGTGTTAGTAATAAAACTTCTCTCAATTAAATAATTTTTTATCTCATAAAAAATCATAAATATATGCTTTCATGTTCAGATTCATTCCAATGGCATTGATCAATTTCACTTTCCGATAATTAATATGTTATCTTCTATAATATTTTTTACAACCTCAATTAAAACTGACTTTTACTGCTACCCATTTTTCTTATTTATGTGCTTCCTTTGAAGAAGCCAACAATTAACTATCAATCAATCCAATGAAGATTTGTGAGGAAGCTGTTTGTGTCACTTTTGAACTCGCAAAGGTATTTATTACAAAGCAGCACATTAGTAATTCATAGTCAACTATTATTTATGTTATAAAACTCAGAACATGAGTTACTAATTTATTTTTGTATTTTATTTATGATCATCATTTCATTCATATGAATGCATTCTAAAAAACGAAATGATGGCCTACATACTTTTATGCTTCACAAGAAAAACTTAACAAGAAAAAGAAGTTTTCATGTAATAAAAAAATTATGTGCGAAATGCGATCTTAAGATTTCACTTTTTCCTCACAAGCTTTGTGTTGTAAATATTTCGTCGAACATTTATTTATTTACTTAATCGAATAACCACCACTTTTGAATTTTTTTATGGCTTATTTTGATTTCGAGTGGTGCTTGCCACTAAATTGTCCAGTCAATTACTGAAAGAAATGAAATTCAGTGATTTTACAGCATTTATTTATGCTTAAATTTTAAAGTGAAATTATTATTTCTTTTTCAAGTTTCAATCGTATATTATTTTAATAATTCTATTAACTTGAGTGTTTACTTTATGATTATAAGATAATAATTTATGATCAATGTGTCAGCGTCAACAATGGAAAATTGGTCACAGACGTCGCAAAAATGATCATCAATTGAAGATTTTTTCGTGCAAAGAAAAGAGTATTTTGCGAGCTAAAGTACCGCTTTAACATCATTCCTTCATCAGCCAAATCTCAATTATCGGAAGCTTCTCCAAAAATTATTTTGATAAAAATGAAAGTTTCATGAATGAATGAAGTTTGAAATTAACTTTCAATTTAAAATTTACATCAAAGGCTATTGATTCGACATGAGCCTTGTGTTGAGTTAATAGAAAGTAATTTGCAATGATTAAATCATAATCAAAACAGCCTTTCAAGGTTTTATTTGAACAAAATTAAAGTGCTATGGCACCGTAATGTATATTTTATGATCAAAATACGTGTCAGAGAGTTCCGCTTTGTATATTTCAACAAATCAACAATATTTAATTGACACAGCTATCGCAAATATCTACTCAATAATGTTTCAAATTATTTTTTAAATGGCAACATAATCTGATAGTTAATTTCATAAATATTACAGCAAATAATTACTCATGCATTGAATACTTTGTTTTGTATTTTTAATCATTTTGTAAGTTGTGAAGATTGACACGCTATAAATATTATCTTATGTTCTGCCTTACTTTAAGAAGCGTATAAGAAACTGATTGAAAGGTGACAACAATCATTTACTACACAAATTGCATTCCACAATTCTTGTTTAGTTCGTAGCATTTCGAAGAAGGCAAAAAAGAAACTTGTTAGTTTCAAGTTAAAATGATGAAACGTTTTAATTATCTTCCTCTTTAGAATGTTTTCTTTTTATTACTTCTTTACAGATAAGATGAAATGTTATAGATATTATCCACTTATTTAACATGAAAAATAATTATTTTACTATTAATTTAAACTGTTGAAGGATTTAAAGAAGAAGTAAAATAATATTTGTTTTAAGTAAAATCAAGGTTTACAATAAATAGAATTCATAGCATAAATAAGTAAATAAAATTAACGCAAAATGTATGTCTTTAACCATTGTGTATAAAACAATTCGTTCAAGTTTTTAGTAGTGAAAACAATGCAAAGTATTTAATAAATACGTCTACGCGAACAATACTTTTCTGTTACTGATACTAAAACTTTTACTTTCATTTTGAATATGGTAATTTAAAAGCACGACAGAGCACTTTGCATAATTTTAATTCTTCTTATGGAAGCATGTTTATGTCTCGCCGCTGCATATAGTTTTTCTATTGAAACTGTGTCATAATAAATGCTTGTTCACGTTCAATTACATACACAGCAATGTCTATGAAAATTGATAATATCTTTTTATTATTACTTTATGCTTCATAATGTTTTAAATTTTCTATGAGCAATCTTTCTTCAGACTAAAGTTTTATCTTTTTATCTTTATTCTTTTGTGCTACTAAATTGTTTAAAAAATTTCTTGTGCAATCTTTTTATTGAATTGTCTTTTGGAAATAAATATTTAATGTTGCTTTTAATGTCACAATCAAAGAGAAAGCTTTTCGTGAAAATATGAAAATTTTTGTTTCTTTTGATAATTTTTTGTTGTTTTTTTAATGTTTCTCTGAAAATTTGAAATAGTATCCATCTTTTTATGAAATAATAATTTAACGTCATCATATATCATGTGATGTTAGGAAGACGTGATAGATGGTTTCAATTTTGTCCATAATCTTTTTAAGAAAAAGAATAATAGTTCTTAACAGTCGTTTCTTTATAGAGATACTTCTTTGAATAAATTTTGTATAATGTTTTACAAACTTAAACATAGGATGGTATTTGATTAAAAGTTTCAACATATCTATTTAAAAACAAACATTTGCATCAAATCTCCATAAATGCACAAAAAGTGTAGTGACGAGAAAAAGCGCGTGAGATATTATGTTTGCATTGAAAGTTTCGAAATTTGTCGTCTTTGATATCGAAGATCAACCGACGCAGATGTGAGAAGAAAGTGTCTATCTCTTTATTTAAATCCACCTGATTTCATGCTGAAAGCGTCTCTGTTAAACAAAAAGATCATAAAAATGAAAACTTTCAGCAATAAAGCTTTGTTGCATGCATGTTTAAATATGAATATTTCAAGTCGTAAATTTTGTTGAAAAAAGTAAAGACTAGAAGTGTGTACATTTTTCTACTGTGACAGTAGCTGGTAAGATTTAAAGATATTTTATAGAATAAGTTTGAAATCGTAGTTTTCATTAACTTTGTTCACTTTATAACTTAGTAAAATTATTAAAGAATATGTACATCAACTAACCGTATTTCGATATTTCTTGATGTAGTCTTAAAGACGTTTTTCTTTCAATTTCTTATTCTTTTGACTGCGTTGTGATTTGTGTTTACAAATGAATACGTTTTGACCTCTCATGGGAAAAGAAAGCTTTCTTAAATGACTCAATATAATGAGTTCCCGAACATATTTAGTAACCATAAAAATTAATTAGTTTCGCTTTCGTTCTTAAATTTTTTCACGAGTTAACATAAAAAGTGCAAATTAATTTTTTTACTTTTTAAATAATAAATTTAATTAACCATAAAATTATGTTTTAACCTTTTTTTCGTTGAAAATATAAAACAAAAAGCAACCATGATCAGTTTTTGTTCATATCTAATCAGATTCATATTTGATGTATTCATTGTATTCAATTAGACTGTATGCATACTTTGTGGTTAGATAATTTTGCCTTTAGTTGGATATTAAAAATGGAAATTTATTTGCATGATTTCCTAATTGTTACAGATTTTCTGCATTTTATATTGCGTCGAAGAAATTTAAATGCTTCAGTTAATGAAAAACTGACGTTTGATGGAAATACATTGATATTGAGTTCTGCATATAAAAACAGAGCCACAATGAATAATATTACATTACATATAATTATAATTATAATATGTTGGTTTTATTATAAAATGTTCTTATACCTAATGGAGAAGAAAATATTAGTCTCTTGTCAATTCATCTCATGTCTTGTGTCTCATCATGTGAATAATCGAGAGAGAGAGCAAAAAACTAATGCGCGGTAAAATATCGCGACGATAATACGCACGAATAAGCAGTATTTTGCTTTTCATTGCCAACACAACTTTAACATGCTGACAATTTGAAACTATTTCTAAATTGAGATGATGAGAGGTTTATTAAAAATGTCTGAAACATTAACCATGCAATCTCTGCAAACGGAAACATCAGAAATGTTTTCAAAAAATAATTTGACTTGGATTTTTCTTTTTATTTCCTTCCATCCAACAATGCAATAGCTATTTATGATTAAATTTACTTTTGACACGTCTTATCTATTTTCATGAAGTTTTCAACAACAGCTAACCATAATCTCGACTGCCGTAAGCTAAGACATTTCATTATGACGCGTGTGTAACAATTCTGTCAAAAGAGTTGAAAGTTATCATTTTTCTCCCAATGCCGGTGGCAGTTACGTTCTCTTTCAGACATTTCATTTCCATTCATTCGTTAATTATAGTCTCATAATAACTCTCCTAAATAGATCGCTTTTGACTATTCGTTGAACGTCTTAATTGTCGACTTGATATCGTTTTAAAGATCAAGATAGCGACACATTCGTATTCTATAAAACGGATTAATTTGTGGTTTTTAAATAATAAGAAACATTTTTAAAGCGCCTAAGAAATTGATTTAATTATTTCATAAAACTGAAAAGTGAACATTTTGACAAATCATATTATAACATGATTTTAGTAAAATTCATACTTAGGAGAAAGTAAGATTCGATCGATTAATTAAATCAAGCAAACAATTTATCATTTTTAAAATAAGTGATTTTACTTTCTCAACCTCTTTTTGTTTTTTTTTTCATCTATGGTTTTTTCAATAAGATGTGTAGGAGTAAGATGTATATACTTAGAGAAAAACCGCCAAAATCAAATCATATCTGCAAAAACGATTAGAAAATTAAAACTACTCTCAATAGTAATGCGAAAAGTAAGAAGAAATTGACGAAATTGTTTGATAATTAAATGTAAGAATTTCAGTTTTGCACGTTAGTGGGTAGTCCGTTTCTGGTTCCATATGCGTAGTATAGAAACAATTCAGAGCAAATTCATTACAAAAAAACTAGTCAGTGTCAATCAGGTTATTGAGACTCTGAATGATGTGTCGTTTATCTTCGCTGAATCCCTTTATATCTTATCTCAATTTTGTAAGATTTTATTTGTGAAACTAACACAACTTCAAACATAAATTTACAATTTTTATACTTATCGCTCGAATTATTATATATTTATTTTTAAAGCAGATGGGATTATAGAGATTTATTTCAAATATTTTGAATCTGACTTTTCAAATTATCATTGGCAGAAATGCTAAAACATGAAGCAGAAAAACAAAAGAAGAAGGTTTTTTCTTATCTAAGTTTTTTAGATTGAATAGATAATAAAAATCAACCATCTACGTTATAGAAATATGTAATTATCTAAATATTAAAAATTTATTCAAAAGGACTTTGCAAAACTTTCATTTTATTTTAGAAATTATTTAAATAGTAGCGCTATGACATTAAATATTCAGTAGAATAAAAAATTAAAATAGCAAAAGTATATCATTTAACTTTTAGCAATAAATAAATTTCGTACGATTTTCGATATGAAAGTTTGCGATATTATAATTATAATTCTCCTTTAATAAAATTCTTTGGCATTTCATTAGTTTCTACTGGATAGTGAGCCTTCAAGCTTTCCCAAAATGCAGCACGTTCGGGATATAAATCTTTTTTCATGATCAAAAGATCATTATTCTTTCCATTTTCATTACCAATTTGCATAAAGTGTAAAGGAAAACCTTCAGTAGGAATCCACTTGATTAAGCCTCCATCTTCAGGTGTTGGATCACTAAAATAATAGAGAAAAAGTTTTTGAAAAGTCATCAGATCATTCCGAAGTTACCTACCTATAATAAGCAAATGATACCCAAAGTTTCGTGATAAGTTTCGTTAAAAGTTTATCTTGTTCAGTTGGAATTGAATTGAAAAAATATTTCAAATCTTTTCGTATAGGGAATAAATATTGAAGATCTTCAGCGTGTGATGTTCCATAATAAGCTTCTGCTCCACCTTTGAAAATCTCAGTAAAGCTACACGAGCCTTTATGAGTGAACAAATAAACGTATGTCGCTGCATGATTATCGCTGGAAAAACGAAGTTTAAGGTAATCAATCATAGCATGGAAGAACCAACCATCTGTGTATAAATTAGTTAAGTTCTGTTGAGTATGCAATTTCAATTTTTCATTGTTAAAATAAAAATCATTGATTTTCGTTGTAATCGCTGCTTGTTTCTGATCTGAATAGTGATTGTAATAAAGTGAAATTGGTAAAGCACGATTCCAATTCTTCAATAAATCTCGAGTTAAATCATCATTGTAAATTAAGGCTGCAGATTTCATTGCTCCTTCTTCTGATGTGATTCCCGTCATCCATGGAATTTCATTACCATGCATATTTGTCGTAAATCGTGGATTTTCAGTCAAGAAAGCGTCTGAGTGTGGACCTTCAATAACAGGAGGGAATGGAACCATTTGATCAGTATCCCATTCGAAGAAATCATAAAATGCTTCAGTTATGTTGAAAGCTGGTACATTACGAAGACATTCAATCATTTTTTGATAATTTGAGTCTTCAAGAGAACATCCCATCATTTCTCCAAGTCTTTCTGCTCTTGTTCGTGCAATATTTTCATGAGCAACTGCTCCCCAAGGAGCCAAATTTGTTCCTGATTCAGAAATTCCTCGATGAAAAAGACCTTTTGATAACTTCGAATGCATGTGATATGTGACAGAAGCGCCACCAGCTGATTCGCCGAAAATTGTTACTGAATCCGGATTTCCACCAAACGATGCAATATTTTCTTTAATCCATCGCAGCACTTGAGTTTGATCTTTCAAGCCGAAATTTCCCCAACAATTTTCTTGTTCTGTTGATAAGAAACCAAGTGGACCAAGACGGAAATTAGCTCCAATATAAATGATATCGTGATCAAGAAGATAATCGGGTCCATAGAATGGTTTGATTCCACTTCCACACATGTATCCACCACCATGGAAAAATACCATCACTGGTAATGGTTCTTCAACGACTTCAGGAGAATAAACATTCAAATACAAACAATCTTCACTTCCTTCAACTTTTAAATCTCTTCGGAATGGATCACGTTGAATACATATGGGAGGGTTGTCATAAGCTTTCAAAACATCATCCCATGGCTTTTTCTTCTCCGGAGACTGTTTGGAAGAACATGAAATGAGAGAAAATTGATTGTAAGATGATAATTTGAGTTCGTATATCTTAAATTTATGATTAAATGTTGTCGACATATTTAATGGTTGTCTTTTGCTAATAAGAGATAAAAAAACGCAAGTTGCCACCTTTTCAGAAGTACTTTAGAAACAAGTTTATTTTATTGTTAAAAAATCTATCTTAATAATCATTGTTTAAACACTTACTTTGAAATTATATCTTTAATTCCTTTTAAGATTTTAATCTGTTAAACAAGTTGTAAAGATATAACTTTTATTTTCGCATTCTTAAGGAGTTATTTAATTATATCTTACTTATATGAGAAAAAGTTTTTTCAAAGATTAATAAACACATCTTGACATGCAAAGAATAATTTTCTAAACGTTAATACAAAAATAATAAAAAAGATATCTAATAATTTATCTACTGGACTTCCATTTTCTTCTGTTAATATTTACAAAAATAAGTGGCCATAAATTGCAAAATTAGTATCCAGAAAAACTATAAATATCTATTCTTGTTAGTTAACTTCTTAATTATCTTGAAGAAAAATACTTGAACTCAATACTGAACAGACGAAATATTTTCTAACCATAAGTCACTTTAGAAACAAAATTTCTCCAGTCAAGAACATAAAATCTGGTCCATGATCATTAGCAACAGAAAAAAGCGAAATGATATTTTGAAGTCATTCCAATTAAAAAGAGATAAATGATTTGAAAGTAATATATTATTAAATGCTCTCAAGACGCTTTGATTTATGTTTACAATTGAGAAAATCCAAGAAAAATATTTCAATGTATTTACCAGATACAAATCTACAAACACATGACAAGTCATTTATGTTAAATAATTTATCTACGTGGGACTTTGATTATTTTTTCTATAAAAATTTTAACTTTAAAATGCTATTCTTTCCGACTTATTTTGTGTTTTCTAGATAAATAAATATTAAGATCGTCTGTGTTAATATTCATTTAAAATATAATTTAAATGTTGATGATAAATGTAGGTCATTAATAGCAACATTATTTAAATATTTCTTACAATTTTTAACACGTGAAAGTCACATTAACTCAACATTAGTTTGTAAAGTTCATGGCCCAAATGTGATGCATGGATACATAAGAAAAAAGAATAAACTTCTGAAGGTCATAACTACCTTGAATCTTAAATTTCCTACTGGAGGTTCAGCGTAGGGAACTCCCATCCAAGCACGGATTCCCTTTCCAGAGTCACTTGTTAGATATCGCCCCACTAATCTGCTTCCATCATGAAGTTGAACTTTCAATTTTTCTGATGTTCTTGCAGTAACAATTGCTGTTAATGTTAAAAATAAAAATGAAATCTTTAACATTGCAAGTTTGAGAGACCGATCACTACAGAATTGTTTGAAAATCAACGCAAAACTAAAATTTTGTTGTTTTGATTCTCTTTTTAAAGCCTAACAAATTTTTTAAGCTAACTTGTTTTCACGCACACATCAACGATTTAACATCGCTCTCAACATTTGAAAACTCAAAAGGCTTCTCATTAACAACCAAACACAGAACTTTAGAAACTTGAGATAGATTTTTTTGTAATAAATATTCGATTTCGATAATGACGAAAGTTATTCAGATTGAAAATGCTTCATTCATATTACAAAACTTGACTTGAATGATAACTTCTGCGGATATCTTGAAATATTAAATAATTTATTAGATATGTAGCTATTCTAAATGTCTGAAATTTAAAGGAAAAGAAGAATTAATGCTTATTAAAAAGTGAAGTTTGTTTAAATGTATTTTTTATTTTGCATATTCATGAATACAAGATGATTCTTGAAAATAACTTTTTCATTAATTCAGTTGAACTCCTGCCTTAGGTTATTCTTTATACGTTTTAACTGCTTCCGGTCAAAACTGTGTGTCAATAAAATTTGAGAAAGTAAAAATATTGGGGAAGGTTTTCATACCAAAATCTTAAGATAAAATCAATATTCCAAGTTAAATGTCTTAATCTTCTTCTTCCTGATCTCGTTTCTTATCTTTCTTCTTTTTCTTTTTCTTCTCACTTGTCGGTTCAACCTTTGTCAATAAAAAGAAATATTCATGTTAAAATGTAATCGTACTTTAAATAAAAATTAACTCACAATTTCATCAGCAGTGATTGAAGCATCAGCGATACTTGTATCTGGAGCTTCTTCATCCATTTTCTGTTTCTTCTTTTTCTTCTTCTTTTCTGTCGTTGAAACGTCCATTGAGGTATCTGCTGTTGAACCAACACTTAATTTTCGTTTATTATTCTCATCGCTTGCTCCATTCTGAGTTGTTGCAGCAGTCTTCGAGTAATCTACGTAACCAGTCAACCATTCTTTTGGAGTGTTTTCATTTGGCTTTCCATACTTATCAAGTTGACCAGCAGCTATTAATTCTTTCTTTTTTGATGCTTTCGGTCCCATTCCCCACTTTCTAGGATATGTGTCACGTTCCATGATAACTCGCTTCAATTTTGCGCAAACGCCATGGTCACAACTCGCCATTGTTGCTGTTGTCATCAAAGCGATAGCTAATGCAATAGCTTCACCTTTTGTTGATACAATTACGATTTCATCATTTAATTCAATTCCATCTTCATAACGGAGAACACCAGGAAGCATTACTTGGGCTCCATAACAAATGGCATTGACCTGAAACATAAATTCAATAAAACTTCTGAAGGATTTTACTATAAAATTGAACTTACCGTGCTATCTTTGACAATGATTCTCTTGTGACTAATTAAAAGTCCTTCAAGTGGCTTAATAACTCGGTGTAATAACGATTCATCCTTGTGATTTTCGTAAGCATATTGAGCATCAAGAACATCATGCATTGTGACCATTCCATCGTTTTCTGTTTGTATTCCTGAGCGAACACGACGCAACTCCAACATTTGTCCTCCAACACCCAACACAAGTCCCAAATGAACACACATTGTTCTGATGTAAGATCCAGCTTCATAACTACCCCAAAAGACTCCCATGTTGCGAGTCTCATCGTAATCAAGTAATTTGCTGTCATAACAAGTTCTAACACGCAGTTGACGTTTGACAGCAGAAATAAGAGGAGGACGTTGGAATAATGCACCACGAAGCTTATCTAAAGCTTGGTGAACTCGTTGAACAGACTCAACAGCTGAATGTAATTTAAAGACAGCAACATACTCCTTACCAGCACTTTGTTGACTTTTAACCAATCTGGTTGCTCTATCAATACAAACGATAAGACAACCTGTTACTTTGGGATCTAATGTTCCACTGTGACCAGTTTTCTCAACTTTGAGAATTCGCTTGATCCATGCGACAACTTCATGTGAACTGGGATTTGATGGTTTATCAAGATTTATAAATCCAGTTTTAATATATTCTTTAAGTGGTCGATTCAATGGCGATGCTCCAAATGGTAATGGCGTATAATGATTTGTACGAATATTAAGACGATCAAAGTTCTTCAGAAGTAAAGGCCAGTCAGATGTGTCTAATTTTGAAATAGCGTCAGATGGTTTCAATTGAAAATCGCCTGATTTTTGAATCTCTCCCAAGTTTTCAATTTCTTCCTTCCCTTTTTTCTTATGTTTTTTCTTCTTTTCAACTGAAAGTTACAAAGATACTAATAAAGATTCAAGAAATATTAATATTTTTAATCTTACTTATTTCTGCCATTATTAAATTTAATTTTTTTTTTGTTTGATTAAGTTTTGTTAAACCGCGTGTTTAGTTTCTTACACTAACACTATTACAAACATCTTTTCGACGCCGGTTTTATTTTGTCGACACTAACCCATACAAAAGAAGTGTTTTGTTGAAATCATCTAACTAAAATCATAAATAAACAATCGAGCATAAGTATCTAGGTATGTAAAATATTCTCTAGAAAGAAAAAAATGGGCAAAACATCTAAGGATAAAAGAGACATTTTTTATCGTCTTGCTAAAGAGGAAGGTTGGAGAGCAAGAAGTGCTTTCAAACTGAAACAAATTAATGAAGTTTTTGATATTTTGAATGAAGTAAGAATTTTGAAAAAAATGAGTCCACAATAAATGAATTTGGTATTTATTAACTCTCTCCAATATTCAAGGTAACAAGAGTAGTAGATCTTTGTGCTGCACCAGGTAGTTGGAGTCAAGTTTTATCAAAGGAAATTTATGAACCAAATCCGAAAAAAGAAGATGTTAAAATAATTGCAGTTGATCTTCAACCAATGGCACCTTTACCAGGAGTTATTCAACTTCAAGGTGACATCACGAAGCTTGAAACAGCTGAGGCAATCATTAATCATTTTGGGGAAGGAAAGAAAGCCCAGCTAGTGATTTGTGACGGTGCACCAGATGTTACAGGACTTCATGACATTGACGAGTATATTCAAGCTCAACTGCTGCTGGCAGCATTAAATATAACAACCCACGTCTTATCACGGTCTGGAACATTTGTAGCGAAAATCTTTAGAGGCAAAGACACATCCCTTTTGCATTCTCAACTCTCAATTTTCTTTAAAAAAGTGGCAATTGCAAAACCAGCCAGTTCTAGGAATTCATCGATCGAAGCTTTTGTGGTGTGTCAAGATTATCAGCCACCCGATGGTTATATTCCACAAAAAATTAATCCAATGGTTGATGATATTGAAATTATCGCTAATGAAACCGGTTCAGAAGTGAATCGCCAAATTATCCCTTTTATCGTATGTGGTGATTTACGTGGATACGATAGCGACATGTCCTACCCTCTTGATAAAAAATATGTTCATCTTGAACCTGTACAAAAGCCAATTGATCCAGCATATAAAAACGTTCTTGAAAGATTAAGTCAAATATCTTTGAAACATGAAGGAATTTCAATTGAAAAGAAATAAAATAAATCTCATGAAAATTTCACTCTCTGAAAATGTTTCTCTTCTTTGTTTTCGAAAATAAAATTTTGTGAGAGTGAAGTTTGAGATTTTGCTGAGAAAAAATTATAAAGTTTTATATTTTAGTTTTTCGTTTGACGCGCAAGTGAAAGGACGAGTTGTTCAATAAGGTTTTCTATAAAGACCTTTTAAGAAAAATATTTCTTTTTGGTTTTATTAGTGTCGTTGGAATTTAGTCTGAGCTTGGACTTGTGAAGACAGTAAGGCGAAAATACATTTATTTAGATAAGTGTCTACATCAAGCAGCATTCCAACATCTAGAATCTAAGAATCGTCACATCTGGAGTTTCACTTGTGTTGATAAAGACGGTAAAGACATGAAAAGCTTTTTAAACTAAAATCTTAAGAAGCCCTCAGGGAGAAGTCGAATGTTTTCAGTTCAGTTGAAATACAGAAGTTGCGACGATAAGAGGTGATGATAAATGTCTCTCTGTGCGGTATTAAATCGAGTTAGATCTCGACACGCTCAGTATATATTGATTTTATGCAAATTCGTGTCTCCGTCTCTTCTATTGCCTAAGTATCTCTATGTTGCTATTTATTGATTTCTTCAGTTCATCCGATAAACCAATGCATAGTCGAGGAATTTCCTTAAATAAAACTGCAATAAAATTAAAGTTTTATTAACCTTTCTAGTCGAAACACGTTCTATGTTCTCCTCAAGGTCTTGCGTGCAATGTCATGAAGAAATATTTATGTAAAAGGCATTCATGATTATGCAACCTATTTATTTTTCACTTCGATGAAATTACCTTTAGTCGGTCTGCTCATTTTAAATATATTTCAGACAAGAAAACGTCATGATTTCACAAAAGTTTTCATGAGAAATGTCAATGTAGAATTTTTTTATTCCTATTTTATAAAACGGAACTGTTATCATACTTACAAAATGTTGAAAACTATTCTATCAGAAAAGCTTTCATGACGCACAGACCAGAAGCTCAAATGTTACAAAACTAACAAAAAAATTTTTATGATTTGTAGTGTTTGCTCTTAAATTAGAAATGTTGCCATAAAAATCTCTTTTTAGGACAACTGACATGGAATGAATCCACTTAACAGCACTATCTAACAAGAAAACTTTAAGAATATTAAAGCAACCTTATTTTGTCACATCGCTGTTATATTTATTTTTGTAAGATCTGATGCAAAATACTTTCTGTCATCCGATCGATACTATCATAAATTATAAATAAGCTACAAAAGAATGCATACTCATGACATTTAGGTTTGAAGACGAGATAGTAAACATTTATGAGTGAAAAATTTTCATGAACTTTCTTTTTCGTCTCATTTAATTTTCTTACCATGGAAATTTATTATGTTTTTCAAGTGATTTCATTTTATAGCTTTCCAAAGAAATATAAATGTCAGAAGTATTTATAGCAGCAGTTTTTCAGAAAACAAAATTAAATATGGAAATTGATAACTAGAATTTTTAACTTATATAAAAATTTAAGAATAATTTTATTCTTTAGAGTAATATCTCTCCTTATTTTTCACAAGGAAAAAACACGTAGATATTTCATTTTCCCATAGCCAATTTATTTTTATGTTTCTTCTGTTCTTAAGAGACAACGAGATAAATTGAAAAGAAATCGAAATGAGATTGACCCTTATGGTTATAGAGTGAGAAACTTTTATAATTTAAGTAAAGTCGGTAGAAATTCTAATTTGTTCAAAATTGTAAGAAAAAAGGACAATTGCGTGGTAACAAAAGCGTTTTGTTACATAACATAAAATGTCAAAGGTTAAATGTGTCATGTTATGAAACTTCGAATTCTTTTGAGATTATGTAATTAATCATTCTGGTAACGATGGTGTGACCCATTAATGCAACTGTATCACTGCTTTTCTGAAATAAACAATATGAAAATCAAACAGGGGTTGTGAATCAATTGAAGGCTGAAAGTTCAAACCTTAAAAATTAATGTGAAGTTCATAAATCGTAAATAATTCCCAATCGTATGTGTAGCTCATATAGCCACTGATGAATTTAACACTCTATAAACCAGTAAATATATGAACACAAAGTTCACGAGTCGAAAGAATCAATATATTGTAAAACATAAATTACAAAAAGAATTAATTTAAGCTTAATGAGCCTTTTGTGATAAATAACAAGAAGAATTTAATAAACATGTAAATGTGAACAGTTTGCAAGTTATCCTTTCAACCCATTAAGGTCCTATTTTAATATGCTTGAAAATTTTCATACCACAATCCTATATAAATAAAATCCAAGTTGATAAGGATCTCAGAATAATCATATCGTAATACATAATTGATGACAATCTGCTTTCATAAAAACGTATATCTAAACATCCGTCGTGTTTCTTCTTATTTAATGATGGTATGTACCCATTTTGATGTCTTGTTAAGCAGTAAAATACTCTCGAACCAGCATTGTTTCATTATGTAAACATAATTTTCTAGGGTTTGCGTCCCTAAATAAATTAATGATAAAAACAAAGCTTTCATGTTTAAATAAATAATTTATAACAAGAAACCTTCATACTTGTTTTTCCATATTATCTATTATTTGATCACAATTTCTGTTTTCATTTTATTAACATGTCGAAGCTTTATGACAAAGTTAAAAACTTTACAAGCTAGAGGATAAAGAAAAGAGTGCAATATACAAATTTCTACGTATTATCTAAGTTTTTCTTTTCTGTTCGAATCTTTTACAAAACGAGCAGTGAACAAAAAATGTCAGTGTAACGCTAAAATATAAAGTTTCATGACCTTTTCTTCTTCCTTTTCTGAAAACATTTTCTTAAATCAACTTTTATGGCGTTATCGGGCACGTTTTTAAAGAAAAGTTATCAGTATCTTCGCAATTCATATTATTTCACTTCATCATGATGCTCCTCTATGATTTTACTTTTTGTTGATGAATTCTTTTGAAATATCTTGTTCTTAAGAAGAAAGTGAAATCTTTATTTCTTCAGGTGAGCGCATGTGGACTGTTGCTGGGACACTTGGAGACTTTTCTGATATGTAATCTTTTTCTTTCCTTTTTTTCTATTTTTCATTAATTAAATGTTTATTATAAGTATGTTACATTTTTAGCAGTCTTGATTACTTATTTCATTAATTTTTCTTATTAAATTGTGAACCATAACTTATGGTGAATAGGAAAAATATCTTTCGAAGACGAATAATGTTAGAAAGCTTTTAGATGTGCTATGAATATTTAAAAAGTAAATAAGAAGCTTTAATTGACATTTTTGTTTTGCTTCAAGGAACGAATAGCATGGGGGTCAAGAATTTTAAAAAAGATTTCTTTCATGACTTTTACACGGTACAAAATTTTCATTAAAGTTCATTCTTCATTGTTAGTACTCAATTGCTAAATTAAGAACTCATTCAAAATTTCATTCACAGAACGCTTCAATAACTCATTCATTCATTCGAATGCTTTTTTCTATTATCGATTTTCAGTTGTTCACATTATCCACAAATTCACATTAAAAATTCATTCTGAAGGTCTTAATGTTGGAAGCAATCAAACAAAATACATTAGTTCATTCCTGATAATAATTGTAACGATAGTTTAATGATCCTCAACGAGCTTCAACATCGAGCATTCATATTGAATAATCTTCTGAAAGTTCTTGACACTCAAACATTAGATGAGCTTTCGATAAACATAAAGCGATTTCTTAATCTTATGTTTGTAGTTGACGAACTGTGGCTTAATTGGTATAAAGAAGAAAAGAATTCTAACTTCTTTAATAATAAGAATTAATGGCCCATGGAGGTAATTACAGTCTCTATATAACATACAAATATTTATTATTCAGGAAGCATTTTACCCTGAAATTCTATCAAATAAAACTTTTTGGGATTAGAAACCAAGAAAAAAAATCTTTTGGAAAACTTTTGCTTATCTAACAAATTTTTTATTTTATTTAGAAAGTATCTTTTTTCAAACTTTTAACATTTTGTTTTTTATTTTCATGACAAGATTGAAGTACTTTCTGCAGAAACATAATATGATGATATCTTTAAGCGCTTTCAAACTAATTTAGATATTTGATTTGAAAGAAAGTGAAACTTAGATATGAATTGATTAATGTCGAGCAATAAATTAAAATAAAGGATTCTTAAAGATAATCGATCAAAACACAAGTGAGGTGGTGACAACTTCATTCATTTTCTTTCTTTCTTTCTGTTTTCTTTTCTTTTTCCATTTAAATCTCTAGAATACAACTGGGGATTGTGTGACGATATGTCGTGACGAATCTAGTTTTCGATCACTTGAACGGTAGTTGCTGTTGCTTCGTCTGTTATTTTCTGTTCGGAAGCTTGTTCGACATTGATTTTTTCTCCTGAGGTCGTGTCAAGTGCTTGTTTCTTAGCTGGGGAACATTCAACGTCACTGTCAGTTTTCTTACGTTTGATAAGATGAGAGATGTCTGTAGCTTTTGGCTTTTCAGCTTCCGAAATTTTCGATGAAGAACTTGGAGCAGCTGATGATGAGCTTCCAGCCCCAGAACTTTCACCTACAACTCCTGGTCCAAACATCTTTTCCAATTCCTTCTTGACATGAGCAATTTCTTCTGCTTTTGTTTCGCCGATTTCAGCGATTTTATTGAGAATTTCTTGTTGTGTTTCTTCCAAATCTTTTATCGTTGCCAAGACGTCATCTGTTTGCTCCTCCTTTTTCTTCTCGACGTTTACTACTTCAGCAATAATATCAGCAGCTTTTTGGAATGACTTGACTGACTCTTCGTAGGCGTTGGTGGCAAGATGACAAAGTCCAATCTTATAATAAATTTCAGCGTTGATTCTTTCATTCTGATCAGCATCTTCCAAATCCAGGAAAACATTCAAGGCTCTTTTGAAGTCGTTTATTGCCACTTCAAAATTTCCATTTTCAAGTGAAATTCCAGCCATTTCAATGTATACATCCATGAGATTGTTCAAACCTTTAGAACCTTGACGTTCGAAAATAAGTGCTGCATTTTGAAGAACTTCCCAAGCCAATTCCAAATTCCCACCATCATCCATTTCTTCGTTTATAAGCTCTTGAACATCATTTGAATTATCGTTTTCCATCATACCGGACGTACATGGTTGTGGCTCATCAGCTGCAACTGCTTCTTCATGTCCATTTACTGTATTTTCACCATTTTCTATTCCGTTTTTTGTTTCTCCTTTTGTTGCGTCAGCTTCAGATCCTATTTAGTTATAAAAAGTTAATTTTTTTGTTATTTAAAAATGAAATTAATAAAATAACCTTCAGCTTCTACTTCTGAATCGCCATCGTCTTCTTCTGCTGGTTCATCTTCAGAATCTTCTTCGGGCACATCAACTATCTTATTTTCATCTTGACCCACAGCAATTAAAGCTTTCGCGTACATCAAATATGTCTCCCCTAGTTCTTCCCCATCAATCCCATGAACTTCTCCAAAAAGCTTGCATGCTTCACTTAAGTCATCAGCGGCATCCGAATAAGTTTTGACATAAAAGTTTCGACATCCTCTTGCATAAAGTTCCTTTGCCTTCGCAATTTTTTCCTCACTTGAAAATTGATCTTCTGGTTTTTCAGCCATCGTTGAAGTCGGTCTAAGAATGTATAGATAATAGAAAATTAAAGAAAAAACTTAATATGACTCCAGATCAATAAACATCATGAACGTTGTTAGTCGAATCAATGTTGATAAATTCGGTACGTGGGCCGTTAACACGTACGGAAGTGAAAACGTAACTGTAACTTACGTAACATACTGAAATATAAGATTTTATGCTACGTACATAAAATATCTCATAGTTACATATTTTTGAAAGAATTATCGATAAATACATTGGGATTAGAGTAGTTTTCCGTCATTTTATTATTTCAGATTGATCCAAAAACATAAAAAGTTGCATGACTAAAGCTTCAAATGTGTCGCATGACTCGGGAAATTCAATTTACCTAATCGTTTATAAAATCTGCAAATAATGAGCAGCCGTCTTTTATATCAAAAAATTCAAAATAATGAAGGATTATTTTCGTATTGTAAATACTGTTTCGAATTGATATTCCTCTGAAAACTTCTCTATCTTGTTTATGCATTTCAAGATGATATCTTGAATATATGACATATGTTGAGAGATTCAGTATGATAGAACAAATATTTTTGGACCATAAAAGAATCCAATAACGAAGTAAATTTCACGAGGAAGTTTTAAATTTTCTACTCTATAAAATATTTCTTTTTTGATGCAAAATAATTTTTAAGCGCTCTTAATTCAAATGCATTACATCTTATGGAATTCACCTCTGAATTCGTTTTATGTAATTGACAGCTCCAAATTGATATCCTACATTTTCATAAACGATTTCTATCAACACATGAATATAACATTTTTAGAAATATTTACCAAATATATGTATATTGTTTTTTTTTTAAATTTTTTCGTTTCCCTTTAACTTTTCTTTTTCTGTTTATAAAGTTTGAAATTAAGAACTATGAATAATTAACGAATCGAAGCGGAGGAAATACTGAAAGGTAATGATCCAAAATGATTCTTTTGCGAGTACATATTCTATGCTATTAAGCGATACTCGAAGAGAAACCGACGAAAATTTTCGGTTCTCTCAGCATTTTATGTTCGAAATACAAAAAGAAAATAACGCAACTAAGAGAACGTTGACTCTTTAGTTTCGTTCTATCATAGCATTCGAAAGGATGTGAATATTTCCGCGTTTAGAGTTGCTGTGAACGAGCAATCATTAAATTGTTGCTCCATCCTTTTAGTCGTTATTGTGGCGGGCCTCATTTAATATTCAAGTGAGAACAAAAACATTTTTATAAAAAACTGTTTCCCTCTCCTCAAGCTAATTTATTTTCGATTTTGTGGAAAACAAGAGTAGAAAAATATCTTGAATATCTTGCATCTGTGATTTTAAGCTTTTGATTTCGAGAAAGAAAATGCTTTTTATGTGCCATCAAAAGAATAGAAAAAGACTACATAAGAAAACGAATCTGAAATCTCTTTTGAAAATAATTGGAAGAAAACTAGATGAAGTGAAGCTTCATATCCAATTTGCCGACGTTTACATTAGAAAGATTGAGAGTGCCATAAATCATCTCAAGCTTTCAGAAATTGATGTTTCAGACTTAACTTAGAATTTCCTACGGGTATTTTAATCTTCAACAGTCATATTTCACCAACAATAGACTTGTACTCGAGAAAAACGGAAATCGATCTCATGCAAATTTGTTATACTTTCTGTCGCTCTTGAAAACTTTTTCACTGTTTGAAGGCTTGTTTCTATTGATTTTCAAAGCTTAGATGTTTACATTCAATGAAATGAGCAAAAATTTATCATGAATAAATGTGAATGAAAAAGAACAAATGTTTATGAAAATCGAATGAAAATTTGTTGCATCATCTTTGTACATATACGTTTATCATCCATCCATTCATGACATAAGGGTTGTTGAATGACGCATAATTTTTTCAAAAGCACAATTTCCCAAAACCTTACTCCGCTCATATTTAGATATTTATGACAAAGGAAATTTAACTTGAAGGATGAACCTCAAAAGCAGACGGGTGATAATAAAATTTAAGGTTCACCTTTTTTACATCATCGAGTACGTAAAGTGACGTACTGAAATTTCAAAAACATGGGACGAAATGATATATCACAAAGCATCGTCATAAGCACATAAAATCTGAGACATTTCGCAGTGTCAGATTCTTGATTTGTGAATTTTATATGCGTTAGAAGAAATAAGATAATTTATCTCTGCTGATTAAAATATTTTACTCTGATTAAACATAAATCGTAGGAAAATTTAAGCGAAAATTAATCCATAGCCATAAAATTTTGCAAACACAAATATCGTAAATTTTACAATTAAACTCGAGGCAAATTATTATCACATCACTTCAAAGAAAATCAATAACATTGATAGTGCTGTGAGTACTTTCGTTGGGCGGTTTGGAAATCTTCACAAAAATATGTAATGGGAAAATGTTGATTATGCAATCAATTATAGTTTCACAATGAAACAAACTTTCATTCAATGTTTTTCTCTAGACAGAAAAGCGCCACAAAAATTATCAAAGAGCATCCATAAAATTCTATGTTTATACACGAATTTGTTTTCCATACAATGTATAAATTTGGAACAGCTCAACAAGATCCGACAACTAATAAAAGAAAACGAACAAAATAATGTATGCTTAGTCTCGCATTCCTTCATTCATATCGCTAAACTTCGATGAACTTCCACAATAATCTTTTAATCGTTAAAATTTTCTTATCAAGCATAAATTTTCCGTCAACACGCTAATTTCGATTCACAACGGAACATTAGCTTCATGGCAGCAAGTCATTATTCAAAAACATTTGTAGCAATATCAGAGTCTTCATTCATTTGATTTCGCTTTTTCATTTCTCCAATCAGAGTTCTTTTCAAATGGCAGAAAATTTTTCGAAAAATATTTTGCGAGGGTGGTGAAATAAAATTGGGTAAATAATTCAAAAATTCACGAAAATATTTACTAGATAGCGAGAGAATATTGAGCTTATATGTATATCAAATGAAATAAAAAAGTCTTTTTCAAATATTGATTCAAGCAATAAATAAATACCATATTTGTTTCAGATCCAAATTGGAAATTCGCTTTTTATTTCATCAAGAACAATTTCATTCAATTAAATAAAAATATACATAAAATAAAGGACTAAATAAAAGTGAATCACCGAAGCTAGAAGAGAGTTGATTTCTGTTCAAAGTGCGTTTGCTTTACGAGTGAGAAATATCAATTATTTCAGTATTGCTTGTAAAGAAAATCCATCAAGATACAGTCGAGTAAATTAAAACTTTCGTCACAGCCAACATTAGCAGCTGTTCCCAAAATGAAGAAAAAAGACACAGATTTATGACTCATAAAAAATCGCGGCAGCGGTAAAGTGAAAGTTACAACGCGTTGTATCGTTGTGCCGCCATCTCCAACACAACATGAAGCCGAAGATAATCCCACAGATTATAACATAGATGGTAACAATAATAGTAATCTCAGATCACCTTTATCACCCTCAACAATCCCCAATAACTTATTCAATGCTCAAGACTCTTGCACAAGCGAATCCAATGACATCGAATCTCATAACTATGCTAGAAATCGCTCAACTACCCGAAGCTGGCCTGTCATTTATCGCAACAATTCCATATCCAAACAAGAAAATTACTTAGGCTTATCGAAGACCGAACAACTGCAAGGCAAAAATGATCTCAAACGAAAATCTACTCATCAATATGATTTTGATCAAATATTTGGCTTAAATAATGCCAATTACCAGCAATATCTGGCAGCAACGATACGAAAGCAAAGTAATTGTGACGTTGGATGCGATAAATCACCATCCCTCTATGACATGCAGAATCCTTCACAAGAAAATGCAGAACAATCTCCATCTGGACCACTATGTAACGCTCCACCGACTGTTGTTTTTCTTTTGCTTACATTGTTTATGACCACAACAGCTACAGCTATGTTGTGTGCAGCAATCATGACTGACCATTGGGAGAATGTCGTTTGGGATAAAGAAGCTCTTACAAAAATTGTGAATCAAACGGATTCATCAAAAGTTACTAATCAACTTGAACTTTTACTCGAAGGGAAAGCTGCAAGATTGCCGTTTAAAGGTAAGATTCATTGGATTAATTTTGTATATTAAAAATCTTTTTAAAACTTGCTACATAAACATTTGACGATTGAAAAGCTTTCTCTCTTAAAAAGCCACTCAAGATAATCGCATTTTGAAAAGATTGTTTTCAAGTTTTCTGACACTTTAAACAGCATTTGAAAGAAAAATTTCTCTTAAGTACAAACACGATGGGTTGGCGTAGGAGGAAATTAGAACATTAAGAATACTATTCATCGCATGTTTTAATAAGTTTCTTGTTCTGCCTGAAGCAAAGCTGGCACAGTTTTTTATATGAAATGCAGAGATTATTCCCATTGAGCAGTAACTGGTAAGAGATGAAAAATAATATTTGGAAAACGAGATGGAAAACAATAAATCTTAATGCGAATCGTGATGGTCGAATAATATAAGAATTGTTAAAATTTTCGTTTCTTTATTTTCACAAATCGTGAAACTTTATTATGTCGGAAACAAAAAAGAAACAAAATTAAATGAAAATGTGCTCATAAAAACCAAATAAATATCTACGCGCTGTCTTATACAGGTAACGACCGTGGCGGTGTTTTTCTCGTGCCAATGCATGGGGGAATTTGGACGCTTTGTATTAACTTGCGAGAGGATGAAATAAGAGAACTAAGCAAGAAAGGATTCCCATCAGTCAACATGTGTTTCAATTATTTGGCTGGAAATAATGATAACGGACGCTCAGGCGGGGGTGAGGAACCACGTGCTGACTGGCAACATAGTGAGTTCCAGACGTCAATTCATCCTCATTTAAGTAGGTACAACAAAAATGTGTTGAGTGCTCTGATGAACTCATAAATTTAAAAAATGTTTTTCTCTAAAATCTAAATGTTTTCCAAACTTTTATATTCAGCGATTTGAGCTTTTATTCTCAACACAAATAACATAAATTTCAAAAATGTTTTATTTTCCTTGAATAGACTAAAAATTTATTAATTTAAGGTTCCTTTGAAAACTTTTTTTCCTTTTCTACCTATCTGGAAAGAGCATAATTGAAAATTTTGTTGAAGTTATCGGAAAAATTTGACACCAGATGGAACGCATTCTGTTGTACCAAAAAACTATTTTGCACATATTTTGCTTTAAACTTTTTAAAGAAAAATAATGTTGAGCTTCTCAAACAAAAAATTTAAAAACAAATGTAGATGGAATGTATGTAGATATGTAGTTGATGTTTTTGTGCAAGCATTTTCTCTTTGTGAATCTTTTATTTACTTAGTCTCTTTAAATTTTTCTGTCGCACGTTCATGTAGACTACTTATATCATTTGAAAACGAAACTTTTGCGTATTAACAAGGATAGCGATGCTTCACTTCTCTTTTATTTCATATAGAATGATAATAGTTAAGGTAGTCTTTAAAAGCAATTTCTTTAAATTGTCATAATTTGTTTTAATGTACGAATGTGCTGTTGTATTTTCGGCCACATTTATTGAATTGATGATCTTTTTGTATAAGAATTTTGAAATTCTATTTTTCTATAATACGCAATAGGAATGCAGAATTTGTCTATTTCCTGCGCCCTTGTATGTCTAATTATTTTGGGATCAGCTGCACTGATTGGAGCTTTCGGGGTTTGTCAGCGCCAAATAAGCGCTATTTTAGTCACAGGCGTAATGTATTTGTTAGCAGGTGAGTTATAGGCACGAAATTTTATCTCAAGAGATATAAAAGCTTAATAAAATATGATTTCCATAAATAATCAATGGCAAAACATTAAAAACGTTTACATTTATTTTCAGCTCTCTTTGCACTGTTCACGTTAATGATAATTCATTTCAAACGACAAAAAGGAAAACCGATGTTGGATAGTGATTATGATGGAACTGTTGATGGACTTGTAGCTACACGAGGATCGGCACGAATGGCACAAAGCTTACTTGGCGCCAGAATTTTTAGCACGTCATGGAGTTTAGATTTGGGATGGGGAGGTGTAGCGTTATGTGCATTAGCGTCATTCTTTTGGATTTTCTTATCAAAACTCATGAGATTTACACCACTGTCTCAACTTTTAATGTGAAACAATGTGTCATAAATACATTACATATAATCAAATATCATCGCGTTATACTGCACACTTTTAATCTTTCTTGTAATGAAAGCTAAATGTGATTTATTGTACTGTGCTTTAAGCCTTAAATTGTAGAAATAAAGTTTTAAAAAGACATGTTGTTTATTAATTATTTTGAAACTCTAAAGCCATTAATTGATTTTTTCACTGAATACGACACTGGCTGCTTTTATCTTGGCATTTGTTTTGTTTGATGTACAATAAATTTGTTATTATTATTTTCAATAAAGAATAAAATTAAATCTTCCTTTGTGCTATTTCTCCAAATGATAATTAGAATATTCAGCTGTTATATATGATAAACTATTAAAAATCGAAGCAAGAATATGATTGCAAATAAGAAAACGAAAAGTTTATATTGAAATTGTTTCATTTAACCTCAATCAAACCGTAAATTAAAATTAAATAACTAAATTCGCAAGCCCTCACTTGATATTTACTTACCTTTCAATTATCAATTGTTCTACTGTGAATTTCTGCTTAAGTAATGTTTTTTAATTGACTTTATTTTGTTGAAAATTGAAAAAGTTGTGGCGGTATTTAATTTGTAGAATATATTGTTGATATCACACACTAACACAACTAAAACAAGGCGCGAAGTTTGAAACATGAATGACGTTGAAAATTTTTAATTATTTTTTGTGCAATAATATTTGAGCTGAAAGTAGATATCTATAATTACAAACTTAATTTTAATTTTTGTTTTTCATATCTTAAGTTAATTTAAAGGAAAATATTAGGAAATATCTACACATAATGTCTTATAAAAATGAGACAATAACTTTTAACAGTTTTCGACTTAATTTTTGAAATTTTAAAAGGGTATGAAAGTACAATATTTTTTTTATTTTTTGAGGGAGATGTTTAAAATCTTTCTTTTCTTTCTTTACTCTCAACGAAGTAAGACATGGTTCTTAAAAACTTTTAAATAAAAACGTGGCTTCTTTTAAATATATAATGTAAAACATAAATTACACGATGGAAAATGATTTCCAGAATAATTTAGTTCTTGATAAACTACCGGAATTATCTGATGAAAAAAAAAAAATCTTGGAAAATCAAAATTCACGCATGGTTTCTGAATTTCATGCTAAAAAGTTAGAAATTCAAGCTTTAAAAAATTGGGATCTGTTTTATAAACGTAATGAAACTAAATTCTTCAAAGACCGGTAAGATTTAACAAAATTTATCATCGAATATTTTAATTACATATTGTACACAATTTAGGTTATGGACTACTCGCGAGTTTGAAGAACTTCTTGATAAAGAACAAACCAATACGTGCGAAAAGAAGATAATGCTTGAGGTTGGCTGCGGTGTTGGAAATCTCATTTTCCCCCTAATTGCTGAAAAATGCAATAATTATTTCATCTATGCATGTGACTTTTCACCTCGTGCTATCGATTTCGTGAGGAGTAATGAACTTTATGATCCAGACAATATGAAAGCATTCACATGTGATATTACTACAGAAGATATCTTCAATGAAATAATACCTGAAAGTCTCGACATAGTAACAATGATATTCGTTCTATCAGCAATTCATCCAAATAACTTTCAACAAGTTGCTCACACACTTTACAAACTTCTCAAGCCGAATGGTTTGTTAATGTTTCGTGACTATGCCAGATATGACATGGCACAACTTCGTTTTAAAGCAGGAAACAAAATTGGTGAAAATTTCTATGTAAGACAAGATGGAACGAGATCATATTTCTTTTCGTTGGATGAAACCAAATCAATGTTTGAGAATGTTGGCTTTGATGTTCTTAAAAATAATTTCATCGAAAGGAGAACAATAAATAAAAAAGAAAATATTAATGTCCAGAGATGGTTTCTTCAAGGAAAATATCGTAAACCAAATAGGTAAGTTAATGAAAATGAACGTGAATTTCTTAGACTATTTCTAGGATGAAAAAGAGTGTTATGACAAATCCTGATTATTAAAAACTCTTTTATAGACATGTATTAGCTCTAACTGAAAACTTCTTTGATTTAAAATCATTTAATATTTAACGTTAAATGAGTTTAATTCTAAAAGTTTTCAATGTTTTACAGATGACGAGTACAGCATGGGGAGCTTCTTGGCCATTCGAACAAATTCATAAAGAAAGGTAAGACAGATTTTCAAACATTCTATGTTGTCAAATAAATGATGAATGTTCTTAATTCAGCTGAATATCAACTGTTGAATTGATAAGAACGGCCAACTGAAGAATAATTTCTTCAAATCTTTAACTCATTTTTTGGTGATAATTAATTTATTATTTTTTCTGTTTCAACAGCATTTTTCATCTGCTGATTGCTCATTACAGAAGATCAATATGAAACATCTGAATGGAGGTAAATATTTCAACATTATTTTCTTTTTTGTTTACTTTTGTTATGATGATAATAATTTATTCTTACTGAATACCTCAAACAACCCTGGTGACAACAATTTATAAAATAAAAGCCAAAAGGATACTGATTTTTAATTCAATTATTATTAGTTATATTCTTATCAAATTTTGTTTGATGACTCATAGGTTTTTCTCAATACTTTTAATTTTAGACTAGTCCGGAAACAATGTGGCATTGACTAAATTTCAACTTAAACTCAAAAGCATCTTTCAGTCCCAAGGTAATAAATCTTCATAATTTCATGGCATTTTTAACCGATATTTCGATGATGATCAAATTACGCTTGCTTGTATGAAATTCAATGATTTTAAACATATTTCTCCATTGCCAAAAGGATGCTGATTGAAAGCATTTAAGCGTTAACTATTTATTACCTGATGTCTACTAACTTTTTTTTTCTTCTTGTTTAAGATTTTAGATAAGACATAAGACATTTCCGGCATCAATTTTAAGGTGAGTTTATTTTTTTTAAAGATTTTAATGACCGAGAAATATTTAAAATGATGACGCATAGTTCATATGATAAACCATGATCAAATCTATAAGATTTATAGCAACTATGTAAAATTATGGTCTTTCGCTCCTATCTGACAACAAATATTTTCCCTTCAATTTCATGTTTTGCTTTATTTATAAATTTTTGAATGAAAAATATCTTTCCTTTACAGATGCATTTCTTGCTGTACTTAGACGACAAATAGAACAACTAAATACTTGCGTCGAAGGTAATAAAATGTTTACTAGATAAATGTCAATAATTTATCGTGATGACTTTGCTCTCTTGAGCTCCCTCTTCTGAAAACGAACCCCAAATATAAAATATAAACACCATGTTGAGGCATATTTACTGATAAAACTTGTCATACGATATCTCAGAACTCTTTTGATAACCAATCGATTAAAAAACTTTTATTTTTTTCATTCTTTTTTCAGTCATCTTACCAGATTAATTGGATTTCTTATGAATAAACTGTAAACAATATTGAAATATGTGAAGTTCAATAAACTAAAGTTATTAGAAATAAACTGTTTTAATTTACTTGGCACATTGTTTTCATATTACAGCAAATCGATAAGAAATGAGAATTAAAAGAATTTAAATTACAAGGAAAAATAGTCGGGAGGGGAGTGAGTCGTTTTATTGCGATTCTAAATTCCTCAGCGTATCTTATCGAATTCGCGATAAATTACATTACTTAATATCAACGACGGGGAAGGTCAAAAAAATTGATAGATAAGACGATCGTATGATTTTCTATCTACTGATATTTTATTATACATCATATCGTTTAAATAAAAAATTTTCACGTAGATTAAGTAGAGCAACACGTCAATGACAACGCATTGTACTCGCGAGAGAAAAAATGTTTGGTTTCTCTCAAAGATTCGCACGAACTGAACAATAAAGGGAAAAAGTCGAATACGTGGAAGATTTGAGTCCGCAGTTTAATTTTGCTCGCCGATGAATTCGCATCGTTATACCCAGTGAAGAAGAATTTCATATGAGGAATAAGATTTCACTCAAAAGAAATTAGATTAGAAGGAAATTTATATCGAAAGTGAATAAAATAAAAACGTCAGTGAAAGTTTTAGAAAGAAGAGAAGTCAAAAATAATTCTATGAACAATGGCACCAAATAATAATATTCCAACGATCCAGTTAACCGACATTCCAAAACCTAAAATAGCTGTAAGTGAAATCGGTGACACATATCTAAATAAAATTAAGAAGATGAGCGAGTATGAAGTGAAAATCGAAGAATGAGTCAGTGATGAATTATTAAGTGTTAAAATATGTTTTGAGCGATTAGAATTTTTTATCTAAATAATATCCATAGGGGTCTGAACCTCGTGATATTAAAGTTTTTCGATAAGAAATTTCCGTCTGACAAGTGGAAATTTTTATTTTTTTCGATTTAGAACTACGAAGAAAAAAATTAATAATTCACTCGTTCAATGGCATTTATTCGCGTTATGAAGCAATTGTGCAATCAATGTTCAAGAACAAAAGCATTTTTAATTCTATCGTTCATTTACTTCGAACTTCAAGAAATGAAAATTAAAGGCGATTTGCTTGTCGATTCCATTTAATGCTATTTTGATTTATGACCTTTAACACGACACGCATTTGATAATCATAAATCGTAATAAAAACTACGTTTGCCGATTTATTTGTAATTTTTGTTACACAATCCTCTGATATCTATTTTTAGAGTTGAAAAATTTTTGTTTTCAAAAATGTTTTTAGCAAAATTTCCTGGCATTGAGATTTTTTTATACTTTCTGGTTTATGTGATAAATGCCCACAACTGATAGTAACTGCGAAACATGTTTCAAGAATAATAAAACTTAAAAATTTCTTTTTTCTTAAATAGACTTTGTGCAAACCTGCACCGTACTCGACTGATCCTGAAGCAATAGCTGAACGTGAAGCATGCGATTATTCGCAACGAATTAATGTGGATATGGCGAGAAATGGAAATTGTCCACGAAAAGTTCGTGTTTATACTGATGGTATTTATGATCTTTTCCATCAAGGACATGCCCGTCAAATGATGCAAGCCAAAAATGTTTTCCCAAATTCACAAGTTTATCTCATCATCGGTTGCTGCAGTGATGAATTGACTCATTCACTAAAAGGACGAACGGTCATGACTGATGTGGAACGTTATGAAGCTATTAGACATTGTCGTTATGTCGATGAGATTATTCGAGATGCTCCATGGAAGATAAGCGATGAATTCATGGAGAAATACAAAATTGATTTCGTTGCTCAAGATTCGACGCCTTATGTTAGTAATGGTTGCGATGACGTCTACAAAGAGATTAAAGAGAAAGGATGTTTCGTTGCAACCGAAAGGACTGAAGGTGAATTGATAAATATTTTTAAATATTTAATGATTCTAATGTTTTCTTATATTTTAAGGTGTTTCGACATCTGGAATTGTCGCCAGAATTGTTAAAGATTACGACTTGTATGTACGAAGAAACCTCCAACGTGGATATACAGCCAAAGAACTCAACGTATCGTTCTTGAATGAGAAGAAGTTCCGACTTCAGAATAAAATTGATGAAATGAAGCATAAAGGAAAGAAGGTCATCGATGATGTCAAAGGAGATTTTATTCAAAAGTGGGAAGAGAAATCAAATGAATTTATCAGAACATTCTTGATGCTCTTCGGGCGAGACAACTTGAGTCAAATTTGGGATAAATCGAAAGGAAGAATCAAAGACGTCATCCGTCCAAGAAGTTCAAGTCGTGGATCGACTTCATCGAATGAAAATTTTGACAGTAGTCAAACGGATTCTCCACCACCTAAGAGATTTGCTCGTGCCAAACATTATTCCATCACTTCAGACGAAAGTGATGAAGAAACATTTGAAACTGCATCTGGTTTTCCATCAATTTCTTTTAAGATACCATCACCATAAACTTCAAACTATGTACATCATCTCTTGTTCATCCTCGTCGTTATCATCCGTGTTTCCTATTATTAATATTTTCTGTGATAAATGAACCTTCGATGTTCATAATTAAGAGAATTGTTGAGTTTTGAATGATGGAATATTTTATGGGAAAATTTAGAGTTTCAATTTATTTCGTAGTGAAATGGTAAAGTGTAAATTCATTATACGATAGGACAATTATGTTGTGCTATCAATATGCAATAAAAATGATTATTTAATATACTAAAACTATTAGATATTTAATAATTTTAAGGATTATTAAGATCGCCGTGATCTACTTGGTTTCGATGAGTTCAATTTTGGAATATTTAGTGACATGGAATGGTTAAATAAGGTTCAATACTTCTACTTAAAGTCTTGTTGTTTGGTAGTTAAACTTCATTCTAAACTGTACAGAGAGAACATTGTGTAGATATTTAAAAATTGTTGAAAATGGAAAACGATCAACATCAATAAGTTTTGTTCAAATTCGCTGTACATGTTATTCAAAAATTAGGTTGAAAATAAGATCCTGGAAAAGTTGTACCTATTTGAAATATAAAAATAATGTATCTAAATATCTACATTATATTTTAAATAAATAATTTTATTCCAATTCTTAACTTTCGATTGAAACATTGTTTGTTTTTCAATGAATTTCTACAATTTTTATTATTAGGTGTTTGTTTTGTTTTATTTTTAGCATGAAAGTTTTTTCATTTATTGCTACTTTAAGAGCATATTAAACGTCTTTTAATTGAATTAAAGCATTTTTTTTCTTTAGTGTTCATAAACCTTTTTTTTCTTCATTTTCTAGTGACTCAGATAATATGGTTAAGGAATTTATAAGTGAACTTAACAGTTACAATAAGCGATAAGTGATTGGTAATATAATTTACACTAAAGAGATTTGTCTTCTCATTTGTCGTCTAAATCATTAGAAAACCTAATTTGAAAATTCGCCGCAAGTTATCTTTTTTTAAGCATTCTGCTTCAACTTCTTTTAAGAAAATATAAAAATTTTAATTGCTAGAACACGACAGAAATCAAATTAAATCAGCTAGGAAATCTACGAACAGTACAGTATCATTCATGTTTTCAACTATTTGAAAGATATTCTAGATTTTTAAAATTCAACAGATCACTAGCGAGCATCTTCAATGTCCATCTCGGATGGATCTAGTGAAGCCCAGTGATGGAAATGTTGTTGCTGTTGGTGATAAAAATTCTTCATCCTCATCATCGTCTGATGTCAACGATAAATGATGTGCACGTTTAGCTGGTGGTGAATCATGTCTCTGGTCACGCTGATTATCGTAGTGATCTTCCTCAGATAATGACGGACTCATTCCACGAGTTGGGCTCCTTGGATGAAGAGCATCTTTAATTCTTCCTTTCGATTTATCCCAAATTTGACTCAAGTTGTCTCGCCCGAAGAGCATCAAGAATGTTCTGATAAATTCATTTGATTTCTCTTCCCACTTTTGAATAAAATCTCCTTTGACATCATCGATGACCTTCTTTCCTTTATGCTTCATTTCATCAATTTTATTCTGAAGTCGGAACTTCTTCTCATTCAAGAACGAAACGTTGAGTTCTTTGGCTGTATATCCACGTTGGAGGTTTCTTCGTACATACAAGTCGTAATCTTTAACAATTCTGGCGACAATTCCAGATGTCGAAACACCTTAAAATATAAGAAAACATTAGAATCATTAAATATTTAAAAATATTTATCAATTCACCTTCAGTCCTTTCGGTTGCAACGAAACATCCTTTCTCTTTAATCTCTTTGTAGACGTCATCGCAACCATTACTAACATAAGGCGTCGAATCTTGAGCAACGAAATCTATTTTGTATTTCTCCATGAATTCATCGCTTATCTTCCATGGAGCATCTCGAATAATCTCATCGACATAACGACAATGTCTAATAGCTTCATAACGTTCCACATCAGTCATGACCGTTCGTCCTTTTAGTGAATGAGTCAATTCATCACTGCAGCAACCGATGATGAGATAAACTTGTGAATTTGGGAAAACATTCTTGGCTTGCATCATTTGACGGGCATGTCCTTGATGGAAAAGATCATAAATACCATCAGTATAAACACGAACTTTTCGTGGACAATTTCCATTTCTCGCCATATCCACATTAATTCGTTGCGAATAATCGCATGCTTCACGTTCAGCTATTGCTTCAGGATCAGTCGAGTACGGAGCAGGTTTGCAAATTGTCTTAAATGAAAAAAAGAATTGGAATGATAGAAAATTTTGGAAAACGAGAACTAGGTATCAACACAAATAAATTCACATCATATTTACGCTGATTCGGAAGTTAGTTTTGTCAGACAAAGTTAAAATAACATTGAAATACATGAAATAGCATCGTACGATCGAATCATAAGTTCAAAGTTTAATACGACTCGTTTAATGCATTTGTCTGCTTACTTTTGCGTGTTTTTTTTATTTTGTTTGCCTTGGATTTTCTTGTCTGGTTTCATTGATCAAATATCAAGAAATTACATAAAGTTCCGGTGTTTGATGACGTAAGTGAGAATTAATCATTGAAATTTTAAACAAATTATTAATGATCATCCATAATTAATGCGTGAGAATTGAACAGCTCATTTTTAAAATGAATCAATAATTGTAGTAACCTACTTTTGTTTTTGTTCCAACAATGTGACAAAAGTTCTTGTTTCTATAATAAGTCATTGCAACATTTTAACTTACAACATCATTTCCTAATGGGACATCTTTTAAAGAAATATTCGGAACAATGTTATTCGGAGCCATTGTCTCTACACTTTAAATGTTTTATTAAATGTTGTATTCACTTGATCCAAAAAATCTTCTTAAATTCTACTTATATTCGGATATAAACACTTCGATTAGAAGCTTATAACTAAAACATTCCATTCCACGTATTCGATTTTCGTTGCTTTTTCTTCATTTTGAGAGCAAGAGAGCAAACGAAAACTTTCGAGAGAGTAAAATTACGTGCGAGCTTACAAGCAAATTTACGTCATGCAAAAACGTGAATCTTTCTTAGCAACGCGACTTTTAATCAATATCAGATGATCTATTAAGAAATCATCAATTTCATATTTACAACACTAGATCTTGATCTAACTGGTACCTATTTGACACGCATGGACTTGATGTATTTTCTAATAATTCTTATAAAATTTAATTAAAATTTTTCTTAATAAAATATTTCAAAATTGTCAGAAATTCACATTTATATTCTTACTTTTATGATAATTGTAATATTACGCTATCAATTGAAACATGAATGCGCATTAGTTGTGCAACTTAGAAAATTTTGATAAGATTATAAGAATATTAAAAAGAAAATTCCTGTACAACGACTTTTCTAATTTTTTTTGGAAATGTTAAACAAAATTTTCTCCTATTAACAACTGTCTGACAACACCCGAATATTCATGTTATTCGTCATTGTTTTTTTACTTTTTAATACCAAGTCAAAAATAATTTATTTTGGTGATCAAGGTCATGTGGTTATTTCACATCGTCAATTGCTCGCCTTATCAAGCAAACATCTAAACGCGCTTAGTACGTAAATACTAATAATACTTTTTACTTTCAAGTAACATTGCATCATTGCGTTGAGTTTCATTTTGAACTCACACACTTTTTTAAATAAAAGTTTCTGATTGAATAATTTATCCAGTTTTATTGAAATTTGTCCGCCTACAGAATTATTTTCATTGTTTAACTTACAGGCCGATTTATGGGATATCTAATGTAATATTGATCCGATTTCGTGTCGTTATCTTGATAACTGTGATCTATCGAACTGTTGCTTCCGTTAATTACAACATTCACCTCTTCAAGTGAAGAGCTTAATCCATTATTTGGCGTTTCAGTTTTCGAAGCTTCATGTGATCGCTTTCTTGATGTCATGATAAGAATTCTATGTGGAACTTTTTTAGAAATTTATCTGAAATCGAAATAAGTAAATTAACCATTAATAAAAGTTTTCAAATGAATTTATAATTCAACCTCAGTTGATAAAACACAATAAAAGTGATATAGAATAAATAACTTGCTATTATTAAACTCAATTCAGAAATGAAATATTTTGCCAATTCACACTCACTAAATTTCGCGATTCAATTTATTTATTAAACGAAAGAAAATAGATTCAAAATGAAAATGAACATAAGAAACGAAGAGAGTCGTCATAAAAATGCCAATTTAAATTGATTTTGTTAATCATTCAGTTATGTAAAATAGAACGAAAGCAGAAAAATTTGTTGAAATTTGTCGATTCAATTTTTTTTGTTTTTATATTTGTAGTTAAGCCCAAAAATGTGTTAATTCATTTGTTATCTTCTTCTATTCATTAAAGAAACAAGGAAAGTTATACATCGTGTGCTAATTTAATAAAAACTAAAAATATAACACGCCACTGCTAAAATTTATTATCATGAACTCTCATCTAAACCTTAACAAGTTTACTCAATCTTCATTTTATTTTGTAAGAGAAATGACGTAAAACAATAAATCTATTCAATTATGAGTCACTTTGCAAACTGATCTTATAATAGCATGTTGTACGCTCTTGTTACATGAATAAGTAGTAAATATTAGATATTCATTCACTTCATCCATAAGATTAATAATTTATTATTACTAAGTCCGAACTTTCTATTATTCCGTAACTTTAAAACTTTACTTACAAATTGAAATCCGATGTGAAAACAAACACCGGTTGGTTAATATTTATTTATGTTTAACGGGTAATTTTTGTTAGGTCTGATCACTTGTAAATCTCGAGTCTATATGAGACTGTGACGCTACTAAAGGGTGATTCCATGCTCAGAGAGTCGAAAGATCAGCTGATATTTTACTGCTCGTGTTCTCTCAGCGCATGTGCGAAGATTTTGTATGTTTAAAGTCTGCCGAGAAACACTATGTAAACGTCAGCCACATGTTAATGTTTTAATATGAAACTTGTCTTAAGTATGTTCAAAACCGGCGAACGGCTTTTAATGAAATAAAACTTGAAAAGTTCTTCGTGTCGTGCCCCTAAAATTCTCAACCAATCAAAAGTCATTGAAAATATCGTACGATTGATTCTCTTGAAATTTTTCTTTTACATCGTAATATTTAAATACATGAAGGGATCTCATGATGAAGGAATCAACATTTTGAGAACTTTTGTTATCAACTTTCATTTCATGATGGTTCATGAAACTCTAGCAAAGGTTATCGAGCTCATGTGTTTGACATTTTGAGATCAACATTTGAATGAATGGAAAAAAAGAACTTAAATATTAATGTTGCATGTTTCGATACTACATTTCTACTAATCACATGCACAGTTTATTAGAAACAATGTTAGTGTTCAAAAGTTTATTCGTTCTTCTAACAATTTCAACAATTTTCGCATTTAATTTCACAAATTTTTTGAACGATAGCTTTTACGTTTTGAAAGATGAAATTGAAACAAGAGAGATTCAAGATGATATCATCGATCTCATCAGTTCTATTTTAATTAAGTTTAAAGTTTCAAAGGTTTCTATCATCACAGATTCCATTTACAAAGGCCATCTTATAAACACAAACTTGATTGACTCACTTGAATATAAAATAATCTTTATGATGTCGATAAAAGATTCGGAAGCGTTTGACGAAAAGCCATCAGGAAATATCGAGACAATGTTGAGGATAATGAAGCGAGAAATTATCGATGCTTATGTAATACTTATAACAAATGGAATACAAATGTCTAGCTTTTTAAAATTTGCTGACTACTATCGCCTACTCAATTCACAAGCGCTAATTATTTTACTTCATGATTATCGTCTTTTATCGCCAAATTTTCATTACCTTTGGAAGCGAATTGTTAATGTGATTTTAATAAGAAAATGCGAGACGATACATAAAGACATGTATGAGATTTTAACTGTTCCGTTTCCAGAGAAGATTCGAGAAATATTAGTGTTAAGCACAATTAATTATTGGTCACCACTGAGAGGATTTAAATGGAAACATAAAATCTTCGACACAAGAGCGAAAAATAATCAGTTAAATGGTGTCGAATTAAATATCGTTGTTTTGGAACATACACCAACTGTTTTCAAACAATTAGAAGAAAATGAGACTATTGGATATTACGGATTAGAAATTGATTTGATAACTACACTTAGTTCTGTGATGAATTTTTCAACAAACTTTTACGAATCAGAAGATGCGATAACTGAAAAGTGGGGAAAGAAAGTTTCACAAGCGATTTTTTCAGGGATGCTTAATGAAATGGATCAATCACGAGCCGATATTGCAATCGCCGATCTTCATTACACAAGTTTTAATCTTGATATTATGGATCTATCGCTTCCCTACAATGTTGAATGTTTGACTTTTATCACACCAGAAACACTTGGCGATAATTCATGGAAGACTTTGATTCTTCCATTTAGTTTTGAAATATGGATCGGTGTTTTGACGTCGTTAGTTTTAATAAGTAGCATTTTTTTCATGTTTTCAAATGTTTATTTCTTCGCTAGAGGGAAACCCACTGAAAAACTTCAGTACTTTATTAAAGATCTTTTCGACGAATTCTCAGCTTGCATCCTATACACATATTCAATGATTCTGGTAGTTTCACTTCCACGATTACCATTTCGTTGGTCTATTCGAGTGTTAACTGGATGGTGGTTAATTTATTGTCTTTTAGTCGTTGTGGCATATCGTGCGGCATTGACCTCAATTCTTGCTAATCCTCAGCCTCGTTTGACAATTGACACAATAGAAATGTTAGCAAATAGTTTGCTTAAATGTGGAGCTTGGGGGGAACAAAATAAAAACATTTTTCTTTCATCATCCGATCCAGCATCTCAAAAAATTGGGACTAAGGTCGAACACATTGACAATGCTGATAAAGCTGTATGTATTTACAATAGCAAATTTTTATTCACGTTGATTGTTTTCATAATTTTTTTCTTAAAGATTGAACAAGTCGCCCAAGGAGAATTTGCTTATTTTGAAAATCGATTTACTTTGCAACAGCTTCGAATGCAACATGAGCAACAAAAGGATTCTATTCAGAACCTTCATATCATGGATGAATGCGTAATTAATATGCCAATTAGTATTGGTATTGAGAAGAATTCACCATTAAAAGAACAAATTGATAAGTTTATAAGGTATATAATAGAAGCAGGGTTAATTAAGAAATGGTTGATGGATTCTGTGAAAGGTTTTGAATCGAATACAGAGTCTCAACCCGAAGAAGCTTTGATGGATTTGAAAAAGTTTTCTGGAGCATTAGTTGCCCTGGTATGTGGCTACGTTTTTGCTATACTTGTATTTACTATTGAAAAGTGTTATTGGAAATTTATTATTGAGAAACATCCCTATTATGACAAATATTTTAGAGCAATTAAATTGCCTAAGATCAAAAACACAGAACCACAAAAAATCACTAAGTCAAAACGTCCAATGACATCAGATAAAAAAAATCACGCTGTTTTAAACTGAACTTTGTATTCAGTCATCTGTTTTAATCAAACCGGAAATTATGAAAAGATGATTGATACATCACGGATTCTTAAATAACTTTAAGCACGTGTTTTAATGGTTTACGCTTCAAAAGGCAATTTGAGAAGAAAATATTTGTGATTATTCAATGTAAAATAAGGAGAGGAAAATCAATACAAAGCCGCATGAAACTTAAGAATTTTAATCTTGCTCACAACTTTAAAACTAAATTTCTTTGGAAACAACACAAAGCAAGTGTGTAGGCACTTCCTAAATGCAAATATTTAATAAAATATTTTTATTTACCTAAAACTTCAGTTTTCTTTATATTTTAATGTTAAAGTGTTGATTAACTTATTTGAAGTTGAACTTATACTTCACACTATTTGTTATGAAACTTATAAACACATAACCAACATTTACAACTTGAATAAAGCTGAACTTTTGTATTTATAAAAACACAACAATTCGCTACGAAAAAGCTGAAAAAATTCGTAAAACTGTTATAAATATTTGAAAACTATTATAAAATAAAACCGTTAATTTTTTTTCTTTTTAACAAGAAAATTTAAGATGAGAGAAATTTGTGTTTATAGGTTCTCACTTTTAGATATATAGTGGGTTTTGCATCCCAAAACAATAAAATAAAAAATCAAAGTTAAATTGGAGATGGGGAAGCTCCACATGGGGAGCTTCAAATTATGCATGCATAATTTTAAGTTACTCCGGCCGGTGTGGAGTTTCCGACTGTCCATGGACCTTCCGACTGTCCATGGACCTTCCGACTGTCCATGGACCTTCCGACTGTCCATGGACCTTCCGACTGTCCATGGACCTTCCGACTATCCATGGACCTTCCGACTATCCATGGACCTTCCGACTATCCATGGACCTTCCGATTATCCATGGACCTTCCGACTATCCATGGACCTTCCGACTATCCATGGACCTTCCGACTATCCATGGACCTTCCGACTATCCATGGACCTTCCGACTATCCATGGACCTTCCGACTATCCATGGACCTTCCGACTATCCATGGACCTTCCNAGAGAAATTTGTGTTTATAGGTTCTCACTTTTGGATATATAGTGGGTTTTGCATCCCAAAACAATAAAATAAAAAATCAAAGTTAAAAAGGAATTTTTCAAAACTTATACATAACAGCTGATATTAAGTTTTTATTCATATTTACTTATTTTTCAAACATTTGTACAACGCTTAGAAGCCACTATCTATTTTAAGATTAAAAAGATTAAAATATTCAAATGTATGATACATAGATAGTTAATATTTATATTTATTTAAAACTCGTTTAATCTAATGACTTCATTATAAAGTGTCTGCGCAGTTTTAGTTTGCCTTGCCAGATCTCTGCTAGTATTAAATATTTTTGAAGGCATTTGATTATGAGTATTTGGCTGCGCATCTTTGAAAATCAAAGGAAATGATCCAATGGTAATTGGTATTCGAATGCATGGAGTTTGGTGAGGATCATCAACAGTTGCAGATATCTTAATCATATAAGTTATTTGAAACACTTTGCAATTTTGTTCATTTGAAGGATTTAACATTTCGGGAACCATCAGAAACTCTTCAAGTTTTGCACTTTTACCAGATTTAACTCCCGCTGCTAACTTGTAATCCAATCGATACTTTTCAGTCTGCTTGCATGTTGATGGATAGTCGAAATTGAAAGTGTGAAGGCCTTTTAATGTGATTTTTGTTGATCGTACATTTACATGTGACTGATTATTCAATTCGATAGTAATCGGAATTTTTTGACCTGGAATATATCCTGTGTAGGGAATCGAGGCTGACATTAAAAGCGGTGATGATCCAAGACAACAGATAAAGAAATAACAAAATGTCTTCGTGATTTCTTCCCGTTTGGGATATTTCAGTAATGGCATTGCATTGAGATCTTCATATCTGATAATAGTCAAAGGAAGTCTAATTTCCTTATCAAGCTCATGTGGAATGTCAAGCACAACTTTAATTCCGTAATATATTTCACCGTATTTCCCTTCGGTGCTATAAGGAATATTACTTGGCAATTCATATTCAAAAGTATAAATCATTTCTCCCGGTTCTACCAACATTACCATGCCGTGCTTTTTCCCAAAAAGATCTCGTACATAGTGAAAGTATTGCTGTTCTGCAGAACATCTTGTTCTCCCAACGTCCATTTGACATTTTGCAATTCCTTTTATACGAAGTTGTAATCCTGGAAAAATTCGTAAAGAAAACAAAAACAAGAATGATTGTCGTACGGTATTGATCTTAAATTCAGACTTTAAGGCGCCAGTTTCAGATAGATACATATAGGATTGAATTTTTGTTACATTTATGTTTGAATTTTTTTATCTACCTCTTAATTCCATTTTTATTGGTAACGTAAAGATGACACGTCCTATAAATGACATTCATGAATAACGACAACATTACATAAAAAATCACCAACAGATGTTGCATTTTTTTAATAACTCAAACCTGTAATCAGTTGTCCTGGAGCGTAAATTGCATTTTGATTATTGTCCAATTTTAAAGCAAGTTTGCAATTGATTTCGCTCATAACTTTTTGTTTTATGTTTCCTTTTCGTGACTTTAATGTTCACTCATTCACGTCATGTAATGCTCGAGAATAGAATCCAACTGTCTTTGATGGTTTAACGACACAAAAAAAGTGGAACAAATCATAAAAACAATGCGTGTGCGTAGAAAACATCTCGGTAGATGGAAAGGATCCAAAAAATATCAATAACCCAAGATTTAATTGTGTAAATAAAATTTATTTAAATCAAGTAATTTCTATCCTCAATCATTTAGTACTAAACATCTAATGTAAATGAAATAAGTATTTATACAATAATTTTGAATCAATAAGTGTTAATTTATAAAATAGGTATGTCTCTCTTTAAATATTATAATCTTACAATTTTTTAATTTGTTTGAAGCAAGTTTTGAATGCTTTGCATTAGAATTTGTTTTTCTTTGTGACGTAACATATTACAGACCCCATTCTTTTGATTATAATTATAATATCTTCGAGAAAAAGAAGAAAATGAAAAGTTTTGAGATGATCAAAACTATTTATTTGAGCTGATCAGAAAATTAAAATTAAAATTTTGTAAAGTTAAATGAAATTAAATATGCGAGCTTGTATCTTCTTCCTTTTCTTGCAAAATAAAGTGTGCTTTATGGCAATCATCAATGAGAGAAAGAATATCGTAAAGTAGAGCTTTCCTTACGTATTAGGACTAATATCTAACATTATAATATTTATTTAACTTCTTATCGGTTTTCTCACAGAATTATTATTCATTTTATATTTCCTTTCGTACATTTGTTAAATTTATTATTCGTTAAATTACAGATTAAAGGAGATGGATTTTATTTCGAAGGGATTTAAAAGGGATGAAAAATTTTTAAAAGCTTGGGAAATTGTATTTATGTCAATATGGAAAACTTTTTTATTTTTATTTTTTGTTTCATTTTATTAAAAGAGAAATTTTACACCAAAAAATTACACCGTAAAAAAAGCTTTCGCTGCATCGAAAAGCTTTGCTTGATGAAGGCGTAATCGTCATCACATGTTTTATTTTTCTTATTTACAATGAAAATAAAGTAAAATCTCAGCATTAATCATAATCTACGAGTTTCTTCGTAGTACCTAAATATTGGTTTAATCCATCAAAATTTCTATTGTCAATGACAGCAAAAGGAAATCCATTAAAGAAAAGAAAACAAAGTTAATGTGATAACAACCTTAGGAAATGTTCGACAATGTGGTACAAGAAACTTGACCACATTTTCGTAGTTATAAAATTTCATGCACTGAAGCATTCATTATGTATTCATGAAAAGAACTCAAAACATTTTACGAATCATAACAGACTGGCTTGAGATCATTTATAAACTTATCAACCTATTATTATGTGTGGTAATTTTTAAAGGAAGGTTTTCTTTCTATGATTCTATGATTTTTCAGCTTTTCCATCTGACTTTTATTAAGAATCTATTTCCTTAGATTGTTTTTCATTCGAAAGAATCAAATTCACATTTAAACAGTTTCAAGCTCATAAGAAATTCATTTTCAATGTTCAATAGTTCAAGAAACGTTTTTGAACATGTTTTGTTTGTTTTTTCTTTGAATTGAATATGAAAGTTTCATAAAAAAAACTTCACTTAATAAAAAATGATAAATTTTTAAACTCAAAAAATTTGGATAAAATTATTTCTGATGATGGATTCAATGTAGTAAATATTTCCAGCAAATTCTCGTAATTCTAACTTAGCGGCGAATCTTTAATGTTCTTCTCAATTTGAAGCTAAGAACATTATCAACCTAGAAGAATAATAATTCAGAAAATTAAATAATAAAAATATATTTTATCCAAAATACCTAAAGTTGATAGTCTTTGCAGCTAACAAACGATTTGCTTCGGCGGTATCGGGCAACGGTAATAGATTAAAAGCACTCTCGTTCTCATTATCGGTGAAATCGTGCTTGTAGATCTTTGTGTTGACCTTCATGTCTGAGAATGGTCCAGGGAGAACGAAGAAATGAATGGCCAGTGGGTATTGTGTCTTAGACTTTAGTGTGACCTGTTCAAACGAAATAGATGAGTTAAGAAGAATTTTTTAGAGGTACGGGATCGTCCGGATGTTATGTCACACTTTCTGAATTAGTAAAAGATTTTCAATGTTATAAAAGATCTTAAATTTTTGAGACAGAAACCGTTTTCGAGTAAAGACAAGTGACATAATCAAAGGACGATCCCACTTTGTAAATAAATCATCACCTGATAAGTAATCTGACGATCGTTAGATTGATGAACGTCACGCTGCGAATTGTTGATGATTGCTTTAACAATCCATTGGTGATTGAATGCCGAAAAGCGGGTTGTTTCGTAGAACAATTTATGAACATATTCATCTGTCCGATACGGTTTCATTTGAAGATCTGTCATGGAAAAAGACTTTTTCAGAAATTGTCTCAAAAATTTTCGCAAATCGTCGATATGTGGTTTAAGTTTTTCAGTTGACGGAACAGTTGTTGATGAAACACTATTGGTAGAATTAGTAGCAGGTGTTGTGGGATGGACGGATGGAGAAGCCGTCAATTGTCCCTTTCTGCGCTTTTTCTTCTTCTTTATCGAGTTTTTTATGGTTTTAATAACATTCTGACATCGCGTTACTGAATTTTTATCTTGAAATCAATCATAATATGATGTAAAAAATCAGTCAAACCAGTATCCATCATTTTCTTTTCATTATTTTAGCTACTCGCATATTATGGTCAGCAATTGAGATGTGTGTGCATCGCACATCATCTTGATGATCACATAGGAGTGCTTTGAAACATTCTTAATTTAATTTTTAAAATTTTTAAATAACGAAAATGGTTTTCCCTTGTGAGACTCGAAAATTTTACTTTTTTTTTGATAAATAGCGAAAGAAAATGGATTTGTTTAATTAAAATGCTACATTTGTGTGTGTAACATTTTATTTAACTAAAATCCGCAGTAAAAAAATAATGGAAATAAACTCACCATTGAATGTAATCTTTTCATAACTCAAAAGATCGACGAGGCAAGAGAATAACTTTTTCTCTTCATTGTACCTCGCCTCGCGATCTTCCAAAGCGGCCATGACGTCTGCACCAGATTCTAAAATAAATGGATTGTTTATTTGAAATGTTGATGAAAATAAAATTGTTTGTGTTACTCTTTGGATGAGCGCACGATGCTTCATGTTCTTTTGCTTCATGTGTTGGACCATTCCATTGGCATCCAATGATTGAATATTTGCATTCTGTTGGACGTTCTTCACATTCATTACGCTCATGGTGATCCAAAGATGAGCGTGGAAACTCTTGACTGCAAAACTGTTGATGATATTCCGTAAAGAAATAAGCAAAATGAACTTAACTTGATCGTAGAAGTTAATTGAATAAGTGAACCGAATCAACGAGACTTGATTAATTTGCCACATCGTTGCGCATTCAATTAATAACCGATTGCAAAAATGTGTTCGAAGGTCATACTTAGGAGAAATAAATTACCTGACACTCGCTCGGCAGTTCACTGACGGCTTTCTCAACAGCTAAATTACGTGATGCGTTGTTTTTCGAGATTTCAACCCGACAATTGGGACATGTCGCAACTTGATCACGTAACCTTCCATCAGCCAACAAGTGTGTAAAGCATCCAGCACACATGAGATGACCAAGTTGACACTGAAGGGATTAGAAATGATAGAGAATAAGAGAAAATGATGGGAAGAAATTTTTCGTGAGTCGAAATGTGCTTCAATAAAATTAATTCTTAAATTCTAAGTAAGGTATGCTTTTGTTTCAGGTTAGTTTTGTGACAACAACAAATTACCTACGAAATGCCTAAAAAAGAAATTTCATAACTATATAGGAGAAAGGAAAACAAATGTGATCATGACGATCATGTGTACAATTTTTCATGACATATATTTTTTGTTGATTGATGAAATTATCATATATATTTTTTCCTGAAATAAAAAATTCAAATATCAATAGAGAAAGAGAAGCGACAACTCAGAAGTAAATTCACTCGACAAATGAATTGAAAAAATAAAACAATTAGATAACAAAACAGACAACGAAGGAAATAAACTTTTTCCCAGCTGAACAAGATGAAAACTCCAAAAAGTTATTTTTGACGCCTTTTTTCTGTTGAGTAAAATTTTTCTTTTGTATTTTTCAGACTTTTCTTTTAGATTATTTTCCATTTCTTTACAATTACATTTCATTTCACACAATTTTCTTATTTGGACATTTTCCAAGTTTTTTTTTGAGGAAAAACATTGGTGAGTGACGCAGGCAAAATAATTTACTTATGTCATGTTATTCACTCATCCTTCACCAATGCTTCCCTCGCACATGTCTCAAGTATATCACTAATCTTAACATCAGATAACTTTCTTCTTTATCTTATGTTTATTTTTAAATAAGAGTAAAAACTGAAATCAAACATATCTTATATTTTCTTACTTTCACAGCGGCAACGTCTTGGCCTTAATTCTTTGAGTAAATATTTGTCTAGTTTTTTTTTTATTTATCATTAAAAGAATCTTAAAACCAGATAACGGAGACGGTAAAAAAATATTTTAAGCCTTTTTTTACATCTACGAATTTTTGAATACAATAGTTTGAACCATAAGTCAAGTAATTTTACTATATATTTAAGCTTTAAACTCCAGAAAGTTTCATCTATGAAACAAAACATTTCAGTCAGTGCAAGTTATCGTACATGTTAGGCATGAAAGAAAGTGCATTGTTGCCAGGTTTCATTTATCATGTCGCTACATTTGAAGTCACTGACATTCACCATATGTTTTCTATGGAGCATTTGTTGATAATCATTAACAATGGAAATATAAATCTTTGAAGAAGGAGAAGAAGAGAGAAAACTGCATCGTGCAGTGATGATAAACAAAGCAAGAGAAAATACCAGAATTACCGTTAATTGATTCATCGGAAGAAAACACGTTTTTTTATATTTTACTATTTTATGTTTAACTCTTTCTCTGAAAATACTATAAGTTGGGTGTTGCTTATGATGTGGTGCCCTTGTGGCTCGTTTTGCACCATAGTAATAATAATTATATACATTAACACAAATGCCACCTTTGAATACCTTTCACATTCTCTAAGCTAAACTACAGAAATAAAACCAATATGTGTATAATTTGCGAAACAATGAAAAAGAGTTGAATTAAGTTGTATGTTTACACGTTTCCACCTGATTTGTGAGCTCAAAATCTCAATTTTGTGTTCTTCAACAAACTTTCTTTCAATGCCATTTCGAGATATTTTCTTGCCAACTCATTAGTTTTGATTTGCTTTATATATATTTCGTGAAGATAAATAAATGGATTTGAAAAACTAATTACCTACTTAATGTTTTTAGCTTAATCTATGAGAGAGAATTATATTTATTTCAAATTATTTCCTAACTTTTGACAAATTGGAGAATAAGGAATTTAATTAAGCACCAGCCTTTCTAAAGCTTTAATCTTAATTTAAGATTTGAATTTTTAAATTAAATTTAGTATTTTTTAATTCGATAATTTAAATTTTATAATTGAAAGAATTTGTCATAATCAGGAAAAATTAAGAAAAACCTGATATTAAGAAAAACCTGATTTTTAGCTTAATCATAACACTTTTTAATATCAATAAAAGTAATAGAATTTCATTTTGTTACAAACTAATGTACTACCAAGCTTTCCTTGTCGTTTCATTTAAATTCAACTAGACTACGCTTGTTGACTTATAATGAGTTGCACAAGAATGTGTAATATAATAAATGTCATAGAGTGGAGTAACAATTCTACAATGTACTTATATCAATTTATTTCTTCATTCAAATCACCACAACTAAAGAGCTGAAGTGCATGCAGTTATTTTTATTTTTTTCATTTTGTTTCTCCGATTAGCCTTCATTTTTTCTTCAAATTTAAATTGTATTTCAAAATGTGAGTGTATTATTGCACTTTTCTACAAAAAAAAACTCATCAAATATCATTTCTGACCCCTCCCTGATTATTGTTCAATCAAAAGAAAAACATTTTTTTCTCAATTTACTGCGCCATGCATAAGTTTGACCCCAATAAGAATAAACAACAAATCTTCAATCCAATTCCCTTCTGTAAAGAAAAGTTTCCGAGCATGGTCGTCGCAATACTTTTATCTCAACATTTTTTATTCTCTCACACACAGTTTTCTTTGTTCAAATACTTAATGAGTTAAAATCTAAAACTAGTTTCGTAGCATATTTTTAAGATTACAACTTCCTTCTCAATTGACTCAAGAAGAGCTCTGACCATGCTTAAAATCATTTAGATCTGACTTTGATGAACGCTAATGTAAATATACACACAACATACCAAAACAATAAAAAACATAAACAACGAAGTTGAAAACATTAAATCAGCTGTCTTCAACATTGGAATCAGCTGCAATGTTTTCCCTTTATTTCACTCATGCTATCTCACTCAGGCACATTGTAATTGCAATCATTTGTTATTGCTTTATCTCCCTCTGATTCGAAGCAGCCGATGTACAAAGAAGCACACAAGTAAACATATTTTGTACCTTGAACAAATTTTAGTGTGGTGTATAGCATGACGTTGTTTTCATATATTTTGAATATTGCAAAAAAAAGATTGAAGAGTTATTCCACGAATGATTTTATATTCCCTAAAATTTCATAATCGTTTTTATAAGAAAATAAAACGATCACGCAGATCTTAAAATACGAATCCATAAAAAAAAAGTTCAACTGAAAACTTTAATGATCAACCTTTGAAATTTTTGATGATATCTTGAAACGATTCAAAAGAAAAAACCATTTACTGAATATGTATGAAAATCAGCTGCGATAAGCGATGTTGCCAAGTTGCACCATTTGTTGTTCTTTTCAAGGGAAAAGGGTGTTTCATGGTTTTTTAAATTATATGCGACGCAAAAGATTCCTTGAAAGTTTCTCAAAGTTGATATGGAGCAAGCTATGGAAAAATCGATAAAATACTTTTCGGAGGGGAGGGGAGAAAAAAGGAAGAAATAAGTTTTGAGGAATTGGGGAAAATAGCTTGCAGTTAAAGCTCGCCCTATCGGGAGGATTTTCTCCACAGCGCAAATGTCATAACGAAAACTTTTCCATCATTTCTCAATGTTATCAACCCTCGCTTCATAAAAGTGAGTAAAAAAACTGGGTGAATAGATTTATTCTGGCTTTCCTTTTCATTTCTCGCGAAAACATTTCTTATTCTTATTAAAAATAAAAATATTTAATGGTGATTTATTTTTGAAACCGTATAGCTCTATTACACTTTATTTAGGTCTTAAAAAATGACAATTTTCCTAGATTTTTTTAAGCAAAAAATTCATAATGACATCATCAAATCATTCAAATTTTCCATACATACTTCAGACATTTCATTCTCGATTCATTTCTTTGTGGTGTTATGTAATGCGCAATAATAAAAATAAATTTTCAGTCACAAACACACACAACAATATTGCTTGCAAACACATTCATATACATCGCTTTTCGTGTTCGAAACGAAAATAAAGAGAAATAAAAATGTGTAAATATAACATCGAGAAACTCTCTGCTCGACTCCACCACACATTTTTTTTTGTTTCATTCTCGAACTGTGTTCAAGGAAAAATCTATTACGTCGCAATTTTTTTCGGGGTTTTCTTCTCTGTTAACTTTGAGGAACACGAAATAACTTGCTTTAAACGGCAATGTTTTTGTTTACTTTTTTTTGTAGCTTATTATTATTCAAAGAAAAAACCATAATGACGAAATATGATGAACATTTTATGAAATTTTAAACTGTCGAGGGCATTGGAAAAAGTCATTTGAAGAGACTGATAATTGATAAGAAAGTGAATGTAACAGAAAGGCGAACTTTAAAGTCTGGGCTATGACATAGAAACAAACCTGCTTGCTGTTTTGTTACATAATTTTCATTTTCCTAATAAAAAGTTTGTAAAAAAAACTCTCTGGGGCTCACTATCTATATAAGTGGGAAAATTTTCAAGGATTTCAAAATGATCGAGTGCTGTTTAAAAAAAACGTTGACGATGAAGGCCACTACACGTTACTGTATAGCATTTAAAAAGATAAAATTTTACTTCCTGTGCTGTCTTTGTGAGCCCTCAAAATCATTACGTTCAAATATATCTAAATATTTTCGATGGAACAACATTTCAAGTCATTCACTTTCCCTGCCCCCATTTCCGTTATGCTTCAATTGACGTTTTAACTTTTGTGCTCATCGTGTCAGACTCCCGAATCTATGTCGAAAACAGAACATGACACAGAAAACAAAACACAAAAGTTAGTCAAACAGTTTGTATTAATCGCGACATCCATCTTGTTTTTTTTCTCTCTTAGTTTTTTTTCGTTATTCAAATTCCCCTTTGTTATTGTTTTGTACACGAGACTTTTTACTGAGTATATTTTCTTTCTCCCATTCGTGTTCTTTTAAGGAGATTGGGACAAGCAAGTTTTTTTTTTGCTTTGCTTTGTTCTTGGTGACGTTGTATGATTTGGAAAAGAATCTTTTGAAAATCAGGTACTTTTTTATAAACTTCACAGCCAAAACTTAAAAGGCTCAAGTGAGACCAATTTGAAATAGAATGGCACTTACTTGATACATAGCCGCGCGAGGCAAATCTAAGCAAACGGCACAGCATAAAATTCCACCTAATCGATTCTCCAATTTTTCCAACTTTTTAACTTTAAGCGAACCTATGTCCAACTTTTGACGCTTTTTCTCAGGCTCATCGGAGCTGACATTATTGTCAGCTGTTTGTGATGATGTTGGAATCGAGATCGAAGCAGACTGCTCGACTGGCGATGCCGACAAATTTTCAACGCGTATTTCTGCCGTAATAATATTTGAATAAGAGCTCGTGGATGGCAAGGTCGCCATTTGAGATGTTGCCACACTTTCAGTCATATTTTTTCTTTTTCTTTTTTTATTTCTCAAAACAAAAAAGGGTTTTGCAGAAGAATAGAAAATTTCTGCACTTAAAATTCACTGATTTTTGACGTTTTTCACTTCAGACAAATCACAAAATGCTTAATTCCCTTTACAAAGAGACCAACTATTTTATTTACTCCCTGAAAACAATCCCACAAATGCCAAACAACAGACAAATGATTGAAATGTGAAGAGCAAAATTTAAAAACGTCTGATATCTTCAGAAACCAAAATAAAAATGAATTGAAATGATTTTGTGCATGTATGCCGCAATTATTGACTTGAATTCGTATGTGTTGATGTTTTCTCAATGCTCATTGTTTTGTTTTGTTTAATTTACAGTGGTGGTCAACCTTTTTCAACCTGTAAGAAATGTGTAAGAAATTTATTTTCCCTTTCGTTTTTCTTTTTCTCGAGTTTCAAATTTTCCATAAAATAATGTTTGTTTACTGAATTTTATTTCCAAATAATCACGAGTGCTCTCGATTATGATGTTTGAAAAATATATAACTTTTATTGAATCTTCAACGAGTAACAATTCGAGATAAGTTCGTCAAACACTTGAGAATTTTTCAAAATTATAGCTCTCTTTAAGTGCGTTGTTTTCTTTTAGTTCAGACATTAAACATAAATCATAAAATCTTACTTTGTTCGTAATTTAACTATCTACACATATCTTCATTAGTCATGTTTGCAGTATTTTAAACAAATGTTTATTTGTGTTCGCGAAAAAGCTTATAACCTAATAGCGTAGGCATTGAAAGAACAAAAGCGATTGATGTGTGTTTGTGAGTCGATTGTTTCATTCTAAGTTTTCATTCAATCGCGTTTGGACGTCCGGAAAGATCTGTCTCTTGAACTTTCGCTTTTAAGTATAAAACGTTTATTAAACTAACATAATAATGGCAATGGAGAAGTTTATATTTACCTTCAAGCTTTCTAAAGGATCAATAATAATCGGTTGGACTAAATTAGTTATAGCTTCTCTTATATCGACTACTTTGTTTTTGGGAGTTATCTTTTCTTCGGCATTACGAGATTCACTCAAAAAAATCTTCACATCTGATGGAAACGATTCCTCATTCAGTATGTATAAAAAGAAGAAACTTTAAATAAACTTTTCTACATCATCGAAACATTTTACAGAATTTTATAGCTACATCATTTTGTTGCTTCTATTTTTCATCGCATATGCTGTCGCTTCTTTCACTTTGGTTGTTGGAAGTATCAATGTGAGTAAATTTAAATGATTCTGTAGATAGTTAAACGAACTAGGTAAATGTGAGGGTTTTTATTGCTTTCTATTTTCCGTATTTTTATTTCTGCAGCATCAGCGTTGGAAAGTTCTGACTTTTCTAATATTCGATGGATTTGTAACATTATTAACGTTGTTCTTGTTCTACGTGACGTTTTTCAACTTTTTCGTACTTCTGTTAATCGTTATTCAATTTTACTTGATGTTCAGTGTCTTCTCATACTGGAAACAATTACATAAAGAACACGAAATACGAATTGAAAATCAAGAACACCGTAAACGAAGTCAACAGAATAATCGCAAGGAACCTGTTGCTATTGCGCCATCAACTGGAACTGAAAGTGAGATCATTACAGCTAACGTGTAGATTTCTTTTAACGCTTCTTCTTTTTAAAAAAATATTTTTAACAAGATTTCTACTAACCAAAAGACTTTTTTGTGCCATAAGATAGATTAAGATAGGAACTTCTTAAGAAAACTTCAAGTGAAAGTGACGATGATTTCGTTTGATTGTAAAACAAGTGATGGCAATGATAAATCTAATTTTAAAAATAAATTTAATTTTTATTAAGAAACATAATTACAAGCATTTTGAAGTTTAAAATGTGTGAAGTTTATTAAAATAAAAAAATATTGTTCTTGTCTTAATGTTAGCTTCATTAAATTATCGTGTAACTATTAACAACGAAAAATAAAAGTTTATTGTTTAATCGATTTCGGGTTGATGTTAAAGACATTTGTAAAAAATGGAGGAGTTGGCAAAGTTTTCTGTTATAACAAAGTGAGTGAGCATAAGTAACTGAAAGTATTTGAATCTTCATTATTTTATACGATCTTTAGATGGATTAAGTTGAATGAGGTCAAGAACGGCTGGTTTGTTGGAAATGATGCAATTGCTTACAACCTTGGAAGTCATATTGTATTCATGAACTTAACTACTGGTCTTGAAACATTTTATCGAGCAGATTTAACTAACGGAGATGGCGTTTCATGCTTGACTGGCCATAAAATCTTCCCGATCTTTGCTTTTGCTGAAAACTGCTGGAACGCCAAAATCTTCATTATTTCTTATCCGGATTTTACAAAGGTCTCTATTCTTGAGAGTAAGTTAAATGGAGTAAAACAAAAGTAAAAGTTTAATCGTTTTCAATTAAACTTTAAGGCAAGGGGGAATATATTTTCATCAGTTTAGCATTCTCAGAAACTGAACATCTCATTGCATTGACGGGAATGCCTCATTATAAAATCCAAGTTTGGTTTTGGCGGACACAAGACATGTTGATCAATGAGAATTCTGAACTCATCACTGACAAGCAAAGAATCACCTGCAGCTCATCGCTGCCTTTAACCGTTGCACAGTTTGCCTTTTCGAAGGGAAAACTTATCGTTTGGGAAGTTCATGGAACACAAAAGTTTTGCAAGCTTATCAAGCGAAAGATTTCTCTCGATTTTGACAAATCAGATGGACCATTCCAAGAAGTTTACTCGATTGAAGGCAACATTCAGATTGTGAATAGACATGGTGACATTTACTATGTCATTCCATCGTCCAGATCTGTGAATCTTATAACTAAAAGGAATGGAAACAAAGGAGATTTCAATTCGTGCATTGCTTATATTCGAAATGGAATTTTAGTTTCGGGACCTGATGGAACTTTGAAGTTTTACAAAAGACAGAAATACGTTTGGAATGAGATGTTTCAGATCTCAACATCCGATGCTTTTATCACTCTTAAAGGATATCATGACAATGAGACAGCTATTGGCATGACAGTCGATGGAGGAATATATAAAATTCATCTTTTAGATGGTGCACCAAGTGTGGGTGGAAATAACCGTCTTGAAGGCGAAAAACTTTCAATGACAAAAATCAAATCTTATGATGCTTCTTACTCATTTTTTGCAATGATTTATCCAAAAGGAGAATACTTAGTAGCTGTAAAGACAAGCAATGAAATTTTCTTGGAATCAGTTGAAACTGGCGAAAAAGTTGCAAAAATTAACATTGAAAATCAAACAATTATTCAATCTAATCCTCGATTACCTTTCATCGCTGTTGGCAATAGTCATGGTGATGTGACTTTCATCTCCTTGAATGACCCAAAAGCTCCAAAAGTTTTAACAGAATTTCTACTTAGTCGACGCTCTATTAAGACATTGAGATTCTCGCATTGTGGAGATTATCTCGTTGCAATTGATAATGAATTTAACATTTTCGTGATCAAATGTAGTATCGGTGAAACAATGAACATCATGCATCACTTCAAAGAGAGTTTAAACATCGTTGAATTCTTTGTTATCGCAAGTCAAGAAAAGATTGAGCTTTTGTTACTTTGTTCAGCGAATGATGATTCATTGAATGGAAATCAACTGGTTCGGATTACAATTCTCAATGATGACGACAAAAATATTTTCAAAAACGAATGGAAATTGCCAAAATTTTATATGCAAGTTCTACCTTTTATGATGTCCACGTCAAAGTTCTATGCAATCAAGAATGGTTCTTCTTTACTCGAAATCATTGAAATATCAGAAGAAGATAAACTTGTTGTGGTTGATGTCATTGACACACCACATCAATTGAGACATTTAGAAGCGTTTAATGATGGAAGACATTTGATAACATGGGGAATGGATGGAATTGTGGCTGCTTATGATTCTGACAATAATCATGCTTTGTTAACGGCTTTTGTAGCTTGCAATCGTCATAACTTTGGAATTAAAATTGCACATGTTGATGCAAAATGTAAATACGTGGTGGTCATAGATCAGTCTGGAAATCTCATTTGTTCAACATTAAATGTCGAAAGATCACTAGAATCTTATCAAAATCTCATCAACCTAATTGAAAATGATGAACAAAATTCAATTTATTTATTTTCGCAAGACACTTCTGGTGGATTTCCGGGACTTCAAAAAGAACATATTGGAAAAAAGTTTACAGATCTTAAAAGTGAACAAACATATCAAATGGAAGCCAAAGAATCAGAAGAAACAAGGAAAATACTTTTTGGAAAATTAAAACGACTTCGATCACAAATAAGAAAAATGCTTGACGAGAATGAAATCTGCCCAGAGGATGAAAGACTTGAAATTCAAGATTTTAATTTGGATCTTGTGACAGCGGAACAAAAGGAAAGTAATGCAAGAGAAGATCGCAATCATGAAGAGAAAAAGATGATGGATTACATTGAAGCACAAACAGTATTGAATGACTGGATTATTTCAAAATGTTGGAATCCAATGGAAGTGAAAGGAGCGAAATTACGTGGAATGTTCATAAATATGTTTGTCGACAACTATCCTCTGCTCCCAGAAGTTAAAGATAAAGAAATGGAACGAATCGTGTTATTACGTGCTGTTGAGAATTCGGTTGCTCTTGAAGATACTTTCTTGCCATGGCGACCAATTCCAACAATGTAAGTTAAATTCCCTCATTAATTGTTCATTCATTTCAAAAGATATTTTTCAGGGAATTGGAGAAAGTTTTAGCGAAAGAACCGGGGATGTTTGAACTTAACACAAATGACATGACACAATTTACCGAGCATGTTAGCAACTTAATGGGAACAAAAAGTTATAAGCAAATTAAAGTTTCTCCGCTTCATTATCAACAATTAGATGTTGTGACATTTCACCAAATGAGAATCGAAAAGTTTTTGATACATGTGAGTCATTCAAAATGGTTATGTGGGTATAATAATAAATATTTATTGTTCCATTTCAATTTTTGAATTATCTACAGAAAGAACAAGTGGCACTTAAAAAAGAATTTAATAAAAAATTTGACGCATTGCATCGAATGAAAGAATATCAAATTGATTCTATTCGATTTAAAAATGATCGGCTGAGACATATTCAAAGTGAGATGAGAATATTGGACGAGATGAAAGGATTGAAACTTGAATCGATGCCACAGATTCTTGATCCTGACTTTCAACCAGATGAAATGCCCGATACTGTAATTAATGTTATTGAATCAGAAGTGTGCGTATCACCATATATTTCTCCGAGTTATAAGAAAATGCTAGAAGATCAAGAAGCAGCACGTGAGAAACGTCGTAGAGAACTGGAGGCTGATGATTTTCGTGACCGTGCTTTAGATGCAATGATGGATGGCGTATTAGAGCACAAGTGGGAAGATGAGATTAAAAAGAATCCAAAGAAACCGGATTGTTTAATCAAAAATAAACCGCGAGATGATTTAACAGAGATGGAACTTCGTGATGTAGATGAATACAATCAAAAAGTTAAACAAATACTAACGGAACGGGATAAATATCGACGCATGTTGTATGAAGAGCAAAAGCTTTTACAATCAATACTTGATGATGAAATTCATAATTATAACTACAATCTTTGTAGTTTAATGATGGAAAAATTAAAAATGGACATGGTTATTGAGCAAGAAGAAATGAAATTGCTTTTAATGACACAATACAACTTCCGAAGAGTTTCATATCAGAAGAGAGAGATTGAAATTCGTTTAAAAATGGAGCAAATGAAAGTGACAATTGAAGGTTTAAGCCATCTGCAGGCTGATTTGCAAGATTGGATTAAAGATATAAAAACTAACTATGAAAATCTTCAGATGAAAGATAAAACATTAGAAAGACAGTTTAAAGCAAATTTTAATGAAGCCGCTCCTGGTGCACCTGTTGATCAAGCTTTCAAATATTTTAAACGAAGACCAAAGCTCCAAATGCGAGCTCAAATTACATCATCAATATTACTTGAAGTTGCTAAGCGTGTCTCTAGTAAAAAACAGTGCCATCAAGTTACACTTCTTCCCCCTGAATGTCTTGAATATCTTCACGGCATTGATTTATTAGATCTAGTTTCAAGTTCAACAACCGGCATTGATTCAATTTCATGGCAAATACTTTGTAAAATGCGTCGAATCAAAATTGAGAGTGAATTCAAAATTAAAAGTTTGGGTTTGCAATTAGCAGATGCTGAAGCTACGCTTACTGCTTATACTAAGGAAACAATTAACAAACGCAACTACCTGCAGTCGATTGAACGTTCACTTGTTGAATTGAAGGAAGCCCGTGAAAATGATTCTATAAATCGTTATGTTCAATTGGTAATGAGACGAGGATTAATTGAAATACCTCTTACTGGCAGTTTTTCAGACTTTAAAGACAGCGTTTTGATCCATCGATCAGATGTTGACGATATTAATCGGATTATAATTGTAACTTTTAATTTCCAATACAATTTTTTTGATTCTTATTTATCTTTAAATTTATTTATATTTACAGAAAGCTGGCATGAAAAAGCTTCGAGCTTTGGAAAATGCTGCAATGTTTCGCCGAAAGATTTCAATGAAAGAATGGGAGCATAAAGTTTTGAAATTGAAAGTGTGTGAATTGAAAGAATTTGTCAAGACAATCGAAAAATGTAAAATCACTAAAGAAGTTCAGCAATGGTTGAAACGTGAATGGACTGAAGATTTAAGTGAAAATTCGTTAAATCGTCACATTGAAAATTCAATTAATGCACATGAGAAGATACTCAATGATTTGTAAGATAAGTTAGATTTTTCAGAATGATTTTACTTGCTTTTTTTTTTTCATTTCAGAATGCAAGAAGATTATTTATTAGATAAGAAAATTACGAGAAAGAAAATGGAAACTAAAGATATCGACGATCAAATTCAAAAAGTGAATATTGACGTGTCAGAAAAGAATCTCATGAGAGATATCGAATTTGAACGTGAAGAAATAAAAGCTGCAAAGGAACGAATGTTGATAATTACTGAAAGAGCAAAAATTGTTCGCCATATTCAATATCAACATTCAAATCTCTTACAACTCAATACATTACTAGAACTACAGCGTTTGAAAACTTACCCAACATTGACATTAAATTACTCTGGAAGATATCAGAAAAGCTATCCTTAAGTTTTGCCTATTGAAAGACCTTCAAGCCCATGAATTGTTTATTTACGGAGGCCCCACCCTAGGGTGACGGGCCACCGTATTGGATTTACGCAAAATTATTATTTCAAAAAACGATTGACTATTTTGAATACCTATATGCAAATAAAAAATTGAAATTTATCTCGAAAATGAAAGGAAATCTTCATTAATAAAACTACAAAAAATATACATAGCAATTATAGAATTAACGTGCATTCAATTGAAATCATATAAGAAATAACTTATGTTTTCAGACTTTTCTCGTCAATTTAAAGCGCTTTTTCACCTTGCGATGAGATTCTTATGCATGAATAAGAATTCGTTAAGTTTAAACAGTAAGCGGGGCAAACAATGTTGAAAATCAAATCCCAAATTGTTTCATGGACCCTTTTTTTTTTTTGTAAACAAGCCGGCAGGAAAACAAATATCTATTAGGATAGTTTCCCGATTTCCACCAGTCAATTTAAATCATATAAGCTGTAAATGTTGAATAGTATAAGAAAAGTAGTTTGTGTTTCCTTTTTTATATTTGTAAATATAAAAAAACTTAAGCATATTGATTAAATTGATTGCTTTTAAATTTTTTATTCTACTTAGATGTTTACGAAAATGGCAAATTCTGAAGTTACGAAGAAAACGCTTAAAGACTTTGGATACGGTTTCAACAGTGAAGGAAAGCTCCGTCAACTTGACGTTGAATCAGGAGAAATAACTGATTTGCCTTTCGTGTTTGAAGTGAGCAGCTCAAGAGCTGAAAACCAACGTCATTATGAAGCTTTAGGTGATGCGATTACTGAATATGTTTACGAATTGATGGACAAAAATGGGATGCATCGTATTTATCTACCAGAAAATCAACCAGAACCCAAGGCTACTTTCATATTTTCTTCGAAAAAGGAACTGAAGGATGTAGACAAACTAATGGTAATAATCCATGGGTCTGGTGTTGTACGTGCAGGTCAATGTGAGTTCTCTAATATTTCTGTTACTTGATTTTTAAAAAAATTATTTGTAATAAAATCTTTTCTTTAGGGGCACGTAGTCTCATCATTAACCATTCATTGGATTCTGGATCCATTTTGCCATACATAAAAAAAGCTCAAGAGCAAGGCTATGAAATCGTTGTGACTAATACTAATGACAATCATCGCGATGGAAAAATCATACAAGATAGTGGATCACCCGATGAACATGCAAAGACTGTTTGGAGAAAAATTGTTCAGCCAGCAAATGCGAAATCAATTGCTGTTGTTGCACATAGCTATGGTGGCCACATTAGTAATGTTTTAAGCAAGATGTTCAAGGAAGATTTTGATTCAAAAGTATTTGCTGTAGCTTTAACGGATAGTGTTCATGGCGGGGGAGTTAGTTCACGATTAGCAGACATCGGAATCAATTATGTTTCATCTGACAAACCATTAGGATCACCTGAGAGAAGTTACAGCAATGATATGCTAAGAGTATCAGCTGGACACCCAAAACATGAAATGACTTCTTATTCATGCATGGAAGCACTTTTCGAATTTTTGGATAGAAGATTTAAAATTGAAGGAGGAAAAAATAACCAGGATAACTCTTCTGCAACAGGATTTAAAAAGCAAAAGACCGATGAATTGTAAATGACTTCAAAAAATGTTAACTAATAAACTATTTGGTGTGTAATATCGTAAAATATGTGGTAGTTATAAATTGTTTTCAAATTTCATGTGTTTTTGTATTTAACGGCTATGAAATATTCAAATGAGGACACAAAATTCCCGCTCAATTCCTTAACTTTAGAACAGAAATTTCAAAATTTAGTACACAACATGAAGAACACCATATTTAAGAATTTAAATTTGTTGCTTCTAATCTAGTTGCTTTCTATCCTTATTTTATGTTATAAGTAATATTTAAACAATCCTGTGCATATACTGTGATTTGCAATACGATCTAAATATGGTAAAACTCTGTTACAAAGTAATATGCGATACGACATAAAATTTTTTTTTTCACATGTAAAGGCCTTATTGGAACTTTTGAACGTCAATAAATTTATCAATGTTGTAGAAGATTATAACATTATCTCTCACGAAAATGTTCCAGAATATAACACTATTCTAATTGAGGTAAATCATATTTTATATTTTTCGATATCAATTTTAAATCTCAATGATTATTTTGAATTTTAGGATTCTTCTGTTCAATTTAAGCACGCAGCAATTGCTCATGATGGTCGTGGTCTTTATCGTATTATAGATTTGTGTACAAAAGAAACCAGAATTAAAATTTCTGGAGATTCTACTTATGAGTTACTCGACCCATTGAAATTTTATAACTTAAACCATGGAGATAAAATCAAGTTCGGTAATGTGGAAACAAAATTCCTCTCAGATGAAAACGCAGTCCTTAATACACTACAAATTCAGAATTTCAATTCATCACGATTAGTTCTTCAAAAAGAAAAGAAAACTTTTTTTGTTCCCGAAACACAAGTTACAGAAGATTTTCATAATAATAACTATAATGGTGAAACTGAGATTTTTCTCCCTGAAACAGAAATTTACTCAGAATTATCAAAATGCAGCCGCTCTCCTTCACAAGAATCTGTTCTTGAGATAATTAGTGAGAATGTGGAAAAAAGTAAAGATCCTTTATCCCAAAATTTGTTCGCCGATATTTCTATTGCTACAAAAACATCTGAATTAAATACTATAGATGAGGATGATGGGATGAATACTCCTAAATTAGTTTCACCATCAAAAGAATCAAAGAAGTGTGAACTGGTTGAAGATTCAGACGAAAATTCATTAACGCCTGATTTAGATTCATCTTCGTCACCTAAAAATATAAAAAATGAAAAAAAAGCATTCATATTTGATAAATTGCAAGCAAATTCTTCAAAAGTAAACGATTTTCTTGTTCAGAAAAAGAAAAACCAGTCAGCTGACAATGATGAGACGCAATATTATAATGACAGTTCCACTGATGATGAAAGAGCAGAAGTCAAGGTTAAGGAAAACTTATTTGAACAAACGCAACCGTTGTTCATCCTTCGTCGAACTACAAGAAAACATGAAAAGGAACAACAAGCTATTAAACCTAAAACTGTGTCATTGAAAGAATTTGAAGAGCTTGAAAGTAAAACAAAAGTTTCGAACAAATTTTCTTTGGAGACGCAACCAATTTTCTTGCAAAATTCAAATAGTAAAATGTCGTCAGTTACGAAAACTAAAAATCGTATTTTGCTGTCATCATCTGAAGAGGAAGATACAAAAAAAGAAATATCAGGGAGTATCATTGCAGGAGTAGTAATCCAGAAGAAAGCAGAAGTACAAAATATTTTGGAAACAGAAAATTCCACTGGAGAATGCTGGTCACCAACATTAAGATCTCCACCATCTTCTGATAGTCTGCTCATAAAAGATATGACTACACCAGAATATCTTCCAAAATTGCCATCTGACTCTCAATTCGATGAGTTCCTTGAACTGGTCAATAATACTGGTGAGTCTGACTTGTCGTACTTCGATGATACGATGAGATCAGATGAAAATATCGCAGATGATAAAGAAAATTGTTTCGAACATAAGGAAGAAAAGTTAACAAGCGTTAATGAGACTGAAAGAGCTGCAAAACGTAAGAAAATCCGTCGTCGAATTATGAAATACATAAGTTCTAGTGATGATGATGATGACGGGCCTTCAACATCGAAAATTCAAAAAACTGCTTCAACAAAGTCAGTCAAATCAAAACCATCACTTAAGGCACGTAAATCTAATTCAAAAATTCTTCAATCAAATAGTGACGACACCCGAAAAGAACTGCCAAAAAGGTCAGCAACACCAAAAAAACAGATATCGATTTCATTATCAAATATTACTAGTGCAAACCAGAAAGCAAAATATCACGGAATTGGTGAAAATTTAGGTTGCAAACTCGTCAAAAGTGTAATTGATGCTGATATCCTTTTGACAACGTCGTATACCAAAACAACCTCTAAAATTCTCGCTGCTCTTTGTAAAGGCATTCCTATAGTGACTGAGCAGTTTCTAATAGCATCAAAGGAAGCTGGAAAATTATTAAATCCTTATGATTATTTCATACCTGATCAGAAAGTGGCTGGCGAACACTTGTCCTTTAAAGATTTCATATTCACTTCAAAAAACCACAAACGATTCACAAACACTTCCGTTTATGTGACCTCAAAATGCGTCATTCCATATCTTGAGACTAAAGAAATTATTGAAGCTGGAGATGGTGAAATTATCACCGATTTGAAGCAAGAACCAAAAAAACAAAATTTTATTTTCATCCACAACATCATCGATGAAAAGGAGATCAAATTTTTATCGAACAAATATCCTTCTGGAACAAAAATCAGAGATGTTCATTTTTTTAAATCTATTGTTCGACCAAACTATTCTTAAAATTCTTTTTTTAATAAATAAGAAGATACATTCAAATTTTCTTTTTTGAATACTCATTGATAGGATTTAATTTTCAGCTTCCATTTAAAATGATTTTCGTCTTCAACCACCTGCAAAACTTCATTTCCGCTTCTTCTTAATATTCCAATTGATGAAGTAAATAATTAAAATCATTCACATTTGTTGTTACTTTTAACTAGGAGATCGTTAAAATTCTTTACAAGATGATTTACAGCATTTTAAGGTCAACGGCACTTTACGTCGTGTCGGGATGCGACCATAAGTATGTTGAACAAACAACTTTAGCCTTCCGTGTGAACTTTCGGCTCTCAGACGAATTGCATCCTACGATAAAATGCATTGCGTGTGACTGTTAAATATCTTAATGCAACATGAAATGGTCAAAATGTTCAAGGCAAGGTCGGGATTCTTAAGAAACTGTAAAATCATTTTCCGGTTGAATCAATTCCGGTGTCAGATTTCATAAGAAATGAGTGCGGTGTAACTTTTAATTTTAGTTTTTATAGAAATCTGGTTCTATCCATACAGAAACAAATTGGTTTTTTTTTCATTTGAAATTGAAACATAAATATGCTGATATGAATGATTTTAATTAATGAAAAATGATGCGACTTCCGCGACCTGTGTGGGCCCACCACTGAAATTGTTTTTATGAGTGATGGCAAATTAAGAAAATAAGAAAGAATCAACTTTGTTGACGATTCCTTAAGAGGTCTGTTTTTGGCAACTCACATTTTGATGAACTTTAATAGAATTATGTAATAAAAAATATTTGTGGGAGATGAAAAAAAATTGTTTTTTCACACAGTCGATATAAAAGCCACAAAATGTTTAACTAATATGAATGTCAATTAAAAGACTTTTAAATATTCAATCATATTTCAAGCGGATATTTGGTTCGTCAAACAATTAAAAACCTTTTTTAGAAATCGTAACTAAAAAATCTGCTTTTACTAAAATAAATTATTCCCATGTCCTAAATATTTATCTACTTCAAAAAGCATATCAGACATGACCAGTTCTATCATTTTTGTGAATTATTTTCAACCCCCCAAAAAAAAACATGAAAAGTCATAAAACCACAAAAAGCAATCATCAGTTGTTTGTTGGATATCTATTTGTAGTATACTTGGACAGGTGCAACATTCTCTTATTCCATTTCAGTAATGAAACTTCTTCGGATGATTTCATTTGCTGTTTGCATATCCTTGACCATTTTGAATTAATTCTGACTAATATTTTCCTTATATATTCAACCAAAGCCTTTTCGTGCCTGAAAGGAGATTATGTTCAAACAAAAACAAAACTTTTAATCCTGGAAATATTAAAATATTAAAATGAAAACATTTTTAAGTCTCGTACTAACGATTGAATAAAACATAGGAACATGTTAACAAATGGCATATCATTTGGATAAAATGTTTAAAGGATTTATTTCTCCGAAAGATTGTAAAGGAAATAGAACTGAACATAAATGTAAAAAAGTTTGAGCAAAATTAAGTTAAATGGTGAACTGAATTGCGTATATATACGGAAAATTACATTCATAATTAATTAGTTGAGGTTCTTCGAAGACTACACCGTCAGTTCAATACGGGAGCAGGTGTTTATAAGCATTCCATAATAAATGACTTAAGTCACCATCTCCATCATCACTCATTAAGAAGCCATTTTCATGATTAAAAATAATTCCATCGCTCGACATGAAATTTTCTCTTTGAAATGATACTCTTATCCGTTATGATGAGTAGAAATTAAGTAAAAGCTTTTATGTAATTATTTACTTTGATACATGAGCTCAAACCCTTTGACAAATTTCTTGATTTACGAAAAAAAAAGATGAAATGCTTCATTGACGTTTCTCGTCATCTTTGATGTTTTCATGACTTTTTATGATGATGAACATTTTACCAACCATTCATATACATATAATCGCACAAAAGATTTTTCCTCATATATTTTTTAATAAAGCAGAACGATGTTTTCTGACAAACAAGGAGTAACATGAAAGTCTTCACAAATTGACATCATGCTGGATCAGTGAACGTTGACGGTTTTTAATCTTCGGTCATAAACCCAAGAGCAAATTTGTCACAGTTTAATGAAGAAATTTTCACCTTCTGAGAAGCTTCATGAAAACTCGAAAAAGTAAAAATAATTCCTAGAAAGGCGTGCCAGGGTTTCACAAATCACAATTTCATGACAGTTTGTGTCGGTGGAAATGACGAAAGAAAGAAAAGAAAACAACTTCAATGTGTTGGAATTTTCTTTCTTGTTGGTGGAGGGATTAAAGAAAAATCACGCCCCATCTTAAAGTTTACATCTTTTCATAAATTGAACTGATAAGAAATTTTCAAGTTTAGATATTTCATTCACTCACTTGTAATGTTTAAGTTTTTGATTTTTATTTTTTTATTATTATGCTTCTGTACCTCAACAATTATTCTAAATAAAATTAAGTTTTCTTTTCGAAATTCTAATTAATTGCATTTTATAAAACATCAAATGTAATTAGTGGCAATGGATGAAACCTTTTCCCTGGGCTCTTTCAGTTTATGTTAATTTTCTTCATTAAATGTCAGATGTTAACAATCGCATCATTCTCCATTGTATTTTTTTAACAAAATGAAAACTGAGAAAATTGAATTAATTTATTTCTGTTGTGAAATCTCGTTGGCGACCAAAAATGTTTAACACGTGAGAAGTGATGTGTAAATAAATGACAGGAAATTAAATTGAACCAAACAAAAAACCAAAAGCGAAAACTCTGACTTCATCATGATACATGTTGCAAAAAAATATTGAAAAGAATCACTTCCAACACGTTTTTCATTATTATATTTTCACTCGTTTTTCATTCTTTCTGTGCCACCCACGCAACACTTTTTTCACTGTTTAAATTTCAACAAAAAGCTTGAGAAATCTCTACGGAAATCATCTCATGGCAATAGCTTTTGTTGCCGTATCAAATTTCCACTGTAATTATTTAACCGCAGAACTGAGAAAGAATCAACCCTTGAATTGCCCGAGAGACATTTCAATCAGAGAATGTGACGACATGACAATAGAGCGGACAAGATTCAAATGTGAAAAATCTGAATAATTAAACCGAGAGATGTGCATGTTTCATACGAAACGAAAGGGTATCATTTGCATTTTATGTGCTTGTTGTATCTTCTAACAGATGATTCAATGAGTTTGTATTGCATGTTCTCTTATCATTGATTTTATGTCAATCATTTAAGAATAGAACATTATTTTTTTTAGAAACTGACATCAAAAACTACAAAACGTATGTCTGAGGTTTCAATGAAAAGTTATTCAACTTCCCTAATGATTATTTTCTATTGCGGTGGTATCATGTGAATCAAGATTTTGATCAAAGGGTAAATAAAAAAAAACAACATCTTATTCCCCTTTCGATTTTTTTATGATTTTTATATGAACTGGAGATGAAAAAAATTATTTCAAAAACTCGAAATCTTAAAAAATCTTATTGATCATAAACACTTTACTTCCATAAAATAAATACGACCTTGTCAAATTTTGCAAGATAAATAAATCATAAAGTTTTAGGAAGATTTTGTAATCATTTTAAAAGACATGCATGGTTCGTGTGTGGTTGAATAAATTGTCTAATTACTACCTATAAATCAAGATAAGTTTCTGACATTTCTCTCAGAAACCCTTTTCATATGCCACATATTTGTACATCTACCACGCTTTGATTAAAAATTGTACACCAAAAATGTTTGTCTTCTTAACCCTTTCATGCTGTTTCAGTTTCGCCACACATGTGGTGAATCCTAATTGTTCTAATTAAAAATTGAGTGAGATAAGTGAAAAACAAACAATGTTTTTATACCTAAGATTATGAAGCTTAGAAACGAGAATCTGAATGAAAAATTAAAAGCGATTTTTCACTTACAGATGTCGACCTGAAGTCCGATCCCCAAATCGACCATCATCACCATCAAATCACATAAAATGTTTGTGGCAATAAAATGTAAACTTTATGTGCATTTAAAGCAAGAGAAGGAAGAATGAAATAAAAAACACTTTTCTTCAATAAAGGCTATCACAATCAATTTAATTGATGACAACAATTTTTTAACCATCATGTGTATGTGACTTCTGTGATGAAATGTTCTTTTTTTACTAGAGGGTCATGTATGTGGAAAAGTTATTCAATGATGTTTTACTTTTTACGTTCTTGGCTTTGAAAACAAAAACTCCATGTTACTAAGTCTTAAGTACACCCCACACAATTTTTGGTAACACAAAACAGTTGGTGAGGGTGACAAAGTTTATTATTTACGTTTCAAGTGGACAAAAAGAAATATAAAGATTTAAAAGGTGTCATGTTTCAAGGAACAAGATCAGTACGGTAAGTAATATTGCCATCAGCAAGGCCATCAGTATCTTAAGTGGTTTCTGAATAAAACATTTTTTCTTTGCAATAAATTCCCAATGACACTTCCAATAAAAAAAAAACAAACTGCATTTCATCAAATTTGATTTAAAAACCATACCAAACATTGAACTGTCTATAAAGATTAATGAAATTTGTATCAAATTACCAGCATAACTAAAACAAATGAATATTTTTAAATAAAATCAAATCCAACACTCAATTAAATATTTTGAAATTGTTTTTCCACTTATTAAAAGTAATTAAAAACATTTGCAAACGACATCCAAACGCTTAACTACAAATTATCTTCCTCGATCTTGATACAATGTTCGAGTTTTAAAACCATTAGAGTTGGAAGAATTTTTATTATACAAATTCATATCAATTAAACGAAGCCCTCATGAGATAAATTTGTATGATAAAACCAATTTCACATTTCTTATGCTACCAAAAAAAAAGAAGAAAATCATTTGAAACGAGTATGACACACATATAGACGAGCATGCGAGAGAATCTGATGAAATGTTTAAGATAACAATAAACTAATTGGCTTTAATTGTTACTTGTAGAAAAAAAACTATCAGATGGAGAATTGAAAAACTGGGACATGTTGTCATTCACAAGATATTTGATTGATACTTATTAAGGCAAATGAAAAAAAAAAAAGTTGGATTATGTTTGGGAATCTGACCCAATGCGATCCCGTATCGTTCTCTGATTTTATTCTTTTATTTGAAGTTGTATTTGTTATAAATATACATTAATTAATTGAAGGAAAGGATAAAAAAAAAGCTTAATAATGACAAAAATAACAAAAATCAGTTAATTAGCTCAAGACAAGAACCATAAACTTTAACAGAATAAAAATCATTGCCAAAAACTTTTAAAAATGAAACATTTGAGTTTAAGTTGTAATTATTGATAAAAACACTGAAGAACTTAAGTCGGTTTGAATGATAATTAAGATCAAGTCTCATTAAATTATCAATTTCTAACAAGTTTACATTTAAAATTTTGAATCTGCAAATTTTCTTGCTGTTTATGAGAACACAAGAAATGAGTGCTTCAAGCTCAAATCCTTCGACTGATGTGATCACCTCAAGGTTACAGATATTAGAAAATTTTCCAGTGATTGCGAGAAAAGATTGAAAGAATTGAGTACATTGCAGTTTAACATGTAAAGATTGCAGTGAAAAATGAAAAGGAACGTTAGCTTGGAAAAAACATATTTCAGGTATTGTGACTTCAGTGAATTGATGGTTTTCAAGTTTCAATTCCTTCAATTTTTTCATATTGCTTATTATGCTACTTATTAAGTTTAAACTTAACAAGCTGTTGATGTAAAGGATTTCCAAGTCTGATGCATTTAAAGAAAGTGGAAAGAAAATTGAATTGTCGATCATTTGGCAAGGATAATAAATTTCAAGATTTTTCAATTTTAAATCTTTCATATTACAAAGAACATTGAGATGATCTTCAGAATCATTATCACAGTTCTTGATTATTGCAAGTTCCTTCAAGGTTTTGATTTCAGCAACTGCTTTGAAAGTATTTGGAGTGACGTCATTCACAATTATTTTCAATACTTCCAAGTTTTTCATCAGAGGTAGAATACGAAACATTGAATCGCTGATTGGTGAACATGTTAAATCTAATCGTTTTAAAGTATTAACTTGTGCGTTAAGAATAGTCTCAATAGTACTGTCGTGGCCATTATATCCATTAACACTTATTGATATATCTTCGAATGTAAGTTTTCTGTAAAAATTGATGTTGCTTGTGGGTAATTCACCGTAAATATGCATTGATAAATTTTTAACCGTTTTTTGATGGCTAAGAAAGCAAGGAATGAAGGATGGCTCGTCTGTTATGATCTTGAATTTTGAGATTGTGTTCCAGTTTAGCGCAAACGTCAACATTTGGATTCCATCAGAGCAATACGATAAAGAAATCTCCGTCAGTCTTGAGCATTCAATTGGTCGAAGTTTTCTTACTGATATCTTTTGTACAGCAATTATTGATGTAAGTGTTATTGTTTTAATGTTAGGCGATAACTTCAATAGCATTCTTAAATCACGAGGAGCTATCTCACAGTCAAACATTTCAAATGTTTGAAAATATTCTCCAAATTTCTTAAATATGCTATAAATCAATGGTAAAAACATATTTCTATCAATCACTAAAGTTCCATTTTTACTTCCTACTTTAATGTTTGATATTTTTCGGCTTGATTGAATGATGGAATTGAAATACTCGAAAATCTGATAATTTGAAGTATTACCTAATTAGAAAACAAATGACACAAGGAAAGTGTTTTGAGAAACAAACTTACATATTCTTTCGATTTGAGATTCAACCACAATTCATTATCAATGGATGTAATTCCACATTTGTAAAAATATTTACTGACTATTAAACAGCTTTTTTTTTGATCGATAGGCAGATATGAAAGAATTTTTTCCATAATTTTTTCTGGTAAATCATCAATTCTTTGAAACATATTCGACGGCATTTTTTTTCCTTAGACGGTTATCAATAAGACTTTAAAAACGAAGTTTTCTATTCCTTTTGATTGATCAGTTTTTTTATATTTGTAGTTTATTGAATGACAAACAAATTCGCGACATTTTTTCGACTATCGACAAATTTAAAATTTCAAAATTCAGTTAAAACAATTTGAGTAAATATAATTGAAAGTCTTTCAATCCTACCGAAAATACCTACTTGATTAGATCCATAACACAACATGCAAAAAAATACTTAATAATAAAAAACCAAAATTGAAAATTCCTTAACAATGCATTGACACGAAATGAATATTTACCTTTTGTTGAATAAGAAGTGAAATAAATATTTTGGGTTTAAATTTTCTTCAATTAAAGTGGCTTTTTTATGCTTGTCACATATCTTTTTGCATAAAAAATTATTTGAAAATTGACACCTAAGAATATTCTACTTAAATATGAAACTCATGCATGAGAATGTAAATTGGGGTGATTGATTCAATAAACACGTAAATTGTGTTGCATTGAAAAATAGATTTTGGAATATTCGTAAGAGATTTTGGATAGTTGTAGTGAACTACACAAATTACCCAGAAACTTTTAGCTAAATTTAAATTCTCACCGTGTAAAACAATAAATATGTAATTACCCTTCAAAGACTTCCTGGTTTAGTAAATTGTTTTCTATCACTTAACATTAAACAGAAATCATATTTCTAAATCACATTGCATTCATATGAAAACTGTTGCAGAGCTACATATCTACATATCTACATGTTATTTTTATGTTCGCATGCTTCACTTGTAGGGGTGGAAACGCTGCGAAAGGATATAAAAAAGAAATATTTAAATGATTTCAGAAAGCCACAAGCACGATTTTCATATGAGGGAATTTTATTGCATTTATAATTCAAGCACTGCGGAATGTTTGACAATTTCTCTTCCTGATATTCCTCGTGAGGCATTTTAAAAAAAATTGTTGAAACAACGCGACAGGGAATTCGTCTGATTTCCTGGTTTCATTCTGACGGAAATTTCATGCACGCAATAGCTTGCTACTGTGTAAAAATAAATCGAAAGTTTCGTTCCAGCCAATATTGCATCTCTACAAAGCCTTTTTCATTCATTCTTTAGACAATTTTCCAATTTTCAATTTAGAATTCGCGATTGTCAGATTTTATGAACATTGTTGATATCGTAAACTGCCTCAGATTAATTTTCCAATTATCAATATTTCCATAACGGTTTCCACTAAATTTCATGATGAAAAGAATAAAAAGCCTTTGTAATTGCTCTCAACGATTTTGTATTTCAGACAACCAAAAAGATTCCTTTCAATGTCGTATTTTAATTAAAAATGTTCGAATGCAATGCAAAAATTTTTCGTAATTCTGCCCAGAAAAAGTTCTCATCATTGAAACCAATCAAGAATTCATAATTTACATGTCGCATTTTCGGTTGATTGGATTTTACTGTTTCTTTGTTATGCAACTTTTGAAAATTATTGAAGAAGTCAGGGGTCAGATAAAGAACATGTGTAGATCAGTTTTTATTTCTTTCATCTAGGTAGGTAATTCCTTCTCGTCTTCAGTTTTTATTTTGCAAATCGACCTCAAAAATATTCATGAAAAAGAAATCTATTATTTTTACCTTTCAAATAAATTTAATTTCTGCTACACATCAAATGAGTTTCCCACAGCAGTTTTGTTAAAGTTCCTTTTGCATACTGATTAAGAGGGATGCGATTTTTGCTGTGTCGTAAAATTGCCAGGGAATAATAAGATTGTCGTGAGGGCTAAAAACTTTTCTTATGCATAATAATATTTTCTTCTCTGATAATATTCGTGCCTTCTTTTTCTTCTTCTTTCTATAAAATTGATTCAAATTTATGCTTAAGTTTCATATTTTATAATATCTTTTCTGTGTTCCACATTGAAGAAAAAGGGAAACTTTAAAAATTTTGATAATTTTAAATTCATAGTAGAAGGAAAAAAAATTTATGTAGAGAAATAATGGCCAACATAACTTAAACATATATCCAAATGGAATGACGATCATATTTGTGCAGAAAAATATTTTTATTCCAAAATTTTCTTGAGAAATATGTATGCAAAAATCATTGTAAATAAACATTTTACATATAATCTTAAATGTTCTAGCGTGACCCAAGACTTTCTTAACTGTTTTGAAACGCTTTCAACTTTGATTTATGTCGAGAGATTAAAGTGAATTATTTTTAACTGATTTTTCTGCTCCAGCTGTAGAAAATTTGAAATTTTCGAATCTTTTTTACAATTCTTTTTACTCAATCAGCAATACATTTTCGGTTAAAAATCCTACAAATTATGCGTGTCCGAAATAATAAAAAAAATAGATTGAATTCAACTCTCCCTTATCTGATCTCATAAAAAACTGCAAGCAAATTGAAAATTCATAAATAATCAACCTAATAATGTATTCATTTGATTTGTCACATTGTTGTCTTTTATAAAGAAAGAAAAACTTCTTGAGTCATGTCAATAAGATTCAATAGACATATTTTTTAAATCTCGAGAAGGGATGATTTTCACTCTTAAAAAAGTGCATTAAAAAATGAATCTGTAAGGGACGAGAATCTTGTTATAACATTTCACGCCTTAAGTAGATTTATTGTTATTTTATTTTTTAATGCATGTTGTCTTGCTGCACAAATTTTTCCCGTTTATTTATATTAAAAAAATGCATTGAACTTTTCGATGACCTTTACGCTTCACTTAACAATTTCATTGTCAAGATTTCTTTTAACATCCCTTCGTAGATGCTCTGATTAAATTTTGTACTTTTTTAAATTGCATGTTTGCAACTTTTTTATGCTCTATTCAAAGTCATAAAAAATAGAAATTAAATTAGATCGAGGTTTAGATCTTGGCATGGATTATTTATTAGGCGATACAAATCTCTTTATCCGGTAAGTTTTTCTTATTTTTGAGCAAAATCCCAGGGCAAGGATTTTTAAGGTTTCCAACCGTTTTTAACGGCTTCCATGAGAATTATCCAGATTGAGAATTAATAATATTTCTTAACGTTGAAACTTAGAGAAATTGTTGCAGTTACACCCTTTAGATTATCGCCTTAACCCGTGCCTTGTGTTTGTTTGTTCTTTGTGCTGAGAAAAGTGGCAAAATTCGAAGGTTAAATAAGATTTTGATCTGTCGAGTGTCTCTCGATTGTCACCCTTTACCACCCCTTTATGTACTCTCAAAAATTGTAACAAAAACATCTTTTGTTACGATGCCTTCTGGCTGATGCTGCTATGATTGTAAGAATGTTGCAATTATTTAAGCAAGCACGCGACATCGAGAGAAAATTTAATAAAACTGAAGAAAGAGTTGACAGAATCATTCAACCCTTATAAGTTTAATTTCAAAATCATCTGGTGATGTTCAACATCAAAAGCCGGTGAATAAAGATGTCAAAATTCACCCACAACTAGGTCGATTGTGAAATGTAATTTGTGTAAATTTAATTTACAAGAAGCCAGAAAATCTATTAACCGCATCATATTATTCTACGTTGGCTTTTTTCTTTCTTTAAATCATTTCGTCATGGTTCATAAATTCATGATGGAAAATTTGTTTAAAAAGAAATAGATAAATACATATTTGAATCTCGCTTTTTATATTTTACAGATAAGTTTGAGGGTGAATGAATGAAATAAAATAATGTAAAAAAAAGTTTGTCAACCAAAAAGAATCAAATTAAATATCATTGGTTTAAAGAGATTCATGAATTTTAATATTTTTGAAATCCTGATCTTAATCTTGATGCAATTTAATATTTGAATTGATTGAAGTCATGCTTAAAACATGATTACATGAACTGTATGGAATTTCCATGGAGGACACATTTTGATTTTAATCACACCAGACCCATCATGGTAACGTGTCTCGTCATGTGATAACTTTCAGGGTAATTAATTCATTGGCGACAAAACTTTTTCTGAATTCTCTTCACAACTATTACTATGAAAAAAAACTTAGTTATGTTATTCGGAAGCCTCCATGGCAATGAATGTCGAGAGAATAATTTCTGCAGCCGTGACAATGAAAAAAAATCAATTTTTAATTGCATAACAAAAATGAAAATCATTAAAATGAACGTGAAACGAACGTCGATAAAAATTTGAGAGTTAATAAAGCATACCAGCATAATTAATCAATTAGTGATAATTAATTTCATGTCGGCAATGTTGTCTCATTTCACGAACATAAATTACATTTCTATAACAATAATTATCAACTGTTATTAAATTGAATATTATTGAATTCACAAATCACTGTTTTGTTGTGGAAATGGAAAACTAATTGTTCTACTGCTTTCCTTATGACAAATCTATCGTTTAATGTTATGTAGTAAACGCAAATTCATATCAAAATTGAATGAACGTTGCGAATTGTCCATTGTTTAACAACATAGGTAGTTAAATTAAATTCTAATCAAGTTGAGCTTTACTATTCTTGGAAAAAAAATTAACGCCGCATGCGTGCGGATAATTCTAATTGTTGGCATGAAGCATTCCACTGATATTAGATTATCAATTCCGGAAATTTCATAACTAAAAAAATGTATATAAGTAATATGATTTTAACATATTTTCATTACTTTTGTTAATACAGTCATTGGCGAAAGTACGAAACTTAAACATGTTCCGATACATGAATTATTTCATCTTTTTAACAACAATCTCATTAATAAAATGTGAACTTTTTCAATTTCCTTTTGGATTTGAGAGTGAAAACAAATTACAACAAGCAGAAAGTTCGGGAGGCAGTCCAAGGATTATTGGAGGCGAAACATCGCCTGATCATTATCCCTATCAAATTTCATTGCAACTTAAACGTGATGGAGAAGCGCAGGGAGGCTTTCTTTCTTTCCTTCAAGGACCAAGGAAGGAGTGGTAAGTTTATAATTTTATTGTCTAATAACAAATTATTTCTATTGTCTTCTCCAGGTCTCATTTTTGTGGAGGATCAGTTTTTTGAATGAAAACTACATCGTTACAGCAGCACATTGTATTGAAGCATTTAACATAAGTCAAATGTCAGTTTTAGCTGGCACGAAAGACTTGAGAAAAGAATCAGAAGGAGTACGAAGCTTGATTGATGATTGTGTCATTCATCCTGACTACGTAGAATTGAATACTAGTGACGTATCAGTTTGTAAATTGCAAACATCATTACCTCTTGGAGATAATATCGCTCCTATAGAGTTATCAAAGGAATATGTTGGGGGAGGTGAAAACTGCACATTGACAGGTTGGGGATACACAATTCCAATAAGAGAAATATCAACGTTACCAAATGAACTTCAGAGAGCAGAACTTCAAACGATTACAAATACAGAATGCAATCAAAGAGGTTATAATGTAGGCACAAAAGAAATTTGCACGTTTTCAAGAGTTTTGAAAGGAGCATGTGGCGGGTGAGTTCAGATTGGTAGCCAATTTTTATGATGTTTCTAAGAACTTTCTTTGCAGTGATTCTGGAGGTCCACTTCAGTGTAATGATAATCTTGTTGGGATTGTGTCTTATGGTGCTAGAATTTGCGCTATTGGACTGCCTGATGTTTTCACAAGAGTATCGGAATTCACTGGTTTGTTTGTGAAAGGTTGCATTGCTAATATATGATATTACATAATTAAATTTTCTTCCAGAATGGATTGAACAAAATTCATCAGGGTAATAGCTGAAAATCTTCTAAAACCTCTTGTCCCACCACTTCATTCGAGAAAGTTTCTTGTTTTGATCATAATTTGGATAATAGTAAATTTTTGCTTAGAAGAAACAAGAGTTGTTATTCCCGGCAGAAATCAGCATTGAAATTTGATTATACTATTTGTGCTATATTTTGCGTACATAAATTCATACTTGCCTTTTATTTTTAATTATTGTATTGCTTTCTTTATGACAAATGTGTCGTTTAATATTGTGTAGTAAACCCATATTCATATCAAAATTAAATGAACGCTGCAAATTGTCTATTGTTTAACAGCAAAGTTGAACTTAAATATTATTGGAAATAAAGTTTAATACAGCAGATAATTCTTATTGTTGGCATAAAAAATTCTGTTGATATTAGATTACCAATTCCGGTAATTTCATAACTAAAAAAATGTATATAAATAATACGGCTCTAACATATTTTCATTACTTTTGTTAATGCAGTCATTGGCGAAAGTACGAAATTTAAACATGTTCAGTTACTTGAATTATTTCATCTTTTTAACTACAATCTCATTAAAGAAATGTGAACTTTTTCAATTTCCTTTTGGATTTGAGAGTGAAAACACATTACAACAAGCAGAAAGTTCGGGAGGCAGTCCAAGAATTATTGGAGGTGAAACATCGCCTGATCATTATCCCTACCAAATTTCATTGCAACTTAAACGTGGAGATAGAGATCTTCAGCTCCAAGGCTTTCTTTCTTTCTTTCAAGTACAAAGAAGGCAGTGGTATGCTAATAATTTTCTTGCATTTCCTTAAGAATTTGGTGCTATTTCTTTTGAAGGTCTCATTTTTGTGGAGGATCAGTTTTGAATGAAAACTACATCGTTACAGCAGCACATATTGTATTGAAGCATTTGACATAAGTCAAATGTCAGTTATAGCTGGCACAAAAAACTTGAGAAAAGAATCAGAAGGAGTACGAAGTTTAATTGATAATTGTGTCATTCATCCTGACTACGTAAAATTTAATGCTAGTGACATATCAGTTTGTAAATTACAAACATCATTACCTCTTGGAGATGACATCGCTCCTATAGAGTTATCAAAGGAATATATTGGGGGAGGAGAAAAATGCACATTGACAGGTTGGGGATACACAATTCCAATAAGAAAAGTACCGACGTTACCATATGAACTTCATAGATTAAAAACGCAAACGATTACAAATACAGAATGCAATCAAAGAGGTCAGAATGTCGGTAACAAGGAAGTTTGTGCTTTTGCAGGAATTTCAGAAGGAGCATGTGGCGGGTGAGTTCTAATTTATAACCAATCTTCGTGTTGTTTCTTTTTTTAAAAAAATACATGCATTACAGTGATTCAGGAGGTCCACTTCAATGTAATGGCAATCTTGTTGGGATTGCTTCTTCTGGTACTAGAATTTGCGCTACTGGACTGCCTGATGTTTTTGCTAGAGTATCGGAATTCACAGGTTTGTTTGTGAAAAGTTGCATTCCTAATATTACATATCTAATTAAATTTTCTTTCAGAATGGATTGAACAAAATTCATCAGGATAATAATTTCATCAACCATGAAAATAATCAGAATTGTATCTTAAAAGATTAATTTGGCTAATGATTTTCTTGAGAATTCTGTTTTCATAATATTTAGGTACCTAATTTAGAAAAAAAAACTAAATTTAACTTACAAAATATGATTAAAATTTCATCTTGAACTTATCTAAGAAAAAAAATTCATTTAGATTATTGCAAAAATTATTAAGAATTATGTATGTATGGTAAGAAAATATTTACATAATTTAAATTTTATAAATGAAAGCAAAAAAATAAAATTTTAGCATTTCAAATCGACGCTCAATTTTAAATGCAAAATTTTGGGAATAAGGTTAATGACTTTTGAATTAAATTATATACTTGCCGTCATAAACCTGTCGGTCTCACTTAAGGTTCTGATAAGAATGTAACTATAAAAGTTTTGCTTACAACTTAATATTCTTAATTTAAGTTGTGATTGCAGAAATGTTGTTACAATTCGTCGAATGTTTTATTTTATTTATGTTCGCAACGTGTAGTAAGCTTGACGATCACAAAATTGTCGGCGGTGAAGAGTCACCAATCATTTATTATTACCAAATATCACTTCAAAGAGTTTCTACACGTTGGGGAAGAGAACAATACAATCATTTCTGTGGTGGAAGTATATTAAGTGAATATTACATTATTACAGCAGCACATTGCGTTCAGGGTCAAGATGTCAGCAGTATATCAGTTTTTGCTGGAACATCAGATCTTGAAGATACACAAAATGGAATCAGAAGATCAATAACTTCATGTTTGATTCATCCAGATTACAGAAAACTAAACACAAGTGATATAGCATTGTGTCAAGTTAAAGTTCCTTTTGTGTTCGGTCCAACAGTAGGAAAAATTAATATCGATAATGACTACGTTAATGGAGGAATAAACTGTACACTGACTGGATGGGGTTCGATTTATATATTCCGTTGGCTACCAATACCTTTCTACTCAATGTTGGCATATCCTGATGAGTTACATCGTGTTATTTTGACTACAATTTCCAACGAAAATTGCATAGAAAGAGGTCTCATTGTTGATGAAACACAAATCTGCACATTCACGAAATTCGGTCAAGGAGCCTGTGCTGGGTAATAATTTGAAATGATATAAAAAATGTTATGATTAAATATTTCAAAACCCATTATATAGAGATTCTGGTGGCCCATTAGTTTATAATGGAATACTTGTAGGAATTGTGTCTTATGGAACAGCCATTTGTTCAATTGGAGCTCCTGATGTGTTCACACGAGCGTCACATTTTTATGATTGGATCATTTCCAATACAGATTTAAGTTCTGCAGCTACAACTTCAAACCAACAAGTACAATCAATATTAACTGCTATTCCTGATATATTTCAATAAATAAGTAAGCAACAAATAACATAAATCATAAATATTAAATTTAAATGATAAAGAAACCAACGCTATCAACATGCCGTGATTTTTAATGATTGTATAATTTTCAATCACCCTACGGGACATAACTTCAACATCGAAATCTGCTTAAAGTTTAATCCACATGTGACTTTTCCCTCAAATTGCCTTTGGCTATTGACTCACGAACCATAAATCATGTTCTTGATGAAACAAGCTACTAAACTGTATCATTATCCCATTAATACCATCAATAGCAATCTTCTCACCCACGCAACTTCGTGCCTGTTTGTGTATCATGAATGTTTGTGTAATAGATTTTCATGTCCATTTTGTGTGGTCATTAACAAAAGACAAAACTGTTGGGGATACTTCAATGTGATTGTTATCTTTCCGTTTTTTATTGTTGGAACTATTCGAGTAACTATTTACGGTTTTCATGTGAATGCCTTAATTAATTTGTTGGTGATTTGAATTTCCTGCTTTCATTTGTAACAAAGAATCCTTTTTCATGTTATTTTTCAAATTAGTTCATTCAATTAAAATTTCCGATGATATAAGAAGCCAATTCATGTAGTGATCCATCCGGATTTTTGAAACTTTTGACATGTTTTAGGGGAAGAAACGGAAAGAAATCCTTAAATCAACAGACATAAAAATCTGGAGAAATATCAACAGATGGTCAACTTCTCCTGCAAAATATCTAACCATAAACAGTTCATGGTGTTAGAAATTCAAATACGTATTTAAATAAAGTATTTTATAGCAAATTCTCCGCATTAATATTTATCGAATTGATTTTTTTGTTTTTTAACTGAGAGAAAAACCAGAAATTATATAATGAACAATTTAAATGTTGAGATCCTCAATGATTCACTTTCGTAATTAAATTTGCGACGAAGTTCTGATATTTGTTCGGACATTATGTTAATTGAAATCAATCAAACAATTGTGGGTAGCTATTTGCATTTAACTCAATTGAGAATTGGTTGAAATTTCCACAACGTCAAATAAAATTAAAATGTTTTACTAAAAAACGTGAAAATGAACTGAATGATGTTTGACTAGATTTGCTTGCAGAGAATATTCTCAAATAATTGCAATTAAGTTGAGTGTGTAATTCAATCGAAGCTTCATTTGTAATTTTCTAAAACTCAATCTGCTTTTATTGTCTGTATCACACATAATCGAAGATTTTTACGATCGTAATCAAACTTATTAGGTATCACAAATTCACTATACTCACTACTGGGAAATAATCTGTTTGAAAAATAAAATTTTATGGACTTTCATTCGCGGATTGCTATGCGGAAACTAACGAGAAATTGTAAATTAATTGACTTGTTATTTGTTCGTTAGACTTATGTATGACGCAAGCTGAAAATATTTTCTATCTCGTTGCAATCAAAATATTTTAAAAATTGTGAAGTTTGATTAAATAAAAATAAAGTCAAAACAGTTCAGAACTTCTCAAATAGCAGTATGAAGGATCATCAAGGATCAAAAGTAAAGGAAGGGAAAACAGCTTCCTTCACGCGTCCCTTGACACACATTTGGCGACTTTATTATTGACTTTTGCAATTCTTATTCAAGTTTTTTTACGGAGAAAATATTTTAAACAAATATGACATCTCGACACACAATTGGGATTTTTTTTGCTTTTTTTCCAGGGTGAAATTTCATCTCGATTGCCTTCGATTGTCAACTGAGAGAATTGAAAGTGTCAATCAAAAAGTTATTTCATTTCGCCCGGAACGTTTGAGAATCTTACGGATCGATAATTTTACTTATGCTTTAAGAAATCTCAACGGAAATTTTCTCCGACAACAAACTGGTTGTTCAGGATCCGCAAGTTGTAAGGAGGTTTAATGTTTAAGAAGCCATGCACAAAAATGGACATTTTCGATACGGGACGTCCAGCGGATGTTTTTAAATGTGAAATTTATTCAAATCACAATGTCAAAGGTCAGTACTGGACAATTTTTCTAAACTGCTGTCCGAAGCCATTAAGTTTCTTTCAATGGGAACTTCTTAGTTTCTTAATGCTCTTTTGAAAATTCAGACATTAAAAGGGTTGATTGTCAGTGAAATAATTCTTCAAGTCACAATGCTAACATAAATTTATGAGCGCTCTTGAAAAATTATACAAAATTGTAACATATATTAGAGTTTGAAATTCTCATAGCTACATAAATTTATTCACGAAATTCAATGCAACTGAAATTCAACTAGAAGTCAACCTAAAAGTCCTTTGAAAACTTTCTTGAAATTCGATTCAATTTTCTCAAAATTTATGAAATTTATTCAGGATTCGTGATATGAATTTCAAATAATGCGATTGTGATACATTCTTCAGCTAAAAGCATTTTATGCTTCGAGAAAAAAGATACACAAATAGAAATGTGTGAAAAATTCTCGTTGTGTGATTTGAATGATTTAAAATTCGTATGCAATCATTTCTAGATTTTCTTGAATGGCTTTTTAAACATAATTCGACAACTGTTTCGTTTTGCTTTAGCTCGTCAAGTATTCAATTGACAATCTCAAAGATAGAAACACCAGGACGTGTTTGTTATCTTGAAGAAACAAAAGGTTTAATGGTACAAACTTGAATTGTTTTTTGGTAGCAAACAGACACCACATGAAGAACATTTTCTCACCATTCTCATCGAGTACATTGCACATTCTAAAGACAAAATTTGTGTTAAGAATTTGTGTAAATTTAAAAAAGATTGAAATGCCTTTTGTTACATTAACTTTTATCAAACAAAACAAATCTTCTCTCCCTCAATGCTTTGGCTATGAACCCGGCATTCGATTCTCATTGAAGAAAAGGATCGACTTTTGTTTAAAATGCGATCCTATAAATATTTTTCCAAATCATTTTACAGTTACGCATTCCTGTGGTCCCTTCCAATTCTTGTCTTGGTCATAAGATAGATTCAAAGACGATGATAACGCTACTAGGGAGGGAGAACATGATGTTGCTTTTGTTTACGACAATTTTTATTGCGGTGATACATTCAATGGTTTTAAACACAGTTAGATATTTCTCGGGTGGTTTCTTGGTTACTATCTAACTAGACTGTGATTGATTGCAATGTTTTGCAAATGTTTAAAATTGTTTCTCCATCCATCAGTGTCACAAAATAAAAATTACACACATTCAACACCCTCGAATGAGTGCAAAATTTATTGGTGAGGTTTTCCTTTTAAACTTCTTTAAAAGCGCATGCTTTAATCTCATGGAAATCATATATAAATATAATTTCTACTATCCTTCAGAATGATATTAAAATGAGATAGGCATTAAACCTATTCAAAATATTTAATAAATAAGAGATTATGTGATAAATGAACACTTCTTTTATGAGAAGTTTTGAAAAGTTTTCAATAAATATCTGTATCTGATACAATTTGTAATCCTTTTAGTTATACCACACAAACCATAATCGTTAAGTTTCTATAGACACTTTTAATTCACGTAGATAAAATATGCTATTTATGAGACTGATGAAGGGATAAATGCCTGATTTCACCTTCAAGTGAGCGAATCAAATGCTCATTGTTGTTGGTGAGAGAGTTGTTGAGCTACTGAGTTTGGTGCTTATTTACGGTTTGATGATAATACGATGCTTCAAAATTTAAAAGGCTCAACATCTATCACATTTTGGTGAGGGTGAAATTAATCAGCTTTTGTTAAAATACTAAAAAATTCGTCCCCACTTTTCAGCTTCTGTCATTAATACTTACAAATATCAGACTTTCTGTGTAAAACATTTCTATAAAAACCAACATTGTAATAAATGATCTCGCATGTCACGATAATAATCGCCATTTGTTAGTCGAGATTGCACTTTGCATTTATGCATACAACCGCGAAAAACCAGCTTTTAAGATAATCTTGTCTTACCTCGACAAAGTGGTTTTAATTAAAATGTCAACAAAGTTCAACCATTGTAAATTGTTAAGCCGTCAACAAGTACCCACAAATGATGTCTTTTTGCGATGTTTCTTTGCGGTTAATGTGCAACTGACTACATTGAAAAGAACGACTTAAGAAATAATTTCTCACAATGCATGGCCACAAATTGTTAACATTGGAAAATGAATAAGCAATGTGACATCATTGAATGTTGAATGCTTTCACATCTTCTACAAAACGTATCACTACTGGAATGTAAATAAAGTAAAGAAGCTCATTAGCTTGCAATTTTCGACTATACAGAGTTTTGATTATTTTTCTCACGCTGCAAAGTTAACTTTATCGATATGATACAGATGAAAACTAGTTACTCACTCAAATATCTAAAAAAGTGGATTTAAAACATCAAAATATTTAATGTGCAAGTGGTTAGTACTTAAATTTTCTTCAACTTAACTGATTCATTTTGCAAAATCTCATCTGTTCAACGATAAAAATTAATAATAAATCGGTGTGAAAAAACTTTTAACGAAAATATATTTGAGAGTCTGATTTTGCCTCACAAAACGTCGAAGGTCAGTTGTGACATTTTTAAAGAGAGATAATTTTCGTTTGGTTGTTTCATGTCGACTCAATAATATTATCATGCATGTGTAATATGAGACTTCAACAAAGACATTTCTAGACTAATTTATTGGTCATTATACATTTTTTATCCTCCTTTATCTCATGTTAGTGACATTTTTATTTCATATCCAAATTTAGAAAACATCACCGAATGTCTATTTAGGAAAGAAATTGAGCAAAAACATTTTCTGGAAGCGACTCAAAGGCTGAGAAATGCAAATATTTCAAATGAAATTCAAGCTTGTTGATGTGAAAAGAAGAAATCGACCTGACAACGAGACAGAAATTTCACGCTGAATTCTTCTCCCGACATGTGACTGATTTATTTTTGTGTTCAAATCGTTAATTGATAAAACTTGATTGTTTCTACTTTTCCTTTGAACTGAGAAGAAAATGAAAAACAAGTCGCAATGACTTAAAAATATTTTCTTTATTCTTTGGCAGTCGATTAAAAAAACATTAAGAATGTTTGTGTGCGGAATGCGCGCAACTAGCTCGACTTTGTGTAGTCTGGTCAAATTTCATTTGATCTTGTTTGTTGTTTTATTTCAACATTATGAGACTTCAGGAAAATTGGAAAAATACACATTAAAAGGCAAAACAAAAAAAAATTCAAGATTCTCTTATGTTTTTCTTTTCAAAAGAAAAAACGCATTTAAACTCAATTTTCTAGAAATAAAATTTATTAACCACAGAAATCGATTCGCTTCATTAAAATCGGATTTATGGGCATTTGGAGATTACGTTTCTTCCAGTTCTAAATTAAATCTTTTTCTCACGAATTTGCAAGAAAGAAATATTTACGTCCGTATATCGTTCACAAAGGATTTGTGTGTCCGTTCAAAGTTAAAGTTTTAAGGATACAAAGAAAAGGAAAATATTAAAGGAAAAATAGTCTTGCGCAAGGTAAATGTTCAGAAAGTAAGGGTGAGTTTACTTCATACGTCCTTCCAATGGGGTCATTTGATGTCCAGTTATGCTAGCAGCATCTGTTCGATATTCATTCTTCTGTAAGGAAGATTAATGTTTTTTCGACGGTATTTAAATTTTCTTTCGCAAGGAGAAGAGAGTTTGAAGTAACGTGTTTTTTTTGTATGACCTTTATGCAGCTCAAACAGGGGATGTGATGATCAACAATCATTTGAATACTGTAGGACTTCAGTTTTTAATCTTGGAAGCTGTGTGAGGTGAAAAAGGTCTTAACACGCACTCTCGGACCATATCTTATGAAAATTTAAATATTTTTATTGATGCTGCCTGACGTTTGACCTGGTGGCGTGATTTAACATGATACAAGTTTATTCACCGACATTTTAATGGCTCAATATTGTCAACGAAAAAACCTTTAATTGATGATTCATACTTATAAGTTATAACTATCAGTAGAGAATTTATTAAAATTCAAAATCCACATCTATGAACGCACTCGACGCTCAATAATAGTTCCAAATTGCGTCGTGAATTAATTTATTTAATATGGTTTAATTGAGCTTGTTTAAGTTTTCTATCAACGTCGAATGAGTCAAGAAATAAAATTTAGATTACGAATCAGCTCACACTGAAGCTTGCTGATTAAATGGAAGCAAAAAAATCATCGTTGATTCGACACAAACAACAATAATTGATAACATTTGACATTGATGCGCAATAAAGTCCGAGAACATCACAATTCGTCGCTTAATAATATCGATAATTTCGTTTCATTTTCCACATTGTTTTGAATTTCATTCTGCCTTCATCCCGTTACATCAAAAGTCCCAAATATCCATTTACAAATTGAATTAAAACTAAATTTTTCATGTCTGTGACCAAATGCAAGCAAGCTACAGAGTAAATTTTTCCCGGGGGGAATTGACATGAAAAACTTTTCTACCGCTCCATAAATTTCTTGTTTTTGCTTTTGTGTATTGTAGAAGTCGATGGTGAATGTCCGGGTGAATGTGAGAGTTGGTGGAGGTTTTGACAACCATATCACCATTTTAACCCCCAGAAGCGATGCCTGAATCTCGCACTGAGCAATCACAAAACGATATACTCCCCAACCCGTAAAGGCCGTGAGCGAGTGAAAAAGTCTTTTGCCCTGCCACATGATCCATACACAACAAAGTTCTCACACACATTAACCAAACGATTCGGCATCTACCAATCGATATGTAACGTTTTTTGTCAGGCGTGGCCTCATGTATGGTAAAAGCAAGTAATCAACATCAACACTGTGTGCTGTGAAAAGAAATCGTTGTCGAGATGTGCTATGGTAATGTAAATGTGTGCGTTTTATAGCATGTAGCGATAGCGTAGAATGAAGGAGAGGAAATAAATTGGTAGTGGGGTAAACAGGTCGTTCAAGTCGGGTCGGGTCGTGTACCTCTGCACTGACTTATTCTGGCAGTCACTGAAAGGCCTTTGATACTGAAGCTCTATCGCTCTTTCGCCCGAGAAAAAAATACAAAATTAAATTTTTCTTCATGCACAAACTTTATAAAATCACACAAAATATTTTATCTTGAGAAATTTATTTTCTTTCGATTTCTTGATAAAATGAATTTTATTAGAAACTAAAATCGTCGCAGTTTATTAAAGGTTGAAAGAAACAAAAAAATAAATATCTAAATAAAAAAATCATTCAGTGGAAAAATGTCAGTGAAAAAACAAAAGATTTAAGATTTTAGGTGAATTAGAAAGATTGTGCAATTTAAAAAGAATTGTGAAAAAGAAAATCGCTCATCAGAAAAAAAAGATTGTGCAAAGGAATTCTAGTAAAAAATTGTGGAAGTGATAAAAGTAAAAATCCAAAGAGAATTTTAATTATATCCAGATTATTCAAAAAATCTGATTTAACCAACTCTCTATTTGAAGAATCATATTGAGAGAAAGGGAATAAAAACTTTAGATTTTTTTTCATAAAATTTTCAATTAATTCAAAATTTTCCTTGAGAGCGTGGGGCCCCCAGCAGATTGCGGGGCCAAGACCGGCAACATTATCACTCACAATGCACTCAGTGTGTACGGTGGTGGAGTTTTATGCCCATCACCGTCCACTGCTTCGGGATTTTTCAATCCACGCAGTCAAGCGTCGGATTTGAGTCCACTTGAGCTGGGATTTTCTCGTGGAATGGGTCTCGTTGCGCCACCACCGCATTCAGGGTGGCGTGATACAAGTTTATCAAATCACATTGGATCAGTCTCTACCAATGATGATCTTACAACATTGGCACCATCTCAATCACTTTTGTCACAATCACAACCGAAATGTGAACTTTTATCACAATCAACTCCATCAAAATGCGATTTACTTCCAATGCAACAAAATTCAAATTCCAATGGAATGCATCACAGCAATGCAAATGGAACTTTATCAAATAATAATAATAATAACAATAATAATTCTACAACTAATAATAATAATACCACGACGTCTGGATCATCTTCAATCGGAAGTTCAAATGGAACTCATGTTAGCGATGTGAAAAATCAAAATATCGAATGTGTCGTTTGTGGTGACAAAAGTTCAGGCAAACATTATGGACAATTTACATGTGAAGGTGAGTTAACGGCTTTTAATATTTTTTGTTTGAAAAATTGTCGTCTGCAAATCCATTTAATAACGTGATTAATCTGTGCTCACCCCTTTAATGATTTCTTTGTATACTTAGTTGAAGTTCATTTGAATAATTCTTGTCTGACATCAAAACGTTCGGTCAAAATGTCAGAATCCGTCAATTAATCTTGAAAAACTTGATTTGTATCATAAAAAAATAAAAGAGAATATTATCTAAAAAATGAAAAAAATGAAAACTTGCATAAGTCAACGAATTTAGCAGAAAAAGATAATTTATGTAGGGGAAATATTTACCAGATCAAGTTCAAAGTTTGTGAGAAATCAAAATAAATGATTTTTAATGAAGATGTGACTGAAAACAAGTTTTAATAAAAAAAAAGAAAACAGCAATTGCAACTTTTTACCTGAATCATATTTCACAAAAAAATGTAAGGTAATTGATAGCTGCAAAATCAAGGAAATATCAATTAATGATATTTTGATTGAAATATATACAAAAATATATCAAGACGGAAATTTTATTTATAAATATTCAATGACGTGATTTCATTTAAAAATAAAATCATTTTTAATTAGAAAATTGATAAAAAGAGTAAATAAATTGTCATTAAAAATTATTGTCCATTCGGAGATATCGCGGCTTCTTAACAAATCTTAAGTCGGTGCAATATTGGCTCATATTGAAGATGATTACAAAACCGAAAAGAAATCAGAACAGAACACAAAAACGAAATTGGAATTGCAAGAAAATATGAAATAAGCAAAAAGCATCTCAAAACGGACCGTGAAGAGAGAGATCGTAGGTCACGATTTATTTTTATAAATTTATTTTCTCTTCTTCTGGGTATCTTCCCATGCCCGATGCCTGTGCAACAGCAAATATCATTTTTCGGTTTACATAAAACTTCCGTAAAGTATCAAATTAGCTGCAACTATGAATGTTACAATAAAAACATGATCGCCCGATCTTGCATGGAATTCAGATAAATTCATGAGTTTAACCTAATCAGGAAAGTCTGAAGATATCATTAAAACAACCGATATAAAAAGTGCTTATTTCAATAAGTAAAGAACAAAAATCTCTTCAAGACAAAAGTACTTAATCAAGTTAATTCCATGTTTAGAACAATTTTTCTGCAGATATATGCACAAACAATAGTCCGATGATTCTTTTGAACTAATTTCATTCGCCTTCATGCATTGAGGAATTTTTACAAATTCCCTTCCATTTATTGGTCTTTCTTGAATATCTATAAAAATAGGATCAGAAAAAAAACTAAAGGAACATCTGAAACATGATAGAAAATAAGCTTGACAGTTTAGAGAATAATTTACTGCAAAGCAAAATGATTTTCCTTAGATTTCATTACATTGAAGACATTCCATAAATACTTTCATCCGCAGCGACAATATGTACATTAATGTACTTTCTGCCCTGTCCAAATAGTTTTTCTTCTTTTCCTTCTCAACAGTTTCGTGATGTGCTGGTTATTGAGTTCGAAAAGCGAATAAATATCGGGTCAATAAGAATATCATTTAATATTCATGCGATAATAAAATCAGCGCATAAATTTTGTAACCGAAGGGCTCAGACACATCGCAAACAAGATTTTTTTAATGCATTAATGCTGAAGGAAAAGAGCAAATCGATTCGGATTATGACATGTTTTTTGACACGTTCTCAAGAGCTTTGAAAGTTCATTCAATTGAGAAATGTGACACTTTTTGTTTATTTATATTGATGTCAGCCATGATCGGGGTCAATCATTGACTTTTAGCTAAAGAAATGAAATATATTATGAGAGATTAATAAATCATATTTTTCATAAATTTCACATTCAATCGCATCATGAAATTGATAAAATGAAATGTTAATTATTGAGTGTCGATTTTAAATACGTTTTGTTTTGAGGAAAAAGCCCGTGAAAATTTTAAGAAACTGAAAGGAAAGTGTGTTTATTCAGTTTTCAATTTTATGAATGTAATAAATATTTTGGAAGAAAAATATTTTTTAATTCTCTGAAAATTTCATAAAACACTTTTTTTTAACCAGAATTTTTTTTCACTCTTGAAAAACTATTTTCCCGCAGTCACGTATATTTTGCATAGTTCCTTTTTCTTACTTCTTTTCTTATATCAAATAAAATAGATTTAAATGAAATGCCGCTCGCGCACACTTAATATAGCAAACAAAAAAAAGTTGACAAGTTTATCTTCATTTACTCTTGAGATGAAGCATAGAGAAAAAAAATAAAACGGAATTCTCGGCGGAATATATTTATTTAGTTTGCAGGTTGATACAAAGCGGGAAGATAAAGAAATCATAACAGGCATTGTTCCGCTGCTCGTGGACTGATTTCATAATTTTGATAATTTGCATTCTGTTGTGGTACGAGCTGCCTTAATGCAGTTATCGTCAACCACTTCTCCATTCACTGTTGCACAGTTAATTTTAATATTGTTGCCTTCAGAACTTCAGAAGCTAAGAGAAAATTTATATTTATTAATTGAGATAGTGTTTGCGTGTCGTCATGAATTGTAAAGAAAAAGATAGAAAAGATGACAATTAATTGAATGATTGTTTCTGTGACAAATTACACAACTGCATAGAAATACGAACAGATGTTGTTGCCACGATAACCAAAAAAGAAACTAGAGCAATTAAATAAAATTTTCTGACATTAGTTCTGTAATAATTAGAAGCTTCATGTTGTTCATATTAATGCACTGTGAAAATCAAATTAAAACGGTTTACAGCTTTTTTTCGGTTAGATTTTAGAGCTGAAACATGCTATTGCAATTTTTTCTCGCGCTTATGCGATCATGACGATGCTGTTATAGTTAATGTTTCAGCACCATGTTATTTATATTGTTACTCAATAGCATGCTTTACAATAGACTTTCGATAGTGCAAAAATTCTCGTTGCGGTCAATTTATAGGATCGAAACATAATTTCTTCGAAGAATGTTCAACTTATTGGGCTTCGAAGAACGGGGCCGTATCATCAATAATTTATGATTCTCTTATTTTTCTTTGTTACAATACAACAGATATATTCTTCTCTGCTCATATCGTTCTTAATATTTTTTTCGTCTATCATCCAACAAGATATCGTGAGTGTTTCGCGATATTTCTGGTCCATGGGATGTGTACAAATACCGCTAGTAAATTGCAGTATCTTAACACAGTTGCATGAGAAAAAATAAAGAAATTCAAAGCCAAAACATTGAACTTGCTTGTGCGAAATCTTGACTCAGCTGAAACCTTCTTTTCCACACATTACTTATCTTTTTTTCCATTCACTTTCTGCTTTTTGCGAAAAACGAATTCAGATGATGAAAAAAATCCATAAAGCACCGTGGAACATAAAAAATATATGAAAAAATGCATGTAACACAAAATGTTATTTCCATTATGTTGCATACATGTGTTTGGGTTTGTGGATCGCTGTTGATTTTTTCACGGAAATTCTTCAACTAAACGAAACGAGCCAAGCCTTAACAGTGAGCTTGAAATCATAAAGAAGGAAAATAATTCTTCTGATGTAACATGAAACAATAAAAACCAAAACAATTCCACCAAAAAAAATGGGATGATAAATTTTTAGTTTGAAAAAATCTTTCTGATTCGGTGGGAATTATGAAAAAATATCGATAAGAGCGATCGTGTAGAAATTTATTGAGTTTAATAAAATTATCGAAGCACTGTAGATGTTTCATTTAATTTAAAATGTTCGCCGATTTCGTCTCATCATTTTCATGTTAAAATCACTCTCCTGACTGTTACAAAATTATATTAATTTATTTCATATTATTAATAGTGGCTAAAAGTTTCATCCACTACTTAAAAAATATTTTTATGAACGATAAAGATGATCAAAGTTTTTAATACAAAAAATGGAACATTTTATCGCCTTTCGGAACAAAATTTGTTAATTAAAGTGCTAATTATGTAAATTTGAAGATGAACAAATATTCTTTTTTCACAACACGAACCTTGTAACTGAGAAGTTCTATTTCAGCGTTGTGGTGGGTCGCATGGAGAATTACAATTTATTTACCTTGCAAAAAGTAATTTTTCGATTGTTGAATTATTGTTGGGTGTTTGTTTATATTTCTCCCTCATAAGAATTAAGAAAAAAAAGAGTTTCAAGTGCACCACAACATAATTGAGTTTTTCTTTCCATTGAGTTATAAGAAGCAGTACTTTGTGCCATACTAGGCACTTGCCCTCAGAACAGAATAAATTTTTTTACCTTAAATGGTTGAACATTATTCGTGGTCTGGTTTCGACAATGTTTATAAAGACAAAAGCCTTCGAGAACACATAACGCTTCGTCATTATGTTGCGCCGTTCAAGCAAAGTACTTAATAGAAGCAAAAAAAAAGAATTAAACGAGAAAATGAAAATGGCTTTGTTCGAGAGGCAAAAGAGTAATTTAATTAAAGTCGCTCTCCACCCACACAATCAACTAGGGCATTTCGGACCAGAAGTTAAGTGATTCACAGTGAATGCTCGATGCTAGCTAAATCATACAGCTAATTGCCTTCCATCTGGATGCCTAGATCTCATGATGTGATGTTTCGCAATATGTTTATCTCATTTATAAGGGCCACAAAAGATAAAAAAAAGACGAAATTATAACATTTACTAATTACTCACTGGTAATAACAACATCACTGAGGTTAAAATAATTAATCTTCTTCAATCATATCTTCGCGGAGCGATATGGGAAGCAATGTTTCTCACAAAAGACACGGCAATACTGCGCAAAAACAAAGTTTAAAGTAGTTTCTTCCTTGTGTACGGAGACTGACTTTTAATTATTGAATGGATTTTGTGGTGCCGCATGCTGTATTGCTCAACTCATCGAAAACAAATTAATACCTTTTTTATTTATTTACAGGCTGCAAATCATTCTTCAAACGTTCAGTTCGAAGAAACTTAACGTACTCATGTCGGGGGAATCGAAACTGTCCGATCGATCAACACCATCGGAATCAATGTCAATATTGTAGATTGAGAAAGTGCCTCAAGATGGGAATGCGACGAGAAGGTAAGTCCAACACGCTTCTCTTATTTAACATCATGCAACTCGGAAGTTTAAATAATGACCATAACTTCATGCGATCTTTATGATCTTTTAAGTTTTGGTAAACCACTGCAAATATGACGCTGCTCTAGCGTTAGATCAATTTCTTTTTCGTCTTTCAAAAGTCTCTTAACGTAAACTCTTTTCATCTCGATTGTGTCTGCCAACAATACAATTCAATGACTCACAATCGCTTTATGTTGATCTAATGAAAAGTGATTTGACTTTTACATTGTTAGTCTTTCGCGACTGCTCGCGCAACGAACAATGGTGAGAAAATTAGAACGCCGGGGCTAGCGCAATTTAAACGGCCAGCCATTGATCAGGACTGAGCCCAAAAACCAATATTGTTCGGTTTTAAATTAAATTTAAGATAAAAAGGAGAAGAAAACCAACAATCAAGAGTCAAAAGTCGATAACCTTTTCTCTTTTTTATGGTGTTGTAAGCGACTTGTCGATGATTCAAAACTGATCTTGAGCTTTTCGGAGCAAAGTAAAAGATTTTGGGGTGACTAGAGTATTTTTAACGAAGATATTGCATAATAAACAAATCTTTACATCACATGATAAATTCAATAATCTAGTTTACCTAAAGTTCCCAAAAATGCACAAAAGAGGTGGAGATGATGAATTTCGTGTTGGGAATTGTTGTTGCTTCTCTTTCGTATGGGTTAATTCGGCTGACAGGTCATCAATTTACTTTGATAGATCTCCTTAAATATTATTACAAACAATTTTTCTTGTTATTCTCTATAACAAAACGTTTACACATGACGATCGGGTTGAGTAAAGATAATTTTACATCGGAGTGTGGATATATTTTAAATCAGCATCTTAGCGTGACGCTTTGACGCTTCAAACACACGTCGAGTGATTATTTCTTAATTCTTATCAATTATTTTCTAATTCCTTTTCCATATTTACAGTGGTTTAATTGAATAATTATAAGCACATCAGGTGCATAATTTGAAATCGGAAATAAATAGAAAATGTGGAACGGAATAATGTTTATTGATATGAGGAAGACGGAAGTTAATTAGATTGCAAAAAATATGCAACATGCTTATAAGCAAAAGAATAAATACCTAACTCTAATTTCCCTGCGGCTGTTAATAATAAGTAGAAGCAACGTAATTAGTTGACATGCTTCTTAGTTCCTTAACATTTTCTTTTTTCATTCTAAACTTTATCTTTGCGGATGTGAATAAGAAATGTTTGCATCAAATAAAAGAGATCAAGCGGTGTGTATTACACAATGAGTCCTTTAAAAAGTATCAAACAAAACTCAATGCTCAGAAAGAGGCTTATAGAGATTTTGATTCCAAACAAAAGCTCAGTTGGTTGCCATTTTTTGGTACATCCAAGCGGCTTTTAATATATTAAGAATAAGTATGTATGTTATAAATGTAAAGAAAAGAAACCGACGGGATTTGGGTTGTGCAACGTTGCCAGAATTTCTTAAGCCCATCAAACGACACCATAAACGTTCAATTTCAAGAAAGCATCCCTAATTGATGAAATATATTTTGCAATAATTCTTTTTCACGCTTCTTTCCAACGTCGTCTCCGGTCTCTTCCCTTTTAACCCTTTTGTCGTTGTTTTCTTTGTTCGTGCCCAAGAGATCGTTTTCCATAATGACATAACATTCTATTCTTCTCTCCGCAAACACATATCATCGAGCGATATGTGCGTCTCCAGCCTTTTGTCTCGATATGCAAAATAGTTTTTTACTCATTTCGTTGTGTTATCACCCATTGCACGACCCCGAATTAGAATAAGAGAAGATTCAGGTACATGGATGGGAAAATAAGATTGCAGAATAATCTTTCAAGTAAATAGAATTAATTTTAATGATTACCATGTTTACTTAGCAAACAAACGGTGACGATACTGAACACTACATAAGGCTCATTGTAAGATCCTTCTGACTTTCCCTCGAAGGTCAAAAGTTTTCAACTCAATCTTGTTTTGAACTTCGACGAGAAACTTCAATCATCTTAGGTTGAAAATGTGTCAAATTCTTCAAATGCCCATAATTTCTAAACTTTTATCGGCAACAGCCAATCGACTCATAAATGGTGATGTCATGACAGTGCAATTTTATGATGGCGAAAAAAATGAATGTATGTATGTACACTGTACAGAAAGAAACGTTAAGTGTTTTAATCTTCAGTCTCATGTCCATCATTATTATCAACATTTTTCATTTTATGGATGGCCATGAGTACAGTTTTTAAATGCTTAGAAGTTTCAAATTGTTTCAAACTTTCATACAATTTTTTTGTCTTCTCTTAAACATATTTTAAATATCGACAAGCGTGAAGATTTGAAACCAAAACGATTTCAGCTGGTCATCCTTTTGGCAACTGTTACTTACCGTACAATAAACGCTCAAAGCTTCACATTAAACTTCACAAATCTTCACCAAATACAAAAACTATAAGATTCTTTTTCAATTTTTTTTTGTTAATCACTTGTTTATGAATTTTTAATTGACGTATATTGATGTTCGTCTTTTTCATTGAAGCCAAGTATTGGAACTTCAAGTACCTTCAAACACGTGCTGTAAAATCAACGTCTATTAAAAGTCATGAGATCTTAAAATGAAGTGTATGGAAGAGAGAAGTGAAAATAACGTTCAATTGAGATGACACTTCATAGGATTTCATCAAGTGTTGTTCAAAGTATTTATTACAAGCCATTCATTATTGTTGAGTTATAATTCAAAAGCCGTTTGCTTGTCGAAATCTGAAGATGACTCTCATAGCCAATTAACAACAAACGTAGCGCGTCCATAATTTCTTAAATTTCTATTTGCTTTACAAACTCAAATGATATTTAACGGTCTTTGACTGTGCGTTTCTTTCTCTTCTCAAAATCTATTGAGTGAATAACATTAATCTAAAATCCAGTTCCTGTAAGGATCTTTCTTATGTATTTTATGCTGTATGTTTTTATGCAATATTCAGCTTGCGAACCCCTTAGAATAATAAAATTCTTCTCTCTTACATAAATTAAAAACCAAATTTTCTATTCATTGACCATCGGTCATCGTTGTGAAAATAATTTTAATAATCGACAAAAGGAAGAATAAAAACTGGAAATGTCTTTCGCTTAGATTATAAATCTGGGAATAACACACACTTAGAGTTTATTGTTTGTCGGATCTAAAAATACATTCGACAAGATGTCCAGATATATTCTTTTGTCTATGATCGATGTGCGTGAGGGGCATATAGGAAGACGTTTCAAAAAAATATTCAAATATTTATGAAAACGATTTTTGTTTGCGTTTCGGATTGTCTTTAGGTTTATATTAAAGGAAAAGTTTTGATAGCTTTAGAAGATTTGCTTCTTTTTTCATCAACTTTCATCGAACAAATTTCATCGAATTCCTACATTCTTCATTCTATGTCTTGACATAAAACAACATAAATATCTAAATCTAATAAATGTTTCCCTGAAAAAGTTCGTTATAAATTCTCATGCAACTCATCATTACGCATTCATCACCAAAAAAACCTTTCATGGAAAATGTCCAAGTCCAATTAATTTGATTAATTATTTTTCCAGATGAAAAGGTAGCTTTTTGTTGAAACTAAAAGTAATTGAATATTTTCCCAGTCATAGGCGACCTTAACAACATATCCTTTTTCACCCTTTCCTAAAAGCTACCTTTGGCATTGAAAGGATCAAGTCATTTGGGTTCAGGTGCTGAAATTCTAAGACAAGTAAAGTAAAATCATTTTTCTTACCCTTTAAGGGGTTCAATAGATGGAAACATATTCACTGGAAGCAATTTCGATCATTTAATCAAATGACACAAACATTTCATGTGTGAATTATTTTAACTTGAATTGAAAATGAAAACTGTTAGCTATCAAACTTCTCAATATCTAAAGTTAAAAGTAAAAATCTGGCTACAAATAAACAAACAAATTTACAACAAAGATCAACAAATTTACGTTTCACTATAAACTTTCAAAAACATTAAAACTCATATGAAATTTATTTTAATCTTTGTATGCAAACTGAATTTATAATCACAATCATGCTCCATCGACTTCATGTTGTTGTTTCTCATACCTTTATTTCGCATCTCACTTCTTACTTCTTAAGAAATCGACAAGGAGAAAGAAAGTATCATATTTCTATGTTATAGTTTCTTCACATAACAAACAACGCTTGAAAACATTTTCTTTGGAAATTACGATATTTGGGACTTTATTTAGCTAATTCTCGGGATCTTCATTTGACTCATTTTCAAAATAGCGAACATGATACTTATCTCTGTTTTTCTGAATAAATAAGATCCTTTTCGTTTGTGTTTGCAAATGCTTGCCATCAGTAATGTGCCTGATGTTCAACAAAGATTACCTGCGTCTTCTAACCTAATAGCAACCTTTTACAACGCGTCTGGCCTGAATAAGATTTTTTTTTACACAACACGGAACAATAGTAAATTATTAAAATATTTAGACCTCATATGGTCACGTCCGGTTTACGGTGAATGATACATTTGAAGAGTTTCACTCCTGATGAAATGATTTGCATAAAGTTTAAGTGAATTAATGCGATTTGAAGGATTTCAAATCGTTTCCCAGCTGAAAAAAGTAAAATCAAACTTAAGGAAAAGTTTCTCAGGCATAAGAACGCTGAAAAGTGTCGAAAGGGTTGGAAATGTAAAAAAAAAACAGTTGAATGAGATTTCTGGTTTGACCAGTGGTCAGTTACATTTTAAGTTTTCAAGAAAAGGTAAGAAACCTTTAGAATAACACCAAAGAACTAAGCGATGAACATTGAAAGGGTTATAAATTGTTCTTCAAACACAAATCGAGCGAACCCATGAAAACAAAATTATAAGAATTAAATCATTTTCCCACAATGCACATGTGCAGTCTGCGATCGATGCTGATATGTTTGTTTGTAATCTCGTCTTGAACAAAATGAAATTTGCGTGGAACAGGAATGTATAAAATAAATTTCGAGTTTCTTTGCACATATTCACCAAAAATACGCTAAAAACTAACGTAAAGTTGTTCTCGTCTTGCCTTTTCATCTGATGATGTTCATGATCATCAGATGATGATGATGATGTGGAATGAATCATAAGATTAAATTTAAGAATAAAAGGAATGAAAATTAAAAGATATTTTTTAGCGTCTTTCATCTCTTCATGTTTACTTTTATGGAGATTTCGAGCAATTTGTTAACTAAACGTGATATTATGCGCCTCCATCTCATCTACCTAGTTATAATAGTTTTTCTTAACTGATCGTATTTATTAGCTTGTTAGAAAACTTAGATATTGTCAACCTTGTTTTTTTTTCTTTTATTCTTTCATTCTCGTTTAATTTACTCTCGATCTTCTTTCACTCTTCTCAATGTTATCTCACACGCTCATCAGCACCTAATAAAATCATCAAAATATTTTGAAAACATTTTCAACTAAACTTCTTCTGATGTATGAAATCTATCATCTTCAGTTCAACTGAACAACAGCAGTAAGAGTTTAAAAGAAAAATAAATAAAACCGAATGCGAACAAAAGCAAGTTAAATGATTTCAGTGCACGAAAGAGGTGAAAAAAGGGGTCAAAAGAGGTCTCTGTGTTGAGGAAGTTCTCATTTCTAAATAAAGAAAAAAAAGCTTAAGATCGATTATGTGTTAGGGATGCTGTCTGACTAACACAAAAAAATTCAGGGTATAAGAGGTTTTTATAACTCGACAGATTTTCGGGTTAAAGGCATAAAAGGCACGCGATTCACCTTTGTTGTTTGTTGTGATGCTTTGGGTACAGACACAAACGGTAGACAAGCTTTTATCAAGAGGTTTTTTTGGTTTTGTTTGTGACTTTAAACGAGCGACTAAGAGATTTGAAACGGGATAAAAGATCTCATTCGGGGCTTATTTGAGGTTTGTAAGTTTACAATAAGAAGCAGTTAAAGGGGTTAAGGAAAATAAACATTTTAACATGAAGAGAGATATAACAATTGCACAATTGACAAAATCGAAACAAGTTAAAAATTCATTTCAAGAATATTTTCTATTTAATTCTAGCCATTCGAAATGGAGCTTCACTCTTTGGCGGTAAATACTTTTATACACTTTTTAATAAATATTTTTAATAGCAAAAGAAGGAAAAAATATTAATAAGAAAGAAAAAAGTTTTGATGATTCAATGAGTTTGAAAGAAACGAATCATTTGAAAAGAATAGAGGTTTCTATTGGGGAGAGTTGAAAACAACGTCATTTATTCTTGAATATAATTTTATAACATCTCTTTAAAAAGAGAATTGTAACTTAATGCTTGTACAAACCCAAATACTTTAGCTATTTGAGAGAAAGATAAATGATCATAAACACATCTTGTTACCTTTAACACATTCATTGCCTTTTTTTCGTGAACGATCATTATTATCTATCACTCACAAACAGCATTAATTTCGTTTAGGAATAAGCATGAGATTCAAAAAAAAAACGAGCAAAATGATCTGTCGATTCATCTTGCGCACTGATGAGACCTCACAGACTTAATTTTCAGTACTGCTCAATTCAATTAATGATCGACTGTTATTTGAACTTTTAAGCGATCTCTTGATTGTCATATTCGTTGCTCTTTAACTGAACAGAAATTAACCTTTACCACATGTGAAACTCTATTGAAATTCCTTCTTTGGAACTCATCAATACATTTTCTGTGATGTGAATTTTTATGAAAGAGTAAGAAGTATCATTTAAAAGCAATGAAAAGGCTTCCGCAGACCATAACCAGTGCATTTATGTCAATAGAAAAAATTAAAAATGTATCTAATTTGAACTATCCTTAATAAATCTATATGTCCAAATAACTATTATTAAACATTACAATTGAAATTTCTTGAATGGCATTGCAGAAATGGCGTCTTTAATCGAGTTGAATAAAATAAAACTAATTAGCTATTCTCAAGATTGTACACATGAATCATCAGGTCAAACGCGAATGCAAATTCAGTTTGTTGAAAAAGAATCTCAAACTATCAATTTAAGTTCATCAAACTTGAACATTTCGTGCAAGGTTTGCAATTCATTTGAATCCAAAATAAATACAACGAACATTTAAACCAATTTGCTTCAATGAAAGCTCTGAAAAGAAGGAAAAAAATGTTGCAAGTGGCGTTAACAATGTTTTCCCGAACTAATTTCCAATAATGTGAAATATTCTGTGACTAAGAGACGAGAAAATAAAAAAAAGAGTAAAGAAATATGTATCAATTAATTAAAGGTAGAAAAAGGAGTAATTTTGAGCCACGTTTTTTTGTTTCTTGTGAAAATAAGAGCAGACAAACAAGATGAGTGAATTCTTTCGCGTTGTTGCGCAAGCTGCTCTTAAAGTTTCCTTCAACGGCAACACCAAAACAATCATGAAATTCACATTAAACAGAGAAGTGCAAATGAAAGACTTTGTCTTGAAAGAACAAAAAAAAAGTAAAGACAGAAAAAAACTTCCATCTGACGTTTCTCTTAGCTCTTTCAACTTACTTTTCCACCTTCTCCGACCGAGGCATTCTTTTATCTTTTTCAGTAAATCACACGAACATTTATGTGGATACTTTTTCTCTGTATATAAAAAGTATTTTTGAATTTTTGTAAGAAAGTTTCAACTTTGCACGTTGTCTTGTTGACGGTTTTTCTAATGAAATCTCTTTGAAGGCTTTGCGACGAGTTTAGTTGTGTCGAAAAGGTTGACCAGATTTAATTCACATTAAAGAAAGAAATTTAGGATTTTCAACATTCCTTTCAATCTGTTTACCTTTATTCGTCTGCTTGAGGCAACTAAATACTAAAAGTCTCATGACTATTAACAACAGCGAAAACAAAATATAATCTCATTAGTTTGCAATTTGTTGCACTTTTGTAAGCCTCAAAACAGCTCATGAAGTGAACTCATCACTACACTTCGATCTGCATTTCGGATGGCAATGAAAATCATCTTTTCCCCACATTTAAATTCATTAATGCAAAACAAATCAGTGTTAATATTGATATTTACGATTGTGAGGGGGATTATGAAGACTGAAGACTGGTTCAAGACGTGCCGCCAATGCCAGGGGCAAAATTTTATTCTCAACAAAAGACGCTGATAACTTTCTATGTTGATTTCATCCCATTTTTAAATTGTACCTGAGGTCTCAGCCTGAGTATTTCAATTTTCATACATTTTATGAAGAATGAAAAAGTGGAATCAAAAGGAATTTTTCATCTTTCAAAAATAATTGAAATGGCACCAAACAGTCTGTGATTGATTTTTCGTAAAAAAACTTCCATGATTTTTCATTGAGTTTAATCTAACGATCATCTGTAAGTGAATTCTTTCGCGCAATTGTGGTTTATGAGAACAAAACAATGTGAAATAAAAGAAAAATCAATTTCAATTAGAATCGAGAAAATGTAGTTGAGCTTAATTTGAGCTCATCACCGTAAACCTTTGCAGTTTACCGCTCAAGAATTTTTTTCTCTTTTTAATATTCACTGAAGTTTGTAAATTTATCGAAACATCATTGTCTTTACATGTTGAGTGAAGTATTATAATGATAAATCAAAATGTTTTAAAATCAGTCTTCTGCCATAAAAATGCAAATTTGAGTTGATGAAAAAATTCCAAACGAGATGCACATATGATATTGGGGGCTTGGGTGTTATAATGAGGCTGAAGTGTGATAATGATGATGATTGAAGTTATGATTTGCGGTCACTTTCATCGGCATAAAATTGATTTCAAAACCAGCACGATTCGGCATCGTCGAGAGAAATGATTTATATGATTGATTCGAATTACTGAGTACTTTAACTATACTTATGTATTCCAAAGTTGAAACGTAGCGAATAAAATAAAAGAAAATTACAATGATAAATTATATATGCTTCATTTGCATTTTATTGCACGTCCGAAAACGAATCATCACATCTAACACTTCGCGGTTCTTCGGAAAGCGCTCGAAGCATCATCATCATCATAAGAAAATTTAAAATTTTACGCGTGGAAAATTAATTTTCAATAGAAATGGCACATAAGCTTTCGATTTAACTTTGTCATAAATAGCCATTCCATTCTCTCGAATAGACCTCGCAACTATCTGCGAAGTATAACAAATGAGTTAGCTAATTGAACATTAAATGTGTTTTATGATGTACGACTAGCGCCTCAAGCGCTATAAATGCTGTGTGAATATCTTCTGATGAACTCTCTTTCTGGCTTGCGAATCAAAAGTTTCGATTAAATAAACGTGTAAATGATGTGGAAGGTTTTACTGTGTCTCAAGCAACTTGGAGTCAGTCTAATGACTTCTTGTCATCATCAACTATTAATGGGAACGATGCTTCAAGAGACATTTCTGATTTCTCGCATAAAGATCGACTTAACAAAAAAAATCATCTTCGCTAATTGAATTCTGAAATTTCTGGTGCATTATGCAAATTGAATTTTTAACATTTTCTAGAGACCGAAAAACATACTCAAACACACCGCAGAGAGTTCATGTTTGTGAGGTCGACAAATTGCAAGTCGGTGATGAAAAGGTTAATAATGCGCAGCCTTTCACGTCAATTTTCTTCAATTTTCTGATGGTTTTGATGAAATTGAAGTTTTTTTTTATTCTTTTGATATGTTAAGAAGAAATTATCTCATCCTTTATAAAATCATTTTAAATGAAAATTAGCTTTGTCTTTAAATAATTTCTTCGTTTGGACTCATCATTAAAATATTTATTCGTGATGAAAAATGTTTGTTTTCACTGTGGAAGAATAACTTTATTTTTAAAATGAAGCTGCACTTTAACTTGAGCCAAGAGATAAATGAAAGAAATTATCTCGTCATCAGTACACTTTACTCGACAATAAAAGATATTTAAGTGGCTCGTAACTTTTTAGTTTGATAAATTTCTCTCTCCTTGAAGCTTCTTCGATTTATACGTGAATGTAAATTGTAGTTTTTTATAAATAAGTAATTTATGCATTTATCGACAAACAGCAATTCATTACGTCAATTAATCACTTTACCGCGCTTCAAAGCCCTTTCGCAAAATAAATTTCCATTTGCGAAACTCATTGACGACATAAAACATAAAAAATCTCATCAAAAACGTGAAGCAAAAAAAAACCTCAACTAAAGAGTAATTACGTTGCAATATATTAGGGAAATAGTGAATAAAAATCTACGTTATGTCTTTTAATGATACAACGTCTATTACTTTACGTTCGTTATAAATTATTAAAATCTTATAATGGCTATCAATCTTAAAAGGTAATTTTTTTGTTTACATGATTTCATTATCTTGAAAATGAAAAAAAGCTTCAATGGCGACAAAACGGCCTGCGCAATGAAGGAGAAATCACTAAAACAGTTATTGCGCTATGTCATTAGCTAAAGATTTGAATGTTGATACACGAAAGGAAGGTGGAGCATTTTTGACACACTTGTTGAAATAATCTATATTTAATCTTCTGGAATGAATTAACGATATCATATCGTAATTATCATAAAATACAAACAAATTGCGTGAACTTTCATCACCTTCGAGTTGATTCCTTTTTTATAACACTTTTTCTTATATTAATTTTCGTTTCATTTCTAGCTGTACAACGAGGTCGTGTACCACCATCACAACCACCTGGTATTCCTGGCATGCATGGCCAATACTTAACAAATGGTGACGCAGCAGCAATGTGTGGATTTAATGGACATTCATATCTTAGTTCATATATATCACTGCTTCTCCGAGCTGAACCTTACCCAACTTCTCGTTATGGACAAACGTGCATGCAAACCAACAATATCATGGGTATCGATAACATTTGCGAGCTGGCAGCACGTTTATTGTTTTCAGCTGTTGAATGGGCTCGCAATATCCCTTTCTTTCCCGATTTGCAAGTCACCGATCAAGTAGCTTTACTACGTTTAGTTTGGTCCGAGTTATTTGTGCTGAATGCGTCACAATGTTCTATGCCATTACATGTGGCACCACTTCTTGCTGCGGCCGGTCTTCATGCATCACCAATGGCTGCTGATCGTGTCGTCGCATTTATGGATCACATTAGGATATTCCAAGAACAAGTGGAAAAGCTTAAAGCGCTTCACGTCGATTCGGCTGAATATTCTTGTCTGAAAGCAATCGTACTATTTACGACAGGTAAGTTACTGGATATTCTTTTTGTGGATACACCAGCCTTACTTTCCAAAATCAATCAATCCTTTTCCCAACTCAAAAACGAGAATGAACTGATGCAGATGGTAAAATCGCATTTAGAATCATTCGCTTCCACTGCAAAAACAACTTTTCAAGCAAATAATAATAACAATAGTAACACAACTAATTCCAACATAGTTCTCCCTGAACCCACCTCACCCAAAACTAATCAAAAGCTTAAATTAAACTCATCCGATAATAGTAGCATAAATCAATCTCCGCAATCACCAAACACTTCGAACAATACGAGTCTGAATAGCTCGTCTGGCAATAGTTCGGGTATTTCTGTAGGTGTTTCGCCCTCTTTGTCTTTCTATCACCATCACCAGGCTGCTTTTCAGCATATTCAAACACCGACACGTTCGTATGGTAGTTTAGATGAATTTCTTTCTAATCAGACTGATAATCCATACACTTTGAGTAACAATTTGTTTAATACTTATAATCAGTTTACTAGTAGTTTAGGTTCAACGTCGAATAATTCGAATACATCAGATTTTGCAAAGTTCTCGCCATATAGCTGGAATAGTCGTCGATAAGCCGTTCAATGTCGGCATGCGAAGCTCATTATTGAAATGTTACTTTTGCGGTTTCCTCAATTTGTATTTCGGGTTGTGTGTGAAAAAGCGTTTCGGCAGTAAGCGTGTATGAACCACACAAACAGATCAATTGATTCGAACAAAAGAAATCTCAATAAATAGCTTCTGGGATGCTTTGGAATACACTTCAGCACTGTTGTGGTTTTTCTCCATTTGTACAGCGTCGATCGAACAGAGCGATGAATCTTTCCAATTTCGATCGTAAATTGCAATCAGGGACGTGTTCGTAAAGCAGCATTGTTTGCATTCATGTAAAAATCGTTTTATAGTTTTATTTCACTTTTTTTTCATCGTTGTATAATTTTTTTAGCTTAAATTTAAATTAGACATTTCGTAATTTATTAGTGTAGGTTCTTTTATGTAGAATTGAGCTAAGTTGCGATTATTTAGCATAAATATTGTATCACAATGTGTAAAAGTCGTTTGATGCTCTTCTCCTTTTCTCTGATGCTCCATTATATTTCAGAGCTCGGTCGCGATCATGACTCGCAGTAAAAGGAAGGACCTCAAAACAGAAATCAAAATAAATGAGGAAATAAAGAGATAGTCGGACCACGACGTTGATTTAATTAAAACTAAATTGAAATAATCTGCATTTTATTCTTTTTCTTATTGAATTATTTGGTCTTTGTCTCCGTTTGTTCTTGAAGCATATTTTGGTTGACCAGGAAGCTGTTTCTGTAGTTAATTAGGTTTTTTTTGGGTCGTAGATATTTAACATTGCCAAGATTATAATTCCTTCCAACAACATCACACACATTTGTGGAACGTTAAAACGAGACGATTTGCGCTTAAGTAGAAACTTGCAATAAAGGAAGATACATGTAATAAAAGTGTGAAACATTCATTTTACGCTCATCATAATATTTATGAATTTACCTCAAGAAAACGTATTAAAGAGAGATTCTTCTCATATAAATATCTTTCGCGTAAAGTGCTTTGAGCTCCTTCCAAGCGTCGTTTGACGAAGTCTGAGAGAAACTTCTCTTTCTTTTATTTTAATTCGATAATAAAAACGTCAAATTACTACACCGAAAACACATCTCTGATGATTTCATGTTGGAGGCGATTTTTCGTAATTAAATTTTTATTTAAATTTACTTACGGTCGACGACGAGGCTGTTTGTGTGCCTTTACCTTTGGTGACTTTTATTTTGTTTTGACTTTAACGATGCTAAATCGAGAATCTAATCAAGCTTGAAATTGACGATATTCTCGATATGAAGAGACTTCACGCTGTTATGTGATGATCTTGCCCTCAATACTTTATTGAAGGTAATACATTTTATGGAGTAAATATCAACAATTTTAGTTGAATGTCAATTTATATAATTACTCTTGGCACACATTTCATTTCTTTCTGAGGGCTCAAAAAACATTTAATACATAGAAACAACATTACAAGTAGGCATCTACTTAGATATGTAGATATAAAAACAGCAATCAAAATTGCACGACATTTTCACTTATTCAAACATGACTTTTTATCGATTCGATTTCATCTTCAATGATAAATCTTAAAACAACAGAAATCTGTTTGCGGTATTTCTAAAAACTTGATATCGTAAATAATCAAGAAAATTTCATTTTCCATATGAGAAAATAGTGCAATTGGAAATAAGTTCACTCAACAATGCATGCTGAGGAAACTTTCAAGTTTTACAACAATAGTTATCAGGCACCATACGAGAAAAAAAGTTTCTTTTGTATAACTTATAGATTTGTCTCATTTCTGGCAGCACAAAAAGAGAGACAGGGAGATAGAGGAAAAATAAGAAAAAAAAACTAAAAAGTCACGACTTTAAAAAAATGTCTTTAAAACGAATTTACTTTGTTTTTTATTTTCGACATTTTCATTCGGAAATTTTGTTTATGTTGAGCAGCGACTTGAAAATTGATAAAAACATCATTGAAATTCTGTTTAATTCTAGTTCAACACATAACTCTTCTGAGACTATCAAGTTAACATAATTCACCAGTTGGTGTCATGAATTATGAGATGTTATGTGCATAAAAGTATACGAAGTATGACCTGACTTATGGTATAACCCTAGTCGAAATGTCAATAAGATTTTTGCAATTGCCGCTTAACATTTAACTTTTCCTGCTTAATATTTCTTTTTTATGATTTCCAAATTTACCAAGAAACATTAAAATGCTCCAACAACCACAAAAATGTAAACTTTTTTCAAGTCATTTAGCAAAGAAACGCTTCCATTCGTTTACAAATCATTAAATTCCATTACAAATGTTTGTCTTGCAAACATTACGTAAGTTTTATCGATTTTTCGTTGTCGTTTTTATTCAGTTGAATGTCACCTGTTCAAATTTCTCGTCTTAGTCTCACATTCCTTGTTTAGTGCTTTAAAGTATACATTTTTAAAGCAAGGAAAATTCTGAGTTCCTCTATCGTCTTCCTTTAATAAAGTTGCTTGCATGATTTACATTCGCCCACGAGATAAAAATCAATAAAATCGCACACGAGCTCGAGGCAATGCTGCTCGAGATATTCAATGAAACACGAGAGCCGTCTCAACACACCACATTAACTCGAACTCTTGATACTTTATTAACCTCATATATGCGGCAGTGGATGCGATGATATGAAATGGAATAAAAAGTTATCTAAATGTAACCATCTCTGAAAATTTTGTATATTTCATTCCTGAATTATCATTTTTATTATTATTTTTAATAATACAAAAATATCTCTGCTCTTTAGTCGCTTTGGGGTTGCCCTCTGATATCGTTTGTTATTGTGTTAAAAGATTCAAACAGAAGACAAAGTTTTTGGTTAAATATTTTGACTTTAATCGGGGACTTTTTTAGATAAAGTAGTGAGTGAGATGAACGAACAATTAAAGGATTTGAATAGAATTCCGATAAGTCTTGTTTGAATTTAACATTCAAGACAACAATTGAGCAATTAATTAAAGATTTTGTGGACAGAAACTGAGAGCTTTCGAAAGGTCACAGAGATTATAAGATTAATGTCATATGAAACATAAAGAGATTTCTTAAATCTAAATGGTTTAGTGGCGTAGGTATAGAAGCCAAAAGGGGTTAGCAATTTATGCGCGCACACAAGAGGGTGTCGAGTGTCGTATTATGATGTTTTTAATGTTTATGTTTGTATGATGACATTTTAACCCTCCCCCATAATCAAATAAATTTTATTATCAGAGACAAAACCGCTCGCCCGTGCAGAGTCTCGTTCAATTAATTTTGTGTAGGAAACAAGAGACCTTTAACCGCTCTTTGTGTCTTGAGCTGACAGAAGCAACGACAGTGGCAGTGTCGAGGTGATAAAAATTTAATGATCATTTGATACTCCAACGCGCACGAAAAATATATTTACGAAAGGGTTAATAAAATATTTTCTTCATCTACAAAAACATTTTTATCAAATAAATTTCAAGCGAGTGCGAGGAAAATGATGACGCAGAGGGGAAATTAAAATTTAAATAAGTTCATATTAATTATTCATGATGTCTTATGGAGAGTTCTAATTGAAAATTTTGCAACAAAGACTGTTGCGGGGGTGGAAAGAAAAGATGAAAAATTCATGAATAGTCGCAAATTAAGATGCTCAATAAAGTTATTAAAATTTTTAATATGAAAAATCTCACATCCGTTATTAAAATTCTCTTTCGAAGACAATAAATGTGAATAAATCAGCAGAATTACTTTAACACTTCGAAATCTTTTTGGGAGAATAAACTCATGACAGTTGAATTTGTTTTTATCTTTCATTTAGTTGCGTTTGCCACTGTGAACAAAATATTTAATTCATTCTGAGAGGATTTTTTTCCTGTCTGAAAAAATCAAAAAAAAAAATAATTTACACAGGCTCCAGCTCTCGTTAGATAAAATAAACGGCATTGCAAACACAACCGCATCAGTTTTTTATGCTCAGATACGAGACAAAAAGTCAACACTGAGTAAACATGGAAATGATCCGATAAAAACATTTTTTTATGGCTGATACTTTAAAGGGACGGAGACCGCTTGAATCACGTCTCAATATTCAACCCTCGGAATAAGCTCACGCGAGACACGTCTGAAGAGCGACCATTTGTTTTTATTTGCCTGATAATGAACAATTGGAAGCGCGAAGTTGTCATATGAGGGCAAACAGAAACCGACAATAATGTCGACATTGTCATTTAGTGTCATGAGTTATGAAAATGTGAACGATTAAACAACATTATTTAACAGTAAAAAAATCTCATTTGTGACTTTTTCAAAAAACATGACTTCAATATTCCGAAACTTAATGAAAACGTTTCAAGTTTAATAAAATAGAAAATCGAATACAGACAACAAAAGAAAAATGGAGTTTGCTCAACACTTTCATTCAATAGATTGCTAGATAACCAATGTGCTAGCAACTCTAACTAGAAATTGAAGCTTTCAATTAAATTATTACGATGTATTGTGAGTATTGATTAACGATGAAAAAATATAATAATTTATAAGTATGAAGACAACGTAAAAACAAATTGCAACATTACAATGATTGTAAAGTTTGTAACGTTCGACTAATTGATCAATTTGCAATAAATCAGAAAATGCACAAACAACACGACACCTGCAACTGCTGAAACCATGTAAGTTGTCACTCTATGTTACCCACGACATTAACTTGAAATTTATGGCGCGATTTACGTTTTTTATTCATTCCCTCTCCATCTTCCTCACATATTTTGTTGTGTTCTTTATAAATCAATGTCCAAGTTGACTTATGTTCATTTAGTAGCCACACTGAAGTTACGATCCATATCAGATTTCAAGTGGACGCGAATGCGGCGCTAGTCACATTAAATATGTAAATCAACCGCGACATTACATTTAATAAAATTCTCTCAGATACAACCGAACAGTTTAAATCGTCCTCTCATAATTTTAAATCAATTGATTGGAAGTCCATGGAATTAAAGTCTTAAAGTGTGTGGTCTTCACTTATTTATTCAACATGCAACAGTAGAATTCATGAGAGAAGTTATCAACAAATTAAACGTTTAACACCTTCAACCATATTTTGTGTCATATCACACGCTTCGTCTGATTATATGCCTCGATTCATAAAATTAAATCGAGCTTTTTATTGAACGTTCACTCTTCGTATCTCAAATCACCGAAGTGGTTTCTAATTTATTATTATTCTTTTGTGATTTTCTTATTTTTCGAAAGTCTTCTTTTTCAATAAAATTTTATTAATTTTTTTTCTTCTCTGCATCTCTTGTCGTCGACTTTTTTACGACAATTTTTTGTTATTCTCTGTTGCTTCCAACTAGCAATCAACCGAAAAATACTTTAACGATAAACTTCCAGCTAATTCAGCAATTGATTGAATTTAAAGAGCTGTGAAAATGCTTGCACATTTGTAGGAGAAAAATATGAAATGAGCGGCATAGGTTTGAACCTCAAAAGACGATAGATTAGGTCGTAACTTTTCATCCCATTCGTCTCACTTTCTTATCTCATTAGTTGAATCTATTCGCATAATATGTCTTTTGTTATGATGCCTTGTTTGTAGACAGCAAAGACGAGATTCTAATAATCTTGAGGCTCTCTTTTGTTGTGCCACTCGATGGTGCTTTTGTAATGCATAATAAAACGACAGGAAAACCACAGAGAAAATATGCAGATGTCACTGAAATACCGATCACGTTCTTCCGTCTTTTGTGATCGTCTTCCAATTCCAACAAAAGAAAACGAAAATCATCTTAATTTAAAATTCTTTTCTAATGTCAATCGGAAGCCCCAAAAAAACTTCGTTAATCTTATAATCGAAAGAAAGCAGAACAACAACCAAAAATGACACATTTCTGTTGTCAATAATTATTTTAGGATGTTTTTTTTTTCATTCGTAAAGCCAAAAATCGATGTCCAGGTGCAATATTGCAAGATTGTCAACGGCCATAACGAATTCGCTTGACTAAAATCGTTGAATTTTATTCATAAAAACATTTAAACATTTGAATTTTGGTAAATTTTCGATTTAAATTCAAAGACCAATAAAATTAGCCAAAATTCTTGAAAGCATTTTATTGCGCGAGCAGAGGTCTAAGAACTTTCTTGCACACTGCATTGTAGTTCCCAGAAATATGTTGATTCCAATGGAATTTGATGTTTTTTTTTCAATTTACACTTTCTGGCTGGTCTCAACTCGCAATTTCCATTGTATGCAATCAAAATTCTCTTATTTATTCATGCTAATTTGTTTAATCCTCGATCGTGATCGTTACTTGAAGTTGTGACAACACGACCATGAAATGTAAAGAAGAAATTACGAGCATTTGTTATACCTTTAATGTGTATGATTTCGCATCCTGGAAAAGGATTAAATGAGTTTAAGTATCTTTGAATGTGAAGGAAAGGAAGAAGAAGAAACTCCTGCTGTGACAATTTGATATGGCCCGAAAATTGCGCGTCTTTTAACTTACCTTTATATGTCACATAAATGAATTGCTCGCAATGATATTTACAACAAAAGCAAACCCTGAAAAAAATTCCTTGCACAACAACAATTGATCAGATGATGTTCATTGGAATTTGTTTACTTTATTTTTATTATTTCTCTTTTACTCGATCTATCTTTCCGTCTCCTTCTCATTTCACCCTGTTTCGGAAGACAATAAAATGTCCATAAATATTTTGCTGTTATTCGGGAGATGTTATGGATTGCTGTCTTGCTGGTTTGCTTAGATAAATTCAGTAAAATTTATTTTTTGTAAGTCGATAATGTGACGCAATTATTGGATAGAACTTTGAGACTTCTTTTTATTTATATCTCTCCAACATACAGACAATAGAACATATTTAAAATACTCGAGTGGACAGGCATAAAGACCATCAGCAAATACATGGCCTCGAGAACATAACACTGTGGATATGTAACTGAAGTTATAAATTAATGGCTATTGTGCCAAAAAAAATGATAAAGAAAAGCAACAAAAGATTCTCCATACGAAAAGTGCAAAACTAATAAACTTCACCTTTTATTTAAGGCTTGAGGACGAAAGACAGAATGAAATATTTTGACACATATCGGAGATGTCTGTTTGCTTTAATTTATTGCGCAATATTAATTCGAATATTTCTTCAGAAACTTAATAATGAAGTGGCCAGAAGATTTGTTGTTAAAATCATCAATAAAGAAATTAATTCAAGCTGATTGGACAATTTACAGAGTTAAAACAGAATTCTTTGTGAAATGAAAATAATCGTTAATCATACGATATTTAAGGTTCCTAAATATTTCTTGCTTTATTTGAGATTTGTTCTTGGAAAATCCTTCTGAATATTTATTGACAATATTGATTTAATAATCTTCATTTCACTCTTTTTTTTTTTACTATTTTCTAACTTTTGACATTTAATTCCATTGAGTTAACTTGCCAGCAACTTAGCAATGGTCGGGAAAAGGAATTAGCGAAAACATTTACGTCGACCCCATTAAGAACGATAAATAATCCAGCAGAAATATAAACCACATGGATTCATAATCACCTTCATATCATTGTCGTTAGATACTGCAGAGTTTTGCAGGGAAAATACAATAAAAGAAGTGGAATCTCCGAAACAAAAAAAAAATTGCAACCCTAACTGGAAAAAAAAGTTTAGCTCATGACCAGAGAATGTTAAATTAGATTTATTTTTCTTCTGTTGCGCTTCACCTATGTAAGTGATGATGTTTCCAGAGAATGTTCAGAAAGGGAATTAACATTTTCATTTATCGAATTCTATTGCCGAGGGCGAGTGGATTGGACAAGTAATTTTGTAGATTATATTTTTACCCAAAATTGATTCACATCAACTGTAAATATCGTCGATGAAGAACATAAAAAATTATTTCAAGTGAAACTTTACGAGATTGTTTGTAAGCATTGTTGGGGTGAACATCGATACTTAGGGTGATGAAATGAAGATTTTTTATAGTGTATTCGGCAATTTTTTGTGCAAATCATATGCGGATTGTTGAATGAAAAACTCATGCAAATGTTGCATTGCACACCAAATTAAATGTCGAATTATATAGTTGGTGTCAAAAGAAGGGAAAAAGATATTGCAATATTGAATCAAATTCAATTTTAGGGCAAAATGAAAATTGGATAATTTGTGGTGAGCGAACAGATTGAGCCCGTGACTAAACGTGAAAAGAAGTGAAATCGAAGCAAAAATCAATAAGTTAAAAAACATTTCCACAACAAGAGATTTATGACCGACAACAAAGAAAATCAATTTTTTAAGGAAAACCCTCTCAAGAAGTTTCCCACTTTTCTGTTGTTTTCCATTGTGCGTTTAAACGTTGACCACACAATGATTTATTCAAGCCATTCATCTTATCCCTTCCAGAAGTCTCTTCTTCGACAAAGTGAAAATAATTTTCATCTTACAAGATATTTAGATAGTAGAAAAATTGCCTTACGGCTTGAAAAGCTTTAAGATTTTCTTCTACCTCTTCTGCAATGTTAAATAATTTGAAAAGAGAGCAAATAGATTATTGCAGATAATTGCAAATGTAATTAATCTAATTAAAACTAGATCGAGCATGTCGGTCAACGGGAAATTGAGAATTAAATTTCACTGACGTTTTTACACTTCCCAGCAAGATTTCTTATAAACTTAAAAAATTTCGCTTGTTTCGCAATTTCAAACATCTTCTGATGAGAAGCACGAACGTCAAAGAAACCGATTTTTTCTTATCTTAATACAATTTATTTACATTTTTGGAGAACTTCTCCATCAATCTAAAAAATGTGTATTTAAAATATTTTCATATTTTCGTTTCCCAAATTTCTGTGTTTCTCCAGAAGAATTTTCTTTAATCTCTCGCTTGTCGTTGTGCTATTCCATTAATCATACGAAGAACATCATAATAAAAATGATGTTCAATCGTTAAAATTTCTTTATCTCGAGTGGATTTTCAAGTATATATTTAGAAGCAGGTGGATGAAAACGAGTTAAACGATCATTTAATATTAAGATATCAAATTCACTTAAGCAAGTATCAATTGCCATGTCACCAAAAGAGTTTCGACTCGATGTCGTATCTTGTTGAAAACACTCATAAGTTACTTGAGGGAAACATCTGGCAACAACTTTCAAGACATTTTCAAGTGAGTTAATTTAAATGATGCGAACGAAGATGCCACTCGAGTGAAACATATCAACTCGCATCATAATTGTCGTCATCTTGTTTGTTTATTTTAATTGTTTTCATTAGCGATGCAAGATGATGTAGTCAGGAGTGAAAAAATTTTAATAAATTTATTGAAAACTTTTTGGAATTCTTCTTTTTTGTCTCTCTATGCTTTACAAGTAAGATGCTGTTAAGGCATCAAGTCATCACTTAACAACAACACTTGAGAGAAAATGAACAATCATCATGATCATTATGAATTCATTTTTATTCATTTTAAATTGTTATGAATATCACCCAAGTGTTGAGATGTTCCATCGACTTTCAAAGACTTATGATTGTGTTAAGTACACTTGAGCACGCGACATGAATGGGATGGTTCTCGAATGATTAAAATTTATGTTTGTTCGCGGATCTTTCATAAGATATCTAATAATAGCCCCGTAATGGATGCTGGAAAAAAGTTTTCAAAATCATGGAATGTTGCTGATTTAAGATTCTTTAAACGATTAATTTATTTGAAGTTTATTCAGCAAAATCTAAAAATACAAAACATTCATTTTGTGGGTTTAATAAAAAGTAAAGCAAGTTAAGAAAATATTTTCTCCAGCATCCAACATCAAGCATATGGGTGACAAACATTTTAGTTTTAATTCTGTTTAATTGACTATTAATAGCTTTAATCTCGCATAGAGCCGAGAATAAAACAACTGGAGATGAAGATCAATTTAAAGCGATTCGTAGTTTTAGAATTCTCTAAAAAGATTCAAGTCATCCTCACGCAACATGCCACGGAGACCGCTTTCGATTGAGGTTACAATAATATTTCATTCAATTTCAATTAAGATTCATTAAATATTTTATACGAAAAGAAATGTTGGCGGGTTGAATGTTGGTGTTAGTACCCATATTTAATTATTGATTGTTTAATTCTCATCAACTTAACCCTTTTGTGCCACTCAATGCCAGGAACTTTGTTCAATATCCAGGAGATTTTTCTTAACGATCAATTTAGATAAAATTTCAACATACAATGTTTGCATTTGATTAATTGATGTTCATTGTGTGAATTGATTTTATTAAAAGAATCTCTGTTTTACATACACACACAATATTCTATTTGAATCACGATTTAATTGTATGAGCTGATAATTGTTGTTGCAAGTGAATAATATTTTTCATTATTGATCTTCGCATGACCTTTACTGCTGTCTATCGCATTTCAGCCGTTGATGTGTGTGTGGGGAAGTCACTTCAATCGTTGTTTTTAAAAGATAATTGCCGCTTTATTGGACATTAAATTGGAAGGAATTATGATGGCAGTTTCGATATTTTCTTAACAAAGAAATTCATAAAGTTGTGTTGGAAACGGAAACGCTTCAAAAGCTGTTCATTTGCAATTTTAATTGAAATCGTTAAAACTCGAATTCGATTATCAACGAACTCATTGTCCGCGTTGTTATTTTCTTTTTTATATTTTTGATTTTATTCGAATTAAAATTATAATTGGAAAAAACAAATTCAGAGTAGGACTAGAAACTTTAACTCATTACATCGTTTTGACTAGAAAACTTCGTTCCTGATCCTTGTTTGTATACAACACCAAGAATTCATTAATCAACACAAACATACGATGATTGTGGAGTTCATTAACTAATTTTATTTTTTATTTTCAGTTTTTAACATTATGCATGACCTTTCACACCTCACATATTTAATTCAAATACTCATTTTGCATAATTTAACAAGCATTTTTATTTTCAGTTAACACATTTTTTCTTTTCATATTTAATTAACAAGTACTTTATTTAATTAATAATTTTTCATTTTAATTCATCTTTATTTCATCATAAATCCACCGAAACATCGTTAAACCAATGGTGAATGGATTTAGGGTGAAAGGTGAAAATTTGGCACATTTAACAATCTTTTTTTACATCACTTTATTTTTATTAATATTTCTTTTTTTATTATTTATTTCCCCTTAATCATCATAGTAACTATGCTGACTTTTTGCTTTGTCTTACTAAAATATTCCCCTTTTGTGTCCAAATTTCCACCTTTCACCATGACATGAAAACTGAACTCTCATTTTTATCATTCCAGATGCTTGTGGCCTTTCCGATGTATCACACATTGAGTCATTGCAAGAAAAGTCACAGTGCGCATTAGAAGAATATTGTCGAACTCAATATCCAAATCAACCAACCCGATTCGGAAAATTACTTCTTAGATTACCTTCACTGCGAACAGTTTCTTCGCAGGTAAGCTAAAGGAATTCTATATTTATGCATATATCGCGTCCAATTAACGCCAGTCCTATCAACAGGTTATCGAACAACTGTTCTTTGTTCGATTAGTGGGGAAGACGCCAATCGAGACGCTTATTCGAGACATGTTGTTATCAGGAAGCAGCTTTTCGTGGCCGTATCTACCATCCATGTGACACACAGGGGCACTTTGGAGACAACTTGCAACAACCACTTGATCAACGCCCTCACAACCATTCTACAATGGTTCAACTATATCTTCGATTCCAACCTCATCTTCATCAACAATCACGGGAAACGAATCCACCGGCAATTGCTTTAATTCTACGACCACACCAACATCATCTGTGATTGATCCACTTCTTGGATCCACGGGACTTTTTAATTCATCATCATCTTCATCACCTTCAGCCACTTTTGCTACGGCTAATCCATCATTTTATGCAAACTGTTATGCTGCTTTATCAGCATCAACATTTTCAAGCACAATGGGATCTTCTAATATGATGAATGGAATGAACTTCTTCAATTTAAACACAACGACTACGCCACCATCATTATTTGGGTCAAGCACAGCAACATCAAATACGTATAAGGATAGTTGCAAATATGTTTCACCCCATGATGACGAAGAAGTTGATAATGAAGATGACAATGAGCGTTTATTGAGTGGTTCTAGCAATCATTTAAGTAAATCAAATAGTAATAATACAAATAGTTACAATGACAGAAGTAATGAACGAGCGTCACATGTTACTGGTGAAGACAGCACCAATTAATGAATAACGATTAGCAAACCTACGCAATGTTTATTCAAATGATGGGAAATCAGTCCTACATATCTCTAATCTATTTTAATATCTAATAATCTTATCTAAATCTTTAAGACATTTCGAGGAAAACTAAAATTAAATTGGATGAAAAAAACTTTTTTTAATTTATCGTTTCGTACTTATTTGTTGTCAATATCATCAGAGAGCTTCACAATGAATTCTCTGATATTTAAAATTATCAAAATTACCTATCAATTGAATTACAAAACCAGAAATAAAATGAAAAAAAATAACAACAAAGAAACCCCGTCCAAGAAATAATTCTTACAAATAATTCTTTCAAATTTCTTGTGCAATTTTTTGTCGTCAAAACACAATTTTTGTGATTTTTTTTCATTTTTTCTTTATTGACTCTGAAACTTAATTTTCAACTGCAATAAAAATCAAATTGATTGAATCAATTGACGAAATGTTTTTTTCTTTTTTGACTTAGTCTCACTAAACTTATACTATGCTGTAAAATAAATTTTAATGCTTTTGTTTGCTTCGCTCGATCGTCGTTTATAAAATTGATCTAGATTCTAGAATGGAAATGTGTTGAATCCCAAAAAAAAATTGAAATATTTATAGATGAAGAAGTTTTATTATAAAATTAATGGTAAAAGCAATTGTATTGATTATAATCAATAATAAAAAAAAATATTTAAATTTTATTATAGCGAAAAATATCACATCAAAACTATATTTAAACAAGAAGTAATTTTAAGGCTTTCTCAAATCATGTCAAGAAATCATGTTGATAAGCGAAGGTTATAAAAATAAAATTCATGTAAATAATTCGAGCTAATCACTCAATAAAGAATCTTTCGGCAATTTTTAAAATGTGATTTGTGATGTTTTTATTTATTTCTTTTTGTTTCGTCAACAAATTGTTTTGACAGCTAGGAAAAGCAAACATTTGACATCGTCATCGTTTAATATGAATTCAGCAAGAAGAGTGTGGAAAACTTAAATATATTTTGAAACAACAAATCATAATTCCATAGAACAAGTATCTATTTCACAAATTCCACTGGCCTTTTTCAAGTGATGTCGTTTTTGAACACATAACTATTACACATTATTATTTTTGTCAAAACGTGAACTAAACAAAATATTTCCCCATTTAAGAAAAAGAAAACCTTGCGAGAAATTAAGTGTACGTTTAGTAACTCATTCATAAAACTGTAAGAAGTTTCAAGAGAAAATTTATCTCCATTTAAATGTGTCACAAGCTTCATCTGTTGACTTTAACTCATAAATGCTGCGCCTTAAATTCTTGTCGCTAATATAAATATGTTTAAAATGTCACTTGACACTTTCTCGAAAGAAATTTACGCAAAACTTACACTAAAACATAATCAATTTGCCAAAGCAAAGGTTGAAAAAAGCTAAATAAGATAAACGACGAATGTAAATCATGAAGCGGTCAGTATTACGAAGCGACCACAGAATATGTTTGAAAACAAACTGACGAGACAATGAGAAGGAAGTGAAATTTATGGAAAATATTTATGAAGATGAAATCAGTCGGGTGAAGGGAGAAAGAAAGTGTAGGAATGATAAGGCAATAAATCTCAAAGACGATAGGAAAAAAAACGTCACATGTGGAGGTTGAAAGTATTTTTCACCCTCGAACATATTTGTCGAACGTCTCGAATCCCTTAAAAGGCACTTGCTGCTCATTAATATTCTATATGATTGCCTTGGCAGTGATTTAATGAGTTGATTTATTACCAGCTTCTTTTGCTCAGCATCTTCACATCAGATGAAAATTAATTTGCAATAATCTTTGTCGTTTGTGATTAAATACTCACAAGCTACTTCCTCCAGTAAGTAATCTATAGCTTTTATAAATGTATTTACTATAGTATTTACTATATTATCAAAGAGAGAGTGAAATAAATTTGTCCCTTACATGTCGAGTGTCATTTAATGTTCTGCCTTTTCAATGTTACTTGTTCAAGCCTTCTGCTCAGTAACAAAAATATTTCAAGAGTCATTTTAAAAGTGCTGAAAATATTTTAATCGATAGCTGATAGATATTGATCAATCTGAATGTCACACAAGTGGAAAATAAAAGTGGATTGACACGGAACCCGTTGGAGACAACTCTTTTGTTCTTGTCATTCACAGCAACCTAACTTAATTAAAATGTTAACAATAGCGAATGACGTGAACAATGAGAAAGAGGTTAATGATGAACTTGAGTCGAGCATGGATGAGAGATCACGAAACGGGGTCGGGGAGCTTTTATCATGACAGAAAACATGCAAACTCAATCATCACTTGTCATAGTTCATCTCTTTATTCACTTCTTTTTACTTCTCTGCATTTCACAACTCGTGTCGGTTGTACAATAACACTTTCTTTATTTTAGAACTGAATATTCAAAGAGATTTTCGAAAAAAAAGTCCACATTTTCTAGTAAAGTTTATGACGCTGTTGTTCATTTCCTCAAACATTTTCCAAATTTAAATAAAATGTACGTGTGGATAAGACAAAGCGTTTTATTCCAAAATGTTAAAATGTGTTTTCTTCACTTTTAATATTCAAAAGTTTGCTTTTGCAAATATCAACAATTGACGCTAATTTTATCTTATTACCTAAATGAAACAAGTATTAGTCCAAGTTCTGCCTCGAAACACTTAATGATAAATTATGTGTGACTTTATTCAACTTCGGATAGTTTTTCCAATCAATTTGCTTCCCATTAACTTTAATTATCTTTGAGATTATCTTCACTAAGCTAACGGTGGAAAATTCAATTAAGTTCCGATCAATCAGTTGTGAACTTACTATTTAAACGAATAAGAGAACCTGATTAATTCTTTGAAAATTTTCAAAGACGGGCCCATTCACTTTAACTGACATTAAGTATCCATTGGGCACGTGGCAATGGCAACATGCTCCTCTGAAACTGAAAGCTATCATATCTGACCTAAATGTATTAAAAATTCTTCGACTCATTCGTCCATTAATGGCTCATAAAGAATTTTTTTATTATATGAGATTTTTTACTGACACTTTCTATCAGCGCTAAACGCTTGAAAATAAATACCAACAAGTTTAATAAAACCTACTTCATAGAAATCAGCCCAAGAAAGACGTAGAGCTTGTTTTAGTTATTGTTTAGTTCCTAACTTAAAAGTGATATTAATTCACTGGTCGAATGCTTTATAATATGAAAAAATTCAAGGTATGAAAAACACTGCTTCGCAATGAAGTATGAGCACAATCAGTGAAAAGAAAGATGAAAAATTATTACTAACAAAAAACAATAATTGCACTGTCATGACATTTCATTATTGTTCAGAGGTTGTTGTGTAAGACTGAGGAGATGGAAAGAAAAAGAAAGAAGAATCATCGATAATGTTCCAATGAAGCCCTCCGCAGCTACAATGTTAAAAATAATTTTCTCATGATGTTAACATGATGTTTTGTTGGTTTTTCTTCTCACCTAGAAGAGATTCTTATGTGGATAGTGACATACTTTTTAAGGCATTGCATAGCCCATAGCTAATGTTAAGTCACTGACAAAAAATAGGAGCTCATTTCAACATGATTACCGTCTGACCTCATCGATATATCGCATCTCAATTCGACACTCATCATGTGTTGCTGTTCGAATGGCGAATGATCAATTGATTCCGCAGAAGATATATTTCTTTATTTTTTTGCGCAGTTCGCACAACGCGATATTGCGAACATCATTCTAAACATTGCGTTTAACATGCAAAGAAGTTTTAAGAACTTCTATCTTACTTTTTGATTATTTATTTTTTAAAGGGTAATAAACGAACAACTTGCTCACCAGTAACAATTCAGATAGCAACATGTACATGGAGGTATTAAATAATAAAAATATCTATTTTTCATATTTAAAAGCACCTTCTTCCTTCTCGCGACCAACACTTTCCCGATTGGCACGATAATTTTTTATTTTTGCACAAATATGCCAATAGTTTTATTGGTTTTTGATTTATTGCACAAAATATTTTCTTCTTTCTCATTTCAATAAAAAATATTTATACGTATAAAAATACTTTTCTCATTCTCTCCACTTTGAATTTCTGCGAAAATTTTCTCATTCAAGAGCAAGCGAAGCCGAGCGATGGTGATGATGATAACTGGAAACTCCGTAGGAAACCCATTCGTGAAAATAATAAAAATTCAGTTTGAAAAAGATAAAAATGTGCGAACGCGGACGCAGAGATCCAAGAATGTGAGAACATCTGGCCGATAAATTGGGGAAGTTTAAAAGTTTTGCAACATTGCAGTGTCAAAATGAATCTGAAGCAATATTTCACATGTCTTGTATGATAAAATAAATAAATGTCTTGTTCATAACTTTTATGTTGCTGTTTGCTGTAATGCTTAAGTGAAATCTCATTGTTCAGTGACCCTTTTTTAAACATTCTAAACGATTACCTGAAGATTCTTCTGGAGGTGAAGCTAAATACACAAAAAAAATATTTTGCATATAAAATTCATCATTACACTCATATTTAAAATGATTGAATATCCTAAAAGATAAAGAATGATAGCTTGCATATTTTCATTAGATGTTTTAAAATATCAAAGAAATATAAAATCTTCATGGAAGAAACATTTCTGATCGAGGTATCATGTGAGTGATCAAAGGGTTAACGACAAAAGGAATCACCATCCCCTTCTGCTTGTACATTCTTTTAACATGAATAAAATATTTCATTTCTGTCATTCTTCTTTGTTGTATGGATCAACCGTTGAGAATGAAGGGTTTTAGACTAAATCCACCCTCGCATAATGATTCGCCTTCAACTCTTGCTTTTAACCACCAATTATGCAAATATAATCGGAAAACAAATCACATTAATGCGGTTTTTGGGTGAAAGAAGTCAGATTGATTATTTGTTTGTATTTTTTGCTTGAAAATTGTAACCAAAAGAAAAGCATCTTTTGTATCGTCCAATCATGACAATTTTAAGCATTCTTCAGATATTTTTTTCCGTATAAAATTTGAATTACTATTTATAATAATTCGTTTGGCATTTACTTGAAATCTTTTCGTCATGAAAACTGAGAAAGTTAAGCAACCATAAAAACCTGGAATCAACTTTCTTTTCAAATTTATGCAACAGTAAATAAAATCATAACATAACTTAAATGTTCGAATGTATTCTAAAGTTCCTTTCCTGCAGTGTTTATTGCACAAAAAAGACGAAGAAGAAAATCCTTTGGTCGTCAAAGTCTATCTTTAGATCTTGATAATAAAACTTAATGGTCCAGGAAATAAAAGGAAAAGTGTTCATTTGAATTTCAAAATGAAACCAGAACCCTAAAAGGATCTGTTTTATGGTCAACCAAATAAATGCAGTGACTTTAACACATAACAGAAAGAGTTAAAGCGAAAGATGCGATGAGGGTTGTTCCCTAGATCGGCTTCCTTTGTTTCGATTGCGTAATTTTGCAGCTTTGATGTCTGGAAATTTTTGAGAAGTTCAATAAATCAAACGATTTGCATTTTAATTAAAAATATCTTTGTATAAGTCTGAATCATGTTGTTCGTTGATAAAAATAAGTATCAGAGTAATTTGTAGAAAGATTTATGCGTTCAACTTATTTTCTTTATAAATAAATTTTTAGAACGATCTGAGGAATTGTTTCTTATGGTAAGCAGAAATTTATCAGCAATTAAAATCGATTCGCTTCGTCAGAATATTTTCAATAGCACCAAGGAATTTATTCTCACGAAAATATCTTCTACTTTGAATGCCTAAGGAACCAGAAGAGAATATTTGCCATGGGGTGAGTGCGCCAAAGGGTCAGTTGATGACCAGTCATTAATGCTACATCTGTCGCTTACGTTTTGTTCCGATGTCGCAACAAGAAAACAAGCCGATATTTCAGAAGGTTTACACATCTTAAAAACCACTGGCGAACACCAAAATTATTTTCTGAGTTATCTTTTGAGAAAACGAATAACATCGATAAATTCACAATCTTAAATCTAATCTTATTATTTCTTTTCTCATCATGATCATTATTGTTTTCATTAAGCATCAACATCAGATGAAAAGGCAAGACGAGATCAACTTTACGTTCGTTTTTAGCGTATTTTTGGTGAATATGTGCAAAGAAACTCGAAATTAATTGTATACATTCCTGTTCCACGCAAATTTCATTTTGTTCAAGACGAGATTACAAACAAACACATCAGCATCGATCGCAGACTGCACATGTGCATTGTGGGAAAATGATTTAATTCTTATGATTTTGTTTTCATGGATTCGCTCGATGTGTGTTTGAAGAACAATTTATAACCCTTTCAATGTTCATCGCTTAGTGATGTTCTTTGGTGTTATTCTGAAGGTTTCTTACCTTTTCTTGAAAACTTAAAATGAAACTGACCAGTGCACTGGTCAAACCAGAAATCTCATTCAACTGCTTTTTTACATTTCCAACCCTTTCGACATTTTTCAGCGTTCTTAAGCCTGAGAATAGTTCTTTCCTCAAATTTTAAATACGATTCTATGCAATATTTCAATATGTTTTTCATACTTGCATTATCATGAATAATTGTGTTCCTTTCGATAGAATTTAATTCAATCTGTTTTTAAATATTTCCATGATCGAGGTTATCATAACAACATCACAATAATTTCATCTCATGAATATAAACGTTTCATTTCAATTCATTATTTTCACCGAATATATTCTCAAATCTCGTAAACAAGATCAGAAATCAACATAACAAGAAAGGTTTTTTTTTCAAAATTACAGTCATTAAGACATCAACAATGTGAATTATAATATATTTGATTTTTATGTCTAAGCAGTTTCCTGAAACATTGTCGCGTTTCTGTATAAAATAATTGAATTAAAAACGAGACATGAGAAATTTCCATCCAGACATAATTCACCAGCAAACATGTTAATAATAGGAATAAGCGTTGCATGAAATTATTTATGCTTTCGAGTTGCGACCGGACCTACCACAAGTTACTTTTTGAAGGCGCTGAAAGAATTCTTTGAGAGGCGTAATGATGTGTGTAATTGCGAATTGTAAGCTCAGTAGCAGGAATTTAAATTATAATAAACCACTAATTTATGAAAGCATCGAAATCATTTACATGCATAATGGGTGAAGTTCTTCGTATCATCATCATTCAGTAATATTATCTGAGAAGAATGCAAAGAGAAAATTTTCAAAAGTATTTATCTTGGAAAGCATATATTTCAGTTATTTTCTCATTTTCCATTACGAATTTTGTGCTAAAGAAAATAGTAATTAAGAATCTCGCTATGTGTAATAATCATCAACATTCCTCATATTTACATATAAGATGTTTGCCTTCACGATGCATGATCTTTGTCATGTTGATAACTTTTATGTTAACATAAAATAAACGAAATTATGCAAAAGGGTTACCGAAGTGTTTTATATTGTTACATAAGTTCTAACAGTTCTTCCATTTTACATTGAAGATAGAATCTTAAAATTTTATTAAACGTTGTGATTATGACAATTGATTACAAAATGCACAGTTCGAGTAAACCTTTCACTTTATTATTTAATGTCTTAAGTTCTGAAATACTCCAAGCATACTTCTCTTATTTCATATCTTACTGAAAAGATGAGAAACACAAAAACGATATCAAACTACAGCAAGTCGTGACTGTGACTTTGAATCGTCTGCGATGGTCCACTTTAGCAACACGACGCTTTCCGTCCAAGACACTGCAATCAATTTCACTCAATTCAGTTATTTACTTTAATTCTTGCATTTTAAAGTAAAGTGACGATTTCTTTTTGAGACTAATCGTAGTTGAGGAATCATCATTTCTCTTTCTTCAGTTTCCTGTACAGGTTTCTAATAAAAGATATTTTTTCTTAAATTTTTAATGTGAAATTATTGAAAATTTCGTTGTGTGGGTGTGCATGAAGTTAATAAAATTCGCTTTCACAATAAATAAAGATTTTTCTATCGCTACAATTTGAAGAAGTCATGAAATGGTTGGTCTGCTTAAGGTTGGAATAATTGTAACATGTCTTCTCGAGTCCATAACAAATTTCTTTATGATACACGAATTATCCGCGCCAACTAAAACAATGAACTGAAAATATTTTGATCGCGTCATATTGTTCATTTTCTTTCCATTAACTTTTCCCTCTAGCTTTATGGGGTTTTATTGTCGATATTCTGATTTTAATTCCTTGCAAGAGATGCATATTCATAACTGAACCGTTAACAATCGATCCAACTAAAGCAGAATATAAAAAATTTTCAACGGATCGAACACTGATCACGATGCGCTTTTCGTTTGATCGAATGGGCGTTTTTTTATTCTTTTCTCTCCCTGTCGATCGATATGACGAAGTTTTTTTTTCTTCTTCTCATTCTTGACTCCAAAGAACCTTCTTTAGAAGGCGCGATTCTGGTTTTTTTCCTGAATTATTGGAATTTGATTTTGTTTGCTGAATGTGAACTTTAGTTCATGGAAAGCGAAATAAATAATGCTTAGGTCAGTCAGCTGCTGTAGCTAGATGCTTATATGTTGGCCCTTTCCTGTTAATTTTGATTTTTATACTGATGATGTTAATTAAGATTTTTTATCTAAATATATCGGATGTTAAAATAGGAAATCATTTCTTTTTTCATTAATTTCAGAGCTTCAGTTTCCGTGGCAAAGATTATTTTCTCGGTGCATTAATTATGATTGCGTTTCCTCAACTCATTTGCAGAATGCGGTAACAGAAAGAGAAACTGTTAAAAGATGCAAAGCTCGCTGATCTTTATGCTCGCTCATAATGGTATTAAACATTGCTATGCAATTATTCGAAGTGCTCATTATGCGAAATTTTTACAGCTCAGAACAGTTAACTTACGTTAAAGTAGCATTACAGAAGTCATTGTTCCATAATGCTCGCATGAAATTTTAATATTCCAAGTTCAGCAAATACGAGAAATCATAAATGTTCATATTTGTTTTATGATAAAAAGAAGAAGAATTAAAATTTAGAACTGTTGATTCAATTCTTAGATTAAACAAATGACTGTTCACCAGCATTTTCTAGTTATGCCTCTAAAAATCATAAGTCTGCATACAAACTGACCAAACATTTTTTAAATATTAAACGAATCGAAAATTTAATTCAATTATCTATTTAATTTTAGTCATTTATAATGAAGATAAACAGATGTGTTAAGATTTTTTGGCAGAATTCTTTTTAGTAATGTAAAGATGATTCATATGCTAAAGATTGATTACAACTTTTAGGAAAATTTTCTATTTGAATTTACTGGTTTAAAAATCTTAATAATGTTGAAGAAAGTAATGTCGAAAAATATTTCATTTCATTTAACATTTTCGAATGAACTCACAACAACCCTCCTAGAATTCAAAACATCTTTTCAAAATCATATATATATATATTTCTATGTTGCTTTTCACTTAAGTTTTCCTTTGTGAAATATTGAATAACAAATATCTCGTAAGAAAATCTCTCGAAGATACTCTTTTTTTATTAATTTGATAGTTTCTCATTTTTCCGTTTTAAGTTTCCCCATAGACAAGAAAATTTATGTGATTTGAATATCAATTTATTCGCATTTTAGGGGAACTTTGTATCTATTATATTTCGAGAAGTATTTTTTATGTCACATAAAATTATCCGTTAAATCACTCAAAAAATAAGAAATCATCCTTGAATAATTTTTTTTCCTCTTTCTGATTAAGTTATAATGAGAGACAAAACATAAATTTGTATGCTTGCTAAATTACAGAAGCTTTGACACAAACGGTTACGGGAGCAATACTAGAGTCATGTGAACGTTAAGTGACTAGCAGTTAAATAATTTTTCTTTTCGATAAATCACCAACAATCGAACTTGAAAAATTGATTACGATGCACTTTAGCACTTCCAGTAGAACCGTTAAGCAGTTATTGACTTTACACCTTCTTACAAAATCATAATTTCTATCAAAACCATTTAAACCTAAATGATCGATCGTCTTGAACTGTTCTTACGTCAGAAATGAAAGGAAAAATGAAAAATCATGCATTAGATGTTCAAGTATACAGATCTCTCTCGACGGTTGTAAAAACCTGACTGAGAAGAACAGCGCAGCAGCGGATAATTTCATCGCCCCCAATACTTGCACAATAAATATCTTCACTCACACATTTACAATTTATTTTCCCACACAATCATCCTACTCATCAACACTTTTAAACACATTACAATTTCAAACCACGCCTGAAAAAGCATATCAGAAAACTCATATCATGTATCACAAAACGATTACGTAATGCCACGAATTTTCCTCGATACTATAAGGTTTCACTGGGAAAATAATTTAGCTGGGCATGACATAGATCATAAGCCAAGTCCATGTCATCAGATAGAACTAAAAGCCAACCAAACTATTTAAAAAATTGACAACATTTTTGAGGCATCTTTAACACTTTGCACTGAAAAGTTTTGATGATTTTTGGTCGAGGTTAAATCAAGTGAAATATTTCAAGCTTCAGACAAATTATTAAGTTTGGCAAGGGTAAGTTTTTTTTAACAGACGATATTATATATTACTGATGCTTAAACTGGTATTTTATTTATAAAATTTGCTTGGACAATGAAACAGTTTGGAAAGTGAATCATTATGAATGAATTTTTTCTTTTTTGATTTAATTTATCTAATGAAAGAATTCAAATCTTTATGGTTCGTCGGAATGCATATAAAATGAATGATAAAGATTGTTAAAAATATTAAATAGAAAACAAGCCACACGATTGCTTTAAGCACATAAATTTTGTATGACGTTTATGTTTATATTACGCAAGTCAAAAGGTTATCGTAGACAGCCTCTTCTCATGTCTTCATGACTTTTTTTTATAGCTATAGCTTTATTCTGAAGGCAGCTGTTAAGAATATAACGAATGAGTGAAAGAACGCTAGAAAATATCCTACCAATAATCGTTATCAGTAAATTGTTCTTGAAAATGATTTTTTCTACAAATATTCAACGTTACGAAACCGTCGGAATCACAATTTCCAATAACATGTTTCTCACAAAATAATCTTAAAGTTATTTTTATGTGTTGATAAGAGCCCCAATTCTCTTGAAAGTGCCCCATTAAGATTTTTCGTCTTTAGTGATAGGAGAATGAAAATTATATGAAGATTAAGGCATCTTCGATGACAAATCACCTGCCAACGACTTCCTTCTACTCATCGTTTCAGTATCACATGCTAATCTGTTAATGTCTTCCAATTCACCCTATAATTAAGATATTATAATGAAAGGATTTTCCAGCATTCTCATCATATTGACACAATTTCCGTAATTTAATTATCCTTTGGCTTCTGTTAAATTGTTTTCACCCACAACTATACTCCCTCCACTAACAGGCGATGTTTTGAGAGTTTTTCTGTATAATTAAACATCTCTATGTAGCACAGTAAGCGACATGTTTTGAGGCAAAATGTGGCAATGCGACAATGATTGTGTCTAAGTCCGGAAAATATTTAAATGTAGAGCAGACATTTCATGCTAATGATTTATTGGGATTTGTTCTAACTAAAGTTTCCATTGATCTTGATTTTTCGAATATATACTTAATTGACAACTCAAATAATATCAGTTATGTTAGATATATGTAGAATAGTAAGTACATAGTATTAATTTTAGGTCTGCTTGAAGACATATGTTGACAATTTTTGCACAATTTTTAAACAACATTTTCAAACTATTTAATGTAGTTTTCAATACAATAATTGATCGAAAAAGTATTTAGTTTCTATTTTTGATCAGATATTTTTAACTGATGCTTCTAAATGGCCCTAAAAAGTTTGAAACTTAAACCTAAATTTTTATTTACATTTTGTACTGCAAATAGAAGGATAATTCTAATTAGATAATCATTTTATTTTTGAACTCAGGGCTCTGAATAGAAAGAAACATAAATTATTTATGGTTCAATAATCGTAGTAAAAGTTTTTGTCCTTCTTTCAATGTTTAAAGTTTAACATATTTTCTATTCAATTTTCAAACTTTTATAATCAATGGAAAATTTCAAAAACAAAGTCTCGTCTAAGAATCAATGACTTTTGACCATATTTATCATCCCTAATCACCCACAAATTAATTAAACATAATGTGAAAAGCCATTCACATGAGAACCGTAAATAGTTCTTTGGATAGTTCCAACAATAAAAAGCGGAAAGATAACAATCACACCAACAATATAGTATCCCCAACAGTTTGCTATTGTTAATGACTACACAAAGTGGACATGAAAATCTATTATGCAAACATTCACAATCAACCATTGAGGTTGTGGGGGTGAGAAAATTACTATTTATTTCTGGTATTATTGGTATTGTTGTGGTAATGATACAGTTTAACAACTTCGAATACTTATGAATTATTTAATTATATAATTATGTACTTAGAAGTGATTAAACACGAATGATTAAAAGTTTAAAGTCTTGTTGAAAGGAAACATCTTGATATTTTATTATGTATGCGTATTTATCACATAGATATCAAATATGAACATTTTCAACATGACATGTATCCTTTGATGTTTTGTTTCATAGAAAAATACGAAATTATCAGACTTTCATACCATTTCAGGTCATTGTTGAATGATTTGGATTTTCAAGATTCAAAATCTGATAAACCATAAAGTCAATGCAACATAATTAAACTAGAAGACTTCCCTGAAAGTTTGCTATTTATTAAAAATATTTGCTGACAAAAGAAAAGCAACCTGAAGGGATTTTCCAACTGTTCATCTGATGTAATTGAAAAGTGAAGCTCATTCAGCTACGATATTTAATTTCCATCCCTCACGGATTCGTTTTTCGTCAAATGATTAAATCGAGTCTTTTCTTCTTCTTATAAAAATCCCCTCTCGTTAATTTTTATGGGTTTTGTGGATTACAAAATACTTTATTAGTCTGATCTCATTCTTGAAGTTGTGAAATTCTGTTCATAGAAATACAATCTTCGTTTTGCGGTGCTTCTGAAGAGACTGATGAAAACAGAAGCATCAAGAAATGCGAGAATGTTTCTTAATTCAAACGACTTTTAGAACAAATAAAATCTTTCGGAATAAAAATGACACCAAAGATAAATAATCATAAATCAACATAGCAGAAGTTACTCAACTCTTTCTCTAGCATTAAAAAAACATAAAAGAAAATCTGATCATAAAATTTCGTTTTCTTTTTTATTTATTTAATTTAGGAATCAGGATACATGCTGCGCTTTGAATAACTTTTCTTTTCAAACGAACATTGAAATAAGATGTTAAATATGATGTGAGACGATGGGGGATAAATATCATATAGATAAGTCGTCGATTTTCAAAATGAGTCACTAAGGAAACGCAAGATCCATCGATTTTTTATAAACACTAAGTAACACTCGAAGTATGAAACATTTAATCCCCTTTCAAATAACTTTGTAGCTATCACAAATAACTAACGAAAAACATCAAATAGAATAGTTAACATCTAAAATATTTCACTCTGTCATCTCAACAACTCAAGAAGCGTGATAATTTAATTAAACGTTAATGTTTGCCATCTCATTTCCTAAGACGACAATTTTTCGATAAGTAAACAAACTTCCTAGTTTATTTACACATTTACAATTTAAATTTGAATTGAGTTGAAAGAGTTCTTTACCAATTGTTAATTGAGAATCAGCATTGAAGGCAAAAATAAATCATTCAGATTTTTAGGCGCACGTGTCGAATGATTTTATTTCATTTCTTATTTACATGTTCAAATCAAAAATCTCCGAAGTTATGGAAGCGTAAGCAAAAGAATTCAAGAAAGAGAATGATTTTGATTCCTCAACTGTCACAGATAACTGTTACGCAATTTGATAGAGAAATTGTAACACATGTCACATGTCATGATAAAAAGATTGTGTCATGAATTTGGGATGCATAAAAGTTGTCACAATGTTTTAAAAATTTAGGTTAAAAATGCTGCGATTTTTTTATACCCCAAAGAAAAAAAAATTGGAATCAAACATGTTTAATCCATTTATTCATCATTTGTGTAATCAAATCAAAAAGATCTACCGCATCAAGAGCTTGATACACTTCTGTACTCGCAAAGAGTCTGTAAATCTGTTTGCGATTTTGTGTCTTCACAATTCAACAATTTAAATTCCCAAAAGACTTGTCGACGTTTTATTCTTTTCTTGAGGGTAGCAAATGCGTTTATAGACTTAAAAAAATATTTTACCTTTTCATAGTAAGTTGTTGAAAAAATTCTCCCCTTGGCACCTTCCTACGCATTCTTTCTATCTACTAACCACAATAAAGCGATTTTTCTCGCCTTTTGCATATTAGCTCAGTTAACGATGAAATCCCCTTGTAAGAATTTTTTAAACACTTTTATTGCATCAATTTGTAAGAAGAAAATGATTTTTTATTTTTTCACGTAATTTGCTATTCATAGATTTGACTCTCGTGAGGGTTGAGATCGTCTTTGTCGTAATTCACAGTCGATAAATGGATAATTTAAGATCTTCAATGGCTGATACTTATTGTTGACGACGAAAATCCTTAAAAGTTGTAAATTTAGCGGAATTAACTTGTCAACATCGCTTTTGTGTTATCAAACACTGAGCTTGTTTCTCTAGCTTTGATAACAATCTAATTGATGTCCTCGACGAGAGTGTTGTTAGAGAAGTAAAGGGTAGAAGAATAACTTCTTGAATTGGACTAGTAAAAGGATTCAAGAGAAGTCAAAGTAAGTAATTGTCAATTTGTTTAAGAATAAAAAAGGAGAAAAAATTATTTTATTATCAGTTTTTCTACACCCCCGCAAAACAAACTCAGAAAGGGTTGTTATTGTTTTACTTTCGATAAATAATTGCGGTGAAGGGATGCAAATAATGTTCTTTTTATCTCAAAAATAAGAACAATTTGTGGCGTCTTTTATAATGTTATTTTGTCTTTCATTTCTTTGTTACAACTAATTTTTTAATGAATTTTTATTTTGTGGAAAAAAATTGTAGAATCATAATAGAGTGAAATGTATTGTCTTAGTCGTAATAACTTTTAAATATATAAACTCCCTGGTAGAGTAAGTAAAGCGCGTGGAATATTGGAGGAAAGATCTTTTAAAGATATGAAAATTCTTAAATATACACATCTGGATCTTTTTTTGGTTTAGGTTTGCTTTTAAAATTCAAGCAGAGAAGTTATGAATTAGATTTCTTTTAAGCATAACAAAATTTTTTCTCCTATGATTTGGAAAAGGCTCAGGTGATAATTTCTGCTCTTTAATGTTTTTTTTGAGTCATCTACAACCATATTTCATCATTATTCACTCACAAATTAATTTTGGAGTCTGTTAATCGAGACATTAAAGTTATTGATCATTAAAGTGTACATCATGTGCCATTTTTCTCTAACAAAGCTTGCTCATGTCATCATCATATCAATTTTCATAAAAATAACATTTTGCACTCTATGGCGCTCATTCATGGTAACTCCACTTTGATAAATTACTCAACAAGGTACCATTTATAAATATAAGAGCAACTGACTGGCTGTATATGCAGTGAAAATCATTTTCTATGGCCATCCATTGTTCATTTGATCCATCTATGCAAACAATATCGACATAACCCTTGACAGTTCGCTGTGTTTTGCACACAACGTTATTCATTTTCGTTCATTTGTAGATGTCCAAATGTTTTAAACTCCCACTCATGAACTCTTTCATGTCTCATACTCAAACATATCTAGTCTTCCTTTTTTCACAGCATGGTTTTTAATTCTCAAAATGGTTTCAATGTTTTCTTTTTTTTATGTTTATTCTTTGAAATACGAGGGAGGATGATATAGAAGCATTCGAGGAAAATTGAGATATTATTCATGGGATGGCTAATTAAAATTACGGAAAATGTATCATAAATTTCTCGTCGACACACAAAATGTTAATCGTAAATGAGTGAACTTAAAGACCCAACATTATGCTATGCGCCTATGCTATTTACTCACTGCTTGCTGTTGTGTAATCTACAGAAAAACGGCAATAACAATTATTAAAAATTATCTCTCGCCGGTTTATATTTAGCTAATTTATTGCCTTTGAGAAATAACTTCGGAGAATCAGTAAAGACGAAGAAGTATCTACGAATAACTTAACATTGACTTATGTATTTTTGTGTAGACTGGCATAAGATTTCATAAGAAGCAGAAAAACTATCAGAAATCCATTAATATTCCCTTCTTTAAAAAAATCAATTCTGAAATCCCTAAAAATCAAGCCGATTCCATTAACAATACTCGAAAGAATATGTTAACTAAATATAGACGAAGAAGTGACCTCAGAAATGGTGACCTCAGTAGGAAGCCGTAAATAGAAACTCAATGAATAATGCATTGGCGTGAAGACGTTCCACGAAGATTTCCTTTTAATACTGTTTTCGTTGAAAGTCAAAAAGTAGGTATTTGTTGACAAAGTCGACGATGTCATGGATTAAATGCAGTCATTGATGGGTTTCTAACCTGTTTAAATCCACAAGCAGCAAGTTACTTCCGCGAAGGAAACTGTCAATAAACTTTTCATCCAGAAATAAATCACATGTGTTTGTTGTGTATTAGAGGGAAAAGTTTTCTGTAATTAAAGATTACAACTCAAATGGTAATAAAACAAATACGCGGAGTTTTGAGGGTGAATCAAGTGAACGACAGTTCTTTCAATTTTTGGGGGAGAAATAAGACACACAAATTGCTTACAACTTACGACTGTTTTAAAAAAGATTTTAAATGACATTTGTAAAAATATTTATGGAAAATTAACGATTCCGATTGCTTGAGAAACACTGCGCTGGTTTTTCATTTACATTAACAGCGGTAGCAGGTGACTTTTAATTTTTCTTGTAAAGGGAGCCTTGAATATACATTTTGGAGATAAAATTTTAAAGTATCATCTGCATGAAATTTATTTTAAGTGGTACACGCTTGATAAAATTTGACAAAACTTATTTCCCATTTAGTGCGAAATAATTCTTATGATATATTTATGTACACTTAAAATCCTTCTAAAATTGCACAAAAGATCTACTTGAGGCTTCATTCGTATGCTTAAAATCTACTCTATGGAAATAACTGTATCATTGTTAATGGGATTTGATGTTCAAGTGGATGCTTGAGAGAATACACACACCGCATGATATAAAAACCATTATCATGTAACATGTCGCGATAAGTATCGCGGAAAATTCATTTGAAAATCATTCTATTTTTCTTTTCGTCGTGCAACTTCCATTTACATTCTGAAAAGGCAAACACTTCTCAATGGAATGAAACATTAATTGTCGGTTTTTGAAGCTCTGTAAAAATAGCGTAGAAGATAAGAACCTTCAACGCGGTTTAATCTAGTAAAAGAGTCTTCAGTATTATTATTTTTCCATTTAACGCTTGAAGATTTAATCATTCGGAAAGAAGAGCTCTGAAAAGGGTTTCAAGTTCTTTAACATTTGTCATTTACGACATTTTGGGCGAATAATTAAACGTGAATTTTTAATTTTCATTCTCCTGGGGTAGTGATAAAGAACTTCTCATCGGTTTTCAATTTCTTTCAACTAAAAACTGAGACATCAAATGTTCAAATTTCCAATTAACTTAGATTGATGTTTCTTCAAATATAATTAACTTCTTTTATTGTTGTGGTTGATGATTTCTGTACTGCTGGGATTTGTTACTATGGATTATTCATAATAAGGTCTCGCCTGGCATCTCAATCTGTTAAAAATGTTTTCTTTGTTCGCTTCTCATTCACCTCATTATCATCATCTCAACGCTTTCCTCTTTTTGAAACAAAAAATCCTATCAATCATGTCCCTTCAAAAATGTTGACTCAACGCTCGATATTCCTTAAAGCTAAAATATTTGATTAAATTTATTGTAAGTTGACTGCATAGTATTTAAATATATTTTCAAAGGAATCCATTCAAAATATTGCGAAATAATTCAGAGATAAATGTTAAACATCATCACATAAAACAACGAATTTCAGAATCTTCTTTCATTGTTAAACTAACAAATAAAAATTCATGAAAGTAAAAAGAACTTTTGAAAGATAAAATAACGAAATGGAAAGAAAGTTTGTTTGCTTTCATTGTCTTAAAATCGCATTTTTCACTTGAAGATTATCTTAAGAAACATTTTGTAGTAAAAAGGGTTGGTCTTGGTCGGTGAATTAGAAAGATTTTCAGGTTGCGTCAGACAACAATTCCTATTTTCCAGAGCATAAAAATTTTTGTTTAAAATAATCGATTTTCCAAACAAATGAAATCCATTAAGAAAACTCAAATAAGTTATCTAAATAAGTTTGCTTTGAGAAAATTGTACAAACTGAAGATGGACGACAAACATGATGTTTTTAATTGATAATTGAAGCAGAGGGAAAACTTTCTCATATAACTCATTGTAGATATTGTATGCATGCTTTAGCCATTCATCATCGCCTTTCACACTGAATCTACCACAACAATTCCCTCGAGCATAATCAATCTTTTCCAATAAAATATTATGAACAATAAATTTTACATATATGAATCGAAACTCCTTCTCAGCGTTTTAAAACTAATTTACGAGGCTTTTTACTTATGTGTATCAACAGCAATGGGCATGTGTTTAAATATTATCTCTCTAAGCTGGCAGGCTTTCTGAATCTTACTTTTTTTATTTTCTTATTTTCTTTTCAATTTGAAAATTAATTTCATTGAAAAATATTTCGTTAATGTGAATAACTTAAAAATATTGAAAACCGCAATCAAATAGTTCAACGGTTGCCAACATCTGACCAACAATGTAAAGGTGGAATCAGCGAATTGAATCAATTATTTACCAGCCCTTAATTAAATAAATAAATCAAAATTAATTTGATTGAATTGATTATCGAACACATTTCATTTGGAGCTTAAATCAATTCACAACATGCGCCGTCATTATTATGTCCTTCTTGTTGAGTAATATTTGCATGTGCTTTTCCCTGGTTTAATAAGAGGGGTTGAAATAAAAACGTTAATCGTTGCATGGGAATTTTTCATAGCTAAGACTTGTTACGTGAACCGAAAATCCTGTGAAGTGGCGGTATAAAATCAATCAGGAAATCTGTGTTCAACACGCATATGAAATGTGCATTTGCTGCAGTGGGAATAATTGTGTATATAGATGTATAAGCAACTAACTATCTTCAACCCCTTTCCTACAATTATCTGTTCCTTTTAGTCACTAACTGTTAAATATTGGTTTGATTCGGCGGTCACTTTGATTGCTTTACCAACTGTAACAGTTAAATAGCAATTCTAATTAGAAGGGTTGAGTTTTTCTTCACAACCATGACATTAGAATGAAAGGTAAGGAAACTTGACACTTTCAGTTCGTCTTCAAAGTGATGAAAACTACACAGTTGTTTGCCTTCAATCAGAAAATAGAAAATCTTTTAAACCCAAAAAAAGTGTTAATTTCTCAACCACAGGAAAATCTTCATTTTAACATAAAAATTAAACAATTAAATCAAAATAAATTATCAGCCACATAAAACGGATCATATTTCCTTTTACATGCTTACAACGCAACATTCATTTTCATGTGTGTAATTTATTAATGATTTCAATTGGAACATGTGTTCAACAACAACATCAATTTGAAAATTAATAAATTATATCGAGAGTAGAAGCTACAGACTGAGGTAATAAAGAACCCTTTTCCCTGATCGCGTCATTACCACAAAAAAGAAGAAGAAGTAACTCTGTCTTCAATTAAGACTTCTTTAAAACTTTTTTGTTGATGTGCCTTCAGAATGAAAATAGAAAGGGAAAATCAGATTTTTTTCTAGCGCATCTAAACCACATGTGCCTACCATAAAAATTCTGAATGAAATCTAAGATCTAAGACACTCAAACAATGTTTTTTTATTATTTCTTTCGTTATCATCATCTGTCGCATAGCGTAAAATAAGAATTGAAAATCACAATGAAAATCGACATTTGAGTGATTTTATGAGTCAAACATAATGAGAAGTTTATCACTTCACAACAATGTTCATGTAGCAATAATCTTATGATAAAAATGAATAAGTTTAACAAAAGGCAACCAACTGAGATGTCGTCTGTTAATTGAGACATCCAACTGTTCCTACTTCTAGTTTGTCCATTCATCAATGAACAAGCCATTCAGAAGCTTAATAAGGCGTGACACGATTCCATTTAATTACACACTTTTTTCTATTAACACCCACAAAACGACCGTAAAATTTGCTTTCTTTTGTGTCGGTTTCACAATGTATTTCGTTTCACTTTAAAGGAAATTGGTAATTTATTAGGACGATTGGTAATTTTTTCATCCAACAAAACCCGAAGGTTTTGTTCAATTGTCCATTCGCAAACGGTAACTGATCGTTAAACTTCCGGACTTTGTGAAAGACGCGTGGTCAAAATATCTAAGACTTCATTTTTTCTTCTTCTCAAATAAAAAGAAAAGAATATTGAACGATTTTTAAATCGTCTGTTAAAACTACCTACCAAGTGACTGAGACGTTGAAATGAAAAGGTCAACGAGTAGCAAAGAAATCACTAACAACAAAGAAATTTAAATTTTTTTGTGAGTCGAATATTCCATCATTCTAACACAAAAATCTTGTTGAAAAAGTCATCGAAAATATCTCAAAAGTTCCCACGCAAAATTTTAAGGAAGCAAGTCGAAATTAAACAACCGCTAAGGGAACGTATGTAAGGAAATTTATGACGGTTACACATTTTATGTTTGTCAGAAACGGAATTACATAAAATCCCGAAAGATCCTACCAAATATTGTTTGAAATTAAAATATTTAACATTTTACAAATTCTACACTTCCGGAATCGAGGGATGTCGAACGATGTGACAATCTTTAGACACATCTTTTAATTAAAAAAGTGACAAAAACAAACTTTTTGAGTTCCTTCTATGAATCATCGAAAGAATTAGATAAAAAGATTTCAACATTGTTTCAATGATCAAAGTTCTCTCAGATTGAGATCAAACCGCAGGTAACAACAAACCAGATGTGTTTCGTTACGTACGAACATTTCCTGCAAATAAACACCAGACTGAAGTTTATCTACCTTTATTGGTTGACTGCAAAAATCTAAAGAAAAACTTAAATAAAACAAAAAAAAATTATTTTGATTATCGATAAGAGAAAATCCGTAAATGAAAGATGGTCATGAGAACAGGCAATAGACACAATGTTATTGTGCTGAAATATTTAAATATTCTCAATGAAATATTTCTGCTAACGTTGTCTTCTTATCTCTCTTCTCTTCTTTCAGTTTTGCATAAATAAATAATAAACAAATATAAACTTCATATTAATTAAGAAATAAAATTGAAAAGAAACGTTCTCGACATGAGTTCGAGTTCAAATTTAATTTTCTGCATCACATGCGAATTTTTGTTGTTGTTCCTATCTTTGCTACCTTTTTCTCTCGTTTCATCCAACTTCCTTAGTTTTTATTTTGCATCTGGCAACACATTTACCTGCAAGCTAACTCCATTGAGAACAAGAGTGTTGATTATTTTATTATAAATTGAAATTGATCATTTGCTACTGATAAACGTCTCTGCCTCCGGGTTGGCTTCGTTTCTTATTGAAAAGATTTCATGTGTGTATGAATAAATTTGCCAGCATCTCTTCGGAGCCATTCGAATACATTTGAAGTGATGAAAAAGAAATTTTGCTTCATTTATCAATTTACTTCCAACTAAGGCGAAGGCGACGAGTTTGTTTAAACATCAGCAGAGACCACCTCAATGATTCACTTCGATATTCTCCATTCATTCATTCATTGAGAGAAAAAAAATGTTAATTTGAATTTAACAACATCGCGCTCTCTGTTCGGGCTTTTTAATTTGATTATTCAAGACTTGAAGCGTTACATGAATGCCACCCAATTACCAAGATCACATTTGCATTTTGACTTGAGAGATCATCGAACGCTGCAAAAAAAATATGTTGGCGGATGGCGCCCTGAATTGACTTGATTACTGAGTGTATGCGATGTATGTATTATCGATTAAGATATTTATCATAAATATATTTTATATTCAACTTTAGTTGAAATGTTTGATTTCGAAAGCAATCGCTCAAGAGTCAAGATTTCTATTTTGTCGAAGAAAATCAGAAGAAACTTTGATAGCTTCATTAAAAACATATTTATTCGACTTCAGTCTTTATGATTATTATGATTTACTCCCATGAGAACGATACCCAAACATCATCGAAATGCATGAGATTGGTTTCCATCCCATTTCATTCAACCCCAGACAACAAAAAATACATCTACCAAAAAATAGGAAAACTATTTATTTATTTGCCATGAGACTCTTATTGACATTTAATTCGTTTCTTTCTTTGTGCTTGGCTTTTTAATCGATCGAACATTATCAATCAATAAAAAAGTCATGTTAAAAAATGGTCTATGCGAATATTTATGATGTCTCCGATTATGTTGACAATCACGTGCCTCTAGAAAAATGTGTGTGTGTATGCCATTAATATAAGAGAGAGAAACCTCAAATGTTTTGTGATAAAAAAGTAATCTCAACATAAAATGACTTCAAAACGGAAGCATTACACTACGAGAATCATAAAACAATAAAATATGCTTCAGCCAAGTGATCATAAATCATATAAGCGGGGAAGAAATGTCGTGAAATCATATGTAAAATGAAATGTTACAAGCGACATTCCCGATAGTACTTTCTTATGTTCTTTTGTAAGGATTCTAAAGATGCTCGTTCAAGTGATTTTTAATCCCAAGAAAAAAAAGTGGAAGTAATCACTTCTAAGGAAACCAGCAATCACCCACAAATTCTCAACTTCCACATCTAATAAATGTCTATCACTTTCACCGTATAACTCGATAGACAAAAAAAGTTGAATGTCGAGTCGACAAATGATTCGGGGTTCACAAAAGTTCACATTTCCTGAAGACACTGCACCATATTTTTATATCATCATTCATTGTCAATGTAATTGTCATATCGCTTTCGACTGTCGCATTCGACATGAAATGAATAAAAAAATTATTTTAACTGGGGAATTATGTTACATCATAAAAAACAATATTTGATATTTTTTTGTTTTTGTCGGAAGTGATTTATTGATCAACATGCCTGAAGTGCTGCAAGTGGAAGCTCGTCTGATGATATCAAACGAAATATATTTATAATTTTCAGCAATAATAATTTCTTGTTATTGATTTCACATTTCTTTTGTGCTTTTTATAGCATTAATTTTTTCAGTAATTCACAAAATAATGATTCACGACAAAAGAGAAATGAATCAATAAAAGATGTTCATAATGTTCATATAATTAATTAAAAATTTTTTTTAGACTGACAACTCTTATAACTATCCCTAATACAATTTTCTTCTTTATCCTTTCGATCATAGCAAACATCAATTGACATTCGTCACGCGAGTTTTTTCCATTCATAAAAAGAACGAAAAGTATTGAACCACGCTCAACACAAATCAAATTAGATTAGTTCATCAGTTTGATCAGTAGTGAGTCGCAATTTGTAGTCGCAATGAATTTTCATTTAAAAAAGCATCGAAAATTGACAGAGGTTGTTCTAATTCCTGAGGGCTTACAAGAACTTATGGCAGATATTGCAAGGGAAGTGCTTAGATATCAGCCTGATAATATTGAATGTTTTATCGCTGATTATTTAGAAGCGATGCTTCTGACAAGAGACGTTTGCAATTTTGCAAATGAAACAGTTGAAGATGTTCTTGACTCTGGCATTCATATAGTGGAACTTCTTCAAAAGGAAGGAATTCCATCGAAGAAAGCTAAATCAGCAGTGAAAGTGATTAAAAATGAATTTGAAAGCCAAATTGAATGTATTAATGATGACCATCCATTAGAGGAAATTAAAATAATGAGTCGATTAATTGACGAATGTAGCTTCACAATCGACCAAGCACAAGAAGCATCAGAGATAATTGAAGGCGCTTGGCATCTTTTCTATCAACGTCATAAAAAGACTGACAACATCCGTCAAATTTCGCCTGATTATTCTCTTCATTATGCCGTAAAAAACACATTGAAAATTTATAAAAAGGGAAGAGAATTGAGTAAAAGATTACAAGCGGCAGTCAAAATTCAAGCTTGGTATCGTGGATTGAAAATTCGAAAGACGTTTTTGCAATTTCAACAAGCAGCGATCACAATTCAAGCTGCTTTTAAAGGATATGGAACAAGAAAACAAATAAAGCTTCGAATTCATCCTTGTTACGATGAAAAGTTTTGGAAAACTCCTTGTTTTCAAATTCGAGAGAAAGCTGCAATTGTCATTCAGTCGTGGATTCGTGCATTGAAAGTTAGACAAAGATTTAAAAATAAAAAACAATCTGCTGCTATCATTCAAGCTTATTTTCGTGGCTTTAAAGTTCGTAAAGAAATGAAGCAATTGAAGCGCAATGTTCATTAACTGTGAAATTTCTTATCAAGAAAATTTAAAAATTCACTGCGGTATCATGAGGACAATAAATTATTTATGAAATTTCTTCCATATCCATTGCAGTGTTTTTGTTTTTACATTTTTCATAATTCAATTTCCTTTCGCATTTCAACAATTAAGATATCATTAAGAAATATTTTCGGAATATTGCGAAAGAAAACGCGACGCAGTCCATCGCAAAAAAAACTGTCGCAAGGAAACTCGAATGAAAAAGAACAATAAATAATTAGCATTTAAATTAAAAAATATTGCAAACCAACGTTCAGTGGTTAGCTTCATAAATTAAGACAGAAGGGTCCAAACACCATACGCAAATGCTGAATGTAGAAAAAAATCCATTAACGCGATAAGAAAATTGAAAAACCACAAGGAAATTTTCCGCATAAAAGTACAACGTGAAGAAATGAAACAACAACAAAAAGATTCTTTCTCTTCTTTTCTTTCATTAAAAAGAAATTTTCCAGTGCATATATTAATGATTGATGATGGTAAAAGTGAGTGGTGCGAGTGGATTAAGTAATTTTCTTTAAATTTGTTATGACGTTAGTCATTTAAAAAATAAACTCTACCAATTTGCATTCGAACGAAAAATTAGCTTCCCAAATCATATTTGAAACTGTTAAACAGATGGTTCATAAGATTATAAGTGATCCAAGTCGAAAATGTAGATGATAAAATAAACATCTTAAAAAAGTCCTTAAATGATATTTGAAACCGTTGTGTAAATATCCCGGAAAAGAAAATATTTTACAGCTCATAAATTGGAGAATTTTGACCATCAAGTGCATGTTTCTAAAGTAATCATGTGAGGGAGCCGTGGGAAAAATTTTTTAAATTGCTTCGTAATTTTATATTAGGCAATTCTTCGGTTAAAAAAATAATTTCGAAAAATGCTTAATAAATGTTAAATTACGTTAATGTCAAACTCGTAAAATGTTTAATCAAAAATCAACATAACTTAATCGATTTCACAGAAAACCATTGTGCAGCAATAAAAATTTCTCTCAAATAATAAATGGATTTTTGATTTTTAAGGGATATTGTGCAGCGTTTCTCTTTAATTGGAGGAATCGACAGGAGTATTTGCTGGACGATAATTAATGATTCTCGCCTGTCAAACGATCGTAAGGGAGAAATATTTTCGTGAAGAAAGTACAAAGAGAAAATGATAGAAATTTTTATACCTTAAAAGGTTGAACAAGGAATAAGAATCAACATTAGCTAACGTGACTTTGTATTGTTTCTTTTTTTCCTTACAAATTTATTTTTCTTAACTTAGAACGATATAAAAGAAAAAAATTAAACAATATTTAAATTTGTTCTTTCCCTCATATTTCATCTACCTTTCACTGATCTACAACTGACCATTAATTTAATTTCGCAGATTGAAACCAACCACCCTTATTTTCACCTATTTGCACACAAAATGATCCTAAATAAACAGCAAAATTGATTATGAAAATTCAGGATGAAAGTGTTTGAATCAGATTCTCAAGTCATCAATCTTCTTCGATTGCTTAAAGAAATGGAAAGTTGTTCTTTTGGAACGGTATACCTTCAAGTTAAACATTTTGTGTTTGTTGCAAGAAATTGATTGAAGCAAAATTGGAAAGATCACTGGTCAAATATCTAAATGGAAAAGAACTAATTAGTTCAATGAATGTTATTTCTAGATAGGGGAATCAGAACCGTTAACTTTACTCTCTGTTACAAAGATCATCATTGATTAATGATAAATTTTTTACAAAACATCTAATTTTAATATTTTAAATTTCAACAATAAATAAATCTCAGATGTTCAAAATAATTCAAATGATAATAAAATCTTCTTTGTAATGTCAACGGGATCAATTTCAATCCGCCTCAATTCTCTGAAACTTGTTCAACATCACACAATAGGTAAAAACATCAATCGATTCATGTTGAAGAAATTATGAAAAATGATTGTCAGAGAAACTATCTTTATTCTCCTTTTTGTTTTTACTTTGCTCATGGTGGTCTTAAACGTTACATTATGGAAAATAAACTTTTTACTCATAACTTACCTCATCTTCTTTTTGAAATACACGTCAATCAGGTGTCAGTTAATCAATTAGTGATCTTCGTAGCAGTGATTAAAAACGACATGCTTGAAGTTTCTTTGCTCATTTTTTTAATATATTTTTGTTTTTGCTTTCATATCAAATAGTTGTTCTTCTTTCTCTCTTTTTCATCAATAAAAAGCATTTAAGAGCTCAAAATTTTTAACTTTTTCTGTCTTATCCCCTTAACCGAGAAGAGCTTTAAGCTTTTCACATCCCAAACTCTTTGTTGAGAGAATCTAAATCTCTCTTATCAATGAAATCTTGTAAATCATGCTTTCCCATCAAAGAAATTGTCATTCTTAAAGTTGACCATAAAGTGTCTGACATTTGACTCTGAACGTTCTCAATATTGACTCCAGCTCGTTGTTTTGACGTCGCTTGATGATTGAGAGCCATCAAAAGATGTTCAGCAGCTTCTTTGTATGATTTTAAATTGATGCAAACCACGCCAACATTAAAACGAGCTCGAATGAATCCTGGTTCAATCTCAAGTGCACGTTGATAAGCACCCACCGCCTAATAAGTTTATTTAAAAATGTCACATTTTGTCATAGAAATTCTTTCTTATTTCTTCTTACCTCCGTTGGTTTATTTCCATTTGCATAACTTGCACCCAATCGATTCCATAATTTTGCATTATCTGGTGCCATTTGAACTGCAGCTTGAAAACAATCGACCGCTTTATCATACTCTGATGATAAATTAAATAAAACGCCAAGCGCTTCTTGAACATCAACATCAAAGGCACCGCTGGCAGCATTTTGTTGAACAGCTTGAAGAAACAGTTCTTGAGTCAACTCAAGTTCCATTCCACGGATTCTGGAACTAGCAATTTCATCAATGCCAGCATAATCATCAGAATCATTTCCAGTCACTAAATTTGAATATTTTGGATTAACTCTAATCCATTCATTCAACATTTTGAGAGCTTGATTTTGATAGCTTTCGTTCGTGAAGGAAATCGCTAATGCCATAAGAACTTTTAAATTTTTCGGATCCAACTCTAAAGATTTTTTTAATGCCGCTATTGCGTTTGGATCTTTTTCGTTTTCTGCTTGTGACGTTCCTAATAATTTCCAAGCTTCTGCATTCTCTGGTTCTTGTTTAACAGCAACTTCGAAGCATAGAACCGCTGAAGGAATGTCACCATTTTCAAGGAACGTCTTTCCTTTTTCAAGGGCATTTTCTATATCCATCATTGGATTATTTTCATCAAATTTGTATTCTTTGTAGGGATCGTAATATTCACTGAATTCATTCAACCATGGATGTTGTTGGCTGTTATCTTCAGATAGCTTTTTCCACTCATCTTGTAGACGATCCCAGAATTCTTTATTATATTGCTCATTAAATTCTTCGTCAGCTTTTTTTGATTCTTGGAATGCTTCAGCCCAATCTTCTCCTTCTTTTACAGGTTTTGCTAACTTTTCTGCTTCTATTTCCTTAAAGAAATCATTTGCTGTTTGTTGACCTGTGAAAAATTCCTGACCTTGTTGCGTATTAGCTTGACTGTCTAAGAATCTTGAATAGTTAGGTCTTTGATAAGGTCTGTATTGTCCGAAATTAGCAGTTGACGGAAGACCTTGATCATATCCCCATATGTTTGTATCTTGCTTAGATCGCTGATTTACATCTGAGTTTAGTGATTGCTGCCAGAACTAAGATAAGATATTCATAATGTAAACATTTCATTGTAAAATAAAAGCAACTGGTGTTTACTTCAGCAAGTGATTCATCACTTTTTCCAACCGAAGACCAAAATTGTTCCGGATTGTTTATTTTTGAGACTTCATTAATAACAGATGGAGCAGGAATAGGGCCTTGAACAAATGTATCCATTTCCTGCATCTCTTTGAGAAGCATGTCCATTCGAAATGTCTGTAATTACATTGAAAATTTGCCTTATCATTACCATTATCATCACAGAAGTTTCAAAGGTCATCTCTCATACCTCACTTGGTTGAAAATTAACATCGCGATAATTTGATGCTCCCTCATCGCGTAAAGTATAATCGTTTGTCAATTGTTGTCCCAATCTCATCAGTGGGTTTGCTCCACCACATTCTGGTTCTACTAAGTCCTTAAAATTCATTTCAGAGCAAAAATTTCGGGAGCAGTTCAATTGGAATTTATTGTAAACAAAACTAATATCGTAGCTTATCCCCTTGAACACTTTTCCAGAGGTATACTCAGGCGATGTTGTAAGAAAATGCATATGAATGTGTTGCATGTAATTCACCATTCTTATTTGACTCTGTAGTGGTCATTAAACACAAACACATTCTTCATTTATTTCTCTTTGCTCCAAAATTACTTTGCAGCCAAAATACGATAATTCCGTTATTGAAAACAATAATATTGAAGAAATGGCAAGTTTTTTAGTAACAAACAGGTTCCTACAGGGTATTTCTATGAGATATTCTCTCATGACATGGCGTAGTATTGGTGTAAAATCAATTTTTATTAAAAGTACGAGAGACTTATCGCATGAATTGAACCATATAGAAATAAAAACTAAATTTGCTCCAGTCTCGCCACAGATTTCATTACGCAGGTTCAGTGAAAAAGCCAAAATGGTGAGTTGTTTTAAAAACCTGTTGAAGAAATGGAATTTATTTCATTCATTTTACAGACCAAATTGAGCGAAACAGAACGTACTGAGATTTTAAAGCCATTGCTTTCATCTGGCTGGAGTGTTGTGGATGATCGCGATGCGATTTATAAAGAATTTATTTTTAAAAACTTCAATGAAGCATTCGGTTTTATGACACGAGTAGCTTTATTAGCAGATAAAATGGATCATCATCCAGAATGGTTCAATGTTTACAATAAAGTTAAAGTCACAATGTCTACCCACGATTGCGGTGGTTTATCACTGAAGGATGTTAAAGTTGCTACTTTTATGGATGAAATCTATGGAAAATGATTTTGGAGAGGAAAAATGATTTGAACGTTGTGATTTTTTCTTTTTGGGAGTAAAAGTGTTGAACTAATAAAAGACTCAAAGTTAACAGATCTAAAGTGTCAGTCGTTTATTATGAGATAAATTCTTTGCTAACTATCTCGTAATCTTTTTCGTCATCAGGAGATGTGTCGTCTTTGACATATCCAAGTCTTTCGTAAAATTTCCTTGCTCCTGGATTGTTTGTCAATAATGTAAGGACAAGTCGTTCTAGACCCCATACTTTAGTTAGTCTTTCAAGACATTTCAAAAGATGTTCGCCAATGCCTTTTCGCTGATACTGTTCGTCAATTTGAAGCTCATAACTAAAAAAAGAACTCTTTTGAGATTTCATACATTATATATAAAGAAATTTAAGGTTTCTCACCAATAAACAACACTACGACCATAATCCATATCTAAAGTGAATTATAATTAGGTATTACTAAAGAATAGAACGAAATAAATTTGATCAAAAAATATTTACCAAATCGGAACATTGTATAACCAATAGGCTTCTTTCCATCGTAGGCTATTAGAAATCTTGCCCAATTCTTTCCCATATCAGTTTGTTTCACTTTTGGCTGCCATCCAAGGCTGCAGTTTTTGTAATAACCGCTCACATTTCTTTCAGCTAACTTGAAGCAAAATTTTTGAAGTTCTTTTGGCATTTCTTTGCTCGAGTAAAATTTTATGTTAAAATGAACATCATCTTTTACATATTCACTGAACTCATCACCAACTTCAAGGAATGGATTTTTCTGCTGATTAGCTTTTTCAATAGCTTTGTGTTGAATTCCAGCAAGCTCTCTTTCTGTTGTCATTTTGTACTTTCTCAAAATTGATTTAGATGTTTACATCCAATATTTTCGCGCTTTATTTTTACAATTTTTATACCCCTTGTTACTTTTTAACATTTATAAATGACGTCCAGTTAATATTCTAATGAGAATCGGTTCTGGGTTACATTTCATATACCCATCATTAAGACACGTTTCCTATTTTGTTTCTTTTCAATAAATAAAAGAAAAGTTTTTTGTTGTTTTTTTTTAATCTGAGTATCAAGTCTGCAAAGTTAGATATTCACGTTATTACCTAAATTGTGGTCACTACTCTAATGCATGAATAAGAATAAGTTACCAAGAATTTTAAAATGATTGCATGCCTTATTTGCCTACAAGAACTTGAATTTTCAAGTGATCCGTCTGTATGTATTCCATTATGTGGTCACGTCTTCCATGATAAGTGCATCTTAAAGTAAGTACCGAGATAAATGAATATTAAATAAAATATTAATAATTTATTGATTTCCTTTGTAATGTTAATTATCAGATGGTGTAACGAGTAAGTAAACTTTATTTTATCTTTCAAATATAAATTCTAAATATTTACCTTATCTTATTAAAGACTTGATAAACAAAGAAAATGCAAAGTTTGCCCGAAATGCCGATGCGAAATAGAAAATACAAGTTCATTCATTAAGATATTCTTTGAATCGGTTCTGGACAATAGCACCAAGGAAGCACAAAAGGAAATAGATTCTCTACTTGCAAGTAATGACGTTTGTAAAAGACGAATAGAAATAATGCTTATGGAAATGAAAGAAACTGTGAGTAAATTTACTGAACTGAATCTATGAAATATTAATTTATACTTCAACATTATAGATTAGAACAATCGAAAGTAATTCAAAAGAAATTGCATCTAAAAAAAAAACTATTCTTGAAAATGAAGCTGATAGTTATAGTGGACCTATTCAATTAAAAGATCTCACTGTTGTTTTATCTCGTGAAGATGAAATCAGAAGAATGAATGATTATTATAATAGTCACAGACAAAGTCACAGAATATTTAATGAATCTGACTATGGGATGAATTATCATAGTCAGTATCATAATTAATTTTTTTTAAAAATGTTAAGTTTCTTTCTTTCAATGGTGTACAATAAAACTTCTTTCGATCTATTTTTACACAAATTTCTTGTCCATTTTATGGGGATTTATTTAATTTTTCTTTCTTCTTCATATTTATTTTGTTGGGAAACAGTTTTACAAATTCTTTCTCTTTTCATAATTCAACATAACGATTTGTAAAATGATAAAAAAATCATCATCACTTAAAAATATCAATTTCAACTATTTACAGCATATTTGGACACATTCAGCTATGATCTTATGCGATCATTAATCTGAAAATTCCACTTTTAATCACATTTGTCATTAAACAGAAACATAATTATTTTATTTTTTCATATTTTTCTTCTTTTTTTTTGTTGTATCAACATTTAGAAACATCTTTTATGTTGTTCTCTATAACAACATTAGTCATTATTATTATTATTATTATTATTATTTGTGAGGGCGGATAGGGATGGCCGGGCATTAGGAAGTTTGGAATTTACACTAAACTCAGGACTTTACAATTATTCTCTCTCTTTTATATCATTCATCATTATAAATTTATATCTCATTCATCTCTATGCAGGAAGGTAATCACAATGTTTATGTAACAATAAATGTTGCTTATTTTTCTTACGATTTCTTAAAATGATGCTGCACCTTTATTTGCATGCATTATTCTTTTTTAACGTAAATAATCAACCAGGTATGATTAAAAAATTATTGTTCTAAATTAAAGTTTTCTTTGTTTTTTTTTTGAGGAATTATTACACAAATTTTAGATTTTTAATTAGTCACATTGCAGATTCAGTTTGGGTATGTAAACATTGTCGAGCGATCTAAAGACAATCAAAGCAAATAATTTTATAAAAGTTTTCTTTTTATTTTAATTTTTTTAATTCTTACCTGATTGCTTAGGCTTTGGTGGAAGTTTTGGCGTTTCGCCGGGAGGTATTGGAAATCTCGGTGAACTAAATTTAAAAAGAAAAGAATATATATTTATATAAATATTATAATGTTTTGCTTTTGAACATGCTTTTTACTTTGGTTTCTTTCCAACAACATTCGTTGGCGAATTATTTGCTTCAAAACTCGAATTTAATGACTTTGGTGTCGATGCGACTGATGATGAGCTTTCTTTATTATGTGCCAATGCCGAATTACGTCGAAGCATTATTGTACTCGTATCTGGTGTTGTCAGCAATTGCGTCAATTGATGTCCATGTAAAGAGTCATCACGCTGTAATTAAAAAGGAATTCACTTAATCTGTTTTGCTATATCATTAATATAAAATTACCTGGTGATGGTGATGATGGTGGTGATGATTACACGCGTCCATACTGTTCATAACAGAATGAGATGTTCGAGGTGGTAATGGTGGCGGACTTTTATCTCTTGGCAACAAAAGTGGCGCATCTTTTGCTTGCTTCATTTGTGAGATGCTAAACTCAATTGGATTCTTCTTTTTCGCGCGTGGTGGCAAAGGAGGAGGCGGTTGATGATTAAAACAATGAGCATTGGGTACATTTACATGAGGTGAGACAGGCAATGGTCCATTTGTATCATTCAATTCCGTTGCATAACGTGGCGATGATGGATGATTGTAACTTGGTGATGATCGTTCATTAAACTCATTTGATGTGATGTTTGTGGTATTGTTTCGTGCCATCGTTGCACGATGAGAATTATTTTTGAAACATGAAGGGCTGATGGGATCAGAAGGTTGAAATTCCATTGATCTTATTTCTCCTGATAAAGCATCGAGAACTCTTGGACTGACAGTTGAGCCAGGTGGCGGATGAACGCGAGGACTAAGAAGTGGTTTACTGTGATCAAAATTACTACTAAAACTATTGTGACTAGTCATAGATATGATGCTGTTGGAACGTCGCGGTAATTCAGGAGCCATTGATGATGGAACTGTTGATGTTATTGAGATTGTGTCATCAGACATGACAGCTGTATTTAATGTTGTTTGCGATGCAAAATATGCTACATATAAGAAAATTTACATCAATATATCATAAAGACAAAATTTATTACGTCAAATTTCTTACCAGACGCATTTCCACCTCCAATGTTGACGTTCGCAAAGACTGAAAATTCTGATGATGATAAATTATTTGGTGGCGGAGATTGTTCGCCTTCACTGGTGCTTAACAATTGAGATTTTCCACTGAATGGTAATGTGTTGGATAAGCTCAATGATGTGCTGTTGTTATTGCTACGACGAGCTGGTTTTATTCCTGGTGACTTCAACGTCAATTCTGGCCATTTTCGTGGCTTTAATAATTTTAAATTAATTTTTTGCTTTCAAGTTTCAAAAATTTATAAATTTATAAATCTAACTTACAAATTTCAATGGCTGACGACAATTTCTTGGTTCGATCCTTAAACTTTCGTTATAGAGATAATTTTGAATATCTTCAATCGATTGACCGGGAAACGGATCCAATGTTTCGAGAAAATGCTTTAAAAAAATTTAAAATATTTTATTATGACATTTATTTACGTAATAAAAATTAAAGCTTACCCTAATTCTTGGATCCACCTTAAGGCAGTAAGGTTGATTCTGATATTGCTGAATTTCGCCAGTGATTTCGGCAACTTTTCGTCGTTTACTGAAATTTATCAGTTCATTATTTCGTAAGAAATCTGGATTACCTTCTTCAATATGTAAAATGTTGGTCAAATACATGCCGAAGAAAGGCACGCACGGTGGATTAATCGAACGCAATTTTTCTTGATATTTCCTGTAATGATCCTTATCCAAATCGCGACATTCACTCAAACACATTTCAAGTCGTCTTGGCAGTTCCGCATATGTAAGTTTGAGTCTATAAACAGCCGCTGAACCAAAAGCTGATACAAAAGTTAATACACCGTTGAAATTGTTGAGCTCTTGAAGAACCATCATAACTTCAATAGCTCTTGTGACAATTGCTACTCGTTCTTCAAAATTCTCTGCTTCTAAAATTGATTTCTCGATCCATCGTGTGAACTGAAAAATTAAAAATTTTATTAGTCAAATATGACTTTGTCATCATCAAAAGTAAACTTACATTTGTTGTATGTCTAGTAATCTTCAAAAGATTCGGACTTTTTGTCTCTTTATCCTTTTTAGTCCAAACCGAACCAACAAGCTCTGAAGGCTTCACATTCTTATAAAGTTCAAACTCCAATAATGTCAATTGTCGTGCCAATTCCAAAGGATGTAATGTCAAAATATTAAATTCATTTTCTGGTACTTGAAGATGATATTCAATAGCGGGCGGACTATGACCGAACGCAAAAGTGATTTGTCTGTGATCCCTGTCATCGTTTTCTGTCTTTCTTTGAACGATTTTTAAAACTGAATCGACCCATTTTCGCATTGATTTGCCTTGAATCGACTCAAGGAACTGTGTGAGTTTCTGTAAGAGTGTCGGATCACGCTCAAGATCATAATAATGATGATCGACCCAATGACGAAGCACATTAAGCACACGAAACTGCACCGGCTGAACATATTCCTTCTTATAACGTTTCCAGTCCTCTCTCTGTGAACTTTTATGAAGTTTATCATCTAAATCTTTGTCGCCACATGAATCATACACCAAATTGGGATCAGGAATGTTGAAGCGCTCAATGAGAAGCTCAAGAAGTTCCTGAGCAGAGCAAAATGAGCGGAATGTTGTAAGAAATGTTCGTACAAACATTGGATCAGCATAAATGTGATAAGTTAAACGTTCGATGAGTTTTACAAGAGTCGCTCCTTTTATTAATGGTACACCGGCCGACTCTTTCTCTTCAAGAACAATATTGCTTGGACTATCAGGAACAGCAAACTTATAGAGTTCAGGACTTGGTAACCTCAACGGATGTTTTCTCTCAATATCTAAAAGAATGCTGTCCAATATCCGTTCCAGCATTGACTTTGTATTTAACATCACCAGATCAGCCATCCATTCATTCTTATGTTGAGCATTTTTTGCTATTAAAACAACCGAATGTAATTCGCGTGGTGCAATTTCAAATGCATTTTTAAGCTCATCAGTGTCACGTCGGTCAATTATTTCAACTTTTCTCATGAAAAAACGCTCCTTTAATCTAAAATCGTAACTGGCAGCACCCGAAACTGTTTGCTTTCTTGTATTCGCTTTACAAAGTACAAGAAGTCCATCGAAAAGGAAAACTTTTCGTTCAGTATTTCGTTTTCCCGAAACCAACTTCATTAAAGTATCTTCTTTGATAAATTCATTACAACATTGACCAATGTCTTTGTCCCAATGTTCAACAGTGCTTTGAAGCTCTTTCGTTTTCTCAATCGCTTGTTGTCGACGAACACGTGAATTCGTTCTTACCAGTGACTCCTTTGGCAATAATGGAATTTGTTTTTGAAGCTCAAATTTCAAAGGTTCGAGAAGACCTTTAACAGTCTCAAAGCTTTCGCGATCTTCTTGACTCGTGCTGAGTTGAAGAAGTTTATCAACATACTCAATGTATACAAAAGCATGACCAATGGGCGTAAGAAGAAGCTTAGGAAGATAAAATTTGACTGCCTCGCGAAAACCGTGACCGGCAGCGATAAGTGATTGAGCTTTTGGTTTTGATAATAAATTCGATAGCGCTTCCTTTGCTTGTGATGATGTAATGTCATTGGAATATTTCACATAAACATCAAATTCTTCAGCTTCAGCAAGCTCCTCAAAGCAACTTCCAATGCATGGTGTTGTCTTCTGATCTTGTGACATCTCAATGACATCTTCAAGTGAACCGAGAAGTGTTACAGTCACTTCATATATATCGATAATATTCGAAAATATTGGCTCAAGCTCCTTTGGATCATCAACAATCTTCGCTAACTCTTCGCGAAATACGCGAATAATCATGTGAAGATCACGTAAATATTGCTTCTCATCGTGAAGGAATTCTTTAACAACTTCTTCATAACTGAGACCGTCACGTGGTGTTACAGGCGGCAGTGGACTCACGATTAATGAATGAGCATTTTCGCCTTGATAAAACATATCCATAAGCACCTAGAATAGTTTTTTTATTAATGAAATTAAAAGTTCTTTTAAAGTTTTTCCTTAACTAAATATGGAAATGATAAAACATGAATTATCTATAATTTAACAAGAAAATAACAGAAAAAGAGGAAAGGACAAACACAAGAAGCAGCAGAACAATTTAAAAAAGAAAAGAGAACACTTTCGGATTGGATTGGGTCGAGGGTGGGTGTGAAAGCTAAAATGTTAAAAAACAGCATTAATGATGTTGTTGTTCAACTGAAAGCCGTGAGATTAGGAATTTGCATAAAAAGATGTAGATACTTAAATTAAAAATCAAAGACAAAGAAAATTCTAATCAATCGTACGTACCACCTGCGATTTTTTTGTTTGAAAATTGATTTTTTTTGTTTATGTTAATGAGAGCATGGAAAATAATTGTTGAATAATTTCGTATCAATCAATCAGAAAATGAAATTTAAATATTTTTTTGTTGTTTTGTTTTCTCAAAATAGAAATTTGTGGTTTAATGGAATTAGTGTTAATTCATGCAATGTGATAAATCTGTAAACTGTTGAAGCTTAAGTTCATTCTCAATATAATTAAATATTTCAAAGGCGATGTTAAGGATATTGATTCAATAAGAAAATAATTTCTATAAAACATTTACAGTGAAACTTCTGATTGTTTAAGTTTGTTCAGAATGAAAAAGAATTTTTCTATATTGAGCGGAACAAAAATAGCAAACTTAGACTTCGCAACACAAGTCACAAAAATGACCAAAATTCAAAACATAGGAAATGTATGATGAAGCTATGGATTTTGTTGCGCACTTTGTGTTATTGATGAATCGTGAATGGAATTTTGTATTTGTGTTGAAAGTTGTAAGGAGAAATTTGAGGGATATCAATTTACTTACGCAATCCGCGCGAATGGCAATTTGTACATCCTCTTGTGTAATTTCGACGTGTTTCATGTTCTTCACGTAATTACCAGCCAATTTAAGAATGTCGGCTGAAATATATTCAAGCACAGCGACGAGGAACAAACTCACTGAGCTATCGATCTTATATTGCAACACCTCCTACAATTCACAATTATTTAACACAGAGACTTTCATTTATTATTTAATAAAATACCTTTTGAAGTAGAGAGTGCATCCTGTCAACGGGCATCACAGATTTTTTCTTCTTCGTCTTGTCTATTGTATCTTTTGCATCAGACAATGCCCACTGAAAAAGTTTTCATAACGAATATTACTGAATGACAATAACTTGACATTTTTTACTTAATTACCTTATCGATAGGCGTTGGAAATGTTTTTTGAACTTTTTCTTCAACATCCTAGAATAATATATAAAGTTGAAAGAGCGCAACCATAGAATTGAATAATCTAAACTTACGGGAATCGAGTGCGGATCATCTGCACAAAGATTTATGAGCAGTCGAAAGCAGAGATTCTCAACATAGTAAAGAGCTTCATCGTGCGCTGTTAGTGAAGGGTGTAATTGCTCAAGAACCTTTCGAAAAGAATAATATTTGCATAAACATTGAGTTATAAAAATTTTCTTACAACAAGAAAAAGAATTTCTTTTGTTTTTGTAACTCATACTTTTCGTAATGAATTTAAGAGGATTCCACGAAAGTTCAGCTTGTTTATATCCTCTTCCATGTTATAATGTTACTTATTTCACCACTAAAAGCGCCTCTTCATTGTGATTTTATTGAAAAATTTAATTTCTTTGCTGAACTTAAATGAAAAGTTTTTTCTCGATGAAGGGTAACTCACTAATATCCGGTGTAGTTTATCACCCCTCAGATTGCTTTAGTGACGTCATTTTAGTCGAAGCCGGAGCGTGTTTTGAAAACGATTTAAAACTTTTAAAAACAATATTTTTTGTTGATTAAAATGGATATACGACCCAGCCACACGATTTATATTAACAATTTAAATGAAAAGGTGAAAAAGGATGAGCTCAAGAAGTCACTTTACGCCATTTTCAGCCAATTCGGCCAAATTTTGGATATAATTGCATTAAAAACATTGAAAATGCGAGGACAAGCTTTCATTATATTCAAAGAAATATCAAGTGCAACAAATGCATTACGAACAATGCAAGGATTTCCATTTTATGATAAGCCGATGCGAATTAATTATTCTAAAACGGAGTCTGATGTTATAGCAAAAGCAAAGGGAACATTCAAGGAGCGAGCTAAAAAGCCCAAAGTACAAAAAATACAAGAGGAAAAGAAGTAATTATAGTTGATGTTAAATATTTGAATCCTTTAATTGAATTTTTTTTATAATTTCAGAGCAAAGAAACCGAAGAGTATGGATCCAACTCAAGCGGCAATCCAATCATCAAATGCCGAACAACCACCAAACCAAATTCTTTTCCTCACAAATCTCCCAGACGAAACAAACGAAATGATGTTAAGTATGTTATTCAATCAATTCCCAGGATTCAAAGAAGTGCGTTTAGTACCTGGGCGACATGATATCGCGTTCGTTGAGTTTGCTTCAGAAATTCAAAGTGGTGCTGCTCGCGAAGCTCTGCAGAACTTCAAAATTACTCCCACGCATTCAATGAAGATCTCATTTGCTAAGAAATAAATTTTAATGCTTTTATCTATTAAGAATATTATGTATAATTATATTATAATAATAAAAGCCATTAAAAAGCATTGCACATCCCGCTTTCATATGGTTCTAAGATTTGTACATTTTTAATAATGGAAATTTGCATCATCACCCTTGAAAAGATTATCAACAAAGAAGAGAATGAAATGTACCTAAATGTTCTGTATTGAAATTTCTAAAGAATTTCAAAAATTTTTAATTCTTATTAATTGAGTAACTTTCATCTGTCCATCACCAATATAAGAAAAAAGTAATGATGCATTTATTTTTACTAACATTCATTAAATTAGATCGTCAAATGTACTTAGTTATTTGAAGTCTGAAAAGGAAGTTATTGGGCACTTGCATCCATTAAAAATTCCAGTTAAAGAAATCGCTGCACGAATCAACAGAAGCATAAATGTTGTTTATAATTTTTAAGACAAGGTTATCATATGCATAAAACAAAGAAAAAAAGGTAATGCAAAAATCACAAATTTCAAAAGAGCCAATTAACAAGCCTAGCATCAACTGGAAGTATCACCTAGCATCTCCTCAAATAATTCAAAAACTGTTGACTTATCAAAAAAACGAAGGAAAATTTTGCATGTTCGAAGCGAATGAAGCAGGAGAAAAGTTAATTTTTCAATTAACAAAATTGTTCAACTTATGAAAGTTCAACATTCAAAATCTATATTAGAATTGTTATTACAAAACCTCATTATTTTTTTCCTTATGTTAAATGAAAGTAACTTTAAATAAATGGAAAAGTAAGTTCATTTCATTCATTATAGCAAATTATTTCAGATTTTATAAACAAACGTTTAGGTATGAGTAAACAATGCTAAGAAATACGTTGCATTGAAATTTGATACACGATCGGGAGTGTGAAAAGATTTACTTTAGAAAAACCGGTTGTAGAATAATATTTAGTCGCTTCATGATTAAATAAAACTTTTCCTAAGAGAGCGAATTGATAATTTTCAGAATGTATGAAAACAAAAAGTTTGGTTGATGCATGTTTGAGTTGCACAAATCTTGACTGCATTGCATTATTAACAATAGAGAGAAAATTTAAAAGTATCACAGAAATATTTATGTTGAATGTTTCCTGACACTAAGTAGAATTAAATAACTAACTGCTGCAAATATCCTTATTTTCGTACCAGCATCTGAAGTAACAAATTGTTACTAACAATTTATGAGAAAATATTTGCTTTCTAATTTCTTGTAATCTATTGATAAGAAATTTAATTTATATTTCTCTTCCACATTTTCAGCATTATGAGCGTTGTTGAGAGCGTAAATAAATAAATATTTAAATAATGTTTCTTTTCTCATTCTCTAAACAAAACATCTACATGGGTTTCATTTATGTTAGTCACATTACTTTAAACAGTTGTGTGTTGAAATTCAAGTTGATAAGTTCGATTTTTCATACTCACAAAGTGGAACGATGACTTCAAGCTATACTATGAATTTGACATTTGACGACAACCCCGATGGAATCTTCTATCCAGGGCAGACAGTTAAAGGTGAACAAAACTTACTTCAAGCATTTAAGAATTTCTATTAATGAAGATCTGAATGGATTTGTTTTTCGGTTGCAGGTCAACTTGAATTCATCGTATCAGCGCCTTTAAAACTGAGAGGTAAAAGCCCTCCACATACATACTTTCAAATATCTCTCTACTTTGTTATCTGTTTTTCCGGCTTTGTCGCTTGTAAACATTGAAATTATTACAGTGAACAAAATTTAGAAACATTCTTTATTGTTAAAACCATTTCTTGTTCGATTCGTAAACACGAAGTTTCATGTCTTTTTTTTCAAGGACAGATTCTTTTCTTGACTGCTTCTTCTCATTATCATTTTAATGCGGTTATTAAATGAAGAATCTATTTACTATCCAACTCATTCAACACTCTTATTTGAAAATCATTTAATTCCACTTTGAATTCTTTTAAGGCTTAATTTTGACAATCAGAGGAAGTGCAATGTGCAATTACTCGAGCGATTTGACAGCTGAACAAGAATTTTTTGTGCAAGATCGTGATTTAATTGGAAGTAAAGGTGCTGAGCCGAAAGAAATTCAAACGGGAACATATGATTATGATTTTGCACATCGTTTGCCACGAAATATTCCATATTCGATTGAAGGGGTTTATGGCTATGTAAAATATTACGTTATGGCAACTTTGGATCTTCCATGGGACATGTACGATAAAACCGTTGAAAAACCATTTACTGTAAAGCGTTATGAAGATTTGAATTACATGTCTGGTATGCGTGATCCAAGAGAAATAATTGTGAAGAAGGACATCGATTCTCCAAGTTGGATTTTTTGGAAAACTGTTAACGGTTATGTCATCCTGAAAGGAAGCATCCCTAAATGTGGCTATGCACCCGAAGAAGAAATCAAAGTTGACGTTGAAATCAACAATCAATCAAATGTTGACATTGAAAGTGTTTTAATCTCACTTCAGAATGTTGGTTCTTATGTTTGTCAAACTCCGTGGGCGAAACTGGAAAAAAGCACACAATTAAAAATGTGCGAAATCGTCGCCAAAGGTGTCAAAGCAGGCTACACTTCGAAGATAAAGGAGAAACTTGCAGTACCAGCAACAACTTTAATTACTTCCGTAATGTTTTGCAACGTTTATCAAATCAGTTACAACGTTCAAATCTCATTGAAGTTTCGTCGGTACAATAATAATCTCACGATGAATATTCCAGTTTACATCGGTTCCGTTGGATTGAAACCAGTCGAAGAACTTGATAAAAATGTTCGCATTCCACCATTATGGCCACCAGATTATAAAGTTCAAGCAAATGACAAACAAAATGCTGAAAAGGAAAATTCAGAAAATATTGACGCTTCATCAGCTATGACTGAGGAAGCAGCCGATTGAGCACTCGAAAAATGAATATTTAATTGCAAAATTGCACATTTTTTATTACATATCGAATTAAATGTTTTCATAAAAAAGATTAATTAAAAATTATACAATACATGCGATGTTATCTCATAATAATCAAACACGCAAAAAAATTAATAAAAAGAATTAAATTGGATTAAATACCTAATAATAATAAAAACTTATCACAATTGATTAATATCACTTTTAGAGCCTTGCGATGATCCATTTTCATTGCCGGATGTTTGAAACAATTTCTTTTCACACAAACGACGAACGTTTTCCTGACGTGATGCTTCTGCGTGTTTTAGAATCTTTTTGATATCATCATAGTTATTAAGTGAAGCGCTTAACATGTAAGCAGTTTTCAATTGATTAGAATTAATGTAACATTGAATTTTAATACTTTTACTTGTAATGAGTTTGATGAGTTTATCAATTTGATTCTTTGCATTAGCTTGATGTTGATTGTAAGCAATTTCCACAGCCATAGCAACAAGTTCATCACAAAGATCTAATGTTTCAATATCAATGACATTCTCTTCATTGGCAGCATTCGTTTTAATTGACTCAATGAACTTTTCCACATCCAGCAGTCGACTAACGTTTTTAGCAAGATATTTTATGCATGTTGAGTAAATTTTTGTTGCGCTTAATGAACATTCTTGAATGACACGATATGATAAACCAAAACCATTTTCAATTGAATGTCCACAGAGTAAAAGGAGAATCGCCACATGATTTCTCTCTTGAATTAATCCGAATAAAGTTTTCATACCAGGCTTATCAAGAAAAATTCTCGGCATTAATCCAATAGTAGGCAAACCATCAGCTTCACATCGCGCTAAATATTTCGAAACCTCAATTTGAAGTGAAATGATGTTGATATGTGCGTTGATTTTCTTCAAATCCCATTTTAATGCAATTTCCTTTTTTACTTTCACTCTTCTGATTGTTTTTCTTGTTCCAGTCAGATATCTTCTCAAGTTCAGTTTGTAAATGAATTTTTTTACATCAACCAAGTAACGACATCTTGAATGAAGTTCCGTGTAATTTCCGAACCATCAAGATAGAATTTTATGCATGTCAAAGCAGCACGCACAAAATCTCCAATCAATATTTGCATCTGATAAAGGCAATGAAGTGCTCGCTTTCGTTCAAGATATTTGCAAGCTGCAATGATGTAATCCTCCCAAATCTTAAAACTTCCATCCATTTGTTTCACAAGATCAATAAATTCACTAAGTCTTCCGGTTTTTGCTATTGGTACGAAGACACGATGAATGAAAAGTTCTGTTGGAATTTGTTGTGCAATCACGTAACGAAGTGTCGATGAAATTAAATTGCTGACCATTAAAAATGAAATATATTCAGCATTTCCACCGTAATTTGTTAAATAGTAAACACTTTCTTCATAATAATGACTACTGAGGATTGGAGATGAATTTGACTGCCATTCAAACTTTCCCAAAGGCTTTTTAGTCGCTGGTCCGTAATCACCTTCAGAAATATTTTTCAAATTACTCAAAAGATTTAGAACATTTGTTGGACTCTCAACTGTGACATTCGATGGAACTTCCGATTTTGGTTGTCGACTTGCATTTGTTTCAAGTGATTCGAGAACTTCTTGAAGTAAAGGCGGTGACCTTGTTGATTGTCTATAATTAAACCAAGTTGGATCGACAGCATTATTGTCATTCAACAAATTAATGAACATTTTAATGAACAAATTATTGATTTGAGTTGAACTTCCATTAACTGACTGCAATGCCAAAGTAATCTTTTCTCGTGCAAATCGATAACGTCCAGCTTTGATTGCTGAGACACCCCAAGCAGAAAAGACGCCTGACGTTCCAGATCGATCCCATTTCACTGACAATTCCAAAGCAATCTTCCAATTCTCAGCTTTAATTAAATCGTTGATGATATTTCGAATAGTGACGCTGTTTATAGGTTCCATTGGTATTAAAGGAACGATTGATTCGCAATTGTTCTCCGCCATTTTCATAACAACATCAGCACGATCAATAATCATATTTGCTTCACCCTAAGCCCCATGAATTTTTGCTGCAAATGCCAAACATTTCAACATTTTCGCTACGAGACTCATGTCAATTTCTTCGTTCACTTTTCCACCATGTATTGGACGAAGAAGAATCTCAAGTCGATGACAATGGAAGAGTAGAAATTGTGCGAGCTCATCATTCGATGAGTGAAGATTAATAATTGAAATGCAAAGTCCGACATTTGGAGAAAATTCAAAATTAAAATCATCTCGAATTAATTGATCCGCTGAAATGTCGCCGGTGAGTTTCCATTCGATTTTCCCATCAGCAGAACTTAAATCGACTTCAATTCGCTTCTTTTTCTTTTCAATGTCAATTTGTTGATAACACTCAATGCAAACACGAACTATTAGCTCATTGTAAACTTCTGGAAATTGAAGACGATTTTGAGAACAATTTGCACAAACAACTCTTCCACATCGACGACAATGATGGCGTCTTGTTAAAAGACTAAATTTTTGTCGCTTACAACACATGCAATGACTCGTAACACTGTCTTGTATCCATTGATCTCTTGATGGAATATTTTTAGGCATTTGAAACATTCCAAAAGATGAATCAACGCTTGACACTTCAGTCGAAGGTGGAACTGAATGAACGTCCACGATTTGAAAATCAAGAGCTTTAGCAGTGTAAAGTTTCAGCAACAAGTCGATGCATTCATTTGATATAAAAATTTCATCATGATATGCATTAAAATCATAGACTAGACTCTCACCAACTTGATACATATTTCGGCTGGTCAATTCACAAGTCTCACATGATGGTTGATTTTGTAAAAGTTTCCTCAATTCGCGAATGACTTTTCTTAAAGCTTCAATCTTTGAATTCATGAGAAATTGTTCGAGAATTATTAATGGACGTGAAGCAAGTCGCCATAAACCATTCTTATTGTCACCAAGACATTCGATGATTCTTGTGGAAATTGTGAACTTTTGAAAGCGAATTTGATTAATCAAAGAAACTTCATCGTCGATTGATGATTGCAAAAAGTTTATAATTCGAACCATGGATGGCAAATGATTGATGAAGTTGAGAGAAAAATAGAAGAAGTCAATGACTTGTTTTTTTGGAAATGTCTCGATGATTTTAAACAACGTTTCGTGTTGATCTGTAAGCTTCCGATTGTTTAATGTTTCCACCCACATCTTTGTGATGTCATCGTTTTGATACCTCAAAGGATGGATATGAAGAAATTCCAAGCAGGCACTGAGATTTATGTTCACATTCAGCAAGTAATTTATAAGAATTTCTGGCTTTTCATCAGCCGTTTGCTTCACTTTCGACCAACAAACTTCACTTTCAGGTTCATATTCTTCGAAAATTTTTGAAATCTTCCGATAAATTTTCAACTTTTTCATCCATCGACGAAGTTCCGTGATTGTTGAGTCATCGAGTACAGATGAGTTTTTAGGGTTCAAAGATCGCCTCAAAAGTTTTTCAGCGTACTCATCACTGTCAATGTCACCAATGCATTTCAATAAAATTTCGCTAAACTTCTTCACACTTTCAATCTCTTCAAGTTTCTTGAATTTTTCTCGTTTCGACTCATTAGAACTGTTCAGGATGATCATTTCAATATAAAAGTCTTTCAGTTTATTGAACTCAACAAAACAACGATTCCATTGACGTTCACTTATGCTACAAAGTATCTTCAACTTTTCGTTCAAATCTTTCGTTTTCTGAATCTTTGTCATTAACAATTTCAATTTGATATGATCGCTGTTTAATGCTGTAACAATTTTACTATTACCAAAAAGACTTTTCAACATTTCCGCATTCTCTATTTTCGCTAAACGCTCAAAGAAATTTTTCTCATCATACCTCAAAGTCTTGTAGTCAACATTTTTGATCATTTTCATTAAATATGCAACCATAAACGAGCCTTCTTTCTTGATATAATACAAAATGTCCAAGTTGTTTAGATCATAATAGCTTTGGTTGGACATTTCAGCGACTTCAATAAAATTTGATGAGTCAGTTTCGTTCAAAAGAAATGAATATAAAAGTTCTCCATCATCGATTGGACTTTGAAATTCTCCAACAGCAGTAACAGCCATGGAATGAACCAAATTAATATTAACATTGTAAGCAAAATTTTCAACTTGTTCGGGACTACATTGTTGATTGAAAACGAGTTTTCCCACGACTTCGTCGAGATTAAGAAACATCAACTCATTGAATGTAAATAATTTGTTTGTTTGAAGTTTCATCAGGTCCTTGACATTCCTAACATAACTCGCAATTCTCCCGATAAAGTCAACATCACAATCAAAATTTTTGAATTTCTCCGAAACATTGACGATATCTGCTTCATTGTTTAGTCGTTCCACATTCATTTCCATAAACTTAAGAACATTCTTTCGATTTTTTAATTGCTTTTTGAGTTTTGTTGGTGATGACAAAGTGAAGACTTCGTCATTGAAAAGTTCTTCGATGGTTTTATCAATATTGTGATTTCTGTAGATCGTTAAAATATCCATCAAGTTCTTGAGAAACTTATTGAAGCCAAAATTATCATCTTTAAACTGTTCAAGATTCCATTGCTTCATAATGTGCTTGAAAATATTGTAATTAAGTTCAAACGGACACGGAAGTGAAATCATGAAGTCAATTAAAGGAAGAACGTTGATTCTATAACTTTGATAAACTTTCAAACATGGATGCTGAGTCGAGACTTTTTCCAATAATTTTTCATCATTCTCTGAATACATTAAATGATTATTTGTTGTGAACTTTTCCATGCTGTTGAGAAATTTTGCTTTTTCAAAGCCACTTTCCGCTATCTGTCGAATTTCTTCAACTTTTGTTAACTTTTCCGTGTTCTTTTCTTGACGTTGTAGAAATTCCTTATATCGAGTAACAATTTCGTGAAGATTTGCTTTGCATTCATTGAAGTTTCTCATGAAATTTATTTCATGACAAATTTCAGAGTCTGTAAGATTGTAAGACTGAGAAAAAAGAGAAAAAAGTTTGTTTAATGATAAATTTCGATAAGAAATTTGTTGAACTTACCTGAATAATTTCTTGGACATTTTCATGGTCATTTTCAAGAACACAAATCGACAAAAGACTCTCGGGACTCATCAACATCTTTGAAATGATGCTTCTGACTTTTCTATGCAAATCACTGAATCGTGATCGAATTTCAGAGTTTTCCGTTTTTGAAACTTCACTCGTTGTCAGTTGATATTCAACGGGATCATCGGAGGCTTCGTCATTCTCATCAGTAACAATTGTGATTTTTGGTCTCTTTTTAAGTTTCCTTCGCTGACTTTTCATCTTTTTCTTCGGTGACTTTTCATCATCGCTGGTGATATCAAGGGAATTGTTATTATTGACAACTTTCTCATCATAAAACCTCAGCCATTCCTTAATTTTTGGATAAGATTTCCCCATTCTTTTCCCTACTCTGTCTATTAATCTCAATCTCCAAAGCGCGTTGTCGACGTCAACTAACATGGCTGCAAATTTCTTCTTCAATTGATCACTGCACGTCTGATAAACTTCCATTTTATCCAATCCCATAAGAAACATCCGCATCGAATTCAAAATCGCTGATAAACTCAACTTAAGGCAAACAAAACCATTTTGTAGCTGCATTTCCGCTGCTGTCGTATCTGAAACATCAGTCGTTTGTGAATTAATGTTATTAGAAACCGAGTCGGAGTTAAGCTCACTGTTCTTGCTCTTTCGCTTTGTCTTTCGAACATGTTCAAAGCGCAAGAAAATCAATGTGAAGACATTCTGCATCAACTGGAAAAGGATTTTTCCATCATTGATTGTCCTCAGTAAACTCCGGATGTCGTTTAAGTGACTGTCAATTACTTCTTGAGTCAAATCATTTGACTGAATTAAATTCAAATACAACTTTATGATCATATACTCATTAAAAACGTCATACTCTGATCGATTAATGAGAATTGAACGAATACCAGTGATAATGAATTGATGTTTCGTCAGTTTATGATTAGATTCAAGAAGCTTCTTCAGAACTTTATAATTTTCCACAGAAAAATAAATATGATGGCTCAACAAGTGTTTCATGATAAGATTATTTGTAAATAATTTGTCGTCATCACTATCATCCTTATTTTCATAATCATCGCCGTCACCATCATTTGTATTATTGGACTTCTGATAAGATCTTAAGAACTCAAAGATGTTTTTCTGACGAGTCATCTCAGCATGACAAAGTTCTAATGCACTTCCAGGTAGAATCGTCTTTTCCTGGACTTCTTCCAATTGTGAAAACCATGAAGAACCCCCAAACTTTTCATCGATTGTAAAAATTAAACGAAATAATTTCAGATGTTGATAAACTTTGTGATCAAGAGAAGAAGAAATCATCTTGTCATTTTCAATATCTAACAGAGCATCAATCCAATGGATTTTCTCATAACATGTGCTAAGAAATAAAGATTTTATGCAACATTTTTCAATGGTCTGTCGACGCTCATAATCCATGTAATGAGTCAGCAATATATGAACTGGACGAGATAGCAGAGCCAAATAGAGAACTGTAAAACAAAAAGTCAAATGAAATACTCGATAAGTGAAATATTTGTTAATATGACTCACCATTATTTAAAATGCCTCGATTCTCTTTCAAGTCGAAAAGTCGTGGAATGATTAGGTCACGAATTTGATTAATGCACCATTCCGAAACATAAATATTTGAAAGTAAATTGTAAAGTTTATCATGTTTGTCGACTTCATCTGGATGTTCTATAATGATATTGATGAGAGTGGACAATACATTTACAACCAATTCCTCAAGCAATCGATTTTTTTCAGGCTTTCCAATGTCAATAATGTGATAAAGAATCTCCCAAGTGGGGTATGGCTGATGGATCAAATGATGCTCGAAGAATTCAAAAACACATTTTGGTAAATCTCTTGAGCTTATGTCAACATCTGATATATTCCTTTTGTATTTTACTATTTCCTGTAAATAACAGATAAGAAAATAGAAGAAATAAATATTAATTCATGCTCTTCACATTCAGATAATGAAAACTTTATGACAAAAGAAATTTAGAAGTTCACCTTTCCAGCTTTTTCGTATTTCTCTTTCTCGTGAATCAATTCCCAGTATTCAAAAAACTCGTCCATTATATTATCTGGGACCTTCCCCCTTTTATCCTCATTTTCTACCATTTGACATATTATAACATTAAAAGAAAGTAGTAAAATTGAAGAGAAAAAAGTTTGGCGTTTAATAATTGAAAACAAGAAAACAATAACAAAAATTGTAAGAGTCCGGAAAGGCCTTTTTCGGATTAAATATTCATTTCTTTTCTACAAGTTGGTTTCAATAAATCGACCATTATTTGTTTACATCGTAAAAGTTTTAAAATTTTGTAATTTTAATGAAGAAAAAATCATTCTAAGACAATGGAAGATAACATTTTTAGATATATTTATAGTTGTTCATTAGAACATCGTGTGCAAATAAAAATTGGCACATTAGATGGTGTAAATAGCTTAAAAAAATACAATTATGAAGAATTATTAAGAAATCCATTGTTGAAGTTTTCTGGATTATATTCAGAAACTTGTGCTCCGCTAATGGTGAAAATTCAATGTTTTAATAATGGAAAGCCATTTGGATTACCTGTTACAACTTCATACAAACCATTTACGAAACGATCAAGTTGGAATGAATGGATTACTCTTCCATTTTCATTTTGTGATCTTCCTCGAACAGCTGTTTTTGGTTTTACTATTTATGACTGTACTGGACCAGGTCAAATGGCAGTTGTAGGTGGCACGGTAATATCTGTTTTTGGAAAACATGGAATATTTCGAGAAGGTATGTTCGATTTGAAAGTTTGGCCAAATACTGAGGCTGATCCATCAAATGAATCAAAAACACCTGGAAAAGGTAAAGAGTCAGATCAACATCAAATGCAACGATTAGCAAAACTCGCAAAGAAACACCGTAATGGACAAATTCGGAAAGTAGATTGGCTTGATCGATTAACATTTAGAGAAATAGAACTTATAAATGAAAGAGAAAAACGAGAATCTGATTACTTGTATCTTATGATTGAGTTTCCAACAGTCACATTCAACGAAAACAACTATTCAATAGTTTATTTTGAACCTACCGGTGATAGAAGGTTCACATTTGTTTCGAAACCAAAGTTAGTTACAGTTCCTGATACTGAAATTCTTCAGGTGAGGAAAAACCACATAAACCATTTTATATAATATTCAAAGTGAAATGAAACTTATAAGCGATTTTAATCCAATTAAACTTGTGACATTTACTCAATCATTTATATTAAGTCATTTTTAATTCTCATTAAACTAAGAGAACAAACTCGGAAGAATCTTCTCTGTTTACTTCTCGCTTATCAAATGCTTGTCATTTTAATTCAACATTGAACTTTTTGTGTCTTCTTCAAATTTGTTTTTATCGCAGAACACAAAAAAGAACTCGTGTTTGCGCTAAATCTTATTCCTGATTACACTTCTGTCATCTTCTATCAACATCATTATTTTTCACTCTTCATGCGCGAAAACAAATCTAGTTCTGTGTGTCGTGTAATCGACTCTAGACGGAAAGAAGCTCTTCTCAATAATCCTAGAAAATGATTTTGTGTTTATTATTTCAATCGTTTCTTGATTTTATTTAATTAAACCGCATCCAAATGTCATCTTCATCAAAAAAGTTTTTTGAAAACTTTGCAAGATTTTTGCTTCGATTTATCGAAAAATTTGTTAATTGTTGGAGTGAAGTTTTCAATTGTTGTAAGAAAGATAAAGAAGTGTTTAATGTCACGTTTTATCGAATTGAAATCGTCGCTGTAAGAGGAACTTATCATTGAATAATTAAATAATTTTTTAACTAATCTTTTTTTCTGTTTATAGGAAAATCTTGTTGAAAGAAAACATCATCGTCTTGCACGTTCAGCTCGTTCTGGACTTTCGGATCGCGATGCAAAACCAACTGCACAGTAAGCATTTATTTTCTTATTATATTTTAAAATAGTTTTCTGTAATATTTTATTATTATTGCATCAGCATTCGTGATCAGCTTCATACAGTTGTTTATCGATATCCGCCAACATTCCAACTTAGTGGAGAAGAGCAAGATTTGATTTGGAAGTATCGCTTTTATCTCAGCACACAAAAGAAAGCGCTTACCAAGTTCTTAAAATGCATCAATTGGCAAACACCAACAGAAGTCCGACAAGCTCTTAATTTGCTCGATTTATGGACACCAATGGATGTTGAAGATGCACTCGAGCTATTGAGTCCAAACTTTCAACATCCCTCTGTTCGTCGCTACGCTATCACGAGACTTAAACAAGCACAAGATGACGACTTGCTACTTTATCTCTTGCAGTTAGTTCAAGCTTTGAAATATGAGAATTTTGATGACATTTCCGAGTCTTATCAGCGAATGACTAATGAAAAAGATGTTTTAAAGTCATTAGACGATAATAACTCAGCAAATGATCAAAGCTCTGATTCGATGGGTGAGTTATTTATCTGCTTCTTAATTCTTAAATGTTCTTATTTTTGAATTTGTTTTTAACAGCTCAATCAATGACATCACAACAGCTTCTAAGTGAGACAGAAGAAATTATGGTTCCACCTTTAATTCAACAGCCAATCATGTCAACTTCGGTATTTTACGATCAACCTGATATTGGATCACAATCAATTGATGACGATGGAGCTTCCGAAATGTCAAACACTTTAATGAACTCGAAAACTTCATATCAATGCGATCTTGCAACGTTTCTTATTCAAAGAGCTTGTAAGAATCCAACATTAGCGAGTTACTTTTATTGGTATCTCTCGATTGAATGTGAAGATCATGAAGCAATTCGCAAACAAGATGAACGTGTCAAAGAAATGTATGTTAAAGTGTTGGAAATTTTTAAGACGACACTTTCAACTGGTCCCACAGACTTGAAGATTATTCATGCGAATTTAAAGAAGCAACAATGTTTCATTGACAATCTCGTGAAGTTAGTGAAACTTGTGACGAAAGAATCGGGAAGTAGGAAGAAGAAAACTGAAAGATTTCAACAACTTTTGAATGATTCCGACGAGTTCAAGATCAATTTCACAAACTTCGAACCTCGTCCACTTCCATTAGATCCTGAAATCTTCATCAAAGGAATTATCCCGTCGAAAGTTTCACTCTTCAAAAGTGCACTAATGCCTTCGAAATTAACATTTTTAACAACAACAGAACAGGAATATGTTGCGATCTTTAAACATGGAGATGATCTAAGACAAGATCAATTAATTCTTCAAATGATAACATTGATGGATAAACTTTTGAGAAAAGAAAATCTTGATTTAAAGTTGACACCTTATCGAGTTCTTGCAACTTCAACAAAACATGGATTCATGCAATATGTTGAATCAATAACAGTAGCCGAAGCACTTGCAAATGAAGGTTCCATCTTGAATTTCTTTAAAAAATATAATCCTTGTGAGACAACTGCCAACGGGATTCAATCAGATGTCATGGACACATATATCAAGAGCTGTGCTGGGTATTGTGTGATTACATATCTCCTTGGAGTCGGCGATCGTCATTTAGACAATTTATTGTTGACAACAAATGGAAATCTTTTTCATATAGACTTTGGATATATTTTGGGACGTGATCCAAAGCCACTTCCACCTCCAATGAAGTTAAGCAAAGAAATGGTAGAAGCTATGGGCGGAATGAATTCTGAACCTTATCACGAATTCCGAAAACAATGCTATACTGCTTTTTTGCATTTACGACGTCATGCTAATGTAATGTTGAATTTGTTCTCGCTTATGACAGATGCTTCTGTTCCCGATATTGCCCTCGAACCTGATAAGGCTGTAAAGAAGGTCGAGGATAACTTGAAACTCAATTTAACTGACGAAGAAGCTGTGCAACACTTGCAAAACTTACTTGACATTTCTTTAACCGCTGTTATGCCAGCGTTGGTTGAGCAAATTCATAAATTTGCTCAAAAGTTTAGATATTAGTATAATGTGTAGTGCTTGTTAATGTATTAAAAAAAAATCGAAAAAAATCGAAATAAAAAATTTAACGGTAAAAAGTATTTTGAAAAAAGACCTTTTAATGTAATCAGCTGAGGCCTGAAAGTTTGTTTTGAAGATTTTTCGACAATTTCATTTAAATTTTAAGAAAAATGAGTATGACTATGGACATTCGCTTGAAAAAAGCAAATAAAACATATTATGAAGGAGATTTAGTAAAAGGAAGTGTCATAATAAATTCCACATCTGAGGCAAAAGCTGATGGATTGACAGTAAATATTGAAGGTTTCGTTGCAATGCAAGTATCAAATAAAAATACGGGTGTATTTGATGCATTTTACAATTCTGTGAACAAACCAATAACTTTAATTAATCAGTCATACCAACTTTTACCCGCGGGTGCTAAAATTGTATTGGGATTGAATGAATATGATTTTGAATTTGAGTTGAAAACTAAAGGCGAAAGACTCTATGAAACCTATCATGGTGTTTTTGTATCAATCACTTATTTTATTAAGGCTGAGCTTAAAAGGAAATTTTTAGCAAAAGACTGCTTATCAAGAGTTCAGTTTTTTGTTCAGGAATTACCAAAACCTATTGAACGTACATCTCAAGTTCCTGTTCACTTCTCAATAAGCCCAGAAACACTACAAAAATCATCAAAAGAACGAATATCCATTCCACGATTTCTGATAACAGGAACAATTGACTCAACAATGTGTTGTTTAACGAAACCACTTAATGGATTCATCACCATCCATCATTCTGAAATTCCTGTAAAATCCATTGAAATTCAACTAGTGAGAGTTGAAACTTGTGGATGTGCTGAAGGCTTCAGTAAAGATGCAACAGAAATCCAGAATCTTCAAATCGCTGATGGAAACGTTTGTCCGAAACTTCAAATTCCTATTTATATGACATTTCCACGTTTGTTTACTTGTCCCTCACTTCAAACTAGAAATTTTAAAATCAACTTTGAGATAAATCTCGCAGTTATTTTTAAAGATGACTACTTAATTAACGAGAACTTTCCGATTCAAGTTTTTAGAACTCAATAAACTTTTCTCAAGCTTTCCTTTATGTTTTCTTCGGAAGTTATTTTATTTAATTCCAAATAAATTATACAATAAATTTTTCAATGTTCTATTTATTCAATGCACGACTTTTACAGATTAGCGATAAAGATGATCGGCATGAATGTTTGAAGCAATTTCAGACTCCCATTTGTCACCATTACTCAGAAGTTTTTCTTTGTTATACAATAACTCTTCGTGTGTTTCAGTCGAAAACTCAAAGTTTGGACCTTCAACGATAGCATCGACCGGACATGCTTCCTGAAATGTTCACAAATTTTATTTCATTTCTAGCTTTCCAAAAAATACAAAATTCACCTGACAAAATCCACAATAAATGCATTTTGTCATATCAATATCGTAACGAGTGGTACGTCTGCTTCCATCAGCTCGTTCTTCAGCTTCAATCGTGATTGCTTGTGCTGGACAGATTGCTTCACAAAGTTTACAAGCAATGCATCTTTCTTCACCGCTTGGATATCTGCGAAGTGCGTGTTCACCACGGAATCGGGGGCTCAGCGGCCCTTTTTCAAATGGATAGTTAATAGTAGCTGGCTCCTTGAAGATATGGGCAAGTGTCACAGCAGCACCACGGAAAAGTTCAGTCCAAAAGAGTGTTTGAGCTGCTCTATCTGTGATGTCTCTCATTTCCATACTCTTTTCTTCGGCATTAACATAAATGAAACCACCATGCTCCTTAGATGTTATCGCTGAGTGTTGGTCTTTATTATCTTTTGCTAATTGAGATGCAGAGCGTATTTGCGATGAAACTATTCGCAAAACTGGTTTTCCTAATAAAAATCATAATTTTAGAAGTTATTGTCATAACTTTCAATTGTGTCATTTTCAAGACACAGATATATTTAGCGTCTCACCATATTTTCCGACCGAAAAAATTCTCAATGCCGACATTTCGATCAAAAATATATTTTCCTTAAATTTGTTATGCAAAAAAAGTTTACCCTGATACTGTCGTTTGGAAAAATTAGGGGCTAGGTACGTAATAATAAAAATATTGTATTACTTTGATTATTTTGAATACATTTGAAAAAAAGAAAGATTTTTAAGTAATAATAAATTGTTTGTATTTCGTAACATATGACAGATATAGGTAGGATGTTTCAAAAACACATGCGGTTCATGAAATTTTTATTATAATAAAAATCCTTATTTACCCCTCGGTTCAGGGCCGATTCGCGCGCGATTGACGTCGGACTGCCCGGCAATTTGACTTGCGTGGATTTGACCTTCCATACAAAGTGCAACCAAAAACCATGTCCGTCTAAGAAATGTCCGTCTAAGAAAATTGTACACTCTCCACCTGAAACTAACTTCTTGGCTACAGTTGTCATCAGAAAATGTAATAAAATCTTTGTTTTGAAAATCAATTCTTGTGTTGAAATGATCCTACGTAGGTTGAATATTCTCAAGCATAGAGGATTATTTGTGAAAAATAGACAAGTTCTACTGGTTGCATCTTATTCAAGAAACTCCAGCAATTCAAAATCACCGTACAAAATCATCCAGGCTAAGATAAAAAGTAAATAGAAAATTTCTTTCTTCTTATTTCATCATCTTAATTTTGCTTTCAATTGCGTATTGTTTTCATTGACATTGACTTGCAAATAAATTGCATTATGAATTTTTTTAGATGCTAGCAACGAAGAAGTTCCTCATGAAAATGGATTAAATTGGGAGCTATTTGGGCCAAGAAACAATCGTTTCTTTTTAGCATCGGGCAGTGTCGGCCCTGCTTATATGAACAGCAAGACAACCCTTGCATCAAACTTCGATCTTGAGCAGCTTGTAGACTTTGATAACAAAGATAAGAAGAAACTTCATATCACTTTACAGAAATGTCCAATGCTACTAAGAAAAAATCTTCACGAGTTATTTCCAGCACCAGAAGTTATAACTGAAAATGAAAAGCTGACACTCATTACTTTATCTCAAGCTGTGGTTTCAACAGATCATGAAAAGGCTGCCATTAATTTTGTTCTCGCAGCGCGAGAAATTTGTTCAAGACTTCGCCTTCATGGCTATTGGTGTGACTTTCTTAATCCCATGAGTGGTCGACCATTTCACTCCTATCACCAAAAATCCTTGTACACACTAAATGACGAAAGATTTCGAGGATTGTGTATGAAGTTGGAAGAAATTAAAGCAAGTGGAGCTAATGAGAATTGCCTTCTAATAAGTGAAGATAAATCATCAAAATTCTCGGGTTCACTGTTTTCGAATATTCCTCCGAACCTAGAAATGGTAAAAGAATTGATACTTGACTAAAACTTCCGCGTACTATTATTATAACAAGTAACGAATGAGCTAGACAAATGAATTTAGAAACACCTTAATGTAAATAATTTATTTTGGTGAATAAAAAATTAATTCGTTTTTCTTTAAATTCTAATTTTGTTTTGTTAATCGCTCACAATGTCTTTCAATGTCTCGAAGACTATTGATGAATGATTGCAGTTCTTCTTGATTACAATGTAGCTCATCTATTATTTTGTTTTGTCCACTTTCATGATCAAATGAGAGAAGTTTAATTTTATATGAAACTTCTCCTGTTGGTAATTCGCGTTCAACTTCTACAGAGACGTTCGTCCATTCCGGAAGATTATGAGAATTTCCCTGCTTCGATATCTTATTTATTAGTTCATCTTTAAACTTCTCATAAGCCTCTGCCAGTTGATCAATCGTCTGTGAATTTAATTTGATATGAACCAGAATTTGTCTGAGAGTGACAACGTCTGTGGAATGTCGAGCAGATAGCAAAAGTATGCAGCATATACCAAAATCGGCTTGTTTAGCATGCACACCAGCAGAAGATTCGTATATTTCAGAGCGTGCTGGTAAAGCTTTTGGAGTAAAAATGTTAAAATATGAACTTGTTATTTATCTGGAAAAATTAATTACCTGGTCCATTAACCAGAAGTTGTTTTACTGCATTTACAATTACTTTCTTTGTTATTTCTTCATTTATTTCATTATTCAGAACTTTAAGTCCTTCAATAGCACTTGTCGCTAGTTCAAATGGAAAATCTTTGGGCCATTCTTCTGCCATATTTTTATCTTGTTTACTATAGTAAAGGAATTTTTCTGAAACTAAACTTATTTAGGCTTGAAAAACGACCTTCCGGTCAACCGGTGAAATTGTCTCCTTGCATAGGTCTTTTTTCAAGGAAACAAGATAAAGAGGATACAAAAAATCGAAATGACCAAAAATAAATTTGTGCAGGGTGTCAATCTAATCCGGATTTCAATGAGGATTATGCTGATTGTTTACATTTTTGCACTTAAAATAGTAAATACCTAATATTTAAATTTAAATTTATTTAGACAATAAGGAGTAAAATAAATAATTTCATACTGTCAGAAAAAATATTCAAACCTTAATAAGAAAAAGGTTGAAATTAAAGTAAGTAGATGTATATCATCTATTCGATTATAATTCAATTATTAAATTTATTGTTGTAGAATTTGAAGAATATAAAAAAGACAGAAGTTTAAAATATAATGACTTCGTTTATCATTGAAGAAGTTGATACAAGTGATATTCCTGAAAATGAATTGTCNGATAAATTATATGGCATATTTCTCATTTTTTTTTCTTTCTATAGTACTCCCTTGATGACAATTCTCGCTGCATAACTGGAAGTAGAAGTGAAACTCACAGCACTTAAACATGAAGCTGATGCGATTGAGTACGATCATCCTTTGGATCATCCGGAGAAGCCACAAGTATTCGTGAAGAAATTGATAACTACACAGAAGATTACAGGAAAACGATGAAATATGATGAAGGTTTAATATCTGATCCATCAACAAACACAGATCCACAATATATGTTCTTGTGTGAACGGTTGAAGGCGTTTAAAGACGGTTGGGAAGAGTTGCAACAAATGTGGGAGAATCGTTAAGTTATGATGTCACAAAGTCGCGATCAACAACATTATAAGGACTTCGTGGGACAAGAACATCAGCGAGATTATCGAAGCAAAATGAAGATTGTTTTAAATTGCAAATCAAACACCAAAGGAATATGACAATTCGTGCAGTGTGAAACAAGAAAGAAATTAACAAAATTACAAAGAAGGGGAGAGATGTAATGGTTTAAGCAGTTGTATTAGTTAGGCAATAGTAGAATAGGTTGGCCCCTCAAATAATTATGAGCGAAAGTAGTTTACCCCGTGTCAGAAGAATTAAGAAAGCAATGAAGAAGTGAATAAAGTTTATTTAGTGTTAGCGGCCTCAACGGCCCAATTAAAAGTCTTTTATTTATACATCGTAAATGCGACTATTACATTGGCGACGAGGATTCGAACCTCATAAATTAAAAGTCGGAGAAAATTGATGATTTTGATTGCTAACAAAGAATTCTTGGAAATTGTCGTTACGCGTGTGAATATAACCTTTGAATTTTATTTCGCAAGGAGTAAAATTAGCTTAAATGCTGTTGATTGCTTAATTGCAATCTTGCTTAAATGCTGTTGATTGTTAAGTTACAATCTTGCTTAAATGCTGTTGATTACTTCATTGTAATCTTGCTTAAATGCTGTTGATTGCTTAATTGCAATCTTGCTTAAATGCTGTTGATTGTTAAGTTACAATCTTGCTTAAATGCTGTTGATTACTTAATTGTAATCTTGCTTAAATGCTGTTGATTGTTAAATCAGATCAAATTAAAGATTGATGGGAGGAGATTCTTGAACATGGATTTCATTAATAGCATATTTGAAATTAAAAATTTGAAGAATATAAAAAAGACAGAAGTTTAAAATATAATGACTTCGTTTATCATTGAAGAAGTTGATACAAGTGATATTCCTGAAAATGAATTGTCAGAATTTGTTGAAACGACTGACATTCCGATTGTTGCGGAAACTCAGGAAGAAGGAATGTTAACAGATGAAATGCCGTCAGAAAATGATTTTTCTGATGATTCAGTTGATGATAAAGATTTTAAACTTAAAGACGAGCCATCAACAAGTAATTCAAACAAAGTGACCAAAATATTAAAGAGCACTAGGAAACCATCAGTTATTCCAGATAAATCACAATCAAATCTTTTGAGAAAATTTATGAATAATGAGATCTCGTACAACGATTATGTGAGAAAGATGGGAACCTTAGATGATTTAGACGATATTTCCGACCTTTCGGAAGATTCTAATGATTCACCAATGGAAAAAATTAAGAAGCATGGAAAGCGCCATGCTGCGAAAGCAGAAACTCATCATGCAAAGAAAACGAAACGAGCATTGCCACCGGCACTTCAGGGATTGATGGGCCAGGCGAATTTGTGCTTTGCTCGTGGTGATGTTGCATTAGCTGAAAAGTTGTGCTTAGAAATTATTCGACAAGAACCAATGACAGCAGAACCATATCTTACATTATCACAAATTTATGAGAACACAGAAGAAGAAAAGTACAACCAACTATTGCTCATTGCTGCTCATGTTAATTCAACAGTTTTCCAATGGAGTCAAGTAGCTGAAATCTTTTTAGAGAAAGGAAATCTTAAACAGGCTTCAATTTGTTATGCTAAAGCAACACGATGTGATCCAAAAGATCTCTCACTTCGTATAAAGCGTTTAGAAATTCTAAAACGATTAGGAGATGAAAAACATGTCTTACATTGTACGTTTTGTATGCTTGGCTTCATTCCAAAAGATCAACATGAATTTCTCATTGAACGAGCCAAGTGGGTGGTTCAAGAATATCATAAAGATGGTCAAATAACAAAATCTCTCGATGCAATGCTTAAAGCATACAGTAAAGTTCCTGAACACTTCTCAACTCAAGATGTTCATTCACTTATCGATTTACTGATCAAAGATAAGCAATATCGGAAATGTCTCAACGTTTTCATATTTCATACAGGGATGAACGTTTCGATAAAGCAAACAGGAAAGAATTCTTATGAATTCTCTAACATTTACATTCCTGACAATATGCTAATGGATTTAAGAACAAAAATGTGCATTTGTTTGATTAAATTGGAAGCTTCAAATCTTTTCGAATATCTCATTGACAATGTATTAAAATTTATCGATGTTGATAACGAAGGTGATTGTTATTTGGATATTCCAGAAGCTTTGATGCTTCTTGAACAATACACATTTGCCTTGAGACTTTTAAATCCGTTGGTGCAGAGTGAGACATTTTCACTTGCTGCTGTATGGCTTCGACATGCTGATTGTTTGAGAGCATTAAAAAGATATCCTGAAGCTATTGAATCTTATAAAAGTGTTGTACAGTTAAGTAAACATTTAGAAGCTCGACTAACGCTTGCTGCATTGTTGAAACAAGAAGGAAGAATGGAAGAAGCTCTCGAAGCTTTAACGCAAGATCCAGCTGTTGAAGTCCTTGAAACAGAGCTTCTCAAAGAAAAATGTTTGCTGTTAAAGGAATTAAATCGTGTTGATGAATACCTTCAAGAGGGTTACAAAATGATGCTACGAAGTTCAGATTGTGAGTAAGTTCACAAAGATTATTGATCGATTAAATGAATTAAAAAAGTTTACGAAAGAATCGTAATCAAGAAGTTGATGACATTGATGCACCTCAATTCAGTAAAGGTGATAATGAACCAACTGTAGCGGATGATTGGAATTTGTTTCTTGATCTTGTTAATACGGCTTGGACAAATATAAGATACGTTCAATTACAACGATTGTCATTTGCTGCAATGTCAAGTCGGCGACTTCAAAGTCATATTCGAGAAATTGACTTCATCGGAACAATTGCGTGTTTATACAACAAAGAAGAAACTTACGGCTATAATAAGATTCGAGAGTTCTTCAATACTGACAGAGAAAAGCCACGATTTTGGATTCTTTTCAATCTCATCATTTACCATACTCAAGATTCAAGATTTAACCGATTTGTTATGAGATTGTTTGAAAAGGTCTCTCCATTTACAACTAAAGTTCCACCGATAGTTTATATGCTTCTTGCTAATTACTGTTTACTTTCTAACAGTTATAAACATGCTCTCAATCATTATGATGAAATTTATCGACGTTTTCAACAACCACTCGTTGCAATGATCCTTGCAATTTTATACGCTTTGATTGCAAATCAAAAGCATTCAAATCGGAAGCAAAATCTTATTGTGCAAGCGATAAATTATATGGAGAGATACAAACAAACAAGAGAACCGGAAGCGGAAGCTGAAATTCTTTACAATACCGGTCGACTTTATCATCAAATTGGAATAATTTCTGTTGCCAAACAATATTATGAGAAAGCTTTAGCTGTGAAAAATCCGTTCATTGAGAAGCACAAAGAACTTTTGGATTTGAGAATGGAAATTGCTTACAATCTTCATGTCATTTACAAACAATGTGGAAACAGAGCAATGGCAAGAAAAATCCTTTACGATAACATTGTTATTTAAAAAATTTTGTTAGCACATTTGTTTAAAAGCACAATTTATATTTTTCATTGATAATCACTGAATAAAAAAAGGATTTTAATTGAATACTTTTGGATTGATTTAATAAGCTCCTAGGCTCTTTTCCATAAACTTTTTTTTAGCAAAGCAGATCCACCACTTGCTTGGTTTTCCGTCTTCAGTGTTGAAAACTTTTTCACAAATTCGATTTCCAGTTTCTTGACGAAGTTGTTGCAAGTACTGACGTAGTAAATCTGAAAAAGTTTTCAATTGTTTATGTTTCCATAATAATAAAAAGGAAGAAAAAATACTTACCAGCTTCATTTGGAGTTTGAGGCTTTGCGTAAACGGAATTAAGTGGAAATCCGGATTCACCGGGAATGTCAAACTTGCTAATTGCAAGCGTATACATTTCTTGCATGCCTTGATTCTTGTTCGAACACCGCTGAAGCTTCTTCAAACATTCAGGTATATAAAGAGTGACGTAGATAAGAACACGATCGATTTCTGATTTTACTTCATAAGTTCTAAAGAAAATATTGGCTTTGAAGTAATAAATTGCCTCGTCAATAATGTCTTGCTCAATATTTGTTGCTGTCGGTGCTGGTCCTCTAAATTGAGTCCTTAGCGGTAGCAAAGCCATATTTGCAAGTGATTGCTGGTGATCTTTAATTTGAGAATGATAAGCCTGTAGAAGAAACGATTATAGTAAAATGATTCATCGACCCACCCAGTTTTTGAGCGTTATCAAAGGATTAACCATACTATGCCCAATAAATTTACTTACCGGCATGATTTAGATTTTACTTTTTATGATAACTATAAAATTAACCCTTGGATATTAAGAAAAATATGATAAATTTAAATTTAAATTTAAATTTATATTCAAGAGGACACAAAAATAAACCCGAGGGGTTTGAAAGTTTGACTACGGACGGGAACTGCTCCCTCTAGTGCAGTAGTTTTACACCCTTTATACTTCACATCAAAAGCTATTAAATTTTTCCCATTTTAATTCTACAAGCACTAATGAACTTTAGTTGTAACTGAAAGCTACAGGAATCAAGGATAAATATTTGGCGAACAGAAATGTTTCATAACATGATCGGGAAATAATGCTAGAGCTAAAATTTTCAATTTTAATTTTAGTCGTAGTAGTATTTAATTTAATTAATTGTGATATAAGCAACGAGAGCGCTTCAAAATGTTGCGCTAATAACACAAATCAGCGTGTTTCAGTAGAATTCTCATCACAAATTGTACAACATGAATTCATTGTACAATTTAAAAGTTATTATCAGTCTGAAGCGAGAAAAAACTTTCTCAAAGCAGCACTTGACAATACAAAGGTAACGAATTATTAATTCTTCATCTATAGCTTTTCGTGCTATCAAAAGATAAATTTGAATCATCAAATTAATAAGATATTTATATTTTGATAATGACAGATAAGGAATTGGACGATTGTTGAGAGGTCTAACCCGGCGAGTGATTATCCAAGTGATTTCGATGTAATTCACATACATGAGAGCGTGACGTTACAAAGCTTGGACAACTTGAAAAATCATCCTGTCATTAAAAGTATTACACCACAACGTATCGTTCATCGGACACTCAAATACTTCGACTCCGATGAGAACCAAAATGACGATGGACAAGCAATCAATCAAGAGAACGAAGATGATATTATCAATTACATAGCGAAACATCTAAAACTTGACACAAAAAATAATGAATGTTGTGAACCAGAATTCCAAAACTTTCGTCGAGGCTTATCATCTTCAACAGATACAAGTCAGCAAATAAATAATGCGAACAGTCATTCAAATCGGAGATTACTTCGAGCAGTTCCTAGACAAATAACAAGTATCTTGAAAGCAGACGCTTTATGGAGTATTGGAATAACTGGCAAAGGTGTTAAAGTGGCAATTTTTGACACTGGATTAAGTAAAAATCATCCACATTTCAAGAAAATTAAAGAGAGAACAAATTGGACAAATGAAAAGTCACTTACCGATGGAATCTCTCATGGAACGTTCGTTTCTGGCGTCATTGCATCATCAAAAGAATGTCTTGGCTTCGCTCCCGATGCAGATCTTCACATTTATCGTGTTTTTACTAACAATCAAGTATCTTACACATCATGGTTCTTAGATGCATTCAACTACGCAATTCTAAGGAAAATAAATGTCATCAATCTTTCAATCGGAGGTCCCGACTTTCTTGATCTTCCGTTTGTTGATAAAGTGCTTGAGCTATCAGCAAACAAGGTCATTATGGTGTCAGCTATTGGCAATGATGGGCCATTATATGGAACATTAAACAATCCCGGCGATCAAATGGATGTCATTGGAGTTGGTGGAATGAATTTTGAGGAAAAAATTGCAAAGTTTAGTTCACGTGGAATGACGACATGGGAACTTCCACTCGGTTATGGTCGATTAAAGCCAGACATTGTTACTTATGGTGCTCAAGTGAAAGGATCAAATTTGAAAGGCGGGTGTCGATCACTTTCAGGAACATCTGTTGCAAGTCCTGTTGTTGCTGGTGTTGTCACATTAATTATATCCGGTGTGCTTAAAAAGATTGACGTGATAAATCCATCATCAATAAAGCAGGCGCTTATCGAAGGTGCAACACATTTAAATGACAACAACATGTTTGAGCAAGGCCATGGCAAGCTGAACATCTTGAAATCAATAAAAATTCTATCGGAATATCAACCGAAAGTGTCCTTGAGTCCAACACATTTGGACATGACCGATGATTACATGTTTCCTTACAACACTCAATCGATTTATTACACGATGCAACCGATGATAATGAATGTGACAATTTTAAACGGCATTTCTGTGACGGGACGTGTTGCGGAAGTTCAATGGTATCCTTATCAGAATGAAAACGGAAATTTGTTGAATGTTTCGATATCGTATTCGAATGTTTTGTGGCCTTGGAGTGGTTGGATGAGTCTTCATATCACTGTCAATGAATATGGTTCGAACTTTGAAGGACAAGCTTTAGGGCACGTGTCAGTGACAGTTGAAAGTCCATCGCCAGCTGATCCGAGTGAGAAAATGAATTCAACTGTAAGCTTTTCAATTCGATGTAAAATTATTCCGAAACCTCCACGACAGAAGAGAATAATTTGGGATCAATTTCATAATTTACGATATCCACCTGGATATTTACCAAAAGATTCACTCAAAGTTAAATCAGATCCATTGGATTGGCGTGCTGATCACATTCATACCAACTTCAAAGACATGTACACACATTTAAGATCGTCTGGTTACTACATTGAAGTTCTGGGACAACCATTTACATGTTTCAATGCATCAAATTATGGAACGCTCTTGATTGTTGACCCCGAAGAAGAATATTTCGAAAGTGAAATAGGAAAAGTTCGTGACGATATTCTTGAAAAGAACTTGAGTGTAATAATTTTTGCTGATTGGTATAACACGACAGTGATGAAGCATATGAAATTTTATGACCAAAATACTAGACAATGGTGGGTGCCTGACACAGGTGGCTCAAATATTCCAGCACTTAATGAGTTACTTGAGAGTTTTGGTATTGAACTTGGCGATAAAGTATTGGAAGGTTATTTCCAATTTGGAGACCATCATGAAATGTATTACAATAGTGGAACAAGCATCGTAAAATTCCCAAAAACAAACCAAACTGTTCTCATCCAGAGAGATTTAATTGATCAAGGTGCTGAAATTCTTAAACATTCACCAAATGGAAGTAATCAAAAAGATTTATCGGAAGTTGATTTTAAGAATGTTCGTGTTAAACATAAAGAAATTATTCTCGGCATGACACAAATACAGTCATCATCGAAGAAAGAACGAAAAGGTGGCAGAATTGTTGTTTATGGTGACAGTAATTGTCTCGATTCAACACACTTAGAAAAGGCTTGTTTTTGGCTTATTGATTCGTTGTTGGAGTATACAATGACGGGCCATATTAGTGAGATGCTGAAAAATATGAATCGAACGCCATTCATTGAGTTTCCAGGTAAATTTTAGTTAAGTTTAAAAATTTTTTATCTTATTTAATGATCTTTTTGTTTCTCCTGTTTGAATAGAATTAACAAAACCTCTTCGTTTAGACGGAAATAATCTTCATATTTATTCTAAAGTGCTCGATGTGAATGATCACAATAAAAAGCGACCATTGCCGATGTGTTTGAAACTTCATTGGGAGAATCCTTATTTTCTAAACATCACGAGATCATTTGTGCAACCACCTCCAATCGAATCAATTGAAACGAATATGATTTAAATGGACATCAAGTGACTCGATGTGAAAGGAATTAACTGAAGTTTTGTGATTTTTGCTGCGGGTAGTGAATGTTAGTAAGAAAAAACACTGGTGATAAATTTAAGAACGAAATGACAAAATTAACATTTGTCACGATCATTCACAACTTTTGGGTTCGATATTTTAATTAATATGATTGCAATGCAAACAAACTTATTTATAAGAATTGATTTCTAATCATTCATACTACTGTTTAGTTTAATTAATATTTCTTTTTTCTAATATGACTTTTAAATGTTTATCGCTTTTATAAGGGAAATTGTTGATTTCTATTTACTATTAATGGCTTTGAAAGCTTTTAAATTTCTAAATTCCCACTTAACTTTAAGATTTAAATTTAGTGACATGAAATCTGAAAGCAAAAATTTAGAAGATAAGAAAATTAAAATCAATTTGTTTCTATTGTGAGAAACCATTTTTTAATAAATTGAGGAAATATGAAAACTTTTAAATTCCTTTTTGATTATTAAATACCTACTTTTAAATTTTAACAGGTGGCAATGGTTTTTAACAAGAAGCTACAAGTAAATAACAAGTTTCGTAACAAATTATTTTTAATACATATGTTGAAATTAAACTAGGGACATGAACAAAACATTCTGTTTTCGAATATTTATAGAAATTGATTTATATTTCTGACGAATGTAAGTGACGTAATTAATTTTGACACAGAAATCGAATAAACTATTTTTACTTGTTCATCACTTCAAAAGATGATAAAGTGTTTAAGTGGATTATGATGGATGAAATATTTTAATTGGACTTCGAACTGAGTCATCGGTAATGAAAATGACTGTTTATGATATTGTAAATCTAATAAACATATCACATATCATTTTTATATATTTAACTACATAAGTCATATGTGATTAAGATGATATTGACGATGTCTTAAAGACCACAATTTCTTTTTGGTTCTTTTTCTGTTTCTTTGAAAATTTATCAACTAGGAATTACTCAAGAATCGAGTGGTGTGTCAAATGTTTTTTTTAGTTTTGTTCATTTAAGGTAATGAATATTGAATTACATTTTAGTTTTGTTTGCTTACTCTTTCATTTCAACACATTTTGTGGCAATATAGATAATATAGACTACTTCGATAAAAAATTATGGAAATCAATGAAAGAAAAACTCATGAAAATCATATCTAATTTGATCAAGTAACCATAGAGTTTGAAAAATTTTTGTCATTTTTTTACATTTTCTATATTTTTTTTTAAATTTCATCACAACTGCCACTTTCAAATTTACCAAAAAATTTACAAAACTCATCCCACTCACTATCGCCACTTTTATCTCCTTTTCACTAAGACTGATTTATTGATGAAATTTTCTTTTATCTGCCAATTACGATCGGAACTTTATTAGGCCTGAGAAGAAAATTATGAATACATATGTTTAAAGTATTGTTGGCTAGCAATATACCTACTTGTTCTATCTTCTTTAATTCTTCAAGATTTTATTCTGTGATCGTTAAATTTCACTTAAATTTCACAATTTAATTTAATTCCAATCACGAAAATGATAAATCGATGAGTTCAATAATGAGGAAATGTGGAAAGTTTACAAATTTCGATGGTTCCAAAATTACTTTGCAAAAAGCTTTCCATTTCTTTTATATCTTAAATTTTTATTGTATTAATTTTTAAAGTAATCTTCGTATAAAAGTCAATCATAGAGAGTGTTAAATGTGAGTAGCCAATAAAATTCTCCCAGTTTCATTGAAGGAAAAAAAATTAAAGTTTCTCGATGTGGTGACAAATTTTTCACTAGAACAGCAGTAGAGAATAATGGAGACTGCAATGATAGCAACGATTCCAACAGAATGCAGAACATTCTTATGATAGTTTGGCAGATTCCATAACATCTTAAGCAATTAGATCCTTTTCTCAGAAAATTGCTGTTTTTTAACGATTGAAAAATGTGTTTTACAAAAATCTGCCAAATAATCAGAAATATCTGTAAATCAAATAAAATTCCAAAAAATAAAATTCATCGACTTTTGAATTGCTTAAACATCAACTTTCATTACGAATGAATCACTTTTTTTATTGTCCAAAGATTCATCTTGAGTTTAACTCAAAATATGATCTTCTTCCAAACTGAAAGCTTTTCATCCTGTAGAATATTATAAGATCTTCTTTTTCATTGCGCAAATTTCATGAGTAATGAAATTGAATAACTTAAAAGAAAATTAAAGAAAAGGAAAAACCAACACATAGACAGAATGTGATGAAAGATTAAAGATTAATGATTATTGTAGACATGATCCCAAGATACCATTTAATTCGATTATTTAAGACTCTCAATCAATGAACCTAACATTTCTGCTTTGAATTTGATTGGAAAAATATGAAAATTCTCAACTATTCAATTAACTGCAATGATTTGAGGGCAGTTTGGAATTTCGCAGTTGAGCTTTGGCCCACAATTGGCACCAACACCGCGTGTGCGAGCTTCAAAGTGGTCGAATAACAATGGCTTCTTGCAAAATGCACATTCCTGAAATGAAAGTTGATGTATTTACGAATGATTTCAAAATAGAAAAAGAAATGATAATTTACCTCTTGGCATACATTGACCTTCAATGGCAATCCAAGCATATTCCAAACAATTTTCATATCCGAAACGAGTTGATCTATCATTTCACTTGTATGATAAGGAGTTGGTGCCAAACGGAGCTTCTCTTCACCTCTTGGAACTGTCGGATAGTTAATGGCTTGCACATAATGTCCGAATTCTTGAATCAACATATCAGATATTTGCGTGCAGTGTTGAGGATTTCCAAGTTTAACAGGAATGATATGCGAAGGTGTATGTTCAACTGGAAAACCTTCAGACTTCAACTTGTTACGTAAATAGCGAACATTTTCTTGATGAAGTGCTCGTAAAGCGCGACCTTCTTCAGAAGCAAGAATCTCAACAGCCTTGAAAGCTCCAGCCAGAACAGTTGGCGGCAAAGAAGTTGTAAAAATGAAACCAGCAGCATACGAACGAACCATGTCAATCAATCTTGCAGTTGATGCAATATAACCGCCAACATTTCCAAAAGCTTTTCCTAATGTCCCCGAAATAATGTCCATGTTGTGCATTTGATGATCACGTTCACCAATACCAGCACCATGTTCACCATAAAGTCCAACAGCATGAACTTCATCAACAAATGTCAAAGCACCATGTTCATGCGCAATGTCGCAAAGTTCTTCCAATGGACAAACAGCTCCTGTCATTGAATGAACCGTTTCAAAAGCGACAATTTTCGGCACAGATTTTGGTACTTTCGACAACAATTCACGTAAATGAGCTGGGTCGTTATGACGAAAGATATGCTTCGGAACGTTACTATTTCGAATGCCTTGAATCATTGATGCATGATTTCCGGCATCAGAAAAGATGTGACATGATGGTAATGCGCGTGCCAAAGTGAAAAGTGTCGAGTCATTAGCAACAAAGCAAGATGTGAAGAGTAAAGCGCCTTCTTTTTCATGTAATTGTGCCAAACGCTTCTCGAGGTTCTCATGGAACAATGAATTGCCTGAAATGTTTCTGGTACCACCAGCACCAGCTCCATGTTCTTCTAAAGCTTTACCAACAGCTTTCTTCACTTCAGGATGAGAGCTCATACCTAAGTAGTCGTTGGAGCACCACACAGTTATTGGACGTTCACCCCATGAATATTCTTTAGCTGTCGGAAATTGACCGACACCAGCAAGACGATTAACTTTTTTGAAGACGCGATACGAATGATCCTTCTTCTTTTTCATGATTTGCTCGTGAAAAAAGTCTTCATAAGCGAATGGAACTTCCGAAGAACGATTCGGTGGAATGTCTTGTATCGCTTCATTGACTTCCTTAACTTGAGCACCAGTACTCGACAAGAATGGACATTTCTTGTCACCGGTGTTTATTTCCTTAGGTTGTTGAAGTGAACTGATGTTTCTCTTCACTTCCAGTTTTTTAATCGGAGATTCCGGGGGTGTTTGAGGCGTTGAGGAGCCACTTGATGATCCACCACCTACACCTCCAATTTGAGAGATTGCACGAGTAACAACCGGACATTGATTTCCGTAGGTCTTTAGAAGAATCGGCGCATAGTTGCGAACATAGTTGGCACTAAGACGTGTTAAAAATGGGCAAGGCATCTTCTTAACGCTGCTTACCACTCGATAAAAAATTGGAGCTGAATTGAAAATCTGTAAGAAAAATATTATTACGTTAATTATTAAAGTCGGCAAAAAAGAAGTTAGATAGATCGAAATACTTCGTAAGGTGAATGCTACTTCCGTAAATTTTTCAATTAAAATCAAGTTTAAAAAAAGCTTATTTTGATTTTATGACGAAAGGTAAAAAGTAATGTGAATTTCGCTTTAAAGGAAAAGCTTTCAACTTCCATGCCAACACTTATACTTCATTATCAAAAGAAGGCCACGTAGCTTAAGAGATCTCTTGATTATATTGACATTTTTTCTTTTTTCTTCATGTCTATCTACTCTCTTAAATAAATACTGACGCAATCCATTCACTTGAATGAGAAATCGCGTGTTGCTACTTAGGAACTTCGCTTTATTTGTGTTAACAATAATAAGGCACACGTAATTAGCTAATTAGTTAATCGTAATCAATCATTAGAGTTTCCTAAACAATTTCTTTATACGTATAGATGATATTTTAATTTACTTTCTAAATTTAATTATGATTTTGACTTTCGAGAGTTGATTTTAACATGGAAAATTTGTTGCAATTTGTAGCATTATTAAATAATTTAAAGCAATAAATAACAATTCGTGTCATTTCATGATTGTCGGAATAATCTGGAAACCGCATAACAATTATTTTTTCATGACCAGTTGTCACTAAATTTTAAGTTTGCAAATTACAGGTCCCTACAGGTAGATATATCTAAAAATTTATTGAGCACAAATTCCGGATTATAAATTCTAATTTCACATTAGAGTTAACGTCTGCTCTCGTACTTAGGTAAAATAATAAAAAAACAAATGAAAAACAAATGAGGTAAATATTCAAATAATGAAATGAACTTATCTTAGCCTTCATCAGTTTCGTCAACTACTTTATGTCTTACCATTTTTAATTAAAGTCCATTAATTAAATTCTCCGGAAAATACAAAAAATTGAAAGTAAAATGGTAATCGCAGAATGCAATCAAAAGAAATAAATTTAAGCTTTATGTCAATCAATGTCACATTGACAAATGCGAATTTGAGGTCGATAAAGATCAAGGAATGACAATACGAAAAATAAATTTAAAAGAAAAAATATTCCAATAATTCAAGTTAAACTCGTTTACTTGTTCGCTAATACTAGTTCACTATTTGAGCTTTAAAAATAAACTAAGGCCATAAATGAAAAATAATCACGCGAAAGTTAACGAAGAAACGAATTGAGCGATTGAACTTACAGCAATAAAAACAAATATCTCGAAAATGAGTAAAATATCAAATTGTCCTTTAGCACAACTCAAAATAATAAAATTCTTATGCCAATGAGTTTATTTTGCTTCTTTCACTGTTGGAGTTTTAAACTCGACTGAAGTGTAAAAAAAAATTAAACTCAAATTTCAAGTTTTCTCTCTTTCTCTCATGTTTCATTAGATACTTAGTTTCTTTGAATGTTAACCACATGGAGGGTTTTTTAATGATTAAGCGACACCAAATTGAATAAATGTTGTAATAACCTTCTATTTGAAACAAATGTTCCAAATTTCCTCGATTAGTTCTTGAAAAATTTATCTTCTAAATGAAATCAAGATCACTTTTACAACTTCAAAGTTTTACTTTAAAGTATTGATGCAAACTTTTTTTGTTTAAACTTTTTAATTATTTGTAAGCGCGATGGCCCACAACCTGTTGTAATATAATATCTTTGTTTTTATTTATGACTTAACTGTTTGAATTCTTATTAAAGAATGAGAATTATTTCGTTTTCTCTTATGAAGAAAACAATCAAAAGATTGTTTAGATCATAGAGAAAAACTAGAATCAATAATAGCATTATTTATGTTCCAACAATAAAAATATCAAAAAAGAGAGTGGGAAATAATAACATACATTTCATGGAATATTTCCATAAAACTTTTAAAGAAAAATCATCCACTTATCACATTTAAGTGACAAAAAAGGAAGTTTGAAAAAAAAAGTTATTAATCGTAGTTTGTAATCTCAAAATCTTAACGCACTTACATATATAGTAACGACTCAGAGATAACAAAAAAGAGACTTCTTGATGTGATTTATTACCAAATTTTTGAAGATGATTAAATGATAGCGAACTGCTACAAATAATCAGACGGATATTTGTCACTAGAAATGTTGCCCATTACTTTTAAAGAAGATGAATGACGTTTATAATTAAGTACGAGATTGAAATTACTTCAATTTCATTTAAAGTCTTCATTGTATAGCCAAGAGATATGAATTAAATTGCGAATACTATGTAAATTATATTCTTGAGGATTATTTTAAATGTACATGTTTCTTCTTCCGATTGATTTTGCAGAGTAAATTTCTTTATTTTTCCAGGTGTTCATCAAAACGTTATTTTGATTTGCTCTGAAATATATATTGTAATCATTTTACATATGTAAATGAATTTGAAATTATTCTCATCCCAAAATGCTCAGCGAAAATGATTTTTTTTCTGTCATTTACATGTCCCACACATTTTTTAATCCACGAACCTTGATATTGAAATAAAACTGATAACACAATGGCGACATAACACAAAACGCGATTTTTGTATATTCCATAAATGGAATGAGAATATCACTTCTAAACCAACTGATAAAAGCTAAAATATTATGTGTGACGATTTCTGTTGTTGATGTTTTAATTTTGGTTGCAAGGACTAAGTATCAATCCTATATTTGCATTGTAAATTGTCACAGCAAAAAATCATTACTCAGTAGCCTACAACATTATAAATTGGCACTTTAATACTAGTTCAAACAATTTAACAAGACATATCTTCCTTAAATTTTTTTAATATTGGAAATAAATTCGAAATTTTGAAATGGAAAAGAAATCTAAGATCAAAAAGGATGCTGAAGAATCAAGTGAGAAGGAAAAGAAATTAACAAACGTCGAGAAACGATTCTACGAGTTGGAAATTGCTGGAATCTACAGAAAAATCGAAAATATTCATGCTCGCAATAAAGAAGTTGAAAGACAAAATAAAGAACTTGAAAGGAAATTAGAAATTTTCAAAGAATGTCGCAACGATCCTTTAGCGTAAGAAAAAATAATTTTTGAGTTTATTTTTATTTTTTAAATTATTCTTCAGTCATCTCAATCAGGAAGTTAAAGAAAAAGATAAGCAAGTATCAGATCTCGAGAAAAAAATGAGCAATCTAGAAAATTCTGTTAAAAAAGAAACCGAAGAACATCAATCGATGTTGATTGATTATGATGAGAAATTTGAAAGAACAGAAAAAGAATTATATAAAGAGATTGATAAATTGGAAAAAGAATTCAATTCAATTCTTGATTTCAGAAAGCAACGCAAATCTCTTATCGAAGAGCTTGAAACTAGAAATATTGAAATGCGTAAAAAAAGCGAGAAATTGATGAATGAAGTAAGACAAAATGAACTTTCATTTGAAACTAAAATGCATAAAGAAGTCAGAGACAAAATCTATGAGATGTCAACTCAATTTGCAAAAGAGTTTGAAATTAATATTCCCGATTCAACTCAACGTTTAATTCGAGAAAATGTGATATTGAAGAACGCAATTCATGAATTGACTGTTAGAAATGATAAAGTTCAAATTGAAAATGAGATTATTAACGAGGAAATCGAAAAAACAATGCAATCTGATAAAGTTTTAATAGAAGAAATCAAACAACTGATTCTAACAGGACAACAGCAAGTTGCAACTATCGAAAACTTATATCAACAACATAAAAATTTAAAGAAAGAAAATACTAAAGAAAAAGCAAATGACGAGATTAATAAAGCTCAAGAAAAATCTATTGAATCACAAAAAAAGTCTCACGAATTGCAACAAAAAATAAAAAAACTTGAAGAACAAATCTACGTCATCAAAAACGATCTTCAATTAGAAAATTATGACGAGAAATGTATTCGTGAAGATGTCGAGAGAGCATTTAAAATTGGAAAGTCATTGAAATTATCGGTGGAATCTGCTCTAAAGTGTTACAGAGTGAAAGACGATCCCGACTTTCGTGAATATCAACAAAAGAATATTTTCTTTGAACTGCTTGCTATTGCAAATGAATTAGAAGAATGCAGGGAGAGACCATCAATTGAAACAATTCCTTCTATCAGCGATTTATATGCTGAAAAACTCGAACAGTTCAATTTACTACACTTGACTAGAGACCTAAAAGATTCAAAAGATTTTGTTGCTAATGTTCCAATATTAAGCACTTCATCATCAAACAGAGTTTTCTCAACACCATCAATTTATTCTGTTGTAAATTCAAGCAAATCGTTTTCAGTCGATGAAAAATGTAGCAACTTAATGGATCCAGAAACTGCTACTGAATCTTTACATTACAGTTCTGATAGCGATTCAAATTTAGAACTTGAAAACAAACCGAACTTTATACAAAACTTGATTCAAGAATCCGATAATTTCTCCGAAATAATTTCAACTTCAGGATCTACAAATCATTCATTGAATCAGAAATTATCAATATCAAACTCTCAAGCATCCGATAAATTTCAAGAGAATGAAGAGCATAAAGATGGCAGATCAAGCGAATCATACAAAGAAATGTGAAAAGTCAATTTACTAAAACATATTTTTACCTAAATAAATCAATTTGATTATTAAACTAAGTAGTGTATTTTATTAAATATCAAGATTATTTTTAGATTTCAAGTTAAAAGTTAGCCTTTCTGTTGTTTATCGCTTGCGGTTCAAAGATTTGTAAAATGATGTAAAATTAGATCAAGTTATGAAATCATTTGAATGACAAAAGATTTTGCCAGTTCATTAATTGAATGTCACTTGCGAAATATAAATTTACGCGCATACACATAAACTTTTATAGATATCACACGTAGGTTAAGATAAAAACATAAGGCTTTATTTACCAAATTGAGTAAGAGATAAGATTTTTATTTTACATTATATTTTTTCATTTCACATTATATGGAACATGGTTGTACATTTTAACTTAAATCAGAACCAATTTTTCAATGACATGCTGTTAATCCTATACCTAATAGGTATATTATATAACTTAGATCAATTTAACAATAGTCACATGAAAAAGCTTAAAATGAACAACAAAACTTTTTATTCAATGAGAAAACTACAGAAAAAACTTGAAATCATTGCATAAGAGAGCAGAAAAGAGTTAGGCTTCATTCTGATTTAAATTAAAATGTACAACCTATTATTAAGTTAATAATATTAACTATACATATTAATGCAATATAGAAAGACCAGTCTTTCATGAAAAGAAACCAAAGGATATTTTTTGAAGCTTTCACGAAAGTTAAGAAATTTTCCCAAGGTTTCGCCCCAGGATTTTTTTTTCAATTCTAAGTAAATTCAACTGATCATCTTTTTTCAATGTTCTAATAAATGAATTCATTATGAAACTTTATGGTTATAAGTGTTAAAAACTTTTTCTTTAAAGAGTTTTAGAGAAGAATATTATGTAAATGTTTTCAAAAATTGAATTTGAATTTTCCGCTTAAAGTTGGAACAATTACAGTGATTGTTTTATTTACCACCATTCTTAAGTTAATGAATGATTAATAATTAAGATTCTTACATGTTATCCTCTTTTCGTTTCACTGTGGAACTAAATTTGATCACAATTTTTTGAAAAATTTTCAACTTCAATGAGTCACAATAAAGGGGTTTTAGTGAACACTATCGAGAGTTTTCAGTGGAGACTAATTTCAATGTTTTGAGAATGTTTTGGATGTTTTTGATGATCCCTCAAAACATTGAAGTGAGTCTCCGCTAAATTTAATTTTTGAACTCCAAATGTCCGTTAAGGGTAATTTTTGAACTCCAAATATCCATGAATGTGTAAATAAAGAAATCTTAATTCATTTGAAATGTGTTATGGAAAGGAAAGAAATATCTTTACTTACTCATTCACGGATATTTTTATAATAATAAAAGAGTGATTCAGAAACTGACAAACATTTGATATACCTAGTTCATAAGATTTCTTTGACTAAATTCACGAAATCGAAGGACTAAATTTGAGTTTAAAACTACCTACCTACATATGTAAATAAATGTAGATTGATGTGAGAATCATGTGAGAATTTATTTATGATGCTGCTAATGAACTTTTGATTATCATCCATTCTATTTATTATTAGAAGGAAGGAACAAAAGATTTATTTTCTACAGAGAACAAATTTAAAAAAAAGACCCTATAAGTTTAAATGGAAAACGTTGCTGAAAAAAATATGAAAAGTTCTATGATTCAATACTTAAAATATGATCACAGACCACAATACTTAAAGTTATGATTCCCTATTACCATAATAAATTTACAGAGTCCACATGGTTATTTTTATTTGGCTCCAGACAGTATAGAAAAGTTATTAACGCATTAAATTATAAAGTTATTAAATTTTGTTATTATTAAGTAAGTTTTATTACTCTTATAAAAATTATAATGTAAGTTTTCAAACATTCTCTTTGTATCTAAAGAAAATCCTTGTAACGTCAAAATATATTTTATCTTTAATATAATACTGAAGATTTCAAAAAAACAGATTTCATAAATATGAGTGTTCAAACGATTTATCTTGAATAGTTGCTGTCAATAATATCTTTTGGAAGCTTTCATACTTATAAATCTGATAACTTAATATTTATGGAAAACTTTTAAATAAAATCAAATTGATCTTAGAAAGAAATTTCTCTTGGCAAGTTTTCTGACAAAAGAAAAACGTGAAAAAGAGCGTATGAAATTCATACGAGAAAAGTTTCGCGACGAAGCGTTCATGATGCAAATAAATGTTAGTTCATTCATGTGTACTTTCACAACGAGAGTTTACTCTCGAACAAATTTAATGTGACGAGTCATTTTATGTACATATTTTTATTTCTTTTGTACTCGCTCGTAGCTTTAAAAAACTAAAAACATTAATTCGAGTTTGGAAAGTTTTGTCAAGACAACTTGTATGGATAATCTTTATTTCCTGCAAACGAAAGTTTAGTGAGTGAAAATAAATAGCATAAGACTACCTTAACGTTAAAAACAGAATCTTCAAGCATGTGTTAATGGGTTTATTTCAAAACTAATGTAAATAATGAAAACAAACTGGAAGTTTCAAAGAAAGACTTAGTCACAAATTGTGAGGCAAGGGAAAAACGCGATTTAGATGAAGGTAAACTACCAAAGTATGAAAAATATTTCACAAAACAAATATTAAATTGTCATATCTACAAATATTCCAATCCTTACATCACTTAAGCGATAATCTTACTTTTTATTATCGATACATTCTCAAAATTATTTAAACGTCAGGAAAGCTTTCCTGTAGAGTTAAATCTAATTCATTTTTTCCTCTAAATATTATCCTTAATATGAAGGAAACGTTGGTGGTAAGCTGAAAGCTTTTATATAAAGCATTATTTATTGTGTTTACGTCATATCTCATCATATCATAATGAAGTGAAAAAACACCAGGAAATTGAATGCTTTGAAAAAGCTTTTTGATTGAAATAGCCAACGATTCATTCTTCAGGGGAGTATCACGACACGGAAAAAGGTTACAATAAATAATAGAAAATGCAATTTCCTCACTGTTAAGAATTCACTTTCTATTTGACATTTGATTTGCCTCATGTGTAATCGTGCGACATGTGATAAATTGTGGAAAAGAGTTTGATCGGAAGTCAATCTAAAGGAAAATCGAATTTTCCTGTTTGAACCTTTTTTCTCTTGATTTCAAAGAAATAAAAAGAAATAAGTTTTCCCACGATTTGACTTAAGGTGAATGAATACAATTTTGCAATCCTTATGTGAATACGACTTCCGCCTGTAAGATTCTTATCAAGCATTCAATTTTCAAATTCTCGGGGGGTATTTTACATACAAAAAAATTTCACACATCTTCTATACAAATGTTAAGTTCAAATGAAAAAAAATTTCCATAAATGACAAAATCTTTATTTTTAACATAATTTTGCAATTTCCTACTTTCCTTCATCTATTTAATAATATGAAGCTTTTTATTCTAGAACGTAAAATGTATTGTACTAGAAAATAGTTGATTTTAGCGATTCTAATTTGAAGCTATAATAATTATTATTGCATTAGCAAAGAAAGCTGTGTCAATGACATTAAATAATGAAAGTGAAATTTCAAAACTTTGAAATCACTTTTTCCTTTTGATCAAACTAATTGCTCTCATTGTCAAAATGCTGTCAGTTGAGAGAGTGGTGGAAATTCCAAAGTCGTTGGAAATGTGCTTTTACTTTCCAATGAGGTTTTCGTTATAAATTCACCACGAAAATCATTTAAAAGTAGATGATATCTTTAAAGTTTTTAGTTCACTTGAGTTGATTCTTGCAAGCAGAAGGGTTTCAGAATTAACAGTTTATTTTTAACGAGCTCGATCATAAAATTTTGAGTTAAAAAAATTCTATCGAAGATATTTACTTTTGGTTCATGAGTTTCATAATCTTTTAATAAAATGGCATTAAAAATAAATAAATACACAAAAATATTTTAATTCTGCTCTTCAATGTCATCAAAAAATAAAATAAAAATGCTCGAGAAAATTTCCAATCAATTATTGATCATTTGATTTGTATAGCACTCATAATATGACTTTTTTTCGTTTTAAGTCTTTTTAATAATGATCTGAAGAATCCTTACGAAAGTCGTTACTAACTCTTGAAGAAGATTTTCTGTTTCGAGTGATTCATTCTCAAATTGCGAAGTTGATTGCATGAACTTTACCACTTATCCAAAATTTTTGATTTTTATGTATGTTGATTGATTACTTCATTAATGTATAAAGGTACCTAAAAAGTTTTCTTTAAATTAATTTCTACTCATATAATTTCAAGGAAAAATTGCAGCTTTATTTTCACATAAGTAAGTTTACACATTGAGGAAAACGTCTTTCCTTTTAGATATGTTTGAATTTATGCCCTTTTTTCGGATTTTTTCGAAAGAGAAAAAATCGCTTTAAATATCAAATAGACTTGGAAATACAGGGTTTCTTATTAAGAATTCTGGGTAGCTTGTTACGAAAGGCAAAATTTGTCAAAGATGTCAATTTCTATAGAAAATCTCAAGATATGTTTACGCCTGACAACATAATAATTTACTTATGCGTAATGTCTTTAGAAAATCTAAAAGTTTTCTATCGAGAAAAAGTCTTCTATTCCAAACGAGCTAACGAGCATATTTGTAATAATAATTATACTTTGAAATCGTATGAAAAAAATTGTTTAATTTTGATGGATTGTTTAAATTCTTTACATGCTTAAAGTTTTAATTGCTTTAATAGAAGTAGAACCAAAACCCTGTCAATTCCAGAAAATCTCCTTGAATATTTATATTGCTTGTTTATTGAATTGTTTGAATATAATTTTAATATTTTATTTTATTAGACAAAAGAAACTTTATACTCTCTTCAATATTTCATAAATTTATGAGAGGTAATCTCATAATATTTTTATATAAACGCGTAATAATATTATTGATGATAAGAAACGGTACATTTTGGAGTCGATTTGAAAGCTGGAAAATTACTTCGAAACTTTAATGACTTTTTCTTTTCTTTTTAATGTGAAAATGAGAAATTCACCTTGGGAAAATTATTAATAAATCATATCTATGTACAACTATTTTCAGATAAATTGAATTTTTTTTCATCACAGCAATGGTTTGAAAATATATAATAATAATTTTAAATAAAAATATATCCTTTGTAATCTTAAGATTAGGTGATCTCCAGTAGAGAAGTATCTCTGACTGTGGTGCTTCATATATGCAAGATATTTGTTTCTCAATACACATACTTTAATGTTTTAGCTTTAAGAAAAAAATTATGATGAACAAAATATTGCTTGTTGTTGCCATATGTTTCAAGAGCAAGAAAATCTCATGCTGCCATTTAGCGCACAAATCGTCGTTCGCATCCCCCACATTACTGTGAGGGTAAAAAAAGAAACACTTCCATTAAGCTATTACCAAACATCACACTGAATAACCAATTTGTTGCTTCATCAATCATTGGTTCTGTTCAAACATTTTTCTGTTTCTGGTTGTTAAAAGCTATCTTATTCGCTGGGTACTTATTATTTCTTTTATCTTTGTAACAGTAATCATCGACCTTCTCGAGAAGAGAGACAAGAAACAAGCAATAAGTTTTTTATATCAAAGTATTCCCTTAATTATTTCCCAGAGCTTGTTTACAACCTCTGAAATAAAAATCAAAGTGTTCCCAGGCATTTTTCATCTCGTCATTGTAAGAAGCAAAAACGGCTTTGATAAATGAAATTTCTGCTCGTTGAGAAGATGCGACGTTTAACATTATCTTTACGGCATTAAAAGGTTTTTTTGAGCATCGTATATGCAAATTCTCGAATTGTTTTACAACCGAACATAATATGATTTATGTTTTACTCCAGTGAAGCGAACAAATGACACATACAGGGCGAGAACATAAATGAACATTGTTATGTAAGGAAAAACTTCTTGTTTATTAAGTTTCCCAGATGCGGTTTAATGCCTCGCTTTTCTTGCTGCCTTATCCGAAATGCCGAAGCAACATTATATTCCTGAAAATTATGCTATTTCGTAACCTATTTGGAATCTCCCAGCGCATTCTTTAATACATCTAGGTCAAATACTGCTACTTCAAGGAGCTTTCATAAATATTTAAAAGTAAATGACCATTCTTAGACAGTCCCAAAAGAAAATTATTTAGGTGATACGGATACAATCACGTATCATGATGGGAAACATTGAACAAGACCTGTATAAATATTATGATTGATATTAAATCAACACATATTTTCTGTAAATATCTACATAAATGTATAAAGAAATATTCCTTCACCTTATCCCATTATAATTTTCTGCTTCGAAGATAAGTTTTCGATCATAAGTAATTTTTCGTCTGCACCGTAACTTCGAGACAACCTTTTTTTTCTATTTTTAGAAATGATAGTAAAGAACATCTCTCCTTTAAAGAAAAAGATACCAAATTTTTCTAAGCAGATTTTTTTGAAAATAAATCTCAGGAGAAATCGATGTACACAGGTTTATTGTGTTTATGAATGTTAACTATTTATGTACATATTTTTTTTAAATGGTTTCTGATATTATTTGAAAGTCGCTCGCTAACTTTAATTAATTAATGATTTATTTAAAATGTAATTATGATGATAATTTTCAATTATTTATCATCTAGACAATCAAAAATCTAGGATAAAATTTGTTTTTCAGATCAGTTGTTGAAAATCTTCAAATCAAATGTTCGAGACCTTTGAAAATTGTTTTGAATATTTTAGTTTTTAATTACTTGAAATAAAATCTTTCATTTACAAATCCTCAAAAAGTTTGAAGAACTTCCATGTTTTCGGTAGAAACTTACAAAACTGCTTGTTCAACAATTAAACCTAAATTTCTACTAATGAAAAGTTTGTGGACAATTTATTTTGTGGTACAACTTAGCCCATGAATCTTTTCACATTTGTGCTATAATATGTCTGTTGGCCATGCTCCTTACAAGTTTCACATTTGTATCTTTCAGAACTCTCTCTTTTTATCATTTATAAATTGTAAATTTATAGACACATACTTTTGCTCTACGATGACGTCGCTCGTGCCTAAACTTGTCCCATGTCTAACACATTCTAAATTAAAATCTAACTTACAAATATGAGTGAATAGCTTACTTACATAAGTATGATTAAGTGCACTGACATTAAAAATGAGGAGAAACAAAATCAATTTGTCTAATGCACAAAGTTGATGAACTTAGTTTGCTAAAATACCATAAATTGTAAAAACATTTGTTGTTTGTTCAAAAGTTTCTTCAATTCCATAATTTTCTTGCTTGTTTACAGTAATGAATGTGTAAGGAAGGAAGCAATTGAATAAAACTTATAATGATACGCTGTCTTATCATGCCGGAATTTAAATTAAGGAGAACTTTCTATTGCTTTTTAAGATATCTCATACTTATCGAATTTTGATTAGAGAAGTCAATGGGAATCTGATAAGATTATAGTAATGTATAAAAACACCGTTGGAGAAGTTTTTATTTCTAATTCATCCAAGAATGTTCAAGTTTCAAGTGTTGCTTGTTATACTAATTAGTTCATTGATTTCATTAGACTGTCAAGTGTGTAATCCAAATATCGTACAATGGTTTCCACATCCATCCAGTTGCAGTAGATTCATTTTATGCTTTCATGGAAATCCATTGGGTGAGTAGATATTTCAAATGAGTCCCTTGACATATCTAATCAATTAAAGTAAATGAAACAAATCAATCAGACCGACCATGCGCTCCTGGGTTACATTTTAGTCGAACAGCTCTAAAATGTATGCTCCATCAAATGCAAGATGCGACATCGATTATGTTTGTCCGACAGAGGATGATGAAAATAATCCTATTTTCATGCCGAACCCAGAAAATTATCAAAAGTAAAATATTCATGCAACATAAGTAGATACAACATCAACACTCAATAAATATATATTTTTCCAGATATTTCATTTGTTTCAATGGTTCGCCTATTCAAAGAGATTGTGCAGATGACTTATGATGGGACGTAGAAAATGAATGGTGCATTGAAGAAAGTGAAGTTACATGTGATGACCGAACAGTGATAAATCCTGAAAACCCAGCAACCACAACAACTATTACACCGACAGATCCCCCGATACTATCATCTTGCCACAGAACAAGTCATTTGTTTAATGAAGAGTCTGGAGACCACATGAAAAGCTACTGCATATTGAACGTTAACCGAAATTATCATCAAACAGAACAAGCATGCAATGACATTAACATGAATTTATTCGTCATCGATGACTCGGCTCTTCAATCTTCTTTCTTTATTACATTAACCAGTGATCTTATTGCTCATCCTCGTGGCTTTGTGTGGATAAATGGACAAAGAAACCAGTCGGGTGTATGGCTTTCATCGAATCCTCAAAGTGCTTTACTTTATGATGAAATTGACTGGGTACAAACAGATTCTTCCGTGAAGAATTTCAGGAGATTGTCTCAGATATACTCAACAGCATGGGCCTTTTCAAGCAATGGGCGTTGGCTGTAACAGCATGTCTTGGTCAACTTGTGAATTCTTTAATCAACCTTCTCTTAATACTGACGTGTGTTGGCATCAAATATCTCTTGTTGATAATGAAGGAAATTATCTTAAAACATCATGTATAATCAATTCTTCACAAAACTCTTTCCAAGCTGAACAAATGTGTATAAGAAATGGGATGAGTTTGTTCGAAATTAATAATTCTACAGTGCAGTCGGCCTTTTTTACATCGACTTCAGATGCTTTAAGAGATTTTCCTGGTGGCTTTGTATGGGTGAATGGAAGACGAGACCCAGATCCTGATAATTTTTGGTTCGCACGCAACCCAAGAAGAGTCCCACTTTACGATGAAATTAATTGGGTTAACACAGAATCTATCGATGGTCGAAATTCAGGAGACTGTTTACGGTTCAAATCACAGCATGGGCTATTTAGGGCAATGGGAGTTGCTTGTTCAACAACAGCATGGATTAATTGTGAATATTGAAATTTAATTTTAAATCAAACATTATGGACAACAGCATGAAATTAAATTAATTTTTGCCTCAGGTATGAATGATATTCACACCTAAATAAATATCTCATATTGAAATATATTAACGTAATATAACTATTTTATGTAGGTCTATAAATATAAAAGCAATAATTAAAAGTATATTTCTGTAACAGTAAGTTTGACAGATAGCCATCAAATGCCTTGTAATGTTCACACAAGAAGATTATTTCTATTATGGGTTTCATACTTGGACGTACAGCATACATAGTGTTATGTTAAGAAATATTATTCTAAGGATTGAAAGACTTAACTGTTTGCTTGTGTAATGAATGAATCCTATAAATGATGCTGCTTTGTTAGGATCAAAATGAATTGCAAGCTAAATATTTTACTTCTTCTTCAGGAAAACTCATTCACTCAATGTTAACGAATAATGGTTTCATCTTTTGCTGCATTTGTTATAAGATTTTATTTCTAAAATTTCCCTCTGGTCTTATAGTTGTTCTCATGCTTAAGCGGATATGGCAATCTTTTCAGGATTCTTATTTCATTGTAGTTTCTGTTCAATAAAATTCAAAGCTTAGTTTTTCTCCAAATGTTTCAGAAAATTGAACTGTTTTCTTGATGTAATCTCAAAGCGTTTTTTTCATTTTCTTCTCGCTATTCAAGCTTAATGGATAGATCAACAAGCATTATCTACTTCCTTTCCTGAAATTCGTGTAAAAGCACAAAACAATTCAAAACACACTTTTTGAAATGCTTAAAATCACTTTGGAGAAAATTACATTTATCTTGAATTTCAATATGAAGTAAGAAAAAAGCAATTTAAGGATATGACAATTCACAATGAAATTAAAATTGAATGTCCAAGCATAAAATTTAATGTGAAAATGAAACTATCAGAAGGATTTCCAGTGAGAGATTTCAATATTTATTTGTTCTAATCCGTTTCTAACGACATTTCCTTAAATTCATTTCATAAATTCTAATCTCTTTTCGATCTCACTAACATACTTCCGGCCTTCTTTTTATTGTTATTGTTTAAGATGCAAAATCAATAATTCAATGAACTCGAAAATAGGTTTGACAACACATTACCGTCATAAATGTTCGAAAAACATTTTATGCTTATAGATTCTCTTTGACGCACTTGATAGTTGGATTTGATATAAAAATAAAGTTGACTTCAAAAGCACAAGTCTGCATTATAGTTCCTAAGAAAGTATTTGATTTCATCTAAACAAAAACATAACTTATGTCTTTTGTGATGTGAGAATTGTCTTCGATATCAATAGAATTTAGTTGAAGGCGAATATCTAGTTTTATGTTTAAAAGAATGTCACGTTCTTCAATGGTGGGAGCTCCATGTCATAGAAAGATATAATAATTTGCTCAATCAGCAAAAGGCGTTTATCAATGGAAACGTTTCAATGTATATAGTTTCAATATAACGCAAGCTTTTCGGTTTTTGTTTTTCACAACAATGAAACATTTTTATATAGTAAATGTGAAAGAAGTGAGCTTGGTGCACCAGCATGAAAAATGAAAGACAAGCGATGATTTTATGAAAAATCTTTAAAAGCTTTAAAAAGCTTAAAACGATCCAATAATATCATGAGGAAACATTATGATGTTTTTCTTCGAACTCTGAAAGAACTTTATTCATCAGTTTACTTATACACAAGAACTTTATTAATGCCGTCATTTAGGACTTAATCTGATTGACTATAAATACAAATATATCCCTCCAGACCTGTCGATCAATGAGTAGATGAAAATTGTGCATTAAGATGATTGATGAAATTTTTAAACATATTTATTAATGTTCGTAGTAAAGTTTTCTGATTCTTGAGAATGATCAATTATTTAAACTGAATTTATGAATATAAAACAATTAGAACTTTATAAATTATAATATTTTTATAATAAAATTGAGAGATGCTGAGACGATGGAAGATTACTATCAATTTACATTATAAGTTGAATATTTATGTCTAACTAAAATACTCATTGCTTTTAGTTTGAAAACTTTTCTTTTTATACAAACAGTTGAAGAGAACTCAAAGTAGGTAGTTGAAAATCTTGACTTGAATGCAAAATCATCAAGATTCATCCATTTCTATTTCCTTTTCAATAAGCTTTTTATGAACTATTTAAATCCATTGAGAAATTATTTAAGAACTCAATAATTTATGTCATGAATTTTGAAATTTTTCACTTTTATTCAATATTCAAAGTAAATCCTGTAGTCTGAGGAATATAAAATAAAAGTTTCACTGTGCAAGAAAGATAATCAAAATCAATACTTAACTTTTAAAAGTTTTTTTTTTCCTTTATTTTCAAGGGATTAATTTAGGATGCTTCAAGCCATTATTGCTACTTTAGAAATTATATTTCAATGCTCAGAAATCTTTCTGACAATCGAACAATTTTGTGAGAATGGCATCGAGAAAATAAAGTTCATGAAGCTGCTAACAGAACATTCCCGACAGAGATTGGAAACAGTTGTTTTTCTTATTACATTTACAATCAAATCAACAGCATTTTTATGACTTATGGAGTGGAATCAGAGAAAGAATTCTATTAGAAATAATGAGAACTACGACAGATACAATGCTACTCAAATGGAAATTTTTCTCAAGTAAAGAGAAAGAATTTTATCCACTTTGATAATATTTCAACGATATTTAAGATAGATTTAAATCTTTGCTTGTGTTTAATTGGTTTTATCTCAATTCTAGACTTTCCTCATATAATATAATTTTTGCTTGCTTTGATTTTATATATCATAAGGAAAATGGAAATATGGAGGATTTCCACGAAAGCCACTTGATTCAGTTTCTCGTCTGCAGGCAATAACAAAACTCTTCGATGGATTTCGCTATAGCTGATAAGTTATTATAGCGCCAGAAGGATAAAAAAACGAATAGAAAATGTAAACTGTAATTTATTTCTGGAATTAGCGAAATTATTTTATCCAAGTTATTTTATTAAGTAGACGGTAAATCCGCTCAGTATTTTCTGTTTCATGCTATGAATTATTTATGAGTAAAAAACAACAAACAACAATTGTTAGGAAGCAACAAGCAAGTGAAAAAATCATTGCAGCGAGGAATGCGGAACGATAATTTTTCAGTTGTTGAATTAAAATCAATTTTCATTGTATATAAATAAAAGAATTTTCATTCAAATCCAGTCTGGAGAAAAGTTCCAATCCAATCAGTGATTGAGGATGTTATGTGGGAAGGAAGCAGATGTGAAAATCTCTTTTTAAAAGCCACCGAACGAAAAAGATTTAAAGTCTCTAAATCCTTAGCTCATTTTTAGTAGATTTGCATTTCACGTAAATTTAATTGTCTGCAACTATAATTTATGTATTATTTTTTTCTAGGAACTCACAGCCAAATACAGAACGATTTAAGTTCTAATCTGTTTTCAAATATTCCGACATTAAATGTAATCGAAAACAACTTTGTTGTGCACGTCACAAGTCTCACATTTAAACTTGATCTTGAAACTTTGTGTATCTATCTAAATATCTACATACGTGATTCCTTTTCCGCCTATTTATCGTTGACTAATGGAGTCACCTTCAATGAACGTTTAACCGCGTCATAAAATCAAACTGCTAGCAATATTACGCTATTAAAGAAAATTATTTAACAAAAATACATGTTAAATTGATGAAAACCATTTAATTGAACGAGTCTTTTAACTTACTGAGAATTGAAGAGAAGACAGTTATAAACTAAAAGCTCAATGCTTTAAATAAAATACCTAACCGTGTAAGAATTCAAGTTCCACTTTGTCATGCATCATGTTAGGTTTTAGCTTGTCTTGTGTCGAGACGTCTGCAAAATCACTGATTCATTGATATTTATATTGTTTTAGAAGAATTGGTCAATGACCAGAGAATCTCATGCATTCATGTTATTTATTATTTTTGAGAACATAAGTACGTACGTATCACATAAATATGAAAAATTCAAATATTGAAATAGAATGGTCTGCGACTGCATCATATTCAAACGTATGTTCAGCTTGCAAAATCACTAATATTTCATGTCACGTTGTGTCAAAATTGAAAAAAAAAGTTAAGCTTTGATTAAACCTTATATAAATAATTTCAGGTTTGTAGCGATTGAATAAGAATAATAAATGAATCTAAAATCTTTGTCTCATGCCATGGGAATTTCCAGAACAAGTATACATATTGACAACATCTCAAATCAGAATGTTTCTTCTCTTTTGCCTCACAATATTTGTTGCCGAGAGTAGGAAAAAATAAAACTTGAACTTCTGGTCAGTCCAAATAGCGCGATCAACCGAGATACACCTGTGAAACTTAATACAGAAATCTAAAAAGTTAATTCAAAAACGAGTTTAAAAGTTAGTCGTGTACTTGATTTATGGAGTGTACGAAGTGACTCGGAAAAGACTTGGAAAGTTAAATAATTTTCAGTTTACGCCTTAACAACCTCAAGGGAATTAAAAAAGGGAAAATTTATTACTTTTGAGAAAAAACATAACACTTCGACGCGTTAGGAAAATGTTTCGCCTTCCTCTATTTGTTCTTTTAGCGCTGATACCGGCTGCATTTAATCAGGTAACAAAAAAAGAAACATTGATTGGATAAACAAAAATAATTTTCTTAAGGCCTTCCGTTTAAGTCATGTCACGCAATGTTTAAGTATCAATGGCACATCTACATAGGCTTTAATAAAAAAAAGTGTTCATTCACAATGAGATGAATTCGTACAGTTGTATTACGTATTGGGCCTTGAGCGGTCTGTAGTGAAAGTTTAATTCAGTTCTCAAGTGGTTACCACGAGGTTTTTCGTGATTTCATATACGGTAGCGTCTGAAAACAAATTAAGAATAGTTATGGTTACACAGTTTCACACTCCTGCTAAAATATACACCAAAGCTCGACGATTATTTTGCAAAGTTTCTATCACGTAGTTACAGATTATATTAGGTTTTAATTACTTGTTTTAGATCAAAGATTGTGTAGGTTTGAAAATCTTCTAATCAGTTTTTCGCCTCGAAACCACTTTCTTTCCAATTTCCTTGTTGTTAAAGAAGTTTATTTCTCAATTTAATATTTTCGTTTGAATATCATTTCACTGCAAAATTAGATGAACATTCTTGCAATAAAATAATGCTTCAGGGTTTCATAACATCGAAGAAGTGTGGAAAGCGAAAAAGTGAATCATTTTGTAGGTTTGAAAGCTAAAGCTAAAACTCGACCAGTTAAATAGAAAATATTGTATAATAATGGTTTAATCTTCGTACAAGCGTTCGTGATGTAACACAACGAATAGAAGATGATAATTAGTGGTAGTTAAATAACTTGCAGTTGTTGGAAGTTCCGCAATGCACAACATTATCAAACATCTACTGTTTGTCTTCAATATTTTTTTATCTATCCACATGATTCATAAAATTGTATAATTTTAGACGCTCTGGTTTTGATTTGTTTAATAGAGAAAAGGTTTCGAAATCAGAACGAGTCTATTGTTTAGTATTCAAGATTTCCAAGGCAAGTAAGTCAAAGTATTGATTTTCTTGTTTGTGTAGTGAATAAAGAAGCTTCGTCATTACTAACTATTTATTTTTATTATGATTACAAAAATGGTTTATTGATTTCTACAAAGAATAAAATTCTTTCTTTTATAACTTTCCCACGATAGCCAGCACGCTAAAGATCGCAAAATCTGATTTTTTCTTTTTCTTACCTATGTTTAGTGTGAAATTATTTCCATCGAATTTATGGACTCAGGGTTTTATGCGTCTAAATTTTATGATACCATTGTTAATTATTTAAGAATAGTTAGAATACTTAAGGTTAAGGTCGATTGTTATATAATATAAATAATAAAAGTACAGCCTTAAGCTTATTGTATTACACGATCCTTACACACTAAATTGCTGTTTTATTTTAATTGCATTTCCGTTTTACTGAACTCATGTCTGTTAACCATCTCATGTTCAAAAATAAAAGGATAAAAAGATATTTTCAATCGATAAACGATATGGAATCGATAGAGGCAGATGGAAAATGGTTCGATTTAATTGTCACATGTCATGCTTTTTAAAGGGAAAATTACATCACATAATGCACGATCGAAAATACTTGATTCGAGGATATTTAATGTTTTCCATTTTCTAATGAATATTCAACATGTAAACTCAAGGTTTCTCAAGACAGTTTTCATTAAGAATTAAAGAAAAAATCGGCAAATAAGCTCATTATAGTTTTAAGATTCATTTTGAACATAAAATCGTGTTTGTTAAATTTTAAATGTGAAAGCTTCCATCGAGATAAGTGAAAAGTTGAGAATGCTGGTTTGCAAAGGTTTTCCATATCAAATCTCAAAGGAAAATCTTTAATGAATAAGCTCAAAGACAGCAAAGCGATATTAAAGGTTTTTCTTTTGTTTACTTCTACACATAAGACAAGTGAAATGAAACTCTCAAAACTTATGAAAAGATTCTTAAGTTAATTAAAGATCGAGAAAAATTGCAAATTGGCTAAAACAAGATGAAAGAAGAATCTTACAAAATATCTACATAAAAGACTCTGAGTCTGATCATTCGAACTAAATGAATATATGAATTGAATTAATTTTCACTTCTTGAAATTAAAAATTCTATGAACACAACATTGAGCTCATTTCTGGACCATTCTCACGTTTACTTTTAAACATTTTTAGCGCCACTGTTTTTGAGCCTAAAATCCTATAACTATTTAAATAATCAATGAAATTAATGAGTGGAAGAAATTTACCAACAAACGTGTTTTATATCAACAAATTAAACGCTTCCTCAGATACCTGCAATTAATTGTAGATATTTATGCGTATTTGAAACAATTAAGGTAGCGCGAATAAAAAACATAACAATTTCCTTATGTGTTGAAACGCGAATTTATTTATTTCACCATGAAATTATCGTTGTAATTAAATTGGATCAATGGCCATAAAATTGATGGTTCTGAAATTAAAGCAGCCTAGGTAGGCAATTTAAGAGTTGACTCATAATGAGTATCACTTTGAAATGAGATGCGATTTTTTCTTTTGTTGGAAGCACAATATCTACTCACTGCTTACCGTTTCATAGCAATGACTTTACTCTGACGTAAGCCAGTCTCAGCACGAAAACAAGAATGTAATTAAAGATTGAGGAACAAAGGTGAACACAAAACCGACAACAACTTGAAATAAATAAGATTATTTTGCGAACTTATGTTAGTCACTATTTTAAGCTTCAACAACAAACACGATTTTTCACTCAGCGTCAAGATTAAAATCCAAGAGCATGGAGAATTTTCTTAAGAGTGTAATTGATGAGACATGATAACATCTAACTATTTAAAAATGAAATCAATTTGACAAGTTTCATTACATTCACAGTTTATCACATTGAAAGATGGAAAAATTGGCGTGAATTTCGCCGGATATCATGCTGAAGCTGGTCTTGGTGGTCTTTTAACAGGCAACGCAGCCCATGGTGGCTTGTCAGCGTCAGCTGGAACGCCATTTGGTTATTACATAATTATAACATTAATTAATTACAGGAATATAAATAACCGTCTAACTAATTTACAGGCCAAAGAGCTGGTGCAGGCATTGGCGGAACTGTTAACAATGGTAATGATAATATTTGAGTATATAAAACCATTAAGCGTATTTAAATAAATTATCTCTGTGGACAGAGCACCAAAATTATTATATTTCCCGAACTAAAAAGTTCCAACGAATGTATGAGTTTTCTACTTCACTAGAAAATTAATTAGGACGATATTTTTTGTGAAACCCTTCAGTTCAAAAATCAAATAAGATAGTTAAAGTTTAAAATAATTGTGCTTTCACAGAAGAAGAGCAAAAAAACGATTTATGGAAAGATATTAACAATCACGAATTCATACTTTGTAGAACAATTTTTGGAGCGAAATGAGAGTCGATAAATAATTAAAATTCCTTATAAGGTTTTAGCTTTTGTTACGTAATTTATGGAAACATCTAACCCAAAAGCTTGCATTAACAAAAGACTCGTCCGGCATGCCTTAATCTAAATAACCATAAATTATCAACGCTGTCCAAACACTCTGACGCTGTGGATGAAACAGACACTAAATTTTCTTTTTTTTCTGTTTCGCACGTCCACGCGCATTTCAGAAATTAGGTATTTCAAAATTATTATGAAACTTTTCACACAGGACAAAGTCGCGGGGGTGCTTTTGCTGGAGCAAGTGCTGGATATGGAGCTGGCGCTAGTGCAGCACTTGGAGGAAAAGTAGATGAGTATGGAGGAGCGGGTGGGCTTGGCTCAGAAGCACACGCCGGAGGGATTAGCACAAAAACTGTTAAGCTTTCGCAAACACCACAACAAGTATGTCATTAATGTTAACGATAAAATATCGTTCCGTTTCATATAATAAATCTCACAAAAAGTGTGTGAAATTTAAATTGAAGCAATCGTATTTATCACAACGAATTTTCATTCACAGCCAGTTGCTGTAATCGACCAACGTTCGTCATTTGACGATGAAACTTACGAAGAGGCACCACCAGTCGTCCAGCAAGTGCCGGTAAGAAGCCGAAAACGTTTCTTCAAAAGAAAACAATTTCGTAATAATCACAAAGTAAGATACTTAACTGAGAATGATGGAAAAATGAATAAACTTTAATTAAACTAAAGTAACACCATTTCAACACAAATAAAACTCACAAGAAGACTCTTGATATACAATGAAATAAATTTAGTTTCGGAATACATGAATCGAATGACTGATTGAATGAATGTGTGCTGTTAATGTTCGCTCGTCAAAACTAAGATCTTTGTCTTTCATACACTTTGAAGGCGGTTCAAGTTGAAAGACGCATTGATGCTTCACCAAATTATGTGACTTATAATCAACCTCAGAGCAATTTTGATTATCGTAACTTTTTGGACTTTGGTTTCTTCTCGAATGCTGGTGCTAGCTTTAGTGGTGCACCACATCCAGCCACACAAAGGGGACGAGTTTTCAGTTATCAGAAGCAATTGGGCCCAGACACTGTAGTGTTACACAAGACTGTAATACCCGCTCAATATCTTCAACAAACACATTCTGAGGTATACTGAAGTCAGTGATTGAAAGTGATGGGTGTTATTTTAAGATGAACACAACATTACCCAACATTCAGCTAAATTAAGCATTAAACACATAACATTAAATATGAAATTAATTCTCGGGGTCTCGCATGTATCATAGTAATATATCAAACACTAAACTTGTACACTTTAAAAAAGAACAATTGAAATAAAATTACTCACACAATATTAACAAACATAAACTTTTGACGAAAATTAATTTATTATTAACAAAATAAAGCAGAAAATTTATTCACAAACAAAGAAACATTCATTTAAATGACATTAACTTTACTGAATTCTATGAAAAGCTAATGAAATTGCTTTTATTTGCACAGGCAAAAGTTGATCAACGATTAAATGACGAAGCTGATTTCAACTCTGATAACTTTGAGAATGATGATGTTACAGAGAAAACAAAAGTTAAATCTATTGTAGCAGTTGAACAAACGCCGGTTGAAATGGTGGTACAAGCTCCAAAAGTGGCACCTGAAGCCCCAGTTCAAGTGCCAATCCAATCTGGTGGAGCAACAACTTACACCGCAACGAAGCAATTCAGAGCAAATCCAACATTCTTTGCCGACATTTTCAACGTTAGTTTGAAATTAATTTTCCTTTTTTTACCAGTGATTTATAAATTGTTCAATACACAATGTTCATTTCAGATTCCAATTTCAACTCTCAATGCTGTTAGTCAGTTTTTAAGTAACGGAGCTGCAAGTGGAAGTGTTGCTGTTACAAAAACCAAAACTGTTGAACATATTCACTAAAAGAATTTTAATAGAACAACTTTTTTAATTTGTAAACTATTTTTTGTAATTGATGATTATAATCCAATAACAAATTCCTTGCTATCTACATAGTTTTTTCTTTTTTAAAAGGTATCTAATACATTTCAGTTGAGTTATTTGTTATGGTACTTCACTGTAAGTGATCAAAAGCTTTAGTTAAACTTACGATAAAACCTTATCTAATTAATTTTACTCAAAATGAAATGAAATATGAGCAAAGCATCTCACAAATTTCCAACTAAAAAGCTTTTAGTTCACGTCAAGACTTGTGAGTCCAACTATCGTTCTTTGTATATGGTCTGATGATTACATGATGAGAACAACTTTCCGCTTGAGATTACTCATATCATATGATCTGAAATATGATTCCTAAAGTACTTTTATATGTACAAAACTATTCTATGTTACTTGCTAACTTGTTTATTTATAAACATCATGTTACTTACTCTACGAACAACAGCAAAAAAAATGAGTTTCGTATGAGTATCGTTCTTTAAAGCTTTGATTCCTTCAAGGATTCCTGGGGATGAAGAAAGAAAAAAGTTTATTTCTTTTCCCATCAGATCTTTTAGCTTTTTTTTGTTTGCCAAAACAGCATATGTTTGACAGTTACAAGAAAATTGAAGAACATAAAAGTGTATAAACATAAGCATTACAATAACAAAACAACGTTTGTGCGTTGATGAGATCGTAAAACGAAAAAGAAAAGAAAGAAATCCTATTCATAGCATTCATTTAAATTCATAAAGACTCAGTAATAAATAAGAATGAAGAAGAAGAAAAATATGAAACGAAATTATAATGAAGAAGAAAAATAAATTTGGATTTCAAATGACAAGGGAAATTTTGGAAAGCAAAGAAAAAGGGAAAAAATTAAGACATAAATTTTTTAGAATAACACAATTGGTTTTTATTTTGTAATTCATGTTTTCTAAGATAATTTCACGTCAAAGTTATGATGTTGCGCATAAAAATGTGATAAAAGGAGTAAAAAGGTCAAAGAAATAAAACAACAGGAAACTGTAAAAGGAGGCGATGATGAACGACACGACGATAAATGCTTGATATGAATCATCACTCTGCAGGTGTAGCTTACAGTCAGGTTATCCTTTAGCTTATCAGTTCTTGTATCATAATACTATCGTAGATATATGATCTTCTCATGTAATAAAAAATATTTATTTATATGAGAAAAATGATTGAAGATGAAAAATCTCACAAATAAAACGGATAACTGTCTCCAACGAAAAACATTTAGTCATGTTTGTGTACATAAAAAACTTTGATTATCAAACACGTCCTAAAGTATTCCCATAAAACTATGGTGTATGTTAGTGTTATTTATTTTTAAGCATTATGGAAAATCAGGCTCTGTTGCTTCGTGCTTTTTATTGCCTCAAAAATATTATAATATAATAAATAAATTTTTAATCCTTTGTAAGTTATGTAACCAAAACTCAAAAATTTTAATAGTTCTTTTGTTATACACATCCCGATATGATCTTTGCTCACATTTGTTCAAAATTTGGTTTCAACATTAAAGGCTTATACATTCCAGTTTTACATTGATGCTTCATGCTAAAAGTTTTAGAATGCTTGAACGGAATTTTTCAGATAAAAATATTTGGAAACATAAAAAATTGTCATTGTCAACGAATATTGAAATTACGTATTATTTTAAATCTTTGATTTAGACAATATGCGACCTTTCAATGATGTGTACAAAAAGTGTAGTGTGTAGACTCTTAAATGTAAGATGTTTCTTATTCTAACGCCTACATGTATACTTAGTTGATATTTAATTTAAAATTTTTTGAAAGCTTCCATGATTTTTGTTTTACAACACATCGGCTAATGACTTCTATTTTCCAAGACCTGAAGGCTTTTAAACAAACTGAATAAACAAAGATAATCAAAGAGTAACTTTAACTAAGAAAAACAATATTTTAATTTAATAATATGTAGGTCATGAATGAAACTTAAAATAATCTCATAGAATTTTCATTTAACGGCGATAAACGGCATCAATTACGGATGACTGTAATAACATACGACGTTAACACTTTTCGCTAGATTCCTTTATAAAAGTTTTCCTTTTTTTATTTGAAAATGATTTGACTTCCAGCTGATGCCATTTTTATAGAAAAAATCGTATTCATTCAATTGAGCTAGAGTAATTCTCGACCCATCTCATAGAATTGAAAAAAAAAGGAGAAACGTAATAAAATTGAGTGGAAAAATATTTTTATTATTGTAAAACTTTTGGCATGCTATAGCATATGCTTTTCCCATTGTGGCAGTAAGGCAACTCAACCTGAAATTATTTGAACTCTAATATTGTGCTGTATGAGATGAAAAGGTGAATGAACAAAACTATACTATAGCTGGAAATGGTAGGAAATTTATGACCACGAATCATCTCAGGTGTCAGTAACGTTGCTATTGAATGGATCAGAAAAATCTTGATTAAATATTTTAAAACTTTTCAATTTATGTGCTATCAAACATAAAATTTATTGCTGGCATTTACTTAGAATACACGAAACTTCATCAACTTAACTTATTATTCGATTGAAAATTTACTCGTGATTACACATGAGAAAGCATGACATTAAATTAGACGCTTCATTTAAAAGTAAATTCAGCATCATAGGTTTGTAATTGGTCCTTCGTCGTTCGCTTCTTCAACTATGTCAGCATTTGATTTGAGGTTCGGATTTAAGCGTGCCCGAAAATTAACCAGCGTCCGCACTAATTCATTCACTGTTTTAACTGCCTGAATAGGAATCTTGAAAGGAAATGATGCGTGTAAATTACCCAACCATAATTTTTAGGCCAATGAGTTTTATAGTCAGTATGTTAAAAGACATTGCAATGTTTTCCGAAAACACGCGATGTTTTTCTTCAATTAATTGTATTTTTTTCCTATGGTGCCAGCTACATATAGGAAAAAAGTAACACTTACATTGAAAATGCTGTCTAATATCGCGAGATTTATCGGGGTAGAGGTTTTTTGATCTTGGGATTCTGTATCCATGTTCTGAAATAATAAATTAATATGACGATAACTTGTATACTTATTTATAAAATAAAGAGAAAAATATCAAAACCTGAGAAAGCAATCGATTTTCAAAATCTTCTTGAGATGGCTGTTCCAATTGTCCTTCTTGACTTTGGAATTTGAATAATTGCCTTCTGTTAACTCTTTGCCCTTTTATAACAGCAAAGAAGAACATTGATACGATAATGATTCTAACAACTGTTTTGACTTGGCTCATGGTTATAAAAATTACTGAAAATCGAGTAGAAAATTTAGTTAGAAATTTTAATTTAATATAAAAATAAATACACAATTTTTTCTTTCTTCAAATGGTAATTAATACAGTTTCATCAGCAAGAAGTGAAATTCTTTTGTTTGCATATTTCTCAAGCTCTAATAGAGCAACAAAGCTTTTTATAATGAAAAATATTGAATGTTGATACATATCATCTTGTTGAACTTGCAATTTGAACTTTGTTGTGGAATTTTAATTAAAACTTTTACTTGAATTTCTTCTTGTTACAAAAATGTTTTTCGGCTTGGTTCTCTGACTTCTTAATTCTTTTAAAATTCACTTCAATATAAATTTTAATACTAAGTTGTTTGGCTGGATATACGTTCAATAAATACTATTCATTGTCTCAGTTGAATAAATTCTCGTTCCTTTTGACTGCAAGGTTGAAAGCTCTATTAAGCTTAAAAGATAACAAAGCAAGTTCATAAAATAACTATAACATTTCCAATCATGATAAATATATTGAATAAGTTCTGAATAATGCATTTCAATGTTGATTTCAGAGTAGTTTTGCATCTAAGTTTTATAAAACTAATAATTATCTGATATTTTAAAAGCTTTTCAAAGTTATTTAAAATAAAAAGATTCTTATTTTTTTTCCTATACTTGGTCCATCAGTTTAATTCAGTTCAAGTTACTGCTATAACTAAATGCGTTATAAGCTCCTCATATTTCAAGATCTAATAATATGTTTATCAAATATTTTATAGAAGTGACAATTAGGTATATCTTAAAATTACGGCAGTTGAGCATTTAAATATCTTTTACGATAAAGCTACATCAAGGGAATTATAATTTGAGAATATTCAGTCGGAAGTTTTCAAAAATATCTGCCTAAAGTCATGAAGGTTATCAGATAAATGTAAGTAGAGATATCTAATAATAATTATTTGAAGTGTAAATAATTGTTCGGTTAAGGCACCAACATGAAAATTAGATAGAAAGGAAATTGAAGTTGTTATGAAACATTAAATACCAATAATCTCGAATCATGTTTATGTTTATTTTGATACTTAAAAATTTAAATGGTTAATTTCTACCTAAGTTCTGAAACAATTCTTTATTGCAGAATTCTTCATTATTTAACTAAGCATTTCATTTCTTTCTTATTTGATATCTTGCTGTTTCATCTGCAGTAATAATAACAAGAACGAGCAGCTATTTAGTTCCATGACATCTCTGTTGCATTATAGTGCATCTTGAAGTTGTGATGGTGACACCCATTGTCATACTCATAGCGTTGTTATGCAAATTTTATAAGATGACAAGCTTGCTCACTAAAGAGTCTGAAACAAAAAAGAATAACACTGAACGACAAGAAAAACATTTCTCTGGAGATTAAAGTTAAACTGCAAAAAGTGAACTTATGTGACGGCAGCCATCATAACATTTTCTTAGTGTCACAAATTCATTTGAAGGAAAAATTTAATATATCTAATGTCAATATTTTCACATTCAGACTTTTAGTATTCTAGTTCAGTGTCCTTTTACTCTTAAAACTTTTTTTTACAACAAAACATTTATGCTCGATTTTGTTAAAAAATTCCCTGCATGTTGCCTTGCATGTTACCAATAAATGTTATAAAGTTTACCGAGTAGAATCAATTTGTTGACAATGAAAACAGTGAAACTTTTAAAACTCATTGAACGAGTATCCCTGGTAAAATGTTATCGAGGATTCTCATGAAGTGAAGAATTTAATATCAAAATTGGTTACAGTTGAGTGAATTTGTCGTTGAAATAAATATATAAACTTCTTCTAAAACTTTTCTCTCTCTTTTGTTCTCTTTAAAGGTCGAATAAAAACTTCAAGGTAAATTCTTGGGTAAATTTGTCTTTCAAATTTGCTTTAAGGTTCTTTAAAAAAGTAGGAGTTTCAGAATCAGTATTACAAGAAAATATTTGGAAACATATTTATAAAATTATTGATCATCCTTTTGCCTAATAATTTGTTTTTAGAGAAATCAAAAAGTTTTCATTTGGAAAAAAAGCTCCAAATATTTCATCATCATCAGAGTAGGGAGTGCAC